CCCCCCCCCCCCCCCCCGACATCAAAATGTTGGACACGCCACTGAAGTTGACCTAACGGGAACCCACTGGAGTCGGTGACATCTTCAATGGGACCAAACAAGATCCTGTTGAAATTTTAAGAAGTCTTCAACCGGAATTACACAGGATCCCGTTGGAATTCGGGACATCTTCAATGGGACCCAACAGGATCCTATTTGAATTTCAGACATCTTCAACTTAATTGACTTAACGGGATCCCATTGGTACGGTGGCCCACAACTGTCACGGCAAAAGCAAAAGCGCCACGGCAAGCGCAACAGCGCCGCGGCAAGCGCAAAAGCGCCACGGCAAAAGAAAAAGCGCCGCGGCAAAAGAAAAAGCGCCACGGCAAAACAAAAAGCGCCGCGGCAAAAGAAAAAGCGCCACGGCAAAACAAAAAGCGCCGCGGCAAGCGCAAAAGCGCCACGGCATGCGCAAAAGCGCCACGACAAGCGCAAAAGCGCCACGGCATGCGCAAAAGCGCCACGGCAAGCGCAAAAGCGCCACGGCGAAAGCAAAAGCGCCACGGCGAAAGCAAAGCGCCACGGGTTTATTGGGAAGGGGCGTAATCATACATGCCGCTACTACATCAAAAATAAAATGGGAAGGAGAATAGCCGCCACCAGGAATTCTTATTAAGCACAGAATTTAATTCTTTGAGAAGTGATTTTATGGCTGAGAAAATAGCAAGGCCAAGGAAAACCGGTCAGGAAATAAATCGTCGATATTAATTTGTTGTAGGATAATTATTATTCCAAGAGAGTTGCTGCCGTGAATCAGAGTTTATAAAGGAGTGGGACTCACTATCAGCACCATCAGGGCCGTTCCTCATTTCTTTACATTTCGTGGGATGCAAACAATTACGAGGACGGGAGGCTCTGTGAGCTGATGCATTTTTTTTGAAGAGTTTTGTCCCTTCCGACTAGCATGCAGAGAAGAGTTCCGTTAATTTGAGACTTAGTTCACCCATGGGCGTCGCGAGGGGGGCAAGGGGGCGCTCCCCCCCCCCCCCTGGAATAGCACACAAAAAAGAAGGGGAAAAAAAAGAGAAAAAAAGAAGAGAAAAAGAGGCGCGAAGTCATAGTGGTGTAAATTGAATGAGTTGGGGGGGGGGGCAAAATGTCCCTGCCCCCGTCTAAAACTGAGAAATCGAGAATTTGTTCAGAAATACAAGAATTTTTTGGGAAAAATATGTTTTGCCCCCTCTAGAAAAAAATCCTCAGCTGGCGACGCCCATGAGTTCACCGGTGTGTATACCAGTGTAGGCACACAATTGAGCTGCCCAGAGTTTGGATATAGAATAAGAAAGAAAGAAATTAACTCAGAACCTAGAACTCATTGGCCCACCCACCCCTGGCTCAAGAAACCAAGAAGCCGAACAAGACCTCATGATGCTTAGCGATAGCGATGATGAATTGCCCTGTGGACAGTCTTCCACATCATCGCAGAATCAGCCTGCAGGGCAGAAAGAGGGCTTGTTTCCGGCATCAAAGAGTTCCGTATTCACTCGAAACAAAGCAAACGGCTCTTTTCAGAGCCACCAAATTTTCATAGAAGAGCTTAGAATTGTGCATCTCAACGATAACACTTCTCCTTTGTTTAGTGTCTCTCCCTTACCTTCCTTTTTTAAAGTTAATTTCTTTCTTTCTTATTCTATATCCAAAGTCTTCGCCTGTGTTACGTTCCTTACATGAAATCCACAGCCTAACTTCCTCTGTCGAAAGCGTTGCAACTGTCTAATAGAACGATCCATTTCTCGATTTGTGAGTTATCTTCAACTCAGTCGTGTTTATTGGGAAGGGGCGTAATCATACATGCCGCCACTACATCTAATATTAAATGGAAAGGAGTATGGCCGCCACCATGAATTGAGAAGTGATTTTATGGCTGAGAAAATAGCAAGGAAAACCGGTCAGTGCAAGCAACGTTCAGCGAAGAGTTTTGAAATTCCCGCTCTCTGGGAATTTCTAACCCAATGGGCCCGCGGGCGAGTTACGTGTTGACAAGCCTTACCCACCCACTGCCGCAGCCCTGCAGGAGAGCCTTAATCGACTTCCTAGATGTGTATGATATACTGAAAAAGAAAAAAAAATTAACTCATACAATCTGGGCAGCTCACTTGCGTGCCTACACTGGTATACACACCTGTGAAAAAAGGCTCAAATTAACGGAACTCTTCTCTGCATGCTAGTCGGAAGGGGAAAAAAATGTCTTCAAAAATGCATCAGCTCACAGAGCCTCCCGTCCTCGTAATTGTTTGCATCCCACGAAATGTAAAGAAATGAGGAACGGCCCTGATGGTGCTGATATAGCGAGTCCTACTTTCCCTCTCCTTTATAAACTCTGATTCACGGCAGGAACTCTCTTGGAATAATCTTGGAATCATCCTACAACAAATTAATATCGACGATTTATCGACGATTAATAAGAATTCCTGGTGGCGGCCATTCTCCTTCCCATTTTATTTTTGATGTAGTAGCGGCATGTATGATTACGCCCCTTCCCAATAAACCCGTGGCGCTTTTGCTTTCGCCGTGGCGCTTTTGCTTTCGCCGTGGTGCTTTTGCGCTTGCCGTGGCGCTTTTGCGCTTGCCGTGGCGCTTTTGCGCTTGCCGCAGCGCTTTTTGTTTTGCCGTGGCGCTTTTTCTTTTGCCGTGGCGCTTTTTCTTTTGCCGTGGCGCTTTTGCGCTTGCCGTGGCGCTGTTGCGCTTGCCGCGGCGCTGTTGCGCTTGCCGTGGCGCTTTTGCTTTTGCCGTGACAGTTGTGGGCCACCGTACATTGGAATTTAACTTCAGTGTGACGCAACGGGTTTCCAATTGGAATTGTTGGACATTTTTAATTGCACCCAATCAGATCCAATTGGAATTTGGAACCTTTTAAATCGGATCTTATTAAATCTTATTGCAACTTGGGAAATCTTAAATGCAATCAATCGAATGCCATTGGGATATGTTCAATGTGACCCAACGGGATCTTACGGGAATTTGAGACGTCTTCAATTGGACTTTAAGGAATCCCATTTTGCACTCGGGACATCTTACATGGAGTGGGACCCAATTGGATCCCACTGTAATTTGGAATATCTTAACGGTAAGGGGAAACTTACGTTTTGTGCATTTATTTTCGTTTGGAGCAACAATAATCATGCTGAAAATCTTAAGAAGGGTGCATAACAACTGACTTGTTGAAGTTTCAGCTCAGTGGAAACTCTACCTTTCAAAAAACTGGAATTGACGGAGGAACCCGGTCCGGCGCAAAACCGAGTTCATTCATTGGATACAATGCTGTCTTTTAAAGGGTCCATCTGTTTCCAAGGTGCTTACGAACAGAAAGTGAAGTGGATAATGTTGACATCCGGGTCATTTCCACCCATGAAGAATAGAACTTGGTAAAATTGTGCAGCCACATAAATATCCACTCGGGGATGGGGAGGATGGGGACGGGACATCAATCCACCTTATTAGATTTCATTGGTTCTAAAAGAAGCTCTATTCGTAACATCGGTTCGATAAAATGTGGCACTAAAATCACGTTACTATGTTCCAAATTGTCGTGCAAATTTGTCGAATGCTCAGAAAAACCTTGCACACGAAATCCTCGTCCTTTTCCTGGCCGAAGATCTGAACATGAGCTGTCAAGAGCACCATTTACGAAAACCAGTCATTGACATTTTCACTTGTCGGAATAAAATGCTGGGGTGCAATATAGCATGCACACATTAATATACAACACAACCTTAAAAGTTTAGATTATACGCTGTTGAAAGCCATGTTTATCACGCGAATATTATTTAATTCTATTTAATAAATCTGAGTGAATAATCTGAATATTCCATATTAGGTTTTACCCTTTACCGGTGTAGAAACAATGTAGCCCATACTCAGTGTGTTACCTCCCGAGTGAAAGTCAGAAAAATCACTCGGGTGGGATCGAACCCACGACCTCCTGCTTTCTAGTTCAGACGTCTTTACCATTCGACCACCGAGCTTGTGGTGCCCGCTGCTGCGCGATCACGCAAGCTCGGTGGTCGAGTGGTAAGACGTCTGCGCTAGAAAGCAGGAGATCGTGGGTTCGAGACACCGAGCTAACTTTCACTCGGGAGGTAACACACTGAGTGTACAGTGTTTATACGTTGGTGAAGGGCAAACCTAATGTTGATTTACATCACCCCGACGCTAATTCCATCTTATAAATAATCTGAATATATATCTTCCGAAATTATTACATATTATACATTGCAATCAACACACACACTGGTGCATTTGAATTTTAGCATGCACAAGAAACAACATGCAGTGCGAAATAGTCGTTTACCTTCGGCACAGTAGAGACCGATAGAGATTAATTTTGTGAATAAGATGGGTTTTTCGAATTTAAAGGCAGGCACGTATAGTCACGGAATGCCCTTTTGTGTTTCCTTTCGGTGGCGTAACCAAGGAGGTCGTGGAGCACTTCCTCAAGCCCTTTGCCATCTTGTGCTTCCCACTCAGAATTGGAAGAAGCCAAAATGACCTTTTCTTGAAACCGACCGAGTGCCACCTTTAGAAAATAAGGTAGCCCGAGTGCCCTCCCCTTGCGGACTGAACCCTAGTTACGCCATCGTTCTTTATACTTCATTTTATCCAACCCCAGGGTCAAAAGAAACCAACAGTGTGCAATTTGGTTTTATGGATTTAGTTCAAACTACCAAAAACAATAAAGAGCATTGATGTCACGACCTTTGAACTCATATCAAGCGGTACATAGGCCCACAAAATAACAAGTTCAGAAAAAAATTATGGATGGATCACGTGCGTGAACAAATGCGTCACAAACCGCCCGGGCTACTTTTGTGGAATAGAAGTTTTTACAAGTCTTGCACACTGGAAACCCATATAAAATGTCAGCGTTTTCACCCACATAATAATTATATGCGCATCTGAAGACATCAAAATGACTGATACATCAAACTGAAGTGCAGAGTACGCCTTTTCTACTGGATATAGACTCAGCTCGTGCGATCTGGTCCCACCATATTCTAAGCAATTTTTGTCTTCTATTAGTATTATAAGCAACTCATTAAGCTGAGGCTAACACTCCTGCCTATATTTTAGGGTCTATCCGACAGGGTTTCCCCAGGGGTCAGCTGCCACGTCTGGCATGCCTCCGTACCGTTGGCCTCTTGGAGACCTGACCTCGGAGATGGCCACGGCAGAGTGCAGAGACACGGTGGAGTTCCGCGTAGTGCCGGCGGCATTTGGTGGGGATGAGACATCCCTTGGGCTCATGGAACCAGTTGACCTGGGGCTCAGATCCAGTTGGGAACCTTCCTCGAGGTCCTCTCCTTGGTGGATTGTAGCGACTTCCAGGACTCGCATCTGTCTGCCTCCACGGCTTCTGGCCCGTCTGGACCGGGGCTCTGGCACAGCGACTTCACCGCTGGTATCCGCGGGCGTGTAAGCCGGAGGGAGCTCCCCTGGCACACTCTGCATGAGCCCTGACATACTGACCGCGCCGCCCACAGCGCCAAAGGCGTTACCGATTGACACAGGATGTTGTCTCATCTCGTAGAAGGCCGCGGCCAGCGTGTTAGCCAGTCGGGTGGCGTCCCTTAAGTCCCGGCACACTACGCCGTGACACTCCACCCGTCCGTCTGACCCAGCCGTCCCGCCATCGAGGGAGCGGCGGTTGTAGACCCAGATGAGAGTGCGATTGCACGGCTCGTGGTTGGCGGAGCATCTTGCTATGCGGACTGTCTCGAAGAATTCTCTGATACCCTCTTGCGGGCTATTGGTCTCCTGGTTGTCTCGGGAGGACGGGATGACCCTCAGAATAAATCCAGGAGGTATAACCTTGACATACACCTGTGATATCATAAACAATTCATGGACTTAGGATGGATACAATGATTTAGGATGAATTAGCTCATTTAAAGGAGTGCAAAAAGTTTTCCCACCTTTTGTTTCACAACGGGTCCTTTTCGGGCTTGAACCCGACCCTGATATAAGTTTAGAATTAAATCTCCTTCTGATTTGGTACGTTTCTCTATCGTTAAACTTAGACGGGTGGTTCTTACAGACGGTCACCAATTTGATTACTGTGTGCTCACAAAATGTAGTCAGTCACAAAGTCATGTTTAAGTTCGTGACGGATAGCCGCTGGGAGGGGATGAGGGGCGGATAGGTAACATCATGTCACCACTGTTCGATGCGGACACGCAAAGCCAAAGGGGCAAAGGGGAGAGGCTATAGCGGGAAGGATCTGGTCGGGTTTTACAGTTTCCTTCCAGTCAACATTATTTTTCAGCCTTTTTATTCTTCTGGATTTGGATTTTGTTGACGTATTGCATCCGGTCCCTGACAAGCACACACTGTAAAGAAAACCCGTAAAAACACTGTCTATTTTCCGTATTTTTTACGGTTTATTACCGTTATTGCTCGAACCGTCACAAGAAAGAACGTGCTACGTGCATTTCCCGTAAAACTTGGTGACCTGACGCAGGCTGGGATTCACAGTGCTTTGTTTTCGTAACTTTTCAAAACCCCTCCCCTTTCAAACCCTCACAACCGCCTATTTTTTAAAGCTGTGATTCGTGTGCACCCACGCAACGTTCGCTACGTGCTGATCATTGGGATTTCAAAGCCGTAATGCTTTAATATTGCAGAATTTAGAGAGCCAAGCAGCTAATCCTGCGGTGTTGACCAGCAATAGGTTGACCCCTTTCTGTGGGATTGGTAAAAAGTTGTAAATGAAAATTACAACTTACAGATGCAAGTTATGTTACAACTTAAAGATAATTTCACCTTAAGTGATTTGAAAACCACTATGCGTGTAAAAGACGAGCTGTAAAACGTATGCATACCCCACTCCCAGCTGCAGTAACTGGAACCTACCCCCCTCCCTACCCCTACACTCAGCTCTGACGCCACCCACTTTGTATTCCATTACTTTACGGCAAATTGCCGTTAAATTTACGGGAAATTCGTGTTAAAATTACGGTCACCGTCATTTTGGGAAAACCGTAACTGACCGTAATTTTACGGTCTTTTGTTGGCAACCCGTTTGACAGTTCTTTTACCGTAAAATTACGGGCAAATTTTTTACAGTGCAGTCAAGCCACAGAGGGCTCCCAAGAAGATCAAGCAAATTAAGTCTTGAGACTTTTTTGGCACTATACACCCAGTGAACACACCTAACGCGGGCGCGTATAGCGTGAGGTAAGCTCGGAATTTCTCGGGCCGCGGGTCTCAGAGCCAACTTCCCAATAGACCGTTATATTGCTGCTACCATTTCAGTCATGTTCCCTGTATCTTATAACAGTACTGAATAATAATGGGTTTTGTGCAAAAAGGAACCAGACTGTTTTTTGCTTCCAGCCTCGCTTTGGTTACGTTGATTTGAATGGGAGAAAAATCACGAGGGCCGCAACATGATAATGGTCTATACTGGATTCGATCAGGACCGGCTGCACTCGGAGAACAAAAAACACAAGCAGGCTTGAACATAGACTACGTTTGAAATGACAGCGTCATTCCCCAAATGCAACGCCACAATTACAGCTACATGCACACATTTCTATATTTAGCTCGATGCTTATTTGAGCGATATTGTATTGATCCGTGTGCTTTCATGCGAGTATCACCATGACGACCATTAGTGCTTCCTGAGAGCCCACTGTTATGCAAATTACACTCCATTCTTATACAAAACGAGGTATAGAATGTAAAACAAAAAGCACCACCGCGAACTTGAAAACAGCAGGCGCGTTTGCATTAATGAACACCGTTTGCGGTTGCAGCTATGCAGGTTACAATTTGTGTCGGAAAAAAACAAAAATCGCTGTGCCATAATTAAAGACAGCAAAAAGGTCGACAAGCGAAAAAAGCAAAGCACTTTTGAAAAGGCAACATTTTATGATACGTCATACGTAGGCCTACATATCTTATAAGATGTATCATATATGACGCGATTTCTTGGTTTAAATTCAATTTCAAGTTCAAAACCAGCGCATCAATGTGCTACCCGGCCGTTTACAAATTATTTATTTCGGCAGTTAAAAATGGTACAATTAAAATATATAGTTGGGTGGGAAAATGAACGCATTACAAAATTGGCCCATTCTGTAACTAAAACTGTAATTTCTTCTCATTTTCTTCTCTCTAAAGGTTTCTCCAGGCTTGCGAGCTACAGTGCATAGGGCGCTTTTGAGGAATCCTTGGTTTCATTATCAGAAATAGTTTATAATAATAACAAAATTTCACAATAAAGATCTCAAAATTGCGAAAGTATGGATCACAGTGGCGAGTATGAAAACGGAAAAAATTTGGTACCGAGAAGTATTTCGAATGTTTTGCACGTTAATAAGCTGTTGGTATTTCTAACAAAACCTGACATGCTCTTTAGTCTTCATTCATGTTTTCTCAATATAATATTTTAGGGCGCTCACTGGCGTCATGAACCTGCATTCTTTCTCCAATTTTTTACATGATGACTTTGACTCTGTTGAGCACGACCAACAAAAGTATAGTGGCGTCTGAATCGAGAACCATTCTAATTGACGTACCTCTGATGCTGCAGATGACTGGCCCAGAACCGTTCCACGGTCACGTTCATGGCGTCGATGGAGCTTGGCGACCACCCGAGCCAAGTCGGCACTGGTGGCCGTGTCTGTCTCTCTCTTTTCGGTGCAGCCCAGGTACACCTCACACGGTACCCACTCGTCTAGGTTGAAGGCCAACCCGGGCGGTGGTCCACGGGTCGACACCTGCAACCCACTGCCGGCCATTTCAATTTGGAACGCACCTCTGTCTTCCCTCAAAGGAGATTTCTCGATTATTTTACTTTCGCATCCTTTCGACGCTCACGGTCGCAGTGGCAATGTGGGGCGAGTTGTCGGTATCTCTCTGATGTATTGAGTTCGAATCAACCGGTGTCATACAGTCCTACTACACAAAGGGCTAAGAGTAATTATTCACAACTTGATCCAATACCTTCACACATTCTATTGCAAGTGACGTTCTCACCCTAGATGTATCATATTCTGTCTGCCAATCCAATCCATAAGAGATGTACACACTTAATCCGCGAGGTTCGTAAACAAGTACATGTATAGGAAGGGACTTCTGTGGGTCCGGGGTTGTCACACACCTTCACACAATGGGTTACAGAAATAGCCACACAGTTTCATCTCATAGGTTGCGGAGAAACATCACCATTCATCCGTAACGAGGACCGAGGATGGTACGTGCATGTACCATGTGTTGAGGAGCGACGTTGTGTTCTCTTTACAGTATACGTGACGCACTTATTGAGAGTGTATGATTATGTACAACAGTTTTTTAATAATTATGTGATTGGTTGTTTGCTTGTTTGTTTGCTTGTTTGTCCGTCTATCGGGCTCTTTTTGAAGTTAACTGCTTCGGTCACTGTCATCGTAAATGTGCATAGGTGACTATGCCCCCCCCCCCATCAAACCTTGTTCCCCCCCCCCCCCCTGAGATTTTGAGTTTCTAAAAAATTATCATTGATCTACATGACACCCCCCCCCCCCATGAAATGTTCCAGCCCCCTAGCGCCCCCCACTAAGAAATTCCTGGCTACGCCACTGCCTGTCGATTCATCGATTTCTGCCTATGCAAACAAGACAACATTGTTTAATTACTTCACACTTGACCTTAGCACACGAAAATATTCAACACCTTTTTGGGTCGTTCGTGATTGTGTACTTTAGTCAAGCTGTAATGAGGTACTATACAAACAATGCTTATCATGGACTAATTTCTAAGTCGACCGGAAGGAAAACGAGTTTGTCCTTCAATTAAGTCCATTATAATGTCATCAATTTATTAATGCATAAAATGGCACCCCAGCATGAAATTATTTGCCCGCCATTTTGTAGGGTGCACATTATAGCTGAATTATTATAATCATTCGTCATTCAATTTCATATTTTCCTGACGCCAACTCAACTCAATCATGGATTACATTCAGTTACTGTGAATGCGGGTTAAATTCCCTTTGTTAGACTCGGACAGCAAATTTACTGAATTTGGCCGCACAAAGAAATTCACGCATTTCTCTCTCTTTTTTCTCTCTCGAAATGTAGACCTATACGTACCCACTGGACAATCACTTAAACTTTGTTTTTGCCAGTCATACTTCGAAGTATGAGTGCTGGAATCAATGGCTGGGCTATGATTTTGTGTTCTCTGATCTACATTGAAATCACTTCGACTACAGCTATAGACGAGGCTGACTCACTATATAACATTCATGTGTTTGTAGCGGGGATAAACATTCTGACGTTGCTATGTTCATATAGTCAGTTTGATTGGGTGTTCACACACAGAAAATGAATGAGGCAAATGTTTTTTCCTCCTTACTTTTATTTCCTCAGGTCGAGTACATTACTGTTTCTAAATGTAAACAAACACGGGAATAGAAACGAACTACTATAGAAGACCAGGAACTTGCATTCCATTTCCGTAATGACAGAAGCCTGTTGTTTTCACCTTTTGAACTTGCCCATTGTGTAGGAATACTAGGTCGTCATGGCTACTACCATCAACGAGTGTGTGTACGTGCATTTGGGTATGCCTGGCTTGTGTATAGGTTGCCGTGGAAACTATTATAATGTTGCCACTCGACCGTATCCATGCCTCCCGGCACACAAGCGTGGATATCTGCACCGATATAGAGAGCAGCCATAGACAGCGAACCAGCAGAGAGTCTGCCGCCCTCTTGAACGCTCGATGAAAAACTCACCTGGAAAGCTTTCCAGGATCGACACTCTCGAGCTTCCAGGCCACTCTCATGGGAAGGGCATTTTTACATCGTGTTGCCCTTCTACTGCCTGTCATTTTACGCATAATGATTTCTCACTTCAACAACCAAAAGAAACAATCATTTTGGAATTTTGTATCAGTATTCTTCTTGTAAAACGAATTTCACTTACGACCTCTCATATCGGCACCTATTTCGCCGCCTACTCGCCTACTCGCATGATAACGAAGCTGTGCGTTGCGCGCAAAGACCTACTTGTACAGCCCTAATACCTCCTAAAATTGAGCTAAAATGAAGGAAAGAGAGTAAAGCTAAACTATGATGTTGTGAACACTTTGGGAAGTTGCGAGTATATTTTTCCGTTACTGGAAGTGAGTGTATCATTATTGTCCCTATCGCATCCTGCAGTGGTTAGAATATGGAACTAGCGCCCTCTGTAAGCTCACTCTAAAAACAGATTGGTTAAAACAACCAATCAATCCGATTGGTTCGACACATAATAAACCAATATGTGGCTGTTTCAACCAATGTTTGGTTAGAAGTTAACCAATCTGTGTTTTGGGGTTTTTTTAGTGTTGGCAGCGGCGGGAGACTGAGCCACGTGTCCGGGATAGACACGGGGCATATAGGTCAATTACCGTCCTGATACCTGACCACCGTGATAATCGTCACGTACCTTTCACAATCACCATCGCCACCGCTCGTGCCAATATCACCAATCACTTCACCATGCATATGCCAACATCATCAGCATCCCCCCCCCAAAAAAAAAAAACCCGCAATAGGCCTATCGAACGTAAATAATTCAGCATGCACAAAAGTCACCGTAAATGTTTTTGTGAATATTAAAGTATGCTACAACATGTTGTAATGTGACAAGCTTAAATTTCTGAATTTCCGAACCCCGATTAACCACAATATACTGCTACGTAATCATTTTGAATAGCAGAAAAGGTATCGTTGAAAAGTTAACATGACTTGCATCGGCAGGTTTTTTTTTTTAATGTTCTCCGATCAACAAAATTCAATCGATGTTGTTCAAGTGTTCTCACCGACAATATTATCATTTTAGTTACCGTTTACTGGGCGAAACCAGGAAGTGTTTCGAAACCTCGGCCTGGTCGGCAGACTAGGCTTTCATATAGCAAGTTTTATGTTTTCATGAACCTGACGAGATCCATTTTCTGCTACCAGGCCTAAGCATCAAATCATAAAGAAATATTAGATTATAATGTTCTGCCGTATATCTTACAAGGCTCCTAGCTGCGTATCGTTTACTAACCGTTGAGAAGCCGAACCAGGGTGAAGCCGAGATTTTGGAAAGGGTTGTCACGTTTCCTTGTTGGAGTTGCAGTCAGCTGACCGCATGGGTCAGGCAAAGGCTCCCGGTAGACGAGATCGAATGGACGCGGTCGGGCTAGCTACACCGTGACAATGAACTCTGCAAAGGATTGCGATATTACCAACCATCACAATTTACATCCACTTGTGTTTAATTAAAGAGACAATCACAGTGCCGAAAAACATTCAACGCACGCCAAATACAACCACCACGAAAACCAAAACATACCCTATTAAGTATTATGCACCACCTGCACGAAATAAACCGTGATTAAAAAAAAAAAATCAGAGGAACTTAAAGACGGAAATTCTCTATTTTAAAGTTCACAAATTCCGTGATTGCTGTTTTTTTCCGGTCTCAATTGTTTTCATCTGCGATTTTTAAATTCCGGATACGATTGCTTTCGAAATGTATAAACTTCAAATTGAATGTTGCAAGTGTTGTGCATATACCTTTAAAGAGGTTGTACTTGAAGCTATCTATAGGTCTATGTTCTCTTAATGGCAAAATATTCAGTGTGAGATCACCGTCAAAGAAAAGGTTCAGTTGAAATTGCTATTACACAGATATATAGGCTGACAGATGTGGCCGGTACCGCTTAGATCAGAACTCGACAAGTACCATTGCTTAGAAATAACTGTTTATACAATGGACAACCTTTAAACCATTCTGCAACTTGCAAGAGTTCAAAAAAAAGGGAAATGTCCCTTCCTTCTAACCCGGAAGTACATGCACAATCTGGAGTCTGTGTATATCATCATGATGACATCCTGTTTGGAAAAACCCAATCGCGGTGCGGGGTGTAACTCAGTGCTCCATCCAAGTGCCCGGAACAATGGGCAAGCGCACGGTGTAGGATTGGCTCAGTTCCGCTGGTGTAGTGTAGCTAACTGTGACCGTGATTGATAATCCTGCAGGCCTTGGTAATCGTCCATAGAGCATTAATATAGCTCTTCAGTCATCTGTTTTTGTAGGCAGCTGTTCAGCAAGATGGCGTTGGAGTCAGCTCGAATCGGGCGTCGCCCATCACAGTGCTGCTTCGCGATTGTCCAAATCATTTTCTTGTTGCTGATCACATCTGAATCCATTTGTAAGTTCCAACCTTTTTTTACTCTTCACTAAAAATTTCTTCCATGCACACTATATAGCGATGGTGAGCTCACGCAAGAAATTTAATTCAGTGGATATAATGCATCGCTGTTCTACCGCATGTCGAGTTCAATGTAGGGGACCAGAAGTGTAACAACGCTTATTTTCGTTGCTCATAATTATGGAGACATTCCTGAGATTCAAGGTCACGTGTGTCATGTATGTCTGCTCCCTTGCCGTCAAACACCGAAATGACTCGTAGCCTAGACATCTAACCCGTTTATCGTCGGGCTCGCTATTCTTTCTGTTGAATTGGTGATTACTTTTATTTTAATCTATTGGGCCGGACCAGGACAATTCTCCTTGCAACATTTTGATGTTTTTTTTATGGAATTTAATACCCCTACACCTCAATATGAACACTACAAGTCCTTGATGTTTTTTAGTCTTTGGAGGACAAAAATTGTTTGGCCACTTTTTTTTTTAGAAAACAAACAAACTCATAGGTTCCTCCCCTAACAGAAACATTGTTTCTACAGAGAAGGCGTGATTGTATATTTTTTGTACTAATATATTATTGAGGTCGAAAAAAATATTTCCCGGATGAAATATCCGTAGAGATTTTGTTTCATTCATTACGTTTCATTTTGATTTATTTTTGTTCGTGGGGGAAGGAGGATTTGGGCATATTCGCGTATGTTCTCGCTAAGCAGGACGTCCGCTTTGCATACAATTTCTCCTCAAATTTCCGCAAGTTCCTTCACTCTTTCTCAAATTTCATCCGGTTTCACGGAGGCAAGGCATACATTACCGGAAGAGAGGTCGTGAATGCCTTATCCCATAAACCAGCACGATGGGAAGAGAATCATCCCAGAATTACCGCAAGCCCGTCCTTCAAGATAATGGTAATGGTTAATGCGCGTCGGCATTCTGAAGTGAGCCGTTCATGTCCTAGTCCAGTCGGCTGCAGTTGCCCCCCCCCCCGGACTCATAACATTACCAACAATATGATTTTGCGCATCTTCTTTTTTTCCCTTCCCCCTTTTTTTGTTGCTTGTCCGGGGGGGGGGGGGGCAAGCGCCCCCTTGGCCCCCCCTCGCAATGCCCATTGTTGGTGTCACCCTTAGTTTTTAATTAAAAGTTCATTTTATTTTCGAGGTCAAAACAGCGGGGGGGGGGGGGGGGGGAGGGGGGGGGGTGGCCCCCCCATAAAAAGTTCGAGCCCCCCTAGTCACCGCCCCCCCCCCCCCCCCCACTGAAAATTTGGCATTCGGAGGAAAGCACAACCATATGAGTTACCATGTTAAGCTAGAAGAACACAAAGTATCTTTTTTCGGCGATTTTGTGCTATTTGTTTTTTTCGCGAGTGGATGTTAATTATTGTAACGTCCCTTGAAAAGCGAATAGCCGAGTCATTGTCTTATATATAGCCATGATATATGTTTGGAACAGCTCCCCCATGGGAAGATGGTGTCCAGCCCCCCCCCCCCCCCCCCCCCACCCCCTTCACACTTGATTTTACGGACGGCGGGTGTCCGGTGAGAAAACCCTGACTACCTGTCAGCACGGTTGGGCGCCCCTCCATTGTAACCTCTAGCCCCCCCCCCCCCCCCCCCCCCCCCCGAATGAGAACCCTGGCCTACGCCGCTGGGTCACAGATAAAATCGTGTAAAAATGTGTATTTTGGGTTTAGGTTGAAAGAGAATGCCCCTTTTAACTGCCAATACATCGTTCAGATAATCCGACACAGAGCAGTTTATATAATAGCGCTATAGCGTGCCCGATTGGTTTCTCCATTGGAGGGGGCCTTTTGAGTGCACAGTGATCACGTCTATGGGTGGGGGCGCCACCCTTCTTCCAAAAACTCTTCAAAGCCCTCTTCCAATTTCCCCGAACGTTAATCGTATGGACGATAAGACAATCAGTTTTCTTTGATGAAAGTTATAGGATTTTTAAATACCTTTAATTAATAGACATTCACTGAGTGATCACACCAAAAATACCAACCAGTCACTTTCGTCTGCAAAGAAAAATCTGCATTGTTTCGCAGTATTTTATCGGCAAGTGTCCAACATGGAATTCCTTCCATCACTTTGACACTATATCTAGTGTTTAAGTTCTGTTATGGATGTTCATATTTCCTTCCATACAGGCATTCATATTATGCTTTGAAATAGCTGTACTTTCTTTATATAGCTTGCTCAAAATTAATTTTAGAGTCTGTTTTAACGCCATAACATAAAATATTCCTTATGCAACTGCCTAATGTCATTGAACATTGTGTATTAAACTTTTGTAAATGCATAGTATTATACACCAAATTGAATTCTCGAGAGGGACTGAAATCCAAAGCTGCCTATTTACGTATGAACCGGCCGGGTGAAATTTGCCTGCCCATTTTAAAGCGAATTTGAATGAACAATATTGAATGAACAAGTTGAGGAATTGGACGGGAGAACCTATACTAACGCAGGCATGGGTTACCATTGTATTGAGACATCATCAATCGCAAGCAGGAACATGCAAGCAATTCTATTCGCAACTTGACTATTCTTCCGGAATCGATCGCGAGATATCAGACTGTATCCAGGCACTGATGAAATGGAGACTAGTATGTTAACTGATTCTGAAGAGCTCATCATGGTTGACTTGAAACTGCGAGTGATTTGTTAAGGATGTCTGACATGCATGTGGCATCCTGCCAACATTATAATTAGCTTCGATTGTTTGGGCAGACTGTGTGAATTGGTGTAGTGTCATGATGTCAATAATATTATACTCGGTCCAGTATAGTGTGAAATTTGCAACAACAAAAAAACGTTCGGACCAAGATCACCCCTGGTGGCTCGCTTCCGGGACCCTTGAATAGCTAGGTGAATTAACGTGTAAAAGTTCTAGAATTTGCAATTATTTGTGGTTCATTGACTTCTTAAGAAAATCACCTGTGAATAGGGCCCTTGTAAAATCGTTACTAGCATATAAAATTATGGAAACTGATATATTGCTTGACTTGAAAGAGAAATATCGTGCCAAAAATTGACCTCTCACTTCCGAAAATCTTAAATACATGCGGGCTATTGCAACTTACAGCTGCCTGCCCCTAAATCACTGTACGTAGATGATAATTTCTCAAATGTTGTGGCGGTCATTATAGGTGAAAACTGAAAGTGAAATAGAAAACCAAGATGTCTTTTAAGATTTTCAAGTTGAGTGATTGAACTTAAAGGTCTCATTGGTATTTAAGAAACAAATCTAGAATTGACCGTTTATAGGGTTGCCGAACCTATCGGCTGCTGTGATATAGGTAAATCGTCGAAACGTTATTCCGGTACATTCTCGTTATCATGCATGCCCGTTATAGTGGCGATATGAAAGCCAACGTCCACGGAGCAAAAAGACCTAGGAACAACAATGCCTGATGTGAAAGGTCTTAAAATGAAATTCGTTTTTATCCATTTGCAAGTGATTTTTTCTTCTTAATTATACTTGAAGAATACCAAGATAAAACTCCAACATGAGTGTTTAAAATGCCCATAGACGGGCCACGCGAGGGTCCGGACGAAAGCTCACCGCGTGAGCTTTACTTTCATCAGGCTCTATTGTGAATGCCTCAGTGGCAAGATTAGAACAGGGACAGATTACGTGTCAAACTTGGCTTTGTGATTGCACACGTTTAAAACTGCAAGAACAATCAAAGAAGACTTAAACCTGTTTTAAAATACACGTGGTGATGTAAAATAATAGTTTGAAAGGTATAAAATAAAGATATTTGACTTGGAATGAGTATACCATCACTCATTTGCTAGGGGACATTTGGGTCGGACAAACATGACAGTTAAAACGGCTTCTCAAACTGTTGGCAATCCAACTCCAAACATTGGAAAATTTGGGTACAAACAGCAAGCAAGTGCTTATTTTGTATCCTTTGAGACCCGTGGTATTTTTCTTATCAGTGATTTCACAGACTATTACATGCAAAACAAAACTATTACATGCTGCGTTGGTTACAATATAATGAACTTTTATATTGACTTATTTTTACCGTGATGTTGTGCGTAATTTGCATATATTTTGTGTGCTTTTTTTTTTTTTTTTGACTTTTTATGTGGTTGTTTTTATCAGATTCAATTGTCTTTTAACCCGAACCTCACATTGACCTTACTGCAGGCACCGGGCAAGACGTGGGTGCGACGCAGGCTGCAGACGAGGCAGATCAGGCCCAGCAACCACGCCTAGTGTGGACAGAGCTCCGTATAGTGGACCGCCGTGCTCGCATCCAAAGCCTGCCTGCCGATCCGGACCAGTATATCACAAGCTCGGTGAGCGCTTTTGGCTGTTCAATCTTACCTTTCCGTTTGCCTCGTTCCATTTTTCTCAGTCGAAGCCTGGCCGTCGTCTCCAGCCGGCTTCGGCCTCAGGAGACTGAGCCCAGGCCCAACTTGGCTGATTATAGAAAGGCCTATGTTCTGCCTCACAAATATGCAGAGCAACAAATCTTATACAATCTGAACAACGTTTAAAGTGTTTCCATTTGATTTGAACATTAAAAGCTATACATGCACTTGAAATTGATTCTGCAAAAACGAAGCCGAAGTTCAAGCAACCCATAATCTTCCACACTTTTGTAATTCGACAGTTTCTCCCGAATTTGCAAATTAACGCATTCTGGTGGTATCTTGAATTAGTTCAGTGTGGTTAATCAGTTTTTTGGATGCTGGAATACTTTGTGAATTGTGAATTGACCAGCTACTGCTTGGTACCAACAGCAAAAACAGAAACAAACGCTACGGCTGTGACAAAGCCAAAGACAAGTGTTGACGTCATATAGCCTTAGTCTTTTGCGTCATGATGGTGAGGTTGCTGATTAAAACGATGATGATGGTGGTGGTGGTATAATGACTCGGGGTAGGGGATGATAACGACGCAGACATTGACAGTGACAAGTGACATTGTGTCCTTTCTTCCTGCCCAAGGTAATTGCGTCCAAGTACTATTACGAGTTGACGCCTGCGCACTGGATCGCCATCGCCAGCGACTATGACGACGGAGTGGCTTTCTGGAGCGACGCAAACAACAAGAGAATCATGAAGGGAGGTCTGCGAGAGGGCGCTACAGCCACAGGAATATTTGAAGGCACTTCATCCACCGTCGACGGTAAGACTCTAGTTTTTTTCACTTCCCAAACCATGGCTCGGTCTCAGCTTTAATAATAATAATAATATCGGAGTCTTATATAGCGCACGTATCTACCAACAATTAGGTACTCAAGGCGCTGGAGAGATATGTCTATTACTAAAGAAAGGTAAATAAAGATTATGAGAAATATGAGACCCATTATGTAGCACCTTATAAGGATTCACAAGGTGCTGCGGCGCATATTGCAGCCACTGCCAGAAACACCTGGGCAAACCCCTTCTCTTAGCGATAAGTGTTACTGGGTTCTTTAACGTGCATTACACAACACACGGGACCTACGGCTTTACGTCCCATCCGAAGGACGAAGCAATAATGGTACTAAAGTGCCTTGCTCAAGAGCACAAGCACCATGTTCCCACGGTCAGGATTCGAACCCATGTACCACGGCACACGAGTCGAACACCGTAACCATTGGACCACAGCACCCCATAGCTTTGGCCTTATGCTTCATACAGTTTAATTTTTTTTAGGTCCCTGGGATGAGATCCATTTCATGTTCTGCTACAGAAACATTACATTTCATCGCCTAATCTGTATGAGGTGAACGTTGGGAGTAGGCCTATTATTCATTAGTCTGAGTATTAACCGTTATCCACGGAGCCAAGTCTCCTGTATAACGTCTGATATGTCAAAGCGTACAGATTTATGCGCTCTCGCGCCCCAGCCAATCGGAGTCGACTTTACTAAATCGTGACGTCATTTTATTCCCAAATCAGGACTAAAACTGTGATTGGTCAATTCGAATTCAGTGTTTTTAGTGCAACAACAACCGCGCCTGTGTCGTGTAACATAATACAGAGCGCGTGGCCACAGCCTTTGTTGCTGTGCCTATAATAGGTTTTTTTTTATCCATGTCTATGACGTGACAACAGGTGAATGACCTAAGACCCTGTATAGAAAGCGCCCGCAGATTGGTCAAAATCTAGAGGTCAAGATGTGGTTGTCTTGCATGATTAATCAGCGAATCTGCTTAAATGTTATTATTCATTTTGTTAAGATATGCTTCAAATATGATTTTGCATTGGACCGAGTAAGAATGAGACCAAGGAAAAACGGTCTAGGCTGTACAGGCTGAGTCAAAAAAAGCGGAACCCATAACCCACAAATTATATTTCATATTTAAATATATAAATATATATGTAGCACCAAACATAGTAATGACTGGAAATCCAATTTCATAAACTACTTTTAGATGGAAAAATAACTAAAATTGCTCAGTCCGTTCAAAGAATATCTCCATTTAAACGCAATGACTCTAAAACCTCTTTCGTCCAAAAATGCGATTTCAAGAATCGTCGTCATAAGTGTCTTCAAACATCACTAGCGATATAACCAATGTCAAAAAAAAAATCAATAAAGTCGTTTTGAAGGCACGTCTTATAAAAAAGTGGATTTTATAAATCATATTGTTTGCCTAACCAGGGTTGTTAATATAGATATTGTGCTCTACAGTTGTTGACAGTTGTTGAAACAAGTATTCCCCCCTCCGTGTCATTTTTTGTTGTTGTTCCAAACAATCAGAATACCAATGAATTGCCTTTTTTTGACGAAACTGGTTTTAGGGTCATTGCGTTTAAATGGTGATCCTTTGAACGAATTGAGCAATTTTAATATTTTTGTTTTCATCTAAAAGTAGCTTATGGAATTTGCTTTCATTATTATGTTTGGTGCTACATATTTTTTTAAATATGAAATATATTTTTGGGGGTTTGGGTTCCGCTTTTTTTTTTACTCACCCTGTATTTTCACAATACAGTCATGGTAAATGTAAAACCGAATCATCCCGTGTTGTTGAATGAGACGGACGGTTCTAGAGCCATAGAAGTGAAACTTTCAATAAAAACGTGTACTTTACAAATATTTACAATTGAACAGGATACTAAACCAATAAACCATTTCTAAAAGCTTTGAAAACTTAATTTACTTACTGAAAGTCATGCTGTTGAAACAAATAGAACATTCAGTTTCGTTTATTTTTATGTTTATATTTACTTCGTTTCGTCACTTGCACTTCTAATAAAACAAAATTTATCAAGAATATTTTTGTACGTTTACGAGATACATTGAAGGGTTCGAAATTAGCGGTGGCCCGCTAGCCAAATGCTAGTCAAAACAGCGGCGGGCTAGTCAAACTATTCCTTAAGTAGCCCGGTTGGCGAGTCAAAAAAAATTGGGATCCGACAAAGATATGAAAGGACAGAAAGAATTAAATCATCAAATTCAGAAAGCAAACCTGTATCAATTTGTGTATAATGTTATCAACTGTTTTAAAGGGTTAAATTATTAGATTTGTTTATTAAAAACACTGACAAGATTGCCTCAGAATACATCAGAAATCAGTTGAAAATGGAAAGAAAACCCCGAATTTTACTTACGACCTATTTTCGTTCCAAGGTCGCCCTTATGGATCACGCCTGTTTTCACATCGCATACTTGCGTGAGAACGAAAATGATAACGAAAATTATAAAGACGCGAGTATTTTACCTGCGTACCTCCAGTGGATTCTAGATTTATTCAGGCTCGTTTGTATCACATTTTAATGCAGTTTTATCAACGAACAGTTTAGATATTTGTAATTGAAAATAAATCCTTCAAATTTAAAACAAAAAAAGTGTCCTTCCCAAAAGCCATTTGAGTCTCCTAGTTAAGTTTAATATACGTTTTTACCCAATGACCGCCACAACAGTATTTTGAAAATTGTCATGCTTGAATGAGTGATCGAGTTTCACACGGAAGTTTTCGGAAGTGAGAGGTCAATTTTTGGCACGATATTTCTCTTTCACGTCATGCGAAGTTTTAGTTTCCATAAAAAAACTCTCACTTTTACACCTTAATTTCCCTTTTTGAGGAGCCCTTGATGGGGTACCACAATACCAGGGTCAACTTTCAGGCTATATACACATAATGCACATTATTGTTTATGAGACATTCTACAAAAGAAAAAAAACATGCCGGCTAGTGAAAATGCCCGCGGGCTAGTTAAGAGCCTGTTGCAGTAGCCCGGCTGGCTAGCAAACAAACAAACAAGTTAAGGTCGAACCCTGTAAATTGTACAAGTTTCAGTTCAAATTTATTTTTTTGTTTCATGTGTTTATGTAACTTTAGTTTCGCTAGTATAAGTTGCCATAAAAATGGGTTCAGTATTTACGTGAATTGTGCCGGATATATGGTACCATTTACCCACGTCTAAAATCTCGTGCATAATTGTTATTAAAATCCCAAATGACACCTTTTTTTTTCAAAGCAATCAGTTCCGTCTAATTTTTATATATTTATGTATGATTTCTATCGTCGGTTATGTTTTGATTTACGTTTGTTTTTACTTTTGATTTGAAACCTCTGTCCTCGTTTTCAGGAAGAGGATTTATTGAATACACTATGTTATCTTTTCTCTGGCCAATAGTCTGGCGATAAAACCACGAGAAGAGTTAAATAACTGCCGTTATCTTGTTGGAAGGCCTCACGACATCGCATTGAGAAACGGACGTGCAATTCACCTTTCTGTTGGATTCAATTCGTTTTGCAATCCCCTGACCGTACAGTAGTCATAAAGAATAAGTTGTGGGTAATTCGCTTTTCGAACTTTCCAACACCGGAAAATGTTATGATTTTTTTTTCTCAAGTAAACCCTGGAAAAGGGGGAATATCATTTTAAGTACCATTTTTACCTGAACATTTTGTGGATTATGTCATACCGATGCCAGAAAAAAAACTTATTCAATAAAAATTACGCTGAAGAGAAATGCGCCAGAGTAAATAAAATAATGTCGATTAAGACCATTCTAAAAGGGTTCATTTATGTAACACAGCTCATGTCAAGTGGTGTAAGCCTGGAGCAATGCTTTCTGGATACAACCACTCACTCCCCGACCTAACATCATCTACACTTGTATACACGAATTGAAAAAGACGAGATATCTGTTCATTAAAGTTTTGTAATTTTTTCAAAACTGTTTTCCCTTGTGAATTTGCCTTGTAATGATAATAGGCTCAGTCTGCAGATTTCCTTTAAAAATAGTTGGAACTTATACTTTATAGTAAATGTACTTTATATGATTTACTTGGGGAAAAAAACTCTTATTACAGGTTGGGGGAAAAAAATTGCGTCAACAAATGGATTGAAATAAGCCTAAGTGAACAAAACCAATAGTACTGCCAACAATGCAAGTGTTTTATGCCAAAATATCCTTCCTTGCAGACATTTAGGAGGAAGTCGCGCATGCTTTAGTAATTGACGGCACTGCCAAAACGCTATAAATAATACCATTTTTGTCCAGAGCATGAGTAATGGTCGTTTACAATGAAAGAACTACACACCATCAAAACATACTCCCGCGTAGAAAAACCCCACTGTTTGGTTAATAACAAAAACAACCAAACACTCGAGAAAAAAATCCCCGCTTTAGGCCTCACATTTTGAATAGCAGGAGGTTTAATTGTCATCACGGTCCATCGGTTTTGTTGAATGTGAAAACTATCAAAGACCCTTAAGCCAATGAACGTGTGTAAATTTGTCCACAGCGTACTTGAAAGTAAGTACATGCCCGGATCAGGGGGGGGGGTGCCCCCGCCCCCCCCCCCCCCCCCCCCGATTTTCCCGCTAACAAAAGTGCCCCTTTCGCGGTCATAAATGTGCCCCCTCGGTATGAAAACAAAACTGCCCCTCATACGTACACATGAAAACATTATGAAGGCGCTCAAAAATTGTTTCCTCTCTTGTAATGCAAACGTGCTCCCCAAAAGCACAAATACCCCTCGTGCATTAACAAGATTGTGAACCTTCTTGAGATCGAAAACTATCCCTCGAAAGCACAAACACCTCTCTCGCATCAAAAACACCTCTCTCGCGATAACTTGTCGAGATGGAAAACTGCCCCTCGAAATCACAATTAGTGGCCCATTCGCGACATTAATACTGTGCCCCTCTCAAGATGGAAAACTGCCCCTTGAAAGCACAATTTGTGCCACATTCGCAACATTAAAACTGTGCCCCTCTCAAGATGGAAAACTGGCCTGAAAGAAAATAATAGTGCCCCTCTCACGAAAACGGTCCCTTAACATAGGCCTAACTAGTCAAATTTAAGGGCGGACCCACAAAGGTTACTGCCGGGAGTGCCGGAGGCCGAAGGGGTCTCTCAAGTGAAAAAAATACCTTAATTGAGAACACTTACGGCTATTATATAGGCTTATTGAGACTCTTTCAGGAATCAGGAATAGGCCTACACTGTAATTTTTTTTTTACATGTATTCCTTGCAATGTGAACGAAAATAGTTTCACAATTTTCTCCTCTTTCATCACACCGACGGAAAGTGCCTTTTTTTCTGAGCAAGTGCCCCTTTTTGGTGATGCCCCCCAGTTTGAAAAGCGTTTCGCCGCCGCTGGAGCTGCAGTAATGTTTCTGTCGGCCTGCTCGAGGAAGACCATGCACAACCATTAGCCTATGCTTGGAAAGTATATCTAAATTCTAAAAGGGTAACACCACAGCTTCAGTGAATGTAGAAGTATTAGTATCAGCAGATTATAGGGACATTCCCAGAAAATTCCAATTCCAATCAAATTTTCACTAGGGGCAAAAAATGAATCAACATCATCAATGGTCCAAAGCTCGCATATGACTAGGCCTATACAGCTTATTATATTTCCATTCATCGTGTTAATAAAGAATTTGGAAAGCGCTGAATGCCTCGCCGCGCTCATTATGTGCACAACTCAAAGCGGGAAACCCTTCGTTGCGAAATAATTAGGAAAACACCCAAGAACCCCAGTGTGGCATCACCCCTGATTCATCATCGCATACAAAAGCGAGCATAAGTTTGCCGCTGCAGCGCGCTGTTGATTCAATGGTTCCCGGGGAGTAAACAAGGAAATACGCAACAGAAAAACAAGGTACAAGTTTGGGGGGAAAAAATGAAACTGACTTAAAATGAAACTGGCAGTGGGAAGGATTTTTTGATTGCACAATGTGTCTCATACATTGCAGCATTAATATGCTGCTTTGCCTCCATACTCCTCATCCAAATATTTTTGGGTTTTTTTTTCAGAGGTATGATTGTTATATTTTTTTTAACATTATTATCGAAGAAAATGGTAATTTCTGACGTTAATATAAAAAAACAAAGTGAATCCACCTCTCTACTTACAAAAAAAGTCATAAAAACCCTGTTCTTTGGTCTGTTTCGATTCGTTATAAGCGCGGGGGAAAAGTAGAAGAAAGATGTTTTACCAGTAAAATTTAGGCGTTCGTTAGCCTTAAATTCAAGGAGTGTGTCTGTTTGGGGTAGGTTGGGTGAAGTGACGAATGAAAAAAAATGGCATAATTTTTTTCTTACATCAAAATGGGTTGGCTTTATTCGCAGTTGTGAAAAGGTGACCGCTATATACTCTCTAAATGTAAAAGAGTAAAAACCACTTGTTACGAAAAGAGTTGCCTCCGTCATGCTCTTAAAAGAGCGGAAGTTCGTCTTTTAGAGTAATTTTATAGTTAAAAAAAAACCTATACAATATGAAAATTTGACTCTAAAAGTGAAAGGCATATGTCGGACAATTTTTTTTTATATACGAGGGGTTTTTCACTCTTTTACATTTATACGGTTCTTAAAAAATATAAAACTTCTCGGTGACTTTTCCTAAACATGTGGGCCATGCAAATTTATTTCCAGGCATAGCAGTTGATTGGCTGGCCAACAACGTGTACTGGACAGACGCCGCCTACAATTGGATAGTAGCTGTGGATTACAACATGACTTGGTTCCGGATTATCGTGGATGATGGACTGGAAAAGCCGAGAGGGGTCGCCGTCCACCCACAGTTAGGGTAAAAAAATAATTTAACAATAATTCCGCCCCACCGTCCTCCTCATAAACTCATGCACCCCGCCCAAACCCCTCAAAGGGGTCTCATTTAATCTCCAGCGTCGATTATGGATTGGCAGAATAACATAAAGTTATAAATTCGGCTAATAAGAGTCCCTTGCCTATGCCCTATTCTACCCGCTCCCAAGTGAACTTGAACAGACGGGGGAGGGGGTTCCCAGAGGCACCGCCTTCTGACTGTGAAGTGACTAAAGAGGGCGCTATGTCTTGTTTGAAACCCAGTCTTCGACAGGCAAATCATGTAAATATCTTTGTAGGGTACCAGACGGTTCTCTGTACAGCAACGCAGAAACGTGTCATCGCGCCGCGAATTTCGGGGAATTTTGAAAGTGTTTTTCGTTCACTTCTCCTAATCCAAAAAGTTTAATTTAAGATTTACTGCACAAGTGGAGATAACACAAAACCTTTATGTGAGGTACTAAGTAAGAGTATTTTATTTCTCTCATTGTGAGTATGGAGGCTGACACAGTGACAGATCATGGGCGTCGCGAGGGGGGGGGGGGCAATTGCATGAAGGGGGACACTTGCCCCCTCCCCCCCCCCCCCCCAGAAAACGAAAAAAAAAAAAAAAAGGAAAAAGAGGTGCAATGCCATATTACTGTTAACTTGATGGGGGAGGGGGTTAGGGCAAATGTAGCCCGACTGCTAGTCCGAAAATTTGGGACTCTCAATACTGTGTATGAGAGTCCCAAAACTTAAGGTATTGAAAACATGCAAAACAAGAAAATAGACTGGCACCTAAAACAACCAGTCCAACACAGCTTCAGTACTGCATCAATCAACCATGCCAACAGAATTGTAAGGCATGAAGTGGGAACTAGTCTCAATTTACTACACATTTCTCTATAGTCAAGCCACCAGACTATTGACACTGAATGAAGAGGTCAGTCTTTTCAAATAGTTGGACCATGGTAGGACATGTACCAGTCTAGTATTTAGCCCCATTTTGAAATCACTTGACTTCCCTCTCATGTGCAAAATATTGAAGAAATGTCTCCTTTAAAAATTGAATTGAGTCTGCAAACTTGGTTGGTGAAATACTGAGGACATTCTCTTTGCCCCAGTGGAATTTATGGAGAAATTTGCTGGCTAAACTGTGAGTAAATTGGGCCTGATTTAGTTTTGCACGTTTCAGAGCACTCCAGAGCCCTGTCTGCCCGACTGCATCTGGCCAAGACCTAGCTTGAGTGACTCCAGCTGACATGCTCATATTCATTCACATGTAGCGCTGGAGGAAGGCCTGTGCGTTTCCATGTGGTAGCAAGAGACCCTAAAAAAATGGCCTCTCCCAAAAATTGTTCATTTTCACCTCTAATATCCCACCCCAGAGTTCACCCACATACCTCATACATTCAGCAGTTATTTACGAAGCCTACTGATCGATTTGAAACAAGACCAACAAAAAAAAAGTGAAAAATCTTGACGATTTCGGTGGCTTGTCCGTAAAAATACGCCTGTTCCAACGGCTGTCTTCCATTTTGTTTTGCTAATTATATTAATGTATGCATCACGTGATGACATAAAAAAAATCGGCGCGCACGATGTATTTGGGTACCACACCGCTTTCAGGCGCCGCAAGTGAGTTCAATTTTCGTCTGGTGCGTTGCCGTGGAGAGCATTCTCGTTGTCTTGCTTTCCGCGACAACGCACCAGACGAAAATTGAACTCACTTGCGGCGCCTGAAAGCGGTGTGGTACCCACATACATCGCGCGCGCCGATTTTTTGATGTCATCATCACGTGATGCATACATTAATATAATTAGCAAAACAAAATGGAATACAGCCGTTGGAACAGGCGTATTTTTACGGACAAGCCACCGAAATCGTCAAGATTTTTCACTTTTTTTTTGTTGGTCTTGTTTCAAATCGATCATTAGGCTTCGTAAATGACTGCTGAAATTATGAGGTATGTGGGTGAACTCTGGGGTGGGATATTAGAGGTGAAAATGAACAATTTTTGGAGAGGCCATTTTTTTAGGGTCTCTTGCTACCACATGGAAACGCACAGGCCTTCCTCCAGCGCTACATGTGAATGAATATGAGCATGTCAGCTGGAGTCACTCAAGCTAGCCAAGACCACTGATCTCTATATAAAGACTGGATAGCTAATACAGAGCCGCACAATGTACGAATTTGACGCCATATTGGTGAGACCGGCTGGTGATCTACAAAGGACATGTTGCCGTTTTTATAGACAGCATGATTTCTTTTGTAACGTCGCGGTTCACTTGACTTATATTTTGACCACCATCACTGATCAAGGTTAACTACATTTTTTCTAACGTCGTGGTTACTAAAATGCCGCAAATATAACTTTTTCGGCGTTTTGAAATAATAATCACTACGGAAATGTGTCCCTTTTAGAACATCATAATATGTGTACGTGACCAAAATGCGCGTCAACTGTTGATACAACGCGCGCGTATTTACGCGTAGAACGTTCGTATTATACGCGGCCATCTTCGTGAGACCGGGGGCGAATTGGTCAATGTGCGAAGTCTACTGTGTGAATGTTGTATGCATATCCGCTATCCAGTCTTTATATAGAGATCAGTGGCCAAGACCCGTGATTTTTTGGTTCGCTCGGAGCGCGCTGCGGGGGGTACGGTACTTGCAATTGTACGCATGCGCATACTATCATTTCGCTTGTACCGTAGCCCCCGCGGCGCGCTCGGAGCGAACTGGAAATCATCGCTGGATCATATGCGTGCATGTTTCAAGTGTCAGTTTGGCTCAGTGTGGAAAGGGCATATTTTTCATCATTTTGGCCAAAAAAATGACAAAATCCAGCGATGTTTGTTCTGCGCATATTACGTGAGTATGTCATGAGGTGTAGTATGGAGTTTGGGGCAAACTGTGCAGCGGTTCTGTGGGAAATGTCTGCATTTTGATGGACGTTTTTGTACTTAATTAGTGTTTTGTGCTGAAAACAATTTTGCGGGGTTCTTCATCTATGAGGCTCCACTACCATAGTTCTAGGAGTAGGTTGTAATTTCATAAAGAAACTCATATCTTTTGAAAAAAACGTTCTTTTATCTAAAAATCTTCATCCATCTGGCCAAAAGACGACTTTCAGTCATCATCCCCCACGAATATCGTCCCGAAAATGTTCCTCCATGCGATTTCAAAATGGCGGCCGCGTTGTAATATATGCATTATACAGGCATGCAACTTTTCCTCGGATCAGCTGATTTCCTCTTTTTTTACTTCTCATGTGTGCCATTGAAAATAGAAAAACACTGTACAAAGTCTTGGAAAGATTTGAATTTCCTCTTTTTTTTGCGACTTCCCAGTTGCATGCCTGATTATGCGGGTGCACTTGAGCAAGCTTATGAATATGCATAGTTCAGTTCATTACCTCGTGTTTGTATGGCCAGCCGCCCCGCGCGCCTAACAAACGTCATGAACTGAATGCATATTCATAATCTTGCCCAATGCAAAGATTGTAGTGATCACTGAAAGGCACTCTTGAATGCATTGCCGCCTCTGCCTGGTGGTTTGTTTTGTGGACACTCGGAATAAAATGCATACTTAGTTTACCATGTGTTTACCATGTGTTTATGAGTGGAAGAAATGTGTATTGCCTATTGGCCCAAACATTTTTGAAAGTGCCACGCCCATCCCCATCCCCATCCCCATCTCCATCTATTATTGTTTATATTCAAAAATCCATTTGTTTGCTGCTTGTTTGTCTTTGTGTCTAGCTATCTGTTTTGGACAGACTGGGGGAGCAGACAGACAATAGAACGATCAACACTCAGCGGAGAAGACCGTCAAGTCCTAGCTGACACTGGCTTGTACTTCCCCAATGGAATTACCATTGATTACACAGCCAACAAGTGAGTGCAATGTCATGAAGTTGGAATAATAATCCTAACCCAGTCCAAAAGATTTGAGACACTTTAAGTTTCAATATTGTGAATTGAGAGTCTCAAAACTCAGACAGTTGACACACATGCAGTTTACATGAAAGTGGTGCACACTGCACCAGTAAAGAATGTCAACGTAATCATCTCTTACTCAGTCATTATTACGTATCTCCCACAAGTCTAAGGTCATACAACTTTTTTAAATGAAAACTGAAACTGTTTCTTTTGCTTGATGAACTTTGTGTGCTGAAGTATTATTCATAGCTCCTTGTTCGTAACTAGAATCAAGCTGGAATTGTAACTGGAATTGTAAATGTTTTTTTATTTTTTTTTTATTTTACTTTTTAGAAATGTGCATAGTTGAATAAAATTTTAAAAAGAAATTTCAATAATATTATAAAACGTAAAATGTAAAAAAAAAACTAAACTAGAGATTCGCGTTTGTTGTTACAAACGCAGAGTGGTTGGGTAGACAACTATTTTATGAAACACTGTCCAGTTAAGTTATGAATATTAAGAACAAAGGATCACAAAATTAAATCCTTTCTAGGACAATCAATTATTGTGTTTAAAAATGCATCTTTAATGCTGTGATAAATTTTAGTAAACATTCTATGTACACATACAAGTTATTTCCGGCTTGATAACGTCATTAGTCAAAAACGGAAAGTGAATACTGATTTAGTTCGGAGTGGATGTTAATTGTGAAGTTAAGTTACATATCAAAATTTGGAAAATATAAGTGTATGTATTTATAACACCGAGCTTCCGGTTTGATGACGTCACAGTATTTTGAAGCCAAAGGTGAGCATTGTAATGGTATCGTTATTTGGGCTAAGATATACGACATGGATCAAATGATAGAATTAACTTTTAAATCTGATCGTTGGCATATTCTCATAGAAGTAACTTCCGGTCTGATGACGTCATGAATTTGAAACCTTGCCAAGTTATCTGTTGTTAATCACAGAATATCAAGGGGCGCTTTGGTAAAATTTGAACCTACAGTATTAAAATTAAAGAAATAAAACCACTATTTTATGTGCCGCTAGGGGGCGCCCTTTCAGATGATGTCGTCACCACACTGTTTTTTATGTCTGGCATTCCTCACTAAACACTTTCATAATATACATGTGTATGTCTGTAGTAAAATGCTTCCGCTTTTGAGTTATATTCAGTTTTTATTGCACTTCCGTTACACCGGAAGTAAAGGTCAAGCGGCTTTGTGTCCGGAAACACGAAATGTTTCTCAGGGCATAGTCTACAACCTCATGAAAAAACGAACATGATACTCTATTTAGTTCAAAAGATATAACGCAAACTATTTTGTCAAAATTTGCCCTTAAATCACTTGTAATTTGATACCCGATGACGTCATGATGATGTAACAAACTTTATAACATCTTCATAATATGGTACAAGTTCACACAAGGTTTTTTTATCATACCATAAACCGTTCGGAAGAAATTTTGCTTTGTTTTGATTTCAGGCTAACGTCTTCATTTTGAATTTACCTAACTTTGACCTTCCGGTAGACAGAAGTAAAGGTCAAGCGAGTTTACGTGCGCGACAAAAAATGTGTAGCAATTAATGGTCTATCTGATTACAGATTACAAACATCATTGATTATTTAGTTCAAGAGTTAAAGGTGAAAGTAATTGGTAACTTTTTCAGCTAAAATCACTTGTAATTTGACACCTGATGACTTAATCATGACGTCAGAGTAAGATGCACCTTCGGATGAGGGTAGATAAATATTGAAAGTTACAAGTTCATACCATAAACCGTTTAGGAAAAAACCCGTGGAGAAGTATTGTCCAGAAGAAAAAAGAAAAAAGAAAGATTAATCGTAACAACTCCAAAGTGTGGTCGGGTTGTGCCCGGCCACTCAAAAATTCAACCACCAACCCTTGCAAAATGTTAGGGTCAGGGTTACCAGAAACACAGCTTTTTTGGCTTAATCACTTCCGCAGAGGGTTTACGGAAACTTGGCCATTAGAATTCTGAATTCCTTTATATTTTCCATGTTGAAATATGTGGGAATATTTTGGTGATTTGGGTTGGCATAATTGACCTTTTCAGGTTTTTGTCTACATTTAAAGTCCCATTGTGGGCTTGACTCTAGGATCAGGAAGATGGTGTCTTTACCCTAACCATCCCAGATTCTTCATCCAGCTGGAAAATATTAAAAGATTGAGAAAAATACGGTCTAGCCACTTGCACTATACATGGTGAAATTATGGTTTTTAATTCAGACCCTGAGTCCTTCCACCTTTGTCTCTGTCACCCTGCATAGGTTATACTGGACTGATGCAGACCCTACGGGCAGCCGTTTGGAGTCATCCAACTTGAACGGCACTGATCGCAGGACCGTTTACTCCCACCAACCGGACCAGGGCCACTTCTTTGATGTTGCCGTCTTCCAAGTAAGTCAACAAAGCATCTCTGAAAGTCATGGAATGGTAGTTTGCCATTTGACTGTTCCTTTTTCCATAAGACATTCTTTTATCGGACTGGACCACAGCAATGATCCCATTTACCGTACAAAACTTGCAATTCAAAGGCAACTCTGTTCCTCGCGGAACGTTCCAAGTCAAGCAATTGTCAAATTTAGTCCTGAGTTTATTCAGCTGTTGTGAGATATAGAAACATACCTATACACTGTACAGGCTGTCTGTAGTACCTCTGAAGGACTTTCACAATGCCAATCCTGCAGATGCAAAACAGGAAATTGTAATGTAGCCAAAAGGAAGTGGTCATCTGAAGGAACTTTTTTTCACGAAACAAGTCGGAAATTTGGATGCACTTCCTTGTACTGACAACATATTTAGAGCATATATGAAGGACACTATAATGTGTACATAGAGCTGTTGCTAAAATAAATTGTTTTTTTTTATTTATCCACTGCATCAATTCAATATGTACAAATTATATAAATGATTTGTGCTATGGCATTACCAGTTGCTTTATACAGAGTTATAAATGTGTTGTCCAAAATGTACACCTGCTATAACAAAATACGATAAAAATTTTCAGAAAATTATTTTAATTCTGAAATTTCATTTTATTGGAATTTGGCCCTGCACAAAAACAGTAATGACAATTCTTGTATGGGATTCTGGTTATTTTGTCCTTCTGTAAATAACGACATAGGAGAACAAACCACAAAGAAGTTTGTAATAACCTCTCCTTAAAAAAACGAAAGTTCTTAGTTCTTACTTAGACACTTTTAAGATTAATGATTGTATACAGCCAGAAAATGAATTGATTCAAGTCAACATAAAACTCAGAAAATTTCAGAGTCCTTCCATGCAGCAGCAAACAAAGAAAAAAGAAACCCAAAATACAAAACGATCAGAAGAAATGTTACATTTTGTGTATTGTGACATAAAAAAAAGGTTAATTGTTGTCCTTGATTTTGTGGAAAAGTCGAAAACTTGTTTAAAAGCATGATTGAAATAGGAAACAAATTGGATTCTTCAATGTATCAAAATTCTATGAGGGCCAGTTTTTAAAAATTAAAGCAAAAACTTTGCAAGCCAAAACTTTGGGATTTTCCCAAATCACATGACACTCATGATTCCAATTGATTTTGTTCTTGTTTTTTTGGGTTTTTTTTATATTTTTGTCCTGTTTTCAATGAACAGAACTATATCTTCATCAGTGACTGGTACAATGGCATTCGTTGCATACGAAAAGATACCGGAACCCACTACTTTGCTCTGAACATTGGCGGACGGCCATTTGGACTGACCCTACATGGACCGGGGCTGTTACCAGGCAACTCATGTGAGTTTGGACATTGGATGTGTCTTTGGTTTTTGTTTAGATGGGTCCAAACCAGCCAACTGACCCCAGCAAGCTCGGCAGCTAAGAGGTTAAGATGCTTACAAGCCGGAGGGTTAGGGTTCAAATCCCACCCAAGTAAACCTGTGCTTTTCTTCCCACAAACTTTCACATTGCACCGAGTTCAATTTTGTGTGTGTTTTTTTCATGATTGTTTATTCTTTAAGGAAATCCTGATACAGTGGAGTTTAGGCTGCCTATAGTAATCAAATGTGGCATTAAAAAGATAACTGTGTGCACAGGTTTTCAAATGAACCACATGGGGAAACTGAGTTGGTGAATTATAACAATTGAAAAGTTGAACGAAGAAATTAACTGGAGCAGGGCTTGAACCTGCGACCTCCGGATTGCCGTTCCGGTGCTCTACCAACTGAGCTATCCAGCCCTATGTTGGCAGTTCCCCAATTAGACAATATCTTTGTTCAAGGGGTGCTAGTCTGAAGTCATAAACCACTCTGCCATGCAGCCAGGGATCACGCCTGAAGTCACAATACAGACCTTGGAAATAGCAAAGGAGGATCATTCAGAGAGGATATGGCTTTTTAGTACAAATGTTTATGTTGGCGGTTCCCCAATTCATTAATATCTTTGTTCAAGGAGCGCTACTTAGAATAGAATAGAATAGAAAATACTTTATTAATCCATCAAGGAAATTACATTTGCTCACGGGTACGGTACAATAGAGAGTGAGTATTTTACAATCAAAGTTATACAATTTTACAAAAACACTAAAAAATACAATGCTATCACAAAAACACAATCAATTACAAAAATGTTATGATTAAGGTTATACAATATTGAATGTAATTAAAAACATGTAAAAACTACTTCACTATCACTGTCAGTAATTCTTAGATATAAAATAACTAACGCTTGAAATTAGAATTGTGAAGTGAGATGGCCCTCGGTATAAAATGATCGTGGGTGTCGCGATTTTGTCCCAGGTTTCGGCACTCTCATCCTACCACTACCAAACCGAGCAATATGCAGTTTTTAAACAACGGTGATAGACGGAGTCTACCTCATTCTGACCCTCACCGATCACCATTGCGGCCTGCCCCACCAACTTATTGATTTGATCCTGAGCCTGAGCAGCATTCCCTCCCCAACAGACTAGACAGTAATTCCATACAGAACATAAAATTGATTTATAAAATGTTAAAATCGAAAGGGTTCACTTTGAGTGTATTTAGCTTCCTCAGACAATACAATACAGGGTTTCATCCTCCCTACAATGTAATCCACATGATCATGCCACATTAACTTGTCATCTATTACCACACCCAGGTACTTGTATAATTTTGAAACTCTGTCAACCTCATTGCCTTTGATTTTCACAGACATTGGCTCTGTCTTTTTAACTCGAAAATCAATCAACATTTCCTTAGTCTTGTTGACATAAAGTTCTTAATAGTTACGATCACAATAATCCACGAATCGATCAATCTGGTTAATAAACATCCTGTCATCATCATGCTTTATAAATCCTACCATAGCCGAATCATCAGCAAATTTAACCAAGGAACATGACTCATCAGCGCTTCGACAATCTGCAGTATACAATGTGAATAGAAATGGAGCAAGTACGGTCCCTTGCGGAATTCCAGAGCTTGAATAAATTAAAGCTGATTGCACCTTCGATTCGCCCAAACTAATTCTAACAATCTGAGTGCGGTCAGTGAGATAATTCAAAATCCAGGTTATTAACGAATGAGGCACACTCTCCATGTTTAAAAGCTTTTGACAAAGAATATGTGGCTGTATTGTGTTGAACGCCGATGAGAAATTAAAAAAAACATAACCCCGGCAGAATAACCCTGACTGGCTTTTTCTTAGTGAGAATATAATTGTTCTAAGACAACCCAAATTGCATCTTCAGTACTTCTGTCTTTTTTATATGCAAACTGCATGGAATCGATAGACTGAACTACAAAATCTCTCAAATCACATATAACAAATTACTCACAAATTTTGATCAACACAGAGGTCAAGGCAACTAGACGCAAGTGATTTAGGCAAGAAATGGTAGACCTTTTTGGAACGGGAACAATACATGATCGTTTCTACATCTGTGGTATAGTCTGAGAATTAAAACACAAGTTGAAAATGAAACTGAAAATACCGGCAAGTTGACTAGAACAACATTTCAATATCCTAGGCAAAACCCAATCTGGCCCAGGGGCTTTTGATGGGTTCAGTTTTGAAAAATGACAGCGAACCTCTTCCTCAGTAGTGACCAAATTCCAGTCCTCAAACTTAGTGTCTGCCTAAATTTCTCTTAGATTGGCATTCTCGGCTAAAAAAGCTGACTTGTTAAAGTGGTTAAAATAGGCATTGAGTTCATTAGAATAATCAGCTGTAATTTTCGGTAATGGTATGGAATTTGATTTTTTTTCCCCACAATATGCACTCATACGCATACCTTGCCAAACAACCTTCATATTGTATTTAGTGAAATAATCCTCCACCCTCGGCTTTACTACTATCAATAACATCTCTAAGTTCTTTCTGCACTGATTTCGGTTCCCTTTTGTCACCTCGACCAAAGACTCCTTTCTTTTTATTGATCACATTTTTCACTTGTTTCGTTATCCATGGCTTATTATTTGCAAAAACTTTCGCTTTCTTTTTGGGGACCATGATATCAGCACGGAATTGTATGTAATCACTGACAACTTCTGCCAAGTCATTAGGGTTCTCATTAGCGTCCACAAATAGGTTCCAGTCCGTACAATCCAGGCCTCCCTGTAGCTGCATTACTGCATCTGGGGTCCATTGTTTTTTTTCTAGAACTCGAGGCTTCTCTCTCTTTACAAGGGGATTGTAAGAACTAACGAATGGCCAACCTTCGTCAAAGGGGCGGCGATATGAGCGTCCTTTACATTGGAATACATTAGGTCCAAAGTTGCTGTCCCATGTGTTGGGCAATCTACATGTTGATACAATTGAAGTGAAGTCTTCTTTAGTGAACAGTGGTTGAAATCCCCATTTACCACAATGAATGCGTCTGGAGAAGATTGTTGAATATCGTTGGTGACTTGGCCGAGTTCCTCTGCAGCAGGTGCAGCTACACTATGATCAGGATTGGGGAACCGCCAACATGGGCGTCGCTAGAGGGGGGGGGGGGGGTCACACCCCTCCATTAGTCAGTTTTATCGGCAAAATCATGGTGCTGTTGGCAAAATAGAAAATGAAGAATGGAGAAGGAAGGGGAAAGGAAGTGGGAAGAAGAGAAAATTGAAAATGTAACTAATAAACACAGCTGCTCAAAACCCTGCAGAGCTAAAATCCGGTTTTGCAACCCATGGCAAAAGATTGTACATTTGTCATGTCGGCAAGAGCTGCCGCACGAGGTAACTTTATATACGGCAGTTGACAGCTACAGCTGTGCAAAACACAAGCACGTGCTCGCTCGCAGATAGTTGGGTCATTCCACTGGGTTGGGGAACAATGTGTGACATATGACCATATTAAGAAAAGCATGAATGCCTTGCTAGCAGTTGCTCTACGTAATATTTGTTGTTGGGTGTTTCACTACTGCAGAAAGTTTGAAATCATTTCAATGTATTTTGCCAAAAATATGAGCAAAAAATGTCATTTTGGATGTGACATTGTCACCATGTCAGTGTTACGTCCAAATATGACATTTGTACCTTTTTTAAAATTTCTGCGAAACATTACCCAAATTCACTTTGCGTACTTCTTACTATACTTGCAACACAATAAGAAAAGCTTTTGTTACGGTAGTCAGGTATCAAACAAGTCAAATGGAGCAGAAATGATAGCTCGGTTGTGTGGACGTAACATTGACACGGTGTAAAACCCAAATGTCACACTTCCATTTAGTGATTTTTACACCGTTACATCCACTCTTGAGGTATTTTTTCTGCTATATTTGAACGCTGACTATACCAAAACAAAAGCTTTTCTTGGTGCCTAGGTGTCCAGTTGTAAATATGCAATGTCAGTTTGGGTATTTATTTTATATACGTGTAAAAAAGGGCCAAAAAAAAAATATTTGGATGTAAGGTTTGGATGTAACATTGACACGGTGTCAATGTTGCATCTGAATTAATGCATTTCGTCGGTTGCCCGGCAGAAGGGCATATGAGTTCTGACTCAAATATCATTTTCAACAAAACTGCACTGATTGGTCATATTGTTCCCCCACGCATATTATGAATCCAGTGTTCTCCCACGTATCGTACAATGTTGAAATTTTTCACACGTATCAATGATGAGTTTTGAAACAACCTGTATTAATTTCTGATGAATGTGTATAAATTTCATTAAAATACAGAAAGTTTTCTGCATATATGCCCTTTTGCTGTGAACATATTTAGTGATTACGCGCTATTGCATAAGGGCATACGCGCATATGCCCTTCTGCCGGGCACATGACGATTTTTGCTCTTATTTTTGTCAAAGTACTTTCAAATGATTTCAAACTTTCTCAAGTATTGAAACACCCTAAGACAAATATTATGTTGAGCATTTGTTTAGAACGCATTGATACTTTTCATAATATTACCAAATATATGGATGTAACATGCACTGCTTCCCAACCCGGTGGAATGACCCTGGTACAAATTGAGCTGATTCTTTGTGGCGACTCAAAATTATGGATCAATCTAAAGAAGGTAAATCTCGAAAGAGAGTCAAGCTACAGTTTTGATGTGATGTTTGTGATGAAATACATTGTACATCTCCCAAAACACAAGCAATTTCAATCCAAAAGTCAGGGGAAAAGGCCAGTAAAGCCTCAGACTGCACCACAGAGCATCTAGAATCCAAAAATTTCCTGGGCCCTTGAGCGGGCCCCGAACCACACACCATCAGTCAATTTCTTTGTTCAACTTTTCAATGGTGTGCACAGGTGTTAGAATGTAGAGAATGTAGAGAGTGATTCAGCTAACATTTTTATGTTGTGATGATTGGTTAAGCCTGTGTCTATGTTGTCTTGTGTCCTAGCTCTTTGTGATGCCAAGCCCTGTGATCAGCTGTGTGTCAGCGACCCTGCTGGCTTCAAGTGCCTCTGTGTGGATGGCTTTGAGCTTCTGGACGACGGGCGGACGTGCCATCGAGGTAGGCCTTCCTCAGCCGATACAAGTCATTCTCAATACACAATGCTGTCATTTTCTTTAAAATGTCCACATCCAATTCTAGACATTGCCAAACAGTATTCTTTTTTCATATACTAGACTAGGACTAAAAACCTGAGTAATATTAATTGTACACATAATCAAGAGCAGTTTCCAAAAACTCATATTTTTGTTTAAGGTATCAAGTCAACATATCCTTTTAGCTTGGGTGGGATTTCTGAAATAGCACCCTTCTATAGTTCTATATATGATATCCACAAAATGAAATTACTCAAAAGTCAGTGAAAAAAATGAATACAATCCTCAATCCTGCAAAATCCTCAAATTGCGACCATGTAAAAGTTGGATTCAGCCTCAATGCTCCCAGATCATTTGTTATTTCTTGAATTTGTTGAGTGAAGGGATGACCAATGCCTTAATCCTTCAAAAATCCTCCAACAATCTCTGTCATGGGTTGAGGCAGTGTCGATAAACATTCAGAAACAGTGCAGATGATATCAAGCTTAATGCAGGGTCACTGTTGGCTGGTTCGAATCTGATATACATCAGATTTGAACCAGCCAACCGATCCTGCAAGCTCGGTGGTCAAGTGGTAAGACGTCTGCACTAGAAAGCAGGAGTTTGTTTCTGCATTTAGTAGGGGACGTTGAACAAAAGAGGACAATAGGGTCCCCAATTCACAAAGGTCGACCCCCAATTTGGCGATCGTGTACAAAACATATGGGAGGTCTTCCTAAAAGACTTGGGACAATAGGGGTCCCCGATTGCAGGCAAATACACACTTCGGTGAGGTCGTGGGTTCGAGTCCCACCCGAGTGATTTTTTCCAACTTTCACTCGGGAGGCAACACACTGATACAGTGTTTAAACATCGGTGAAGGGCAGAACTTAAATTGTTTTACATCTTATGAATAGCATAAGGTAGGGCTGAATTATGCATGACTGAACATAAACAATGCTGGGTACAGCCTACGAACTCAAACACAATGCATCCTCCAAAATCACATGACATTTTTTTGCCATTCACCCTCAATCCTCCAAAACCGCTTGGAGGATTGAGGAGGATTGAGGAGGGTTAGGGTTAAGAATAGAACAACTATCTTATCACCCAGGTTCTGGCATCTTGGGCATTCAGGAGAGAATTATTGCTATAAACCTGTATAATATAAATCCTTTTCTACCAGTGTATTACTTGTACTTAAATGTGTCGTAATTTTCCTCACGTAACACAGCCGAGACCTCTCTGGCCAAGCCCCAGATACTTCTGGTTGCCCAGAACAGCATCTGCTATTTCCCCAGCAACTTCCCAGACCTGTCTTTGTCCTCGGACTACCAGCGCAACTGCATCCTGACCAACCGTACCCACTTGGTGGCGTTGGATATAGATGTGCGAAGCAAGACCATGTTCTTCTCTGATTTTGTTCACAAGACAATCCAGAGTGTCCGTCTGACCGATGGGGCTGCGGTGGAGCTGGTTGTTGGAGGGGTTGGTAGTGTGGAAGGTATGGTTTTATTAAGGGAAGAAAGGTGTGCTTGGCCGGGTTAAACACTGTGTTTAAGACACTTTGGAGTCTGGATGCTGATAATTACCTAAGCCGAAGGCGAGGGTAATTATCAGCATCCAGACTCCAACCGGTCTTAAAACATGGTGTTAAATACTGGCCAAGCACATATTTATTCCCATTCATAAATACCTTTTCGGTCAAAAAATCAAAATCTTTCGGTCTAAAAGTCAACACAAGTCAAAGATATAAATATAAACACTTTTAAATAACGTCATGTGTTTTGGGACACCCCTTTAGCCATTTAATGGTATGTCTGCAGTCTCGCGAGTTGTCGTAAACAACTCCTTTTATGGAGATTGGTGTGCGCGTCGGGCATATTGGGCGATGTGGCGAACAACGCAGCTGTGCCGGTGTATTTTGAACTTGACAATGAAATACTGACTCATTGGTAGTATTGCACATGCCTACGTGAGGATTGTGAATGTTTAACCAATAAAACGGTAAAAGGCACCGAGTTTCATAGGAGTCCAAATTTCATGTGACACTGGAAAAGTGTTTAAGACCAGCCAGCTGGCCTTTATCAACTGTTTAAAACCTGCCAGGTGACAGGCTCTCGACCAATAGGTAAACTGTATTAGGCTAAGACAGTTTAGCCATTCCTATTGGTTGAGAGCCCGTCACGTGGCAGGTTTTAGACTTTTAGGTATTTATGAATATTAGTTTCAAGACAAGCGATAAGCTTTACAACCCAGGCAATGTTTAGTATTACTTGAATTCCCCCAAATGGCCCATTAGAGAGAGGGGTTTTGCTAAAAACTGGTACCTTGCAGAGACAAGGTATATTAAGGAGAGTGTTTCCCTCATGTTTCAAGTCCTATTTCTAGGCATAATTTAAATGTCGCAAATAGTTTGAATCAAATTCCTTGTGATGCAAAACTCAAATGTAAAAATTTTGGTGAGGGTTGGTGCAGTTTAGGTTTGAGGGTTAAGTGTCTGAACTTTTGACTCCAATTAGTGACTTTTATCCTTAACCCTTACCCTACTTGACCCTCCAACGCATGCCAATATGTGCCTCAAGGAAATCTCCTATGTTTTTTGCATGGCCCTCCAATATCTGCCATGTCATTTCAAGGGTAACTGGACAGGCACTCCAATACATGCCACAGAGAACAATGAGAGTCCTCTGATAACAAAGTGAGTGCCCCCAGCTGGTCAGTATCAGGTACCCTCCAGGGCCTCCAACTCCTGCCAATTGGAGCCTTCACTGCTAAGACTTGTTATCTGCCAAATAACTGCAGCTGGAGGGCATTGGCATAACCAACTGACATGCAGTAAACTACCCTCAGAGAGTAAGGGTTAATTAAAATGATGTTTATTTAGGTCTGTGAAAATTATGCATTCAAATAAAATCCATGAACAATGCCAATGTAAGGGGAGTTTTGTGCCTAGCTCTTAGAAGCACTTGGCATTAGATTGTAGTCAACTCCATCATTGGTGAAATCAAGTGTCAATCACAAGTCAAAGTACATATTAGATATTAAATCATAAGAGCTCGTGACTTTTGATGGAATTACTTATTATTGACTTATTTTTAATTGTGATGACTTGACAACCATTCTGCAATTTATGACATGACGTGTGAGTCATAGAAGGCCAAACCTGGATTTAAAAAGACATTTTAAGAAAGTTTCATTTTCTTCCCAGGCATTGCCGTGGACTGGCTGAGCCAGAATCTGTACTGGACAGACTCTCAACTTGACCACATCTCAGTCGCTCGCTATGACGGCAGCAACAGACGTATTCTACTGAAGGACAACGTGTTGGATCCTAGGAGCATTGTTATCCATCCTGGGCAGAGGTAGGACCTTCTTATTGGCTTGGGTTTGTACCACCTCAGACAAACGTGGGATGCACAGTGGACTCAGGGAACTAGTACCCCCTGACCTGTGAATTTGACAAAGAGTCCTCTTAGTGAAGGATTCTTGAGTGTCATTCCCGCTCCAGTGTTGTAGACAAGTCCATCACAAGCCTGGTCACAAGTAAGAGAGGATGAACAATGACAAAGGAATGCCTTTGTCACAGCTCATTTGAATAGCTTGTGAGTTGACTTGGGACTGGATGAATTGTGATGGACTTATGAAAACTTGTGATGGACTTGACTACCACGCTATGCTGCTTTGCGCTCGAGTGCATTTCTTTCTTGTGTTGATGCTACGGTTTGTGCATATAACACTCTGTTCCATAAAAATCTCAAATCAGGTTGCAAATAAAAAGCACTGAACAATGACAAAGGACTGCCTTGTTTAACAGTTCATTAGAAAAGTCTGTGAACTGAATGGTCGGCTGACCATCGTTGGAAATTGATACAGAAATTCCACTTTTCTGAAAATGACAACACACCAGGTGCCATAATTTCACAGGATGCTTGAGACTTTTATTCACTTACAGTCAAGTAAGGTATTAATAATTTGTCAGTTTTGTGTTTGTTGATGTTTGCAAATGTTGTATATTACCTTTAAGTCTCATCTTGACCCCAACATTTGACTCTGATGACTACCTAGAATTGTTGGCATGGTATTTCACTTTCCTGTTTTTCTTTCCGATTGAGATTGATGTTCTGGACTGAGTTTGGACCACCAGGCCAAATTGAACGAGCCAGTCTAGACGGCAGCATCCGACGCGTCATCCTAGACAATGTAGATGGCCTCAATGGCCTGTCTATTGACTTTGATGAAGACCGGTAAGTCAGTGCTGTATTTGATGTACAATGGACCACTGGGCCTAACTGACGATACTGTTATCAAGTCCTCATCTGAGTTTGCAGGTATAATACAAATATGACATGGTTCGAGAGTGGATAGTCAATATAAGCTCCCCAAGGTATTTGAAGTTGACAAGCTAGTTGCCGAGGTGAAGCCTCACACATTATCACCAAAATATTGTCGAGTTACACATCAGTTATCTTGGCAAAACTTTGCTGTGCATGTGCCCCCATCTTTTCTTGTGTCTATCTATAGAGCGATGTTTGCGCGGGCGCACTACCCCTGTGCGCTAGGTCCACGATTGCTTCGTAGACTGTCGCATGGGTAACCTGTGTGTCAGTCAGTTACGCATGCCTATTTACTGTTTGCGTGAAATTTCAATATTGAATTGTTTGAATTGAAATTTAATATGCTATTACAGGATCTACTATGCAGATCGTTCGAGTGGCTCCATTCAGCACATGGACTTTGAGGGGAATGGGAGGACACGCTTATATGCCCGGACTGGTGCCCAGTTCTTTGATATTGACATACACAAGGTACATGTCAAGGGGCCCACCCATAAGACAGGTGGAGTTTAGAACTCCTTGTTTAAGGGGAGTCAGGTTGGCACAAATGTACTTTCCTCGCCTTCCACCTCTGTTGCTATTGTTTAAATCCCAACCACGCTACGAGTTTGGATTTTCACAGGCATGCAACTTTTCCTTGGATCCGCAGATTTCCCTCATTGTTAACTTCCCATGTGTGCCATAAAAAATTAAAATTTCTCTAAAAATCTCATGCTTGGTATTTCCTAGTTTTTTGTTTCCCAAGAAAATTATTCTAGGCTTGTCCTTCTGTCACTATATATATAACTGAACATGCATCCACTCTCTTTAGGTTTATTCAGGCTACCGAACTGCCGTGCCTGTGCATAAACTCTTGTCCATCATCAGTCAAATCAAAACTCTGTCACAAGTGAAAAGGGTTTAACAATAACAAAGTAATATGTTTGTGTAGTGTTTGTCTGTGCAGCCTGACACTTGACTTGAGGCTGGGGGATTTGTGAGGACTTGGCCACAACTCTGACCCTGATTTCACTTCCATAATTCAACCAGAAAAATGTACAGTCAACCACAGTGCCCCTTGATAAACTTACAACTTTAAATTCGTCACTGCATCTGACTCTAATCTTGACACCGTATCTGACTCTAATCTTGTCACCGTATCTGATTCTAATCTTGTCACCGTACCCAACTCTAATCTTGTCACCGTATCCAACTCTAATCTTGTCACCGTACCCAACTCTAATCTTGTCACCGTATCCAACTCTAATCCTGTCACCGTATCCAACTCTAATCTTGTCACCGTATCCAACTCTAATCTTGTCACCGTATCCAACTCTAATCCTGTCACTGTATCCAACTCTAATCTTGTCACCGTATCCAACTCTAATCTTGTCACCGTATCTGACTCTAAACTTGTCACTGTACCTGACACGAATCTCGTCACCGGACTGTATCTGACCTTATCACCATATCTGACTCTTATCTTGTCACCGTATCTGACTCTAATCTTGTCACTGTATCTGATTCTAATCTTATCACCGTATCTGACTCTAATCTTGTCACCGTATCCAACTCTAATCTTGTCACCGTATCCAACTCTAATCTTGTCACCGTATCCAACTCTAATCCTGTCACCGTATCCAACTCTAATCTTGTCACCGTATCTGACTCTAATCTTGTCACTGTATCCGACTCTAATCTTCTGATTCTAATCTAGGACTACCTTCTCTGGACGGAGTGGAATACCTTCAATGGCCTGCATGCAATCAACCGTGAGAATCGACGCATCGTGCAGAGCCACAGCATCAACAACGAGTCTACCTATGGCGTGCGGGTCTACTCCGACGACCGACAGCCAGACTATGACAGTAGGTCCAGCCCGCCCACCCCCCCCCCCCCTCCCCCCATATACTCGGCCTTTTTTGCGGCAGTTTATTGTCGTTGCACCATGTGTTTGAACATATGGGTACCTATGCACAATGCACCAAATTCAACTAGCTGCTAGTCTAAGGATCAAGTAAATTGGCACTTTTGCCACTGCTGAATTGGAGATAGCTTCACACTGCAAGCTGTTGTTTGATGGATTTATATCAATGTTGTACACTTCAACAAACAGGAATTGGCATTCACAAATTAGTGACTGAATGGAATTCAGGAGGATGAATATTCATTTCTTACTGATCAAGCAATTTGATCGGTCCAATTGTGAAAAAGTAGGTCATCGCCCATGTCAAATTTCAAGTTTTGTGACTCTGTTGCAAGGTTGCCAGCATCCTTTGGTGCTTAGTTGCTGGCACTTTAGCAAAAACTATGAACCAAGTGTGAGATAATTGTTCATTCTTCAGATGTGCAGGACCTAGTCATTTTTGCCAGGAGCATTCCTCAGTCCACATAAATCTGCAGAAACCCAACTGCACATTCTTTGTGTGTACTTTGACTATATCGTTCTGGTTTGCGGTAAAACCATGTGGTAATAACTACTGTCGCTCAGTAGATATTTAGTTCTGATAAGAACTTGTCCTGCTTATTATCAACTTTCACTACGTACTTTGACTTTACAACGGACACAGAGCCCTTCGTAAAGTAATAGTTACTGACATGTACATTCGTGAATCATGAACAATTCTCCCAAACTTCCAAGTGGATTTGGAGATCTGGACTGAGTTGGGTTAATATCAGTGTGAGAAGAAACCTTAATTGCTATTGAGCTCTCTACCATTACAGTCTAGTCTGATGAGGATTATTCTTTGATCTTCATTCCGCTCCATTCTGGTTTTGCTCACTGGTCATGAATGGCAACTTGGAATTTGCATAACAATGAGTTGAACTTGCAGTAAAAAGATACTTATTACATTCTGATCATAGTTTTAATAATCATCCTGAAAAAACAATGCGTTTTCAGAAATGAGGAATTAGTAGCCATGCAACTTGGAGTGAAAGCCTTTCACTTTGGAGAATTCTGACATTCGTTCTTGACGTCTCTTTTGTTGTTAGGCGTGTGTGAGGATAATGGTGGTTGCCAGCACCTGTGTCTGCCGATATCAACAGGAGGTATGCGTTGTGATTGCAGTGCGGGATACCAGTTGCACACTGACAATCATGCCTGCGTCCCCGCCTTAGGTACGTTGCCCACTGAGTTGAAAAATATTGATATCGACTCGTTAGTCACTGTAGTACCCTAAACCACCCTGTATGTTTACTCCCTGTAGTGCCTGAAGCCACCGTGCACTCGGTAGTTTTATGGGTTATTGAGTGAATAAACACAATGTACTGTTGTACAGTGTAGTACAGTTAATAATGGGTTAAACCATGTTACATTTGTGTTTTATCATGTTATATTGATTTCAAATTGTGTTTCATTATTGTTTATCAATTAAGAAATGGTTTAAGCCCACAAAGTAGTCATTCAATTGTGCAAGTATGTAGTCATGAAAATTACAATGAAACATGCACAACTTGGATGGGAGATAGCTACACAAATAGAAAGGTTCAGTAGGCTTAATAAGTGTAACACCAATGACATGTTTGAGCAATCAAGAACTGTGGTCATTTTATATGCAAATGTTTAGTTATATCATTTGAGTACCCAGTCTTGAGTGACATAGTTTGAGTTTGAGTCTTGAGTCATATTGTGTGAGATCTGGAGTTTCATGGTATATTGCGAGTGTTGAGTTGATTGGGTTGAATTTGAGACTTGATTGCTTGATTTGAGAGTAACTGTTGAGTCATATGGTAAATATTTAGCCATTTACTTCAAGTTTTGGAGTCTTTCTGAGCGTGAGTCTTGAGTTGGATGTGATTCACTTGCTGATTTTTACTTTGCACAATTTTGCTGAGCAGGATCTTCTGCTTGGCAGTATTATTACATTCCTTTGTGCCGGTTTGATTGTCCAGATATTCTCTACGATGACTTCCTGTTTGCTTCGGATACTTACCTGCACAGCATCTTCCAGTTTGATCTGTCCAATCCTAGCTTGAACTACTCTGCCCTCCAGCTGGATACCAGGACCATTGAGAACCCAGTGGCACTCGCCTACGATCCCATGACTGCACAGGTAATAATGTTTGATTTGAATTTGGCATTGAGGTAGGGTTTGGTTTTGTTCTTCATCAACAGAATTTTGTCATAACCAGGGGTGTGATTTTTCCGGATTTCCGGATTTTTAGTCTAACGTCTGCGGAAGTTTATGCGGATTCCGGATTTCCAACGTTTTCTGTTTCCAGATAAATATCGCCCAAAAACTTCTGGCGAAATATAGGCCCTAATTTACGATAATGGATGGACTGGTGACACAAGTCTAATAAGCAGTGCGGTCAAGAACCTGATAGACATCAATGCAGTGTGCGCAGTGGAGTACTTGAGGACCAGACTAAAAATAATTTTCAATGGGTTTGCACCTCATGTTTGTATATTGCGTGTGGAAGTGTGTGTATTGTGCATGTATTGTGCAGTGACGATCATGAGCTAGCAATTCGCAAACACATTGGTGTCAATATTGCCGCGATTTTGTCAAGGAATTTAAGAGTATGGGTTGGAAGAACTTGGACTAAAGTGTTTTTTTTGTGTGAATCGTTTCTTTCTCTCTGCAAACATGCAAAAGTAATAACATCATACACAAAAAAGACATTTTTTTAATCAATCGCGTATGGATTATATTATTTTAATGACCAGACATTTTTTCCTAATTTTTCCCCCATTTGTTTTCTTTACTGAAGCGACGAAATTTGCAAACATTACAGAAATTACAGTACATAAAATGTACATGCCCTATATATGGACATACGTGAATGTATGTATACATTTACATCTATACAAGTACATGTACAATAATACATGTACATGTACATGTATACATGTCAACCGAAGTTCATGGATTTTTCATTTTTGTCCAATCACACCCCTGCATAACTTTTGATTGAGTGCTGTCATAGAGCTCGGGAGAAAGTATATATTCACAAGCTTGCTTGGATGAGACTCAATCAAACGTTGGTTTGAGATCTGGATTTCCAGTTGGCCCCCCCCCCTTTCTCAACAAAGGGACTGCTTTTGCAAGACAATACAGCTGATGCTTTTGTCTTTAAGCTGTGTATTGAAACAAAAGGGTTCGTTGTCTTCAATGTTATGCCCAAAGGACTTTCCTTTTATTGCATACTTCCTTGCAGGGTGATATTCTTGAGCTTTTTGCTCTGCTGAAAAAAAATATTCTAGGGTTTTTTCTCTTACATGCAAACAATGGAAGGAAGGTAGTTTCGTACAAAAAAAGTACAAACTTAAGAAAAAATATTTGTTTATGTCTTCCAACACAGTTTTAAAAGTATGTGCCGTGTGCAAACAAATGTACTTACATTAACATTAACCTTTCTTGATGCAACAAGGTGTCATAGTCTCTGGGACCTTGTTGCATTGAGCTATCAACACCAGTGAATAAGCTGTCCCTTCTGAGACAATGGGAGCTAGTCCCATTGAACAATGCCAAAGTTGTATCCTGCTGCAGTTGGCAACTGGACACGGGTCGCACTAAACAGCGTCAACACAGCGTCAACACAGCGTCAACACAGCGTCAACACATGACAGAAGCGTCAACACACCGTCAACACATCCAAAACACATTCTGAATTGACAAAAAGGGCATATAATTGTGAAACATACAATAAAAGAGAATTTCCATTGGATTGAGTTTCCATTTCGTTGTTAAAAATATCGTATTTTCACGCGAAAAAAATGACCTTAACTTGCACGGCCGTTGTCCGCCATCTTGACTTCGCACAAAGCTTGGACTACACCATTTCAAGTAGGGGTGTGTAGGTAATGACATTATCTTGTCATAAACAACAGAGGGCGCCTTGCTGCAGACTGTTTTAAACTTTTTCTCGCTTTACAGTAGGAACCATCGGATTTTTTTTTTTTTAATTTAACTTATGAGGCTATACACCCCGTCTAATAAAACTATAAATAAATAAAAAGCCAGAAGGACTAACATGAGGATTACACTCCAAGACTACACATCAAGACAGCAAAAAAAATCCATTTAAAATATTTCATTTCATTTATTATTTCGCAAGAATAAAAACAAACATGCATGAAAAACAACAAGTGCAATTTATACAATAATGTAAATACCAACGAACAAGTAAAGAAAATTAAACAACAAAGGCAATTGCAGCGTAAACACAGCATTAAATTGTTAGTCTTTGCAGATATTTTTAACACTGGCGACCCCGGCCGCGTCCCTCTCTGTTGGTTTATTGTACAATGCTATCACCCTTTAGAATAATGGTATGGTCCGCGCTGCCACTGAGGCAACATGGCGGGTGTTCGGCAGCCGATTTCGGAGCGGCACGGGGAGCCAATTTTCTTGAACTAAAAATCGCGATTTTCAGACGTTTAACCTATTGATTTTAAGCACAAATCTTGTTTCTGTCCATACTGTATGGGTTACATACTGCTTTTGTCAATATTAATGCATTTTGGATGTGTTGACGCTGTGTTGACGCTGTGTTGACGCTTTGGAGTGTGTTGACGCTGTGTTGACACTGTTTAGTATGACCCCTGGACACAGGTAGTTAGGAGGCTTAGGATAATACTCAAGAATCAGGATTGGAATGCTTCTAATTCAAAAATTGATACTATTTCATCTGTCACTTGTCGGGAACTGACATGTGATGTAATGTCTCATTTGAAAGCTCATACTATCAGCGAATTGATTCAAACTTGATTGTTAGGGTACCTGCCCTCCATGACATGGACGTACCATCTTTGACAGTGGATGTCTATTTTGTTCATGATTTGTTGCACAGGTGTACTGGTCGGATGTTGTGCAGAACACAATACGCAGGGCATACATCATCAATGGCTCGCAGGAGATTCTGTTCACGCATGAGCATGTGGAAAGTTAGTACATTGATCTCTCAGGTTAGATGTGAGCAAAAAGTTACCCTTTTAGACCATCGGCAAATTTCATGAAGCTGCTGAGCCCAGTACTTTCCTAAGAAGTACACTTTCGTTCTTTTCAAACTGATTCCTTTCTAGGGCATGCGTACTGCGCGATGTCGTGCAGAATGCAGCTGTGGCGGTGCGCTGTGAATTTAGGACTATGAAATACTGACTCACTGGTAGTATTGAGCATGCCTACATGAGGATTGTGAATGTTCAACCAATAAAACGGTAAAACGCACCGAATTTCATAGGAGTCCAAATTTCATGTGACACTGGAAAAGTGTTTAAGACCAGCGAGCCGGTCTTTTTCCATTTAAGACGGGCCACGTGATGGGCTCTCGACTAATGGGAATGGGTAAACTGTCTTAGGTATTTATGAATATGTTTTTAATTGTATTACCTTTCTGCCGCATTTGCTCTTTGACCTCTCAGCACCAGATGGCCTGACAATTGACCCTGCCTCTCGTCTTCTCTTCTGGACTGACATGGGCTTACCCAGTATCCAGGTGGCCCATCTGGACGGCAGCGATCGCAAGATTCTGGTCCGCACAGACATAGAGCACCCACGGGCCATCCTAGCAGACCCAGGCAACGGGTAACATTGGACTGGATTGTTGTGGAAGGGGAATGTGGAAAGAGCATGGCTGAACATGTCCCCTTGTAACATCTGACCATTTGCGAAAGCCCAGTGTTCCTTTTCAAATAATGTTGCACAATATTGTGAATTTCTGTTCATTGCTTAAGGCACTTGGTCACTGTACACAATGTATGTGCTGATTACAACACATCAGCAAGACCCCCCCCCCCTTAAAAAATCCTGGAATTCAATACATCAGCCAGCCCCCCCCCCTCCCCCCCCCCTTTTTTTTAAAAATCTTGGAATTTAATACATCAGCCAGCCCCCGACCCTTAAAAATCCTGAAATTTAATACATCAGCCAGCCCCCCCCCCCTTTAAAAATCCTGGAATTTAACAAATCAGCTAGGCCCCCCCCCACCCCACCTTTAAAAATCCTGCAATTCAGATTTATAAGGGCTGTGTACTGACGTTCATCTTCAAGTTGTTTATCATGGGGTGTGGGGAAGCAGCACAAGAGAAATAGCATTGAGTAGCAATGAGTTTGGTTTTCATTATTTTGTTTTGAACCAACAGGCTTCTATATTGGTCAGACTGGGGACAAGTAGCCAAGATAGAGCAGGCTTACATGGATGGGAGCAACAGGGTGGTGCTGGCTAACACCTCACTGGCATGGCCGAATGGACTGGCTCTGGATTTCAGAGGTAGGTCAACAGAATAAACAATGCAGGCCAATTCGGGCGATTCACAATGCAGTGCGCCACCAAGAGTTTGCCATGGAGAGTCCATTTTTCAAGTTTACAAAACATGACCCATTTGAACGAGTGTCAGTAGACAACTTGAGCTAATTTGTTATAGATTGGGGCATAGCGTTCTGCCGCCGTACAAAAAAACACCATATTGATAAAAAAAGAAAAGAAAAGGGCAAATGTATACTCAAATCATACGCTTACGAAACTACTGACCGGAAAAACTAACAATTTCAAATGTCCCGCGCGGCGATTTTGTCGACCATCTCCCACAATGCACTGGGAAAAATGAACTCTCTGTGGCAAACTCTGGGTGGTGCACTGCTTTGTGAATCGCCCAAATTGGAAAAAGCCTATTGAACTGAAGGATGTAACATTCTATTTCTCCCATTCTTGTAGTCGAGAAGGATCACAAGTTCATCACAAGCCATCCAGCCCCAAATTAATGCACAAGCTTTTCAAGCAAGCTTTTACAAAGGCATTCCTTTGCTATTCTCGTTCCCATTACTTGTGACCGTATTTGAGAATTGACTTTGATTTCCTTCTAATCACAACTTAGTCACAAGCCAATCACAACGTAGTCACAAGCCAATCTTAACTTAGTCACAAGCGAAATCACAAGTCAAATCACCATGCACACTTGAGACTTGATAACGTGTGATTGATATGTGTCTTGATTTTTGATGACGTGTTATTAATTGATTCTAACTCTTCTTTTTTTTCCCATTCAATCTAGCCAACAAGCTGTACTGGTGTGATGCCAAGACAGACAAGATAGAGGCCCTGGACCTGAGCTCCATGACCCGGGTTGTTCTCATCGACCTTGGCCCTAGCAACCACCCCTTTAGCATTGCCCTGCATGGTCCCTACATCTACTGGTCTGATTGGTCCAAGCGTGCCCTCATGAGGGCTGACAAGGACACAGGGGCCAACAATGCTACCGTGGGGTCAGCTGACTTTGCGCGACTGAACGGGCTATATGCCTACAGCAGTCAGGATCATGATCCCTGTGAGTGGCATCATTCATCTTTGTTCCATTTACTGATACTAGAGCTATACCCAACATGCAGCTGTTAACATTGGCAATTGGGCTGGATTCAGGAATTTATAAGCATGACAGTCAGGGGTAACGGTGGTCTTGCTCTGATACATCGTATTTGTAACAGTTGAGCTGCATATGACTTTGTATGCTCCCAGGAAGTTGGATTGATCTGAGAACTTAAAGGCTTGCCAATCAGGGGTAATAGTAGTCTTTTTCCAGAATAGTGATTCCATAATATCAAACAGTTAATAAGCATGTGGGCCTCTAAAGTAGGGAGGGTTTGTTTCTGGATCCTTAGAATCAGTAACGTGCTACAACAACAAAACTGTGCCTGATCCAGATCTTAAGTCACGTGACTAGCCAAAAGTAAATATGTAGTAATAATATTAATAATAATTACCCTGGATTGGACATTTGGGAGACATTCCCATAAACTTGTGCACAAATGTTTTCAAACTTAAATGTGCCCTAACCCAATATTCCCTTGTCCTTTTTCCACGAATTTCGGTACGTTTACTAATTAGACCACAAGCAACAAAAATAACCTAATTGCGACGGTAAAATTTTGCCTCTAAAGGGGGGCTCTGACATTAGGGAGACATGAAAATGTCTCCCTAATGACCGATGTCTCCCATTGTGCGAAGAAATTACGATAAAGTGTCTCCTTAATGTTACCATTACACGTATAATGTGGTGCTTATATAACGTTTAATACGAAAGGTATCATAGTGCTTAACAATTAGTGTCGATTGTTAGTCACCATTTTGATAATCACACTGATCCCCCTCTCGGGAAGGATCCTTGAGATCCGTGATCCAGATCAGGATCCGAGCAAAACAAACGAAAGGATCCCAAATCCGGATCAGGACCTATGCCAAACAAACAGGCCGTTATAGTCTATTTGAGCATTTGAAGAATAGTGTGATGCCTGATAATGCTGGTTATCAAGATGTTAACCACCATACCCTGCAAGAAATGCCAAGCTGACAGTGTTCTGATATAATGCAAATGAATATCCAGCTATCATCTGGTGCCCCTTCTAACCCACTCCGCTTGAAGTCTTTGCTGACTTGCTGTATTGCATCCACTATGCATGGAGGGTAGTGGCATGACATACCGATTCGCAAAATATTACCCTCAGAGAGTAGAGTTTAGCCTTCTCACCCTTGACTTTTTGCTTGGAATCCTTCTGATTCCTCTAGTCTTCCACTCCAGGACTATACTCCATACTTCAAAGTTTTCAAAGGGCATCCAATTTTGGTCATGAGCTCTCGGACAGCCGTGAGAAAGCAGTGCTTATAAAACTACATCTGTGAAGGGCATACCTTGTTTAAATTGACGTCAAGCCCCATAGAAAGTAGTATCGGCTATTAGCCGTAGCTTTCTCAATCCCTCAGAATCCTCCAAAAATGTCTGGTAGGTTTTGAAGAATCATGGCAGGTCAGGGTTAATCATGAAATAATCTGACTTGTGTGATGCTTGTGTTATTCAGTTTCCAATGCCTGCGTGGATGGTCCTTTAACCAACGGCGGTTGCTCCAGTCTCTGTCTTCCAACACCCACCTATCGAGTCTGTGCTTGCCCAGATGGAAGCACTCTGGCCCCCGATGGATTATCTTGCTCTGGAAGTATGTCTTAATTCTCTTCTCTCTTTAAATTTTGTTTATTAATTAAAAAAAAAAGAGATATTTATGTTTACAAAATGTTTCATGAAAATGGTGTTAGCAAAACCCATAGGAATGGATTTGGAGTACAAACAGCCACCAAACATTCATTCAGGGTGAGATATTTCAGGATTTTTCCTAATTTCAAAATTTTTTGTCAGGATTTTTCCAGATTTCATGATTTTTAAAGAATCCGGTTTGAATGTGGAATTCCTGAGGTTTTACTGTAACTTAATGGTTTTAACCTATAAAGGTTTATAGATTCAAAATAAATGGGTATATTAAGGGTTACCTTTAGGCAAATGCAAACATGTACCATACACCCTACTTTGCTTGGGGTCCTCGGTGGCAAACATGTACCATACACCCTACGTTGCTCTGGGGTCCTCGGTGGCAAACATGTACCATACACCCTACGTTGCTTGGGGTCCTCGGTGGCAAACATGTACCATACACCCTACGTTGCTTGGGGTCCTCGGTGGCAAACATGTACCATACACCCTACGTTGCTTGGGGTCCTCGGTGGCAAACATGTACCATACACCCTACGTTGCTTGGGGTCCTCGGTGGCAAACATGTATCATACACCCTACGTTGCTCTGGGGTCCTCGGTGGCAAACATGTACCATACACCCTACGTTGCTCTGGGGCCCTCAGTGGCAAACATGTATCATACACCCTACGTTGCTCTGGGGTCCTCGGTGGCAAACATGTATCATACACCCTACGTTGCTCTGGGGTCCTCGGTGGCAAACATGTACCATACACCCTACGTTGCTCTGGGGTCCTCGGTGGCAAACATGTACCATACACCCTACGTTGCTCTGGGGTCCTCATTGGCAAACATGTACCATACACCCTACGTTGCTCTGGGGTCCTTATTGGCAAACATGTACCATACACCCTACGTTGCTCTGGGGTCCTCGGTGGCAAACATGTACCATACACCCTACGTTGCTCTGGGGTCGTCATTGGCAAACATGTACCATACACCCTACGTTACTCTGGGGTCCTCGGTGGCAAACATGTACCATACACCCTACGTTGCTCTGGGGTCCTCGGTGGCAAACATGTACCATACACCCTACGTTGCTTGGGGTCCTCGGTGGCAAACATGTACCATACACCCTACGTTGCTCTGGGGTCCTCGGTGGCAAACATGTACCATTCACCCTACGTTGCTCTGGGGTCCTCAGTGGCAAACATGTACCATACACCCTACGTTGCTCTGGGGTCCTCATTGGCAAACATGTACCTTACACCCTACGTTGCTCTGGGGTCCTCGGTGACTCTCAAACCCTCTGCTGATTATTTTGTGGATTTTTCATTTTCCCCCAATCTCTCCCCCGATTTATTGTCTTGTAAATAAATATCAATACTCTACTATTTTCATGTGGTACCACACAATCACAAATGTATTTGGAGTCTTTTAAATAAAAAAACATTCAAACTCATAGGGAAAATTTGAACTTAATCATGCTACTCAAAAAAAATGAAAACAAACTGCTGAATATTTATTTCCTAGTGCAAAAAAATACCATTTCAACAAAGGAATTCACAATAAATCTTGGAGTTTTTCAGTATATGGAGTGCCTGTACAGTAACCCCGAGGCCCAAATTTCAAATCTTAGGTTATGCAACTTTAAGTGATGTACCTGGAGTATATGAGTGATGGGAATCTGGATATGACCATGTCAGTGGGCCCCACAGATCATTTGAGGATGCTAGCTTAGCCCTTACAGCTTTCAAGATTTATATAATGTGAACTTGTTCCCAGAAAATAAGAGCAAAATCACAGGATGTCATTTGTTTTAATTCCCCCCACCCCTACCCTCTCCTTCCCCCCCCCCCCCCTAATAAGAAACAAATCCAAAACATTATGCACAGTTATGTTATACTGTGGTGCCAGAGAAACCGGTTGCGAACAAATATTGGCAGAGACCACCCTGGTTAATGCTCTGCCCACATTTGTAACGTCATAGCAAGTTTTAACACTGCAAAGTCACAGAAGTTGGAAACATTTCAACCCCTGCATGTTTTTGAGACGTACAGTTTGTTAAACCTTTATGCAAAGTGTAAACTAGCCTCCATGCCTCTTCATGTGTATTTTCAGTCACGTCTTGTGACCATTAAAAATAAATGCCTATACATGTACATAATTGTTAGGGCCTATATGGACCCTAAAGCCTTCATCTTCAAATTGAGGGTTTCAAGACTGTTATGGTTAATAAAGGAATTTGTAATAAAAAATGGTTGCATATCAAACTTTCAGCCATTCAGTGTCCAGCGACCTTCCCCCACGGCAATGTGCAGGCAGACTGCCAGCGTGTTCCGGGTTCCACGTGCAATGTAGAATGCGACACAGGGTACCAGCCAAGAGACAGTCGCATCAGCTGCGGCCCTAGTGGATTCTGGGATGCTGCTACTGATGCTATCTGCGAACGTAAGTTGTAGAAATTACACTTCGTCTAGTCAGTTTTGCGTTTGCAGGATATACCCTAAAAATGGACCTTCACTGATGTAGAGCATTGTTGTTTGGACTGAGTATTTCCAAATTTCTTTGGTTGTTTCCTCCCTTCACCTCCAGAGGTGAGATGTCCTTCGTTGTCCGTGCCTTCACATGTCACCGTCGTGGCTTGCCTGGCACCCTACTTCCATGGTAACCGCTGTCAATTCCGCTGCCGGACCGGCTACACTCGTGTCAGTGGTAATCATGAGTTGATGTGCATGGAGGATGGTCAATGGTCTGATACCCTGCTCACATGTCAAGGTGGGTGTAATATCCAACACGGTGGGGGTACTCTCCAATCAAGACTCCAGACCCATTGCATGGTTTTCAGAGAAAAAAAAAAACACTTTTTTTTACGAATTTAGTTGAAAACAATGGTATATGTAATGAAAGAAAATTGAGAATACATGTATTTCCAATTGTAGCAAAATATTAGTAGACGTCATTTTTCCAACAAAAAATTGCATAATTGTGGAAGACAAATTCTCTGAGGTGCATCCTGTGCCCGCAGAACTGTGCATGCAATATCAGAAATGCTACAAACCTTAAAGATGGGGCCAGTGTAATCAGCTAAATTTATCCACCACGACCTTTGACCTGTATCTCTTTAGTCGTGAACTGCCCAGCGCTGCCAGCCCTCCCTAGTGCCATCTACACACCCTCTGAGTGCTCAGCTGTTCCATCTGCTTACAACACCACCTGCCATGTCCTCTGTCGTCATGGTTACCTTCTGAGTGGCGTGGCTTCGTACACATGCCAAGCCGATGGTCAATGGACTGATGCTGACAGGCAGTCTGGTTGCATGGGTAAGACCAGTGTCTGCTAAACATTCATGTTACCGACCAAAATGACACATTTGTATCTTGCTATTCACTGATTCTCAGCACTTTTTTTTCCCATTTTTGTTTTTTTAACAGCACATAATTTTTTAAAGCAATGTTCTCTTCTAAGCAGTTAGGTCCTGATAGCTAACCACATAGTTTTGCACTTATGATCACCATTTTGAGCGAAGCACTGGCACAGAATTCTGCCCAAACTTCAAGCAATGAATCCTTTATTACAAGATGTATACGTGCATGTACATTGATCCCAGCCAGATTTCCTTGCTAGCTTGTGTAATAGGCTATTTTTCATGTTCAGCCTGAGAATTTTTGCTAGGGAAAGCAAAGATTTGGACATGACCTAACACTGAAATGAGAAGTTCATGTTATGTAAAAAACAGGTACAAAGGGAGTTAAAAAAACAAGCTTATGCCTTGTCCAAATATCGTCTTGTAAGTCCTTTACGTTGAGTGTTTTAAAGCTTTGACATGGGAGACTTCCACGAAAAAGCATCAGCAGACTCCAGCAATACCTTTACCATAGACCATAATTCATCTGTCAATTTGTCTCCACAGACATAGCGCCGCCTGACTTTCATGAGTCCTGTCCAACCAACTTCAACGTCACGGCTGACTCAGGCCAGATCACAGTGAACGCCACGTGGCCTGAACCGCGCCCAGACGACAACTCGGGCGAGGTTCCCGTCATTACTAGCAATGTCCGTCAGCCGTTACTGCTAGGGGAAGGCAGGCACTCTGTGACGTACTATGCCAGTGACTCCACTGGTAATACCGCAATCTGCAGCTTTATCATCAAAGTCATAGGTAAGCCTAAAAATGCAACACATGTATCAACCACCCCAGTACCAATGTTGCAGTTAGTTGACAAGGAACCCACACCCGGACCTCATTCATTCATTAGACATAGGCATTTGCCCGTGGTCTCCTCCTCAAATTATACACAGTTGGGATCACTGGCTCCGCTCCCACCACAGCCCGTCTTTCCAGTGCTGCTGCTGTCAGTTCAATGGTGTCACCATTCTCGGATGTTGTCCACCCAGTGCATTTAAGTTGATTTTTACATGAAGTGTGGACACAGACCATCCAAACAATAAACGTATGCAGCTGTGTTCAACAAGCTGGCATGTTACTATAATTTTGCCATCAACACTTCATGTAAAAATCACTTTAAAGGTTTTTTTTTTATCCCTCTGATGGTGTTAGCACAATTTCTGGAAGAGTATGGAATGCACTGATGTGATAAAGTAGCTTGGATTTTGTTTAATGGAACCAACTTTTTAACAGCCACAATTTTTCGGGGTGTTTTTGTGAACAGATGGTTTTGATTCTTTAAATAACAAACTTGTGTGCAACCTATTCCAAGAAAGGAATGAGTTTTCATACTTGTCGGGCCGTGGTGAATTCATCACATGATGGGCATAGGTACCGGTAGATGAAACACTGCTGAAGAATCAACATTATAGAAGTCCTGATATTTGTCACTTGGGACTGTGCTTAAGCTAGGCAGGTTGAAATCCAAGAAACAATTAAACACAATGCTGCATGAAATTTGACAATTTGTAATTGTATTGTATTGCATAGTGCATTGCATTGTCATAATAATCTGAACATGCACTCTCTCTTTTTTTTGCCTGTGTTTTGCCTTGCCTGTAGTGCTGTCCTGCGATATGCTTGGCCACCCAATCAATGGCTACTTTGAGCATTGTACCCAGCACCTGGGCTCAGTCTGTACCATCCGATGTAATGAGGGTTTTGCCGTACATGGCTCAGAAGAGCGGGTCTGTCTACAGGAGTTTGAGGGTAGCATGGTGTGGACGGGCAGTCCGGCCAGCTGTCCAAGTGAGTAACGATCACTATGCTTCAGTGTCAGTAACCAAGCAGACAGAAGTGACCACTGACAAAAAAAAAACAAATAAGATGCCTAACTTGCAGGATAACACTTGGCGATCATCATTTTCTTAATGAGTCTGGTCCATAGTTTCAGACAATACAAAGCTATTATTTCTACTCTAAATTCTTAGCGTAGGGTGCAGGGGAGGGTGGGGTGAGGGGTGCAGGGGAGGGTGGGGTGAGGGGTGCAGGGGAGGGTGGGGTGCAAGGGAGGGTGGGGTGAGGGGTGGAGGGGAGGGTGGGGTGAGGGGTACAAGGGCACAGGCCTGGTCAGTGTTGTAGTCGAGTCCATCACATGCTATTGTTACAGTTCATTTGAATAGCTTGTGGTTTGATGTGAGACTGAAGGACTTATGATGGACTTACAGGGACTTGTGGGGACTTGTGATGGACTCAATTTCAACACTTGGCCTGGTGAACTTCCCTTGGCTGCACAACTGAACTATGGGCCATTTTCAGCTGTAAATGTGCTGTGGGGAGAACATGAATTTCATTTTTAAAAAGTTTACATTATGTAGTACCTTATTTCCATTACAAAAGTACCGATTCAATGAAATATGTTTTGTCTTTTTGTATAATACTATTGAAGTTTTCATTGAAAGATTTTGTTATCGCTCAAGAAGACATTGAATATTACACAGCTGCCCCCCCCCCCAAAAAAAAGGTGCCTCAGAAAGTTGATGGGTTGAGCACAATTCAGCACAGTTCAAACAGCCACTCGATGCTACTATAGTTTGCTGAGATTAACTTTCAAATATTAGGGTTTTGCCCATCTCTGCAGTTTCTGATAAAGAAATGACATACATGTATAATTAAAGACATGAAAACAATTTGAGGAAATGCCAAAATAGGGCTGGATAGATCATTTGATAGATGCCAAGATGGTGTCACAGATGTCACAGGTTCAGTCACGCTTCGTTATTTCTACCAAAATTTAATCAAAAGAAAATAATGTATCACTGCTTCATTCTACTTGCCAATCAAAGTTATCTGAAAAACACACTGTACAAATTCCTGTAAGGTATCTTCTCCACAGGCAAAAAAAAAATCATAAAAAGTTTAATGTTTATTTTTCTGCTGCTTTGTTTACCAGTGATTGAGTGCAGGGAGCCAGCTACCTCCCTGAGTGTCATGAGCGACTGCTCCCCGCCTTTCTATTTCCGGGACGAGTGTAGCTACGCATGCGGCCCTGGATATGAACGCATCAGAGGATCTGAACGCAGGATTTGCATGGACACTGGCCTGTGGTCGGGCACTGAGCTACAGTGCCAGCGTAAGGACAAATTCATTCTTGCCCAACTAAGAATAATAATCCACACGCATCTCGTATTAATAACCAGGAATTTCTGTCAAAGGCTTTGCCATCGTAACATTATGGTGAAGTGTCATAGCCTTTAATAGAAAACAATACTCCTTTTCGGATAGGTCTTACTCTTTAACTTCCCATGTTGGAATAAAATACCCACTGCTACGACTGTGTTCTACTCTTTTCCCTTAATTGCCCAAATAGGAATGACATGTCCACCTCTACAAGGAGTAATGTGCCAGTGTCTACTCCCAAGTTTCACTGTTTGAATTACCTATGAGGAATAATGTGTCTCTCTCTACAGCACTGACATTAATCCTATTCTTAAATTGTCCAAATAGTAATAACATTTCACCTTAAATTGTCCAAATAGTAATAACGTTTCGCCCTGCAAACTAAGGTTGTGCTGCGTTCCAATATCTTGTCTAGAGCCATTGTCTAGGTCTTGACAGATAAGAACTACAGGGGAACAAGCTGACAATAGACATATCCATAGCTATGGAAGCTTGTTTTGAATACAGACTTACTGTTCTTTAACCTTTTAACCAGTTCACGCCAGGATTATTTGGACAAGAACAGAGGTGCAGGATTATTTTTCACTCGACCTCATGACATCTGGGGCTACTCGGCCAGGGGGCGACTTGACACAATCATCTGACCAGACAGAGAGCCTACCTTTGAAATTAGCACCTGCTATTGAAAACTGGAAGTGGAAAATCCACCATTTTGTGCAAAAAAACTTGACAGATTTATCAACTAACATGGGAGACTTATCATCGTATAAGGTTACTGTGATCTTACAAATGATGAGTGCAACCTCAATTGACGTATTTTGGAGAGGGGGTTCATTATACACTCGGGTTGCGAAATTTGTAAGATCGACGGTGAAAGGGTTAACTGCGCCACCTATTAATAATGTACCCCATATGAAAACTTTCTCTGTCTTTAACCGCCAAATACGACATGTATCTCCTCTTCTCATGCGGGCTTTTACCCTTCTTCTTAACTGTATGCACAACTAGGAGTCAGGTTGGCATAGCGGTACTTTCCTCGTCTTCCACCGTTGCGACCCGGGTTTGAATCCTGCCCGGGCCAACATGTGGATTGGGTTTGCAGTCCCTGCCTGATTCCGTGGGTTTCCCCCAGAATATTCTTCTGGGGTTTACCTCCCACCTCTAAAACTGTAATTTCTTCTCATTCACTTCTCTCTACAGGTTTCTTCAGCCTTGCGAGCTTAATACAGCGCTTAGGGCACTTTTTGGGGAATCCTTGGTTTCAGTACCAGAAGTAATAAATAAAATAAAATATATACATTTTTCCTCCCAATCTGGCAATTAGGAGTGACATGTCCCCCGCTTGTCCAGAGTGACCACACTACCGTAACTTGCCAGTCCCGTGAGAACTTCTTTGGTGACACCTGCACACTGGCTTGTGAGGATGGGTACCAGCTAGTGGGTATTGCAACTCACACGTGTCTGGCAACCGGGGAATGGAGTGACAACGATGATGGACACTTCTGCCAAGGTATGCTTGTTTGAGGGCGGACCTGTGGCACAATTCTACAGTTACAATTTGGGTTTTTGGTGGATTAGAAGTGTCTTGTTTACAGTCAAGGCCCAATGACATGGCTCTGCACCACAGAATTCTGTGTGGATGGTTGACGTGTTGTGCCTACAGCACTTGTACAGGAATTGTGCTCATTCTGCACTGAATCTTATTATATAAAAGCCTATGAATACAGACGTTCACACACATTCTTGCCTACACTAAGCAGAGCTAATGTGTAGTTATCATGACTTGGACTTGCAGTCTGAATACTTCCCAAACAGTGAGAATTATCTAAGTATCGGAACCACCAGTTTCTCTGAATGTTTTCAATGCTTGAGTTCCCTAATTCCTACTAAACAAACCGCATTGATCTTCAAATCTTAAACTCGAATATTATTTGTAAAACTTGTGATTTCAGTATCACATATCATCACAGTGGTACGAAAACAGAATATTTTCCTGGACTTCAGGTTTTTTCTTCAGGTGGACTAAATTTATTTACAAATATACAAATAGTTTCAGAATTACCTGTAAGACAGTTTTGGACAATTACTTGGAGTGTAGATTTTTAATTGAATACATTATTCAAAGGGGAATTACTGGTCTAAACGTCTTCTTTTTTTGGGTCCTGTTTCTCAAAGATGTTACAGCCCCTCATTTCAACGGTACATGTCCAGAGGATTTTAGCCTGTTGGCCCCCCGGGGAAGGGATGAGGCCGTGGTCACATGGACCCAGCCTGTCGTCATGGACAATGCTGGCAACCAGCTTAACATCACATCGTCACGGAACCCAGGCGTCGCACTGCCTGAGGGCCTGCATGCTATCCTCATTCAAGCAGTAGACAGGGCTGGGAACCAGGGAACATGCCGCTTTGTGGTCAATATTACAGGTGAAATGAACAACTGGTAACCACTCTTATTCATTTTTGTAAAAGTATGATCCAGAGGGTCTTGAATTTCCTCGAGTGTAAAATGGTTTTCAGAAACTTCTACATGCAGTGTGGACAGCATGCTATTCCATCAATACATGTGCCCATCACATTCCTTTTGGGATGAATAAATGTTCCAATGTGTGCAAAAAACAAACTTGCATTGCTGGTCTGAAGTAAATGTACAAAATTCTCAAAAATTTGGAGTGCCCCACATTTCATGCGCTTTGTATTGCTTTAAACTGAAGTTCTTTCTTTCGGTTTCCATTTTCCTGTGTTTTCACTTATCTGCTGAGGTTATATTGGGTTATAATTGTCAAAATCTTGATGTGAACATGTGCACTTGCAACACCAAGCCTGGCTTACAAAAAGAGGTTTATTTTCATGTTGATAGCCAGATACTTGTTTAAGCTTCAGTCATAGGTTCAGCATTTTCACAACAGACACTCTTCGAAAGCTGGTTCACTTCATATACATTTTTTATATTTTCTAATACAGAACGGTGTTGGGCTGAATAAACTGGTCAAATTGCCAAAATGTACAAAAAAGACTAATCGGCAACGGCCATTTTCTGAGATGGCACCAGGCTCACGTGAGTCGTGCTCAGGTAGCATGCATGCACTCTGGACTCCTTCCACCAAAAGGGTTACCAAAATACACACGTGCCTTGTATTTAAGAACGAATGCACACAGACATGGTTTTGCCTAAAAAAAGGCTTCTAATTTTAGAGAATCTAAATCTGGTTGTATTTTCCAAACTTCGTAAATAGAGAACATGTTATCAAAATTTCCTGTCAAAATAAAGGGAATATTAAAAAACTAATGTACCTTGCAGTTTACATGTTGACAACTAACCACATTATGGGTTATTCTTCAATCTCTCTGTATTCTATGACACAGTGGTGCATTGCCCTTTACACCCATTCCCATCATTTGCCAACTTCCTGGGCCAACGTTGTTACAACTACTACGGCGCCCAGTGCAACTTTAGCTGCGTGGTGGGGTACCAGTTGTCTGGATCAAGCTCTCGGACGTGCGAATGGAGTGGGCGGAGTGGGGAGGCGGCAGCGTGGACCGGGGAGCAGCCAGTTTGTCAAGGTTTGTGTTGTCATGGTCACAAATTATCCACTTCCTAAGTATTAAATCCTTTTGTTTAGAGCTTATTTAAACCAGTTGCTACTTCATGTAAAATTGTAAATGAGAATTGGAATTTGACTCAACAAAACTTTAGCACCGAGTTTCACTGAAGTTGAAATGGTTAAGCTTTTGTAAGTTTACAGTGCCAAGCTTGCATGCCAAATTTGCTCAATTGTCTCATTCAAGCATAAAGAGTATGAATTTGGAGAACATTGTAACCAGAATTGAAATGTCAGTACCTGCTGTAGACTGCTTGTATTTTTAGTGCTCTTGTTACTGACACGAAAATGTATGTTGAAAGTGAATCCTTGTAGTTCAATCATTGAGCTCGCAAAACCAGCTGTACGTGATTTTCATTTTTTTTTTTACAAACTTTGCCTCATTTGGGGGTTTGTATGTATTTCCTGAAAACCAATTATTAGAGTGAATGGGAATGTGCGTGTTCATTAATAGTTGGGTTAATATTTCCAAATAACAACTTTTTCCAATTCAAACATGCAAATGCATATTCCTGTCAGAGAGGTACTAGCCATATAGTCTATGACACTTATCACAGAATCAATTGTCTTCAAACTTGGACAGAATTTAGACATTGTGGTCATTTGAGCTGATATGTATAACTGGCTCTTGTCTGGCAGGCACCGTCTCAAACCAATCGGCTTGCCATGTGCACATAGTTCAATTTGACCCGTACTGACATCATTTCTGTGTCGGTTTTGTGTCTTTCCCCTCTCAGCTGTGACGTGTCCGATGTTTGATTTTTCCGAGGACAGCATGTACGTGGTAGGTTGCGACGCCAAGGCACGCTTACTCCCTTACGGATCACGATGCCAGACCATTTGCACAGAGGGCAAGCAGCCAGTCGCTGGAGGAAGTGATGGGCAGAGAAGGTGCACAGAGGAGGGGACATGGTCTGGCCAGAACATCCAATGCGAGGGTGAGGTTTTGGGTTAGGACTCTACTCACACACTCTTGAGGGCCAATTTGAACTTCTGATATGAATGATTTTGTAAATTCTGTATGCGCTTCCCTAATGTGTTCTTCCTCCAATATGTAAAGCAAGCTACCTACCAAATAAATAAAGCAATACTTGGAAGTCATTTTTAATGATTAATGACAAATTACAAAGTCCAGAGGTAATGAGGACAGGAACAATGTTACACTTCGGAGCCTTTTTATAGAATAACCTACAAACATTACTTGGGTTCAGTTCATGTGCAAGTGTAAATATTGAACCCAGGTCACTTGTTGAACAGAAATTTATCCATTGAGAGCTCAAATGAATTGGTCATCAGTACCCTTTGAATAGGGCATTGGATACAACCAAATGACACTGATTGTGAAGGGAAGACCAAAGGACCTGCCATGTATGGCATAGCAACATAGCAAGAGTATTTGAGGGCTCACACTACAAGCCCCATAGATGACAAGAACAAATGTGTATTTGTCTTTCTGTGCATTCTATTATAGATGTGCACTGCCCAGTCCTGATGCCCCCTTCCTTCGGCGTCATCATGCCTGACAACTGCACCAATGTGCCGTCCCGGTTCCGGACCATCTGTCGCTACTCTTGCATGCCTGGATTTGTCTTGACTGGCGTCTCAGCCACGCTGTGCCTTGCCTCAGGGAACTGGTCCAGTCCAGAGCAGCATGCTTGCCAAGGTTGGAGGCTTGTTATATTGCTTTATATTGTGATTAGCAGGAGTGCCGTATAGTTGTTTCCCTTTTGGAGAGTCAAGTCTGGACTACAAGTCACAAGTAACAGTGGATGACCAATGACAAACGAATCTCTTTGTTGCAGTTTGGTTGAATAGCTTCCCACTTGACTTGTGATTGACTTGTGACAATTTGACCATAACTCTGCTGATCTGATCCCTTTATAATCACTTTATAACAAAATTGTAATGTGAGGTTTAAATAAAGTAAATGTAGTAGGGTTTAGTTTTGAAAAATAGTGCAAAAATACTGGTCCTTAAAAAGACCCTTTTGTCCGAAATACATCCTCTTGGTTTTAAATATGGAAAGTAAGCATTCAAAAACACTGAATTTGGGCTATTTCTGTACAAATGTGAATCTCTAGAGTTTGGCTGAGTTTGACTACATTCCTCGGCTTCACATCAGGAGGCCGTCAAGTGTACAGTTTTTGCGTTCAAACCATGTAAATAGTATACAAAAAAGAGTAAATAACAGAGAAGCTGTGTAGCACTGGTGATGTAGGTAAACAGTACAGACAATTTCAAAGCAGTGTTTACCAAAATTAAGTTCCCAAGCTTCCTGACATTGGTCCTCCTTCAGGGGTAAAAGGACCAAGTTCCGAAATCTTGCGAACTTAATTTTGGTAAGCAATGCTTTGAAATTGTCTGTACTGTTTACCTACATGTTAATAGTACGATACATCCAAGAATCACAATGCCATTCAGAATTGGCACTAAAATGTACCTTGTCAAAAAGGAAAGGAAAACGCCTATCTGCCTATTTCCACTGCAGATATTATGGCACCAGTCTTCCAGGCCCCTTGCCCGCATATCGTCATGGACCTAGTGCCAGACACTTGCACCAATGGCCATGTGGTCAGCTATCAGATGCCATCGGCTGAGGATAACTCCGGCATGGTTAATGTGACTGGAGGTGAGGGAGACGTCATGGGCACGGTCTGGCCATTTGGCATCTATGAGCGCTCCTTCACAGCACGGGATCCCTCGGGTAACACCGCTGAGTGCTTGCTGACAATCAACGTCTTACGTAAGTGGCTTCCTGGTACCCAAGTCTTCTATGGGTACCGCTCAAGTAAATAGGCTTGTGCGGTTCCGGCGGTTCCCCGGTTCTTACTGGTTCCAATATGGGAACCGGAACTGCGAGTCCAATATTTTTAAGAACCAGGTACCCGCTATCTTCGGTTCCGGGCCCAAAAGAATCGGTTCCAGATTGAATTACCTATTATCTGTGAACAAAATCCAAAGCCGAGAATCGGCTCCACAGGAAATCAATCGCGGAGGCACGGCCCGGGACATTCACTCGGGCCGGCTAGTCAAAACAATATTTCACGAGTCGGAGACAAACAGCTCAACAGAGCCCTCTTTGAGTTTGCGGTCGATCGGCCACGAGGCGTGCATATAGAGCATTGAACCCAATACTGGCCCTGTACAATGAATAATAAGCGTTAGGGTAGTACTTGACCTGTAATGGCAGTCAAAACATGTCATGTATGCATTCAATGTATTCATTGTAGTTCATACTGATTGCGAAATGTATTCAAATATTATAAAAAAGCAAAACAGAAAATAAATAAACAGCAGAAATGTGAATTTTTAATTTTTATTATACAGCCCCCCTTTAGAGGCAAAATTTTACCGTCGCAATTAGATTATATTTGTTGCTCGTGGTCTAATTAGTAAACATACCGAAATTCGTGGGAAAAGGACAAGGGAATATTGGGTTAGGGCACATTTAAGTTTGAAAATTTTTGTGCACAAGTCTATGGGGATGTCTCCCAAATGTCCAATGCAGGGTAATAATTATATTATTATTTTTTTTTTGGGGGGGGAGGATTGTATCGCCCCAGCCCACAGATATCCGTTGGTTGATGATCCATACAGTGATGTACAGTAATCGAATCAATCACAAGTCAAAACATAAGTCAATTTACAAGTCAATTGACAAGTCAGATCATGTAACCGGGGATGTCAAAACAATGACAAAGGAATGCCTTTGAACCAGCTCATTTGAATAGCTGGCAGCTTGGCGTGGGACTGGAGGACTTGTGACGTGTGGTGACTTGTGACTGACTCAGTAACAAGTCTTGATCCATAAACCAACCAATCAGATTGTCAATCTTGAGTGTTCCTTCCTTACACCAGAGATTCAGTGTCCAGACTTGCCACATCCAGCCCATGGTGCCGTCGTGTCTCAGACATGTGGGGACCAGTCAGGATCAGTTGCCGTCTTCTCTTGCTATGATGGCTACTTGCTCATTGGTTCCAAGTATCTGGCATGCAGACAGGACGGGCAGTGGAATGCCACTATCCCATCATGCTCAGGTAAACAATTAACATCTGTATACACTGTGTTTGATTTGCCTTACAAGGGCAGTATATTATGGGTTCCGTGCACAAGTACTCCTTCAGTGGCCAGAAAAGGAGACTTGGGGGTGACCTAGACTGGTTCCCGGTCCATCCACTGCGTATTTCGAATGATCCAAGTTATTGGGGGCGGGGATTAGTCTGGGAGACCATCGCAAGTTAAATTTGAACGTATTCGCAGACCGACAATGCCTTGATGCTCAGGCACAAAGACACTATGGCTTAGCTTTGTGCACATTCAGGATAAATAAGTCGTGCGTACTTCGTGGGCGAACCAGTATAGTTTGCACACGCGGTGTCTCGTCCAAGGGGCTCTCAAAAGTGGAAAAAACGCGCCCTCTTTTTGTTGGCGCACGGAGCCCATAGGCAGAGCATCACATGGCTCTGCAAATTATTATGGTTTGTTATATCTCCTAATCCATAGATTCTGCCTCTTGATTGGCTATTTGTAAATACCTTAGACAGTTTACCCATTCCTATTGGTCAAGAGCCAGTCACATGGGTGGTTTTAAACACTTTATTCCTGCACTCCTGCGTTCTGCACCACATCGCACAGGTTGCGCCTAGCGCACACCAATCTCCGTAGAAGGAGATTTTTATCACTACATGCACATAGACACATGGCCAGAGGGATGTTTCACAAAACATGAAGTAAAATTGTTGAACAAAATTATTGGAAAATTGTGAAATTTTTACTTTTTGACCAAAACGTATTTATGAACAGGAATATATACGTGCTTGGGTTGGTATTAAACAAGTATGTTTAAAACTGGCTTGGGCCTGGTCACCGTTCCTTTCCATTCCGGTTTCCATTCCTTAAAGATGCTTTAAGAGCCTACTACATCACGTTTTCTCTTGTTCACAGCTGTGTATTGTAGCCCGTTGACAGCACCAGTGAATGGAACCTTCTCCCCATCACAATGCACGGGCAATGCCGTCGGTTATGACACAACCTGTGAAATGACATGTGCCTCGGGCTATGCACTGATGGGTGATGGATCCACATCATGCAATAGTAACAGCCAGTGGTCCAATGACATCTCCAGCAGCTTTTGTATGGGTAAGGGATATTGGCTGGCTGACCTCCTAACTCACCACCACTGGAAACCATTCACGACTCCGACATCGTTTTGCAAGCAAAAAGGAGACTTTTATTGGTCGTGTCACATTTCACAAACCCTCCTCTAACAACATCCATGTCCCCCCCCCATCCACACAACTTGTCTGAGTCATATGTATATTTAAAGGGAATATACATCATTTGCTTTTGCTGTAATTTTCAGAAATGGATGTAATTGGGGGGTTGGAAATATATAGCAAATATAGTTACACTGACTTTTTTGAGGTTTTGGGTTCGAAAATGCTATAAAAACCAAGAAAAACAATCATTTTCCTGTAGTCTGGTTCCCTGACTCCATTTAAGAAGAAACAGAGCACTTTACATATGTTGGGGAATTGTAAGGTCAGGGAACCGGTCTAGCTTGCTTGTACCCGTTCATAGGTGTGTAATCGATTGCAAACAAGTGCGACGGTCAACTGGGGCCAGTATTTGAAAAAAAAGCCAGTTTTTTCCAATGCTGATCGGCCGATAAGCGTTGGAAATTGATACAAAAATACCACTTTTCTTGAAAATGACAGTATACCAGGTGCCATGATTTTACAGGATGCTTTACACTGTCATTCACTAACAGTCCAGCAAGGTATTTCAAAATGATTTGGTAGTTTTATTTTTTGATGTTTGCAAATGTTGTATTTTCCCTTTAACTGTGAACCACCGAAAGCATTTTGTATTCCTCTCCGATGATGCATTCTTGGATTTTAGCCCTTTTTTCCCCAGAGCCATATGGGCGTGTGAGTCTCCTGTACAGATCACTATGTAAGGGCACATGTTGAACTAGGTCGCATTCAATGTGTTAAGCTTCATTTTCTGGCCATTCTTTTCCCAGATATTACCCCTCCTGAGATGACATGCCCCCCTGCTCAGTTCCATGTCCTGCCCCTCGGTGAATCAACAATCAAAGTCACTGTGGAGACTCCTACAGCTACTGACAATTCAGGTAAGAGTAAATGCCTGTTGATATGGGTTGCAGCACAGCAACACTTGTTTCATACGTGGGCAATTCCACTCTAATGGGCCCAAAAGTGTGACATTTGAGAAGATCTTTGAGTTTTGATAATAAACTAGAATCTTGGTCTCTCAATTTTTGCTGTAAACATTGGAGGCTGTGAACACCTGCAAAGGATATAACTGGTTTTGTATTTTAAAAAATATGGTGGATATTGTTTTTAAAAGTGTTACATACCTAACAAAGGACAGACATTTTAGATAAAGTCACAAAGAAAGATAAAGTCACAAAGAAAGAAAGCATAACATTTAATGATCCGCTAATGTTGTCTGATTTAAGAAGATGTACCCTGGAGGAATGCTATCAGTCAAAACCTAGACAGGTCAGAGTCAATGTGAAGAATTATTTGATATTTTATAATCGGAATTTATACTGGACATTTGTCACAAAATGTCTGTCCCTGTTTGTACGTAACCTTAATCACATCCTAACTTTGAAGCCAGTGCAAAAACTTATCTATTTTTGTTTGATAGCAATGTAAAATGGGTTGATGATGTCAAATGAAAGTGCCTATTAGAAACTGAATTTGTCCTAAGCACCCTTTTCCTTGCAGTGTGTCTGTCCATGTTACATACGTATAACACAGAAAATATACCTGTTATTTTCTCAAATAAAAAAGACATCATCTCTTGTCTTTCTTGTCCTAGTCACTTTCATCTTAGCAAGGAATAGGAAAAAACTAAAGAAAACACTAGCTCATCTTTTACCCTTTATATGCAACATCCATAAACATAACTAATTGGTCCATTAGTGTGGAATTGCCCACATGTCATTGAGTTCCATGCTAGAACGGTAGAAGGTACCTTGTGACCCAAGCTGTGTTTGCATTTTACTTTTGTTGTGGTAAATTCACAAAGACAATGGGTACTTTCCCACATTTAAGTCCAGTGGGTACAGCTCAGAAAACTACCCCTTGTACACTTTTGCTGAGATCACTGATAACTTTGACCAGTCAGGTCCATATTCCCTGTGATGATAAGAGCAGTGAAGCAGCATAGGAAGGCTGAACATCAGGCTACTGGTCACACTACAGTAGCACATTGTGCATGCTGATGCTTGACACCTTAGCCTGGCCAGTCTGTTTCACGTTTTTGTAACGTTGTGAGTTTTATGTTAAGACGAGCAAGGACATAGGAAGATCAGCTGTGGATGCCTATTATCGACAGCTTAATTAGTGAATATTACTTTGTTTATTTTTTTTCCAGTCAGATGTTCAAGTGCAAACATTAAGAAGATCCAGCTTTTTAAATATTCCTATTGTCTCGGCAAAAAGTCCCATGCAAACACAGCTTTTACTCACTGCCACTTTGTCCGTGTTTTCATCAAGGTGTGACCCCCAACATCACTGGTGCTAGCGTCAGACAGCAGGATGTTGGACCTGGCATCATTTATTTCAATTTTGAGGCTACGGACACAGCAGGGAACACTAAACAATGTACAACTGAAGTCACTGTCAGAGGTAAACATGCAGTCTGCTATTCACAGTACAGTGGACAAGCATTGCATTCACTGAGTGGACTTCCAAACAAAAGATGTCCACATAAACCAGGTTTCAGATACGTTGTGTGGACTTGCACACGTCCACACAAGGTTTCCCCCTCTCTGGAAAACAGGTTTAGAAGCATTTTGGGGTTAGGCTTATCCGTCGCAAATGAAGAAAAACATTCAAAAAAATCATAGAAAAAAAATTTGGGTTGAAAGAGTTTTCACAGTAATGAGGAAAATGAGTTTTTTTCACAGGCTTTTCTTAACTACATGAAAACAAAACAATGTCCACACTAGGTATGTAACGTAGCTAATCATTGGCCCTTTAATTAATTGCATGTTATTCTAAGGAAATAAAATTTAAATGCCAAGGTAATAGTTCTAAGTCACCTCAAGTTAATCATGTGTCAATCACATGTCAATCACTTGTCAATCACTTGTCAATCACATGTCAATCACATGTCAATCACATGTCAATCACAATGCAATCATTTGTCAGTCACATGTCAATTACGTGTCAATTACATGTCAATCACGTGTCAATCACGTGTTAATTTACAAGTCCATCACAAGTTCATCAGAAGCCATCCATTGTAAGATCAACGATAAGCAATGATAAATGTCATTTTTTTTATCCTCTGTTACTTGTCACCTTCCTTTTGATTTGACTTGGGATTGACTTTTGCCAACCTTATTTGAATATCTGGCCATTTTTTGTCCATGTGAAGTTGAAAATGCAAAACATTGAGGTCGTGCACTTGGCCTGAAGATTGTACTCTCTGTTTCTCCTGCTTGTCATCAGATCTTGAAGCACCAAGGGTACTGAGTTGCCCTAATGATACAGCGGTGGAAGCCCCCACCCTGCCTGTCACCCTGCAGTGGGAGGAGCCAGAGTTTGATGACAATGTTGGCATGCCTCACGTCACAAGCAATTTGCCCAATGGTCATCAAACATATGGATGGGGGGACGTAGTTGTGACATATACAGCGACTGACGTGGGTGGCAACTCAAACATCTGCAAATTTGTCTTTTCAGTTGAGCAAGGTGAGTAATTAGTGGGAATTGAACCTTATAACATTTGTGTATAATCTTTTAATCTTGTTCTTCCCAATACTCCTTTCTTCATGAATCTAATATTTCCTGATGCTCAAGGTCTACAATCTGTCTACAATCTACCATCAGTATACCGATGGTCACAGGTTCTGATCCTGCTCCAGGTGTGTTCTTTGTTGACCCCATTTCTATATTTCATTTCACAGATTTGAATTGTCCACCACTTCAGCCCCCTCCTAATGGAGCATTAGCCTGCGAGAATGGCGATTACTGCACTGTGCATTGCAATGAGGGTTACGTGTTTCTGGACAGGACGCATCCCCGAGATGTTTACATCTGTTTACCTTCAGGCCACTGGAGTCATGAAGCCCTGCAGGGAGGCATGGCATACCTACCTGGCTGCTCAAAACGTTAGTGTTGCACGGTTGGAGGCAGTTACATAATACCAGTTAAACTAAACTTTGCCTTTTAAACCATATGGTTTTCACTTCTTACATTATGAAGGACAAGACATCGTACTTGCACATCATGATAGTTCCATAACTATAAGCTCCATTTATGTTCTACAATTCCACACAAAACGTATAAAACCAAGCTAAAAACAATTGTAGCTTTTGACATTGTCGCTTTTGACATTGTTTCTTTGAAAACAAAATTTATCCAGAAAAGTTGGAGCATGCATAATTACTGTTTGAGTTTAGGAACTAAGCAAGTCAGGTATTTCTTATACTAAGGTTTTCTTTTTTGCGGCAGCCAGTGTTCTAGCTAGGCATTCAATAGCGCCATCACCTGCCACACTTTTGGAAATTGCGCTACGTTTAAATCGCAACGCTACGCTATAACATTTGCCTGCTTTAATATGTCCTTGCGTTTTGTTAATTTCTTAGTGTTACGCAGGCTAAGGCGGCAACTTCGAATGTAGCACAAAGGCCTTACAATACAGCGAGAAGTGTTGAAAATAAATAACGATGGTCTAGATATGTGAACAGATTTGCTGATTAATTAGGCAAGACAACCGCCTCTTGACCTCTAGATTTTGACCAATCAGCGGGTGCTTTCTATATCCAGTCTTCGATCATTCACCCGTTGCACGTCATAGACAGTGTCACACGCTCTGTATCATGTTACGCGATATTCACCGGGCTGTTGTTGTTTTACAAAACACTGCATTGGAATTAACCAATCAAACCATTTAGTCCTGATTTGTGAATGAAATAACATCACGATGTACTAAAGTCTACTCTGATTGGCTGGCGCGCGGCTTGCATATATCTGCATGTCTAAACATATCAAACGTTATACAGGAGACTTGGCTCAGTGGATAAATGGGTTATACTCAGACTTCCTATGTACCTACCCGTTAAAGTAAGCCTACACAATCATACCGTACGAAGAACTAGAGTACAATGCTAGCGCACGGGTCCATACACGTGTGCACGTACTTGTCACAAACAGTGCTCTTTGGACCACATCATTTGCGGTTAAGGGGTGTACTTTCATACAAACAAATACATATCCGTGTTTGAAAATGAGTTCTTCAACGGCACCATATAATTTTCATACAGGATTTCTTCTAGAAAGGATGTAAAACTAAAAAAAAAAGTGTTTAGGTGTGGAGTAAGCAATGTGATTGCTCTTTTGTTTTTGAATCAATAAACTTATTTTTAAATTTGAATTCAATGTGTAATTAAACACACTCTTCAAGCAGTTTGTTCTACTAGTACTTAATGTTGATAGAATAAAAATGTCAGCTTTGACAAAACACAGAGGAAGTAATTGTAAACATCAGAAAGCATCCTTTCAACAATTTACAAATTATGTCATTCACATGATACAATCCCTTTTCTAAAATAAAATGGAAAAAAAATCAGATGAAAGTACAGGGTTCTCAAATTTGAGTGCTTAAAACTTTATACAAAGAACATTATAGGCCTATTCTAAGCAATAGAAATAAATTCTCCTTATAATCGTACAAACTTTTGCTCAAAAAATTGGGGAGAAAGTGGCCAGGAATTGCCTGAGATTGGGCCACAGAGCATCTAGAATCCAAAATTTGTCAGGGCCCTTAAGTGGGCCCTGGACCACACGCCATAAGGGCTTCGCACTCCACACTCGCATTAGTCCTTGAGAAAATACCCCAAGTTTTAATTTTACCCTGGCTAGAACATTGCCAGCACCTCCCACAGTGAGTTATTGTAACTTCACGTGACATGTTTAAACGTTGACCAATATTAAGAGAGATGTGTTTACTCATAAATGATTAGGATGTGTAATCATTCCATTCCTCCACAATAATTATGCAGGAGAACCACGGACGAGAGTGCGATGGGAGCGAACAGACAGATATGTCTTCAACTTGCATCACCTTCAGGGCAGCTGCCAGAGCCAAACCCAGACAATCCAGGACAATTTCATCGAGCTCTTCATGAGGAGTCATTTTGGGGTACGATTCCAGCAACCTTACCCCCAGGTTCTACTCATAGCCTTGCACTTTGATGTAGACCTTGGAAGTGTTCCTGCATGGTTTCCTTTAATCGGATCGGTTTTGATAATAAACAAAAGGATGAACCAACCATCCCTTATAGGCACAAGGGAGCCTCCTATCATGAATATTAATTTTCTAGAACACATTGTATGTTCAAGTGGCTTTCCCTAGTGTACTCGGTGATATTTAAATGGATTAGCCATGAGAGCTGGGTATAATTGAACACTCACTTTATACTCGTGCAAGTAAATACCAAAAGGTCAACCAGTCCTGGGTTTTGTACTGTGATTCTTCCCTCAATTGCAGTTGTCATATTGGGGACGTTGTCTTATCCAGAGCAATGGCCTCCGTCGTTTTAAATCCAATTTAGAATTTGATATAAACCAATGAAGAATAGAACAATAGAGGTTACCTATATGCACACTTGGATGAAAAGAGGCAATAAGCCATTTGCGAGTTAAGTTTGAATAAAATCTGGAACGCTGACTTAATTCAATGCTTTGCATGTTTTTACTTTGCATTATCCCGACCAAAGAGACTGTTACTATATCACAGGGCAAGCCTTGTGCTAGCAACCCCCAGCTCCGGCATGGTCTGGTGTCTTTGTGCCATTCTCACCCATTGTGAACAATGTATTGGTGCTGAGCGTCTCTTACGTAACTATGCAAGAGCTTGCCCCGAATCATTTGATTAGCAACAGTGTCTTTGGTCTGGAGAATTCAAAGTTAGTGCCCAGCATTCTGAGTAAGTCAGTGTACCAGATTTTTTTCAAATTTAAATCCCAAAGGGTATAGGTCACCCACAAGTGGCTTATTTGGGTGAAGTGGCTTGCTGAAGGACACAATATGTGGCCAGCAGCTGCATTCCAACCTCTGACACCCGAGTCACAAGCCCCAAGCGCCAGAACACATTCCTTTCTGGAAGTCCATGTATTTAGAGTGATACAGCAAAGTCAATGATTTCAGGCATTCTCATTGTCAACTTTGAACATTCTTTTGTTAAACTAGTAATTTGTTTGGATATTTCTTTCAGTACTGCCAAGTGGATCCGGAAAATAACTGTAAAATGGAGAATATTGTTGTTACCTGCGGAGAAACCACGGATGGTAGTCGGCGGCGTCGACGCCAAGCTCAGGATGATCCAGTAGTGAATGTAGACATTTCCAGCACCATTGTTATTGAAAGGTTTGTGCGCAATTGTTTATTTTTATATACTGTTTATTAAAGAAATAAATGTGTGCTTGGGAGGTGTTAAACACTATGTTTACGACTGGTTGGAGTCTGGAATGCTGATAAGTACCCGAGGCAAAGCCAAGGGTAATTATCAGCCTTCCAGACTCCAGATCTTAAACATAGTGTTTAATACCAACCAAGCATATATTTATTCCCATTCACAAATACCTTGCAGTGACTCAAAACTTTTCGGTCCAAAAGACAAAACAAGTCAAAAAATTAAATTTTACAACAAATTTTACTTTCTGTTTTTCGAAACACCCCTCTAGCTGTATAACGGAGTGTCCAGCTCGCAAGTAAGAAAAAAAACTCCTTTTAAGGAGATTGCGATGACGCGCAGATGTAGCTGTGGTGAGTGCGTTTGCGAATGCCTACGTTAGTATTGTAAACGTTCAACCAATAAAATTGTGGGCACTGGATTACATGGAATTCCAAATTTTATGTGACACTGGAAAAGTGTTTAAGACCAGTCAGCTATGTCTTTATCTTCCATTTAAGACCGGCCACGTGACGGGCTCTCTACCAATGGGAATAAGTAACTGTCTTATTTATTTATGAATAGTTGTTTATGGTGACATATGGAAAACTTAGAAATTGGAAGAAGACTTGTAATTTCACCACGCTAGTTTGTAAGGAAGGGGAGTTGTGACAACAATCTTGTGACAAATCATCAACTTAAGGGCAAATAATGGGAAAGAAATGTCACATTTGCCACTCGATTCTGCCACAGTCGTGGAATTGATGTGTGACACATTTTAAAGATTGGGTCAAACTAACAACTTTTTTTGAGTTTGGCAGTTTCAAACCCCTACAAATATATTTCGGGTTTTGCACGAAATAACAAAGTATGATCGTAGTCCTTTCACCGTAGGTCATTTTCTGTTAATCTACCTGACGATTTGCTCTTCTCCTCTCAGAAATGACACAACAAACATCAGCTCCGTTCTTTCCGTCTTGAACACTAACGCCAGCGACATGTGGGGGCAGGAGAGCGTGACCCTTGACCTGCCGGGCAGCACCACAGCAGTATTGGATCGGGACCAGTCAGAAACAGGAGCGTTGAATGTGATATGTGGTGATGGAATGGTGGCATCAGACATGATATGTGGTAAGATATTTTCTTTAATAGTAGGCAGGATGCCAGACCAATAAGTTGTGGGGAGTGTAGATTAGAAATTTGCAAAGTCACCTCATTTGATTTCAGTAATTTATACAAGATATTTAGGAAAATTGTGTATATTTACATGTAAGACAACCGCAATTAAAATCGTTCAAACAATAAGCACATTTTTTGATGCTGTACAGAAATGGAGCCTTTACCCTCAAGAAAGGTTTTTGTGTATGTTTAGTTCTGGTGAAATGCATTGAAGGTGTCAGGCAAGTGATGGATGAGGAGGAGGATTGGAGTCGTCATCAGCCTTCATCAAATGATGATTCAATAATTCAGACATTTACCATAAACACTGTTTATGTTTTGCATGCTGGCTGCTAGTGTGAATATGCAGAGCTAAGTGACATTGTTTGCAAGACATGTGGCATAGTCACATTGCTTTAATATTGTGGGGCAATTCCCATTGGACTATTTGTAAAACTGTAAAACTAAGCTCACTCTTTTGAAATCATCTGCAATGGCTGGTAGCCGGCCTGTAATTCTTTAACAGTAACTTATCAAGGATGTTATTCACCAGGTGTTGTGTTGTCAGAGTCATAGTCCAGTCCATCACATATCCACATACATGTTCATTCCCAATCCAGTCATATATAAGATCACAATTATAAACTGCTGATGAGGAATGCCTTTGTCACAACTCATTTGAAAAGTATGTGACTTGACTTGATACTGGAGGACTTGTGATGGACTTGTGAGGACAACTCTTAATAGTTTTGTGCTTCTTACATGAAATCACAACAGTTGTATCCCCCCAAAAAGGTCCAACAGTACCACAGTAAGTGTAACTGATGTCTTCCTCGTCTGTTGAATCTTTTCTCCATGCATCTAGTGAACTGTCCGAGTGGTACTCGTTACAAGCTGAGTATCGGTGACTGTGTGCCATGCGGCAAGGCTACATACCAAGATGAAGAGGCACAGTTAACCTGTAAGCTGTGCCCTCCAGGCACCACAACGATTGGAACAGGAGCGTTTCAGTCAGCACACTGCCAAGGTAGGTCTGCAAAGGGTTGACTTGCTGACATAGATCATCAACCACCGAATGAGTGGCCCAGATGAAGAGTTTTGTTGCTTTCAAGTGTGAATATTCCGATCATATCTCTATTACAAATTCTTTTCTTTGTGTTCGTTAAGTATCTTCAAAATTATTAACATACAAATAGGTTCACATCTCACAAATGCTATATATTCAGGTTGAACATAACCAAATGAGAGTTAATATCAAAGGCTCTCTATCTATGATAGTCATAGTCATTTTGAGACTAAAATCACCTTTTATCAGAGCTATAGTCGCATACAGTTATAGATGCATATTGCATACATTGGCAGTGTCCAGTGGTGGATGTGATATTTGTGATCTTAAAAAAAGCGGTTCATGAAATTGTATCCCTTTTCACACGATCAAATGTTCTCAATCAACAAAACCACATGGAGGCAATGAAGAGACTGATAGCTGATAGATTTGCAGTAAGACTGATGTGTGTTTGTTTCAGCAATGTGTCCCCCTGGTCAGATCTCATACTGGGGTGTGGTGCCTTGCAGCAAGTGCCCCATTGGCTCCTACCAGCCTCGTAGGGGTCAGCATGGATGTGAACCTTGCCCCGATGGAATGACCACTCGCATCACAGGAGCTACTACCTTCTCACAATGCTTAGGTAAAGCTTTTATTATAACCACACTTTTGAATATCTTGTTGGATGCTGGAATGCTGGAATGCTCTATCCGGTTTTAGTCGGGGGATTTTTCAAACACAACGTTACATGGGATGCCACTTACCCTCATGGGTGTGTAAATGTGATGAATCGATTTGAATCACAGCAAACCATGATTGTATTCTGCTGTGCTATGGGATTGTAGGAAAGCTTAACCCTTTTACTGCAATTGTTTTAGACTCTGTCTCAGGCCTGTCGTCAAGGAGGGGCCTGGTGAGGCCGGCCCCCCTTGGCGAGCAATTGGCCCCCAACGGCAAAAGCCGTACATTTGTATTTTTGTATTTTTACGGTAGTGGGCCCACCCAGTTGGTGCTTTGCCCCCCCCCCCTCCCCCACCGACGCTCAGGGCTGGCGACGGGCCTGCTCTAGCTGTCTAGAAATTGAAGATGGTCCTGTGTGGTCTTTGAGCCAGTGGACACACATCATGTGTATAAACTGGTTCATGTATATAAGGCAGAAAGCATATATGCATATATAAAACATAATAGTCAACTGAATATGTACATGTAGTGTAGTGTCTTGGCATGGGAGGTGCACATCTGTCTCTGGGCTTTTCTGATGACATTGCTTATTTGTCTTCTACCAGCCTCTGGTGTGCGACCCACTCTGCGACCACTAGACACCACCACCCAAGTTATCCAGCCGACTGTAGCTCCAGGTAAGAGTTCAAGGGGATGACGGGATGGGGCACAATCACTAGAAGGGAACTAATAACCCCCTTCCCAATTTGTTGCAATTATCGGCAAAATCATTATTTATGTCACTAAAAGATCTAGAGACCACCATTAACAGTGCCATCTGGTGTCAGATTGTGTCTAAGGCCAAAAATCCACGTGTCTGTTTTCGACGTGCAATAGTGTTATGCTTTTACAACGGGTATCCGTGATGCGTTCTCTGAAAATCCATATTTACGTATTTTTCTGCACACGTGACGGACAGTAAAAGCTCAAATAGAGAGCATGCAGCAGATTTGCGAGTAGAGAAATCAAGTCTCAATTAAATTTGGATTAGCTTTGGCAAAGCACATATTTTAAAAAAATAAACATTGACAAAATTTAACTTCTCAAAAAAAGGACACGATATGAATATTCAATGTTTTATTGACTGAGAATTTGAAAATAAAAAACAAGGTAGGCCCAAGTTTGTGTCAATAAGATTAATAGATAAAGTGCTTCCTTTTAAAGTCAACCATTAATAGTTCTCTTTTTACCCCACTGTACCACATTGTTTCTGCTATTTGCAATCACAAACAACCTTAAATCTGATAAAAGATTTTAGGCTTTAGGTTTGCGGTAACACCATGTGGTAATAACTACTGTGGCTCAGTAGATATTTAGGCCCTGAGTTGGAACCTTCAATCTGTATTGTATGTGTCATCCATTTTAATTGCTACCTGAAGCGTATACAATTTCAACGGATAAAGCACTATAGATAGTGCAGTGCACAATAAGCATACATGACCGTATGCGTGTTGCTTTTCAATTTGACCTTACAATTCCCCAAAGTCTATAAATTGCTCCGTTTCATCTTAAGAGGGGTTAGGGAACCAGACTACAAGAACATGATTGGTTTTCTTGGTTTTTCCAGCATCTACAAGCCCAAAACGTCAAACAAGTCAGTTTAACAATATTTGCAATAACATACTAATCCGAGTCAAATCCGTTTATTTCTGAAAATTGAAGCAAAAGCAAATGTTGTACAGTAAACTCCGGCTAAGACGGCACTCTCGGGACCAGAGAATTTGTGACGACTTACGCGAATGTCGGCTTCTGCTGCAAGTCGTCATTTTGCCGACTTACACAAATACACAAATTGAATCACGGAGTGAAAAAAATAGATTGAATTAATGGCCTATGCGCATCTGTATCTGGATCATGCAAACAAGATTCATGGCTAAAATTCAAAGGCTTCGATTTACCCTGGTTTATTTCTACATCCATGGTTGATTCCAGCAAATATACCCTCAATGTTTATCATCACAAACAGGCTGTGGTAATGATCACAGAAAGTCATGCATGTACATGTACGTACGTACGAAGCAAGGACGGCGCGGCCGGCTAGCGTTAACAGTGGTACGATATACAGATCACTTGCATACTGTACGTCCATTTACATGTAGTGTACATTGTGCACGTACGTACGTGTACAGTCACGAATTAAAAGTGTACATGGTACTGGTACAATAAGGGGACCCCCAAAATGAACAGAGCGCATGCTTGCAGTCGAGAGGGGGAACTGGTATTGATGGTACGGAATGGACATGTACTTCGTGTAAGAGAACGATGCACACAATGTACAGACTGTGCATGAAACAGTGTGTACATGCGATTAGTGTACACGTGCTGGCCGATGCATCAATCACGGGCCGTGCCATTGATAAACAGATGTCAGTTAGCAGTGTGTGGGACTTTTCACTCGACACTTCTTACAAACCTCAGAGCACGATGCCGACTTATACAGAGGAATTTGTGTGGTTTTGAGGAAATGGGATTGGGTGCAACATGCCGATATAGGCGAAATGACGGCTTACAAAGGCCGTCTTAGAAATGAAAATGTCAATGGAAATACATTAGAGACAATCGGGACTTTCGTCAGACGGCCGATTTAAGCGATATGACGGTTTACACGATGTCGGTTTAGCCGGAGTTTACTGTACATTCCTTTAATGCATGACGGACACATGTATTTTCGGCCTAAATCTGTTTCCTTTGAACACCCCTCTCCCGGGTTTGTCAGATGATGTCAAGCTCCCCTTATCTCCCCCCCCCCCTTTCCTTTGTGAATATCTTGCCATCAGTACATTTGAGGCTACGTAACTGCCTATCATGGTCTGTCAACAATTGTGTGGTGACATCTGCAATATAAAGTAGTTTAGCAATGCCAGTGGTGCTGCCTTGTGTCTAAAGCCGTGTTCCCATTGGACTTTTTTTGGTTAAATTACCGCGACTTTTCTGTAGAATGACAAAATTAAATCCAATGGGGACACACGGTAAACTGACGTCCCTGTCAACTTACCGCGACCGTGATGTAAAACTAACAGGCCGAAAGAGGACGCGGAAGACTTCCGCGCAGCCACGGTAACTTAACAGGGCCGCTAAAAAGTCCAATGGGAACGCTCCGCGCTGTAAACCTACCGTGTCCACGCTGTAAAACGCTATGCAAACAACAATACTTCCTGTATACACAGAATTAGCGCGAAAATGGTAGTATGGTTCCCTGTCTCGTTTGCACTGATGGCGGTGTGATATTATCATCGTACCGTAACACAGCGTGTGTAGCATGCACTACGCTCAGCTGCAGCGCTTTTTTCAATCTCGTCCAGCTGCTGCAGTTTCGCTACTTTGTTGAGTTGTTTGTAGTACAATGATCTTTGTGTGCTAGCATCGCGTCGCGTCAGTGTTGACGTTGACGTGGCCGACTAAATTCAGCGCGCGAAAAATACGTCACAGGCACGTCATATCCCGCATAGGTCAAAGGTGACTGTGCACAGCGCCCGCAATGTGTGACATTCTGCCAGTCTCGAACAGCGAATGAACCGTTCCGTCGCGGAATATAAGTCCAGGTGGGAACGCACGGTAGAATTACACCAAAGCCAGTCACGGTAACTTTCTGCGTGGCCGCTGAAGAAAAAGTCCAATGGGAACACGGCTTTAGATGGTAAACCTAAAGAGAATATATACCTTAATTGGCCAACATGTTTGCTTGGTTTGAAAAGAGGCTGCACTGCAGGATTCAGAACTTGACCGAGTTCTAACGAAATACATGTAACTTAGCCAGCCATCAAAGACACAACAGATTCGTTTTGCAAATATAAGGGAATCTTGTATTGATATGTGTAACACCTGTAGATAGAGCTGTGTGGCCAACGCACCAGAGCCACGCACTCTTGTTTTACTATACTCCCGAGGACCATGCATTGTGTTTCCCTTTGTCCCTGTAATATAACACTCTTCCATAGTCTAAGCACACGAACCAACTACAGAGGACCGTTTTGAACAAAAGACCCAACTCCTGAGGACTGAAAGGATCTGTTGTTCTCCCTTTGTGTGTTTGTCCTCGGTGGTTATGTATGTGAAGAACACGTACAAGGATGCATATATTGTCTGTAGACAATAGCTTATGTGCATGCGAATGTTCATCATACCATTAACAACTTTTTGTAGGGGCGAGCAATTGCATTATTCCCTGCCCCTCTGTTGACATTCGGCTGGGCAGTTAATGTCAATTCAGTTGTGCACATTCCCCCCCCCCCCCCTCCCTGAGTGGGAGCAACCAGATAAGTCTAGACAACCTTTAGCGGAATCCGGCGACCTAAATTTGAAGCTGTTACTGCAGTGGTACCATGCTCGTCTTAAAGACAAGGCACGCACACATTTTGGTAAGCAAATGGCTGTCACTGGATTAGTCTATAACAAAGATAGTAAGAAACAATATATACAACATCATGGGTGATGTGACATCAACATAAAGCTCCATTTTTCAAAAGTTGTATATCCAGTCAAGCACAAGTCCAATTTGCTCGAAACTTCGTCTGTAGGTACATATGTAGGGTGTTTTATGTTAGGTCATAAAGATATGCAAAGAATTGCAAAATTGTATGATGTCATCATGATTTCAAACATGTTTTTAGCAACAAACTTCAATCACTGTGAAACTTGGTGGGTACCAGTGTTGTAGTACTCGTACTCGGTACTCATACTCAAGTACTACTGTAGTACTTGAATGTTAAAGTACTCCATTCGAAATGACGGTACTCATACTCGGGCAGCAAAGTACTTGTACTCGACATGTCGAAATTGTACTCGATCATCAAAGTACGCGTATTCTAATAGCAGTACTCGAACAAAAATTGGTATAGCCTGACTTACCACGACCTTATTTTATCGATACTTTCAGTTTGAAATGGTTGATTGCGGAGAAATCGAAGTTTTCTGATTTTCCTCTGTGCACATCCGGGCAGACTCATACTTAATAGCTAGCTGTGAGTGGGTCTGCATATCAGTCTGACTGGGCCTGGGCCAATAACGCACAATGAACCATTTGCCGTATGGCCATATTCGGAAATAGAAGTACTCGTACTCGGAATACAAGTACTCATACTGGTACTCGTACTCGGAAGTACAAGCACCCGTACTCGGAGGCCTGTACTTGTACTCGGAAGTACAAGTACTTGTACGCATTAACCTAAGTACTTAGCAGTACTTGGTATTCGGGAAAAAAGTACTCGACTACAGCACTGGTGGGTACCTAGAATGTTTTTAAATGTTTTTAAATATTTGTCTACTTGCAAAATTGCACATTATCTTCAATGAGATCATCTTGGAACTCTATAAAAACAACTATATCCAAATAGGAATGTGCTATTCATTATATTTTCTTTTCAAATTCCTTTGATTTGAGCTTTGGAAAATTTGTGACATCACCATAATCACTTTGACAAGGTCTGATTGTCTTGAAAATTTCAGCTAATATCACTTCATCATCTGAAAGCCCTGCGTGCGTTGTGTCTTCAAAAGACGCGGACCTTTTATAGTTTTACGTTTTCCCATCGTTGGTTTCCGTTTTAAAATTTCATCAATGAGATTTAACCAGTTGGAATAAATTTGTAGAATGAAAAAATGTAATGTTATTCTAATGTATTTTTCCAGTCTTACAAAATGTGCAACCTGCTAGTTCAGAAACAGGGTTGCACTTGCAGTCAACATTTAAAACTTTGGTCTATGAATTTGCCTCCCATTGAAAACAAAAATGGGGTGCCAAATCTCTGATGATTTGTATGCCTTTTCATAATTTTGCACAACAAATGGGGTGTTCAAAATAGTTCAAGGGTGCTAGAAAGATTCCCAGACAGCTTTCTGGCCCAAAACGTTGTTTTTAACACTGCAGTATTAATGATTGAAGGAGAGATCATATCAGGTCAGGCTAGACCCAGCAAGACACCTGCTTATTGGATCCATCCAGCTGCAGTGTTATAGATAAATCCACCCTGTCTCGTCAGCTTGGCACTTCCAGCTGTCAAGGAGCCAACACATATGACGGGATTGCTTGGTTGCCCTGCAGCAAACATGCAGTTGTCAGCAATCATTACACAAACTAATTGGAAATCTGACATTTCCCATTGGAACTAACTTCAAAATGGATGTTTTGTCAGTGTAATGCATTTTCTTGCAATTTCGCTCTGTATCTGATACTACAGTATTTGTGTAGTAAAATACCAAGTACTGTACTAAAACCAAGTGCAAAATTAATATAATCTAGGGAATTTACCTGTTCTTTGTTAAATTTATGAACTTAAATTTTAATTTCAATGACTCCCTTTAACTACCTTGCCCAAAATTATCAAAGATACACACCAACACATAAATAGAAAAATTTAGCCTTGGAAGAAAAAAAAACAAAATTACAGGTAACAATATTGTATCAAAACAACCACAGAGAATCTTCTGTCTACATCAGTTCTGGGCTAATGAAATTAGTACAAAAACAAAACCCTTCTTTTTTGTTTTCTTCATGCGTAGTGGTGTTTCCGTGTGCATGTCTGTGCTTCAGCAAGCTACTTGACTAAAAACCTGAGAAGCCTCTGTAAACACAGAGCCAGGAAAGCATGTTTTGTTTTGGCCAGCGGACAGGCTACATTTGAAAACTGAAGAATTTCAACTGGAGTTTTTTTTAGCTCAACGAGGTATTACGTTCCTGTTTGTGCATAGGAAGAAGATATGGGAAATATTTTGGAATCGAACAAAACAACCTTTATGAGAATGAATAGTTCAAGTAAAGCTTTCATTTTCCATTAGCCTTTAAGGATATAGCCACATAATGAATATTACATTGAAAAAAAAGCAGTTATTTGCGTTTATACATGTACTTTGTGGTTTGACTTATGTACATCCTTTGCAAATCCAGTCAAGTAAAGTTGGATTTGTGTGCGTAGTTACATGTACAAAATAATATTTGAGGTTTAATAAAAGTAATTTCTGAACCCTATTTTAGAACAGTAGTGCATGTTGCCTTGTTTACAATGGTTCGATGCATTCAATTTCCATCAGCTGATTGGGTTTTTTTAATCAGGACATCTTATATCTTGGCTCAATGCCAAAATGTCTTTGTGCAATCAATTATTTTCTGGCAACCTTTCCAAAATTCAATGACAAAAAAATAATTACGGTACATATTTTTTCTTGTTATATTGTGAGCATTTCAATAACTATTTGTTGGGGCAGTAAGCAAAAAGACTATTATTTGTTGTTTCATACAAATTCCCTCGGTACATTTGTTGGAGAACAGATATGGATAAATGTCAATGGATCATGAAATGTATTTCAGTCTCATATTTGGGGGGTGCAAATAGCATACTAATGCTAATAGCATTAGGGTTCAAAATTTAAATGTTTATTACTTCACCATTTACTTCCTTAAAAAAATATGCTGTGACATAGAATGTTTGCACTTATCATCCTAGCAGACAGTTCATTATTGTCTCCTAATAATAATGCTTGTCTGGGCAAATGTGCCTTCTGTTGCAATATTTTCCCAGAATTGTCAATGAGGTGCTAGGAAAATAGAAGTGGCACAGAGGGCTTTTAATTGACAAGGAACGCACCATCTAGTAGCAGGATGGGAATTGTTGACCTGTCTCTCAGCTAATGATAAGATATGTCCTGTTGACAATCAGAGGATGGAATTGCTTTTCTGAGTTTGTGGGGGGGGGGGGAATCAGGTCACACTTGGGAATCGCTAAATGTCAAGAATTGTGGGGGTGTGTCTTAGGGAGAATCAGGTTGCAGGGATTCTTTACTAAACAAGATTTGTGTGAAATCTAAACCTCCAGTCAAAAGAATCTATCACCTTGTGCAGAGAGGATTGTCTTTCCTTATCTTTGACGTGCGGATACTGAAATCTAATCAGTCATTGTCCGTTTCCAATTCTAATCGGATGATGCCAATGATCAAATTTCCAAGTAGTGGGGGGAAAAACATCTACAATCCTAGCAAAAAAAATACAAAAATACAAAAAAAAGAGCAAAAAACAAAAGTCAAAAACACATGCGAATAGCACACTCAACACAAAGTTACCATTGACTTTGACAAAGGCCTTTTTTCACAAGTTCTTCGTTTTATTGATTGCAATTGATTTTGCCAAGTATTGATTTATTTTTAAGTGTAGGAAGCATTTGCTCAAAAATCACTAAGTGGTTTTTTTTTGAACTTACGTTTTGCAAACTTGTGTTCATTCTGTAGTTATAGTAATTACCCTGGATTGGACATTTGGGAGATATCCCCATAGACTTGTTCACAAAATTTTTCAAACTTAAATGTGCCCTAATCCAATTTTCCCTTGTCCTTTTTCCACGCATTTCTGTATTTTTACTAATTAGACAACGTGCAACAAATACAATCTAATTGTGACAGTAAAATTTGCCTCTAAAGGGGGGCTGTAACATAAAGGAAAAATGAAAATGTCTCCTAATGACCGATGTCTCCCATCGTGCAAAGAAATTACGATAACGTGTCTCCTTAGTGGTACCATTACACGTATCACTTTAATGACAAGGGCCAACTATTCATTATTATAACACCTCGCCCACAGATTTTGTCTCTTGATTGGCTGAGAGTGAGTCACATGCATACACTGTATTTACTATCTTGCTGTGCACGGCAAAACAAAATCAACCACTGGAAAAGGACAAAAATACGCGTAGCAAGAATGGGTAGTTTGGAAAAGTGCAAATAAATTGTCAAAGTTCTGCTTTTGTATTAAAATATAGGTACATATTTATTGGATTTTGGTCAAAGTAATCAGTTGTTTCTCAAAATCAAGCAGAATCTGTGGGTAGAAAACAAATATTGACTGCTTTTACTCGAGATGTTTCCATTATATTTCACTCGGCTTTGCCTCAGAAAACAGAATGCTCTTTTAATACCACACCACTCGAAGCAGTCAATAAAATGAGGCATTTCACTATGACAGTATGAGGTTCCAGAAGAAGTCGATTCAGATTCTGGTTTTGTTTAGTCAAGGGGGTTAGAAAGCACATGTAGCTGTGTTGACATAGCTACCGTGTTTAATTGAAGATATACAAGACTTCTAAGACATTTGAACCTAACATGTTTATTCCAAAATAAAAAAATAGATATTTGTGTTAGTTTTTGGACCAATTAACCTACAAGTCTTGCTGGACATGTTTTAATCCATGAATAATTTGTTCAGTATTTTTTTTTTTTTTTTTACACTGGTAGAAAATGTTAGGTGGCAGTGATTATGAAAATGTCACATACTTGAGCCTTTTCTAACAAATTTGATGGCTTTGGCGAAAAAAATCTGAAAAATTGATGTATGCTGAGTCAGCATTGCTGACATGGACCTTATTCACGTGGTAGCCATTTTTGTCATGTTCCCTTAATGTATTTCATAAATTGTTAACTGTTGAATGGGATAGCGCCAGACTATTTAGCCAGACTAAATCTGGCTTAAAGCAGTAGGGAATGTTTAATTACACATTTTGAACTACAGCTTATTCATTTAAGCAGACTTGAATTATTTAGTAATGTACTTGCTTTCATTTCTCTTCGCAAGTTCCAAAACGAAGATTTTACCTCACTTACAATTCAACATGGCAGACTCGTGAATATGGCCCATTGATTATAATTCAAGAACTTCTCAAAGAATGAGCATCTGCTATTGTGGCAGCCTTTTGCACATTCTCAATGCAAGCATTGACCATTCAGGGATTTACGTTTTCCTTTACTATCAAATAGCATCAAGAGAGCCATACTCTTTTCATTCATTTAACACACATTTGTCTGGCCTCTTCCAAGAATTATGATATTTATTCAAGTACATATTTAAAATACATTCCTTTTGATCTGCCAGTTTATTGATTGTTTGTTTGTTTGTTGGACTGTCATGGTGCCTCGCCTCATCTTTTATTACACAAATCTGCTTGCCATGTGGGTTTTTAAAATGATTTATTTTGGCCTAAATTTCTGATTATATCCTTTAATGCTTGTTTTGTAATTGGTGGCCAAAAAAAAAAAAATAGAAATAAAAACATTACAGCGAGGTATACCATCTTCATCAGTTGACCCATCTTTCCATCCACAGGTAAAGCCACTGTGACCCCAACAACCCCTCCCAGCAAGGCCAGCCTCCCCGCCACAACTGGCCAAGGTGATATCATCGGGGTGATCACTAAGACACCAGGCAAGGGTGGGAATGGTGACAACAACACAAATCCCAATGCCTCGGCCCAATTACCTAACCGATTGGTGATTGTCATTGCAGTGGTCTGCGGACTGCTGGCTCTAGCTGCGGTTATCGTAGTGGTGTGTGTTGTCATTAGGCGGTAAGTTGCTAACTAGGACAGGTCTGTGAGTGGGTAGGGGGTATGGACTCATCATGGTCTTGTTGTCATGAGGCTATGGGAGTCGATGTTCTCTTAGCTGGGTCCAAATGTCCACCAAAAGTTCATTCATTACTCACCTTTGCTTAAAAATGGGTTGGGTGCTGGATGGCATGCTCCTGTTTCAGCAATTATGAATAATGTTAATTGATTGTGTTATGATAGCTTTACAGCATTTTCAGGATATTAAAACGTGGCAATAAAATTGCAGATTTGTCCATAGTTACATCGTGAAAAAAGACGTGAAATATATACATTGTATTCCTGGTGAGTTGGTAGGGTTAAGTGGTAGCAGCAGCGGCGGTAAGATGTACAATCTTTCTGCACAATTTCTTGTCTTCCTCCACCCTCCTCTTCCTCCCAGGCGACGCACCAACCCTAAGGACAAGCCCCTGCGTAGGCCTCGCCCAGTCAGCTGGTCAGGGTCTACACGGGCCATGATTCAGGAGGAGGATGATGATGACCCAGACAATGCCTTGGACTTAGTGGCCATCCGCAACCCAGTCTATGGCTTCAATGACTACGAGCCTTGCACATGTTAGTCAGTTTCCGCTTTTGACTGCTGTTCTTACTCTAACCCTGTATGATAGCATAACACCACATTCTTGCAGCAACTGAAATCCAGCATTTGTCAAAGGAGTGGCTGAGGTATTGAGTCAGCACATACTAATAACATTGAGCCAAGAGTTGTAGGATTGGAATGACATTATTACACTCACAAATAAAATGAAAACATTTGACGGACAGAAAGGGGGTTGGTTACCCACTTCAACCACCCCTCTGTCTTGGTAATTGGTTAACCTCTTTCCACCTTTTGTTGTTGATTTGTAATACCTTGTGATCCCTAATCCTTTTTTTCTCTTACACTTAACATATTTGTTGTTGTCACATTTGTCAACCATAACCCCTTCATACCACACATAATACCATTAATACATTATGAGCTAAATGCACTTCTTGTGTAGATTGATGTTCCAAGGAATTAGGGATGTATATAAAGTGGTTATCCCACACATTGGATACACAAACTATCTCCAAACCCTTCACTATTACCCGGAGAGTAGTACCCCAAGATTAACTTATAACACCCCCCCCCCCCCCATGCACCATTAGTGATGATCAAGTCAGCTGGCTAATGGTTCACACATAAAATGCTTTGACAGACTAATTGTTATAAACATTAAGTGGAAGGGATTCTCTGAGAAGACAAAAAGTCAAATGAGCCAGTAATGTTGCACTACCACACTATAGTGTTGGTGTGTCACCTTTTTTTTCTTTCTTTAGCTTTTAAGCCTTTTATACCTCTCAACAGCAGACTATTGAATGGTCTTTCATTTGTGTACATGATGGTAGCTCTTATCTTTCCTATCAGGAATACGCTATATCCAATATTCCAAATGGTAACTTTTCATATATTGAAAAGATACCTTAGGCATAAAAAAAAAGGTTCTGGTTTGCGCGCATGGTCGGCAAAATTAAAAAGTTTTGTTTTTCAATGCAAGATGATGTCTCAAAACTGCCATAATCACTGATTTGACTGGAATGGGGTTACGATCAAGTATAAGCTCTATGTGGCTTCTCTGGGCTCCCATATATTTTGCAGTAAATTTAGGCGGTCACCATTTGCAGACGGTGTTGTAATTTTGTAATTGTGGGTCTGGAAGCCAAACTAAGGGAGCGATGGTCGTGTATCTGGAACCTGTAAATGCTTTTTAATGCAGTGTTGTGTAGCCTCAAACCAAGGCGCTAAATATCTGGGTCCCCGGAGGGACCCCTTACTGTAACTTGTAAGCGTGTTAGTAAATGGGCTTTCTGCATCGGAGGGTTAATTAGCACAATATGTAAGGGAGCATATATGTCTGACTTTACCGTTTTCTCTGATTTTTGTCTTGACTTTCCAAATTTCCCAAAGAATGTTTGTGTCGGTCGAGATCGTAAGTGGGTGCAGAATTCTCAAGCATTATGTCCTTACTGAGGTCACCTCAAGCTCCACCCTGAAGGATATTTTTCAGAGTTTTAAGGGGATCAAAGCATCATCTGCATCATTACATTAGCTGATCGACATTTGAAAAAAAAAAACCTGCGTCGCCGCACCACTTGTGGGGCAATCTCCATACCAGAAACCGGAGACTTTTTGTTGCCTTAGTTTCCCAGAGGCTAATTTAAAATACATCATAGAGATATCAAATGAGAAAAGACTTGTGCATTAGGTGTATTTCCTTGTTCAAACAAAACTATCAAAACCTTTTTAACAGAAATCATTTAAGTTGGGAGAAAGGTATTTCTATTCTCCGCTGACATTTTTTAATTATAAATTTCCCATGACCTCCATCCCCAAACTTTGAATTAAATATTTATCCTGGGAATATTAAAGCACCCTCAGATATTTGCCACTTCTATAAATCAGCGGAACTTCAGTATGACTCGGTCATTCCCCCAGCATTACCTTCAGCGCTGACATTTTAGCATGCACTCTTCCACATCTCATCGATGACGCGTAGATTCAGCTTCAGATAAAACACTAATGTTTTTATTGCATTACTGGTGAAGCAACTTTTGACAAATCTGCAGACATTTCTTTTCCCCCTTTTTTTTCATTCTCTAAATTATCCGGCACCTGCAAATTGACCAAATAATGCAATTTGTTTCTCCATTAGGCTTTTGTCAGCATTGTAGAAAGCGGAGATGTGTCTTGAGTCATGTGACTCCTGCTTGATGGATCTCTATTGTGGAGTTGATCAGGTTTATTGTAGTACACATGTACAATGAATTGCGGTGCAATACAGCAATGTGCTGTCCAATCCTGAGTGGCTGTTGTGTGTTTGGCATGCATAATACATATGTAGCCTTAAAGGGCACCACTAACCAAAAAACAGTTTTTGACACTTTCCTTTTTATGGAAAAATTTAGTTAACTCGAGATACGTATAGACAATTTCTTTTGTCATAGTCCTTTTTAAAATACATGAAGTTTGAAAATTGCAAACAGCGATTGTCCATAATAGCTCAGTGGGAACACAAAGGTCTTGCTTTAGACCGGGGAATCAAACTAACCAAGTAAATGCAATATTATGCATTTTAGACGTTTCCTAGATTTTTTTAACCTCAATTGTATGTTGTAAACAAAGCAAGAAACACACTGATAGTAGTCCTTACATTTTGTTCATGACGACTGGGTTCTACAAAATCAATTGTTTTTTTTCTTGAAGAATCTACAAACGAGCCTTCAAAAATAAAAAAATAATAAAAAAGTAAAATTTTCATCAAATTTTCCATGACTTATTTGAAATAAAATTAATCACTATGCAAATTATAATCATATTCAGATGTATCTTAAGAGTTGGGAAAATTCCGAAGTAAAGTTATCCAAATAGTGGCTTGGATGTGATGAGCTTATCTGTGCAGAGATTTTTTTTTTTTAATTCATTGTTTATTCATAGGAACGGGCGTCCATCAGTCAATGGAATTATGGCATTTGAGTGATTAGATTACATGTTGTAAATTGGATTGAAGACGGCCTTGCATCTCAGCCTCAGCGTCTTCAATGGCATATGTCAGGGGGGAAAAAGCACTTTTGTAAAACCTTCAGTGAGATATTGGCTTTTGACTTCTACTTGCAACCTAGTGAATATTGTTGTGAAGAGTAAATTTTCATTGGCGGACTGTTACATATTTATGACTTTATTGGTTGAATCACGGTGCATATCCATCACATCTACAAGTCTATACACAAACAAAAGTCATCACCTATGATTTTGAATTTAAAATAGTCAATATTAAAATGAGTTTTTATCTATCTACATTTTGAATGAATTTATCGAGGATGAGTCTTGGATGTGCATGACTTTATAGTTGGAAGCTTTGCATGCCTACTGAATATCTATGATTTCAACTAACACCGTAACCCTGTGAATATGTCTCTTATAGATGCCGGTTTTCCGGTTAAGTGGTGTCTATTCAGTATATGCTGCATGTCTGCATTTTGTTTTCACTGAAGTGAAAAAAATATTAACAGCAGCAAAATGAAAGCCCTTGTCTGTATGCTATGCATGCACCAATCGTGTTGCATACATCCATTACGGGGCCGTTTAATTTACTCCAATGACTGATTCTAATGAGTTCCCATTGTATATAAATTGTATATATCTGAAACTGACTATAAATTCCCCATGGAAATCTTGCATTAGATGTTTACATACTTCACATATTGGACCTATTTGGTTTCGCCTGTGATTTTGAATAGTTCGATATTTTGACTACCTGTTTTCAAAATCGTATTTTCATGTTTTCAAATTTTCATATTTCTTCCTTTCACAAAAAAAATTGTTTCAGTTATAAACGTATGTTAGAGAACAGTGCTTTTGTTTTGATAGTAAAGGTAAAGGCAGAAAAAGGTAAAGTTAAAGGAGACGAACCTGTGTTAAAAGGAACGGAGTGCCCATCTCTCTTTCGTTAGCGATTAAGCCAGACTCATACATGTATGCTGCTGTGGGGATCGCCACACCTCCAGAGCAAGTCTGTTACCTTCCCAGCATTGAATAATGCCGGTACCCATTTAACACCTGGGTTGAGAGGAGTAATTGAGGTAAAGCACCTACTCAAGGGCACAACACGCATGGCCACGGCGGGGCTCGAACCCACAACCTCACGATCATGAATTCTGTGCTCCACCGCTAGACCACACGTACCCAAAAGGCAGAGCTGTTAGTTACTCCTTGTATTAACATGTCCGCGATGCATAAGGTTTATCTTGCAAAATCACAGCAATTATTCCAGAAGATGCTGTGATTGCTAATGAGGTCATTTCTCCTCAATCTGTACCCACAGCTCCATTGTCAGACAACAACTTCAGCACCTTCCTGGAGCCTAGTGAACCGCCCATCTTTGAAGACTCTGCCGACATTCCCAAGTTGGCCCCACCCCCAAAAAAGATAAAGAAGGGGGAGGCTGGTTCTTTGGATTAAGGCTTTTGTGCCTGCTGACCGCGACACAGAGATATCTCTTTTCGGATATGTTGGGCAAGTTTGGTAAAGCATTTTTTTTAGTTTGCTGATTTTTGAGACTGTGTGACAGTCTTGAAGGCAATTGAGAGTGATGTCCTACTATTTGTCTTGACGGTTTCTGCAGTGGAGGTGAAAGTTGTGCAGAAAGACATTCATGCATTCTTAGTATTTTCGGTGTCTTTCTTGCAGTGTACAACTTTGTAACAAGTTCATTGCAGTAATTGTTTTTGCACATTTTTACACTGTTTTCTTAAATTAAATGATTGACATTAGCAGAACTTAACTGCAAAGATAGCAAGAAAAGATGGAGATGCTTTATAAACTTTAATTCCCATTGTTTTTTTTAATTGCAATTTAATGTCAATTTAACAGCTGTCTATCTGCTTTGAAATCTTCCCTTTTTATCAGTGTATTTGATATCTTTGTTGATTCTTGACATCAAATTCTAAAGGGAATGTACAATTCTTTGCTCTTTATTTTTGAGTCCAATAATAACTTGTGGAGTGTTTTATTTTTAGATAAGAATATTACAAATTTGTTTGATTTTTTATATAGGTTTTCCCGGCTATTTTAAAAGATTATTCACTCTATCATTCAATTTCGTCCACGAGAAAAATTCCACACGCTTTTAACCAAACTAATTTAGTCATTAACCATTCAATTTCAAAGTTTGGTCACCCTCTTTAGTCACCTGGTTGAGAATGTTCGTCATTTCAGATCAAACTCGTCCAAGCTTTTGCCGAATGGCAGCATTCAGAGAACAAATTCGTCTTATATCAATCAATTAGACGAATTTGATTTCTAAATAACAAGGTTTGGCGTAGACGACACGAAATGGAATACTCCGGGACAAAACTGTGCGCTCATTGTTTGAATTTGCTTGAACTGAATTTGAAATTGTCGGACAAAAGACGAAATTAAACATTGGAAGAGCACTAAATCGATGTCGATGGACGAATTTGAATATTAGAAATGGTGAATTCGAATGATAAACGTTTTAAAATAGCTGGGAAAACCTATATTTGGAATAGAGGAATGTCAAATTGGCACTGAAACCGAGGGCCTCAGTACTTTCTTTGCAATGAGACCCTAGGTTTCATTGTGAATCGCGGAATAATCTGTTGTAACCATTAATGTGGTTTTCACCTGCAAATTAGTATTGTCCCTTGCGCAATTCTGTTCCCCTTGGTTTGTTGAGACTTTTATCAAGTATAATGTTTATAATATGTAGCTTAGTATTAAACAAGTTCTTAGAGAATTTAAAAGAAATAGGGTTGTGAGGATGGCAGGTGAGGGTATGAACTAGAGGGTTTAGAGGTCATTAATTGATAAGATGAAATATTTTGTACATATGTTCACGGTATTTTTCTACTTTCTTACTTTATTGTTTATAATAACACCTCTCTTTTTTAATATAGTTGTAGAATGGCTAGTACTATAGTATGGCATTCAGCGTGAGTGGACGCCTTGCACAAGCAGACTGGTTCCCGCCCCCTCCTTAATTAAAGTCTAGAATGTAATGGAGGGACGGAACCAGCCTTCAGTGGTTCTGTCATTAGGCAAAACCGTGCCTTCCCTGGTATACATTCGCACGTGTAAGTGAATGAATAGTGAACCAGTGGATTGTATCACCTTGTGCAATGGAGCCCATAGCATTGCAGATTTGTAAAAGCACAATTTTAGAAATTATGACACGTGGAGCATCAACACTATGGCTTTGCTTTATTTTATAAATAATTGCGTAATAGGATTTAAGACCTTCCTTTTATGAAGAAAGGGCTGTGAGGTAAAATATGTATATAGACTTAATTATAACGTGACAATGGCTTTGTCTATTGTCAAATTGAGTGGTAGCCCAGTAATTAAGTGAAAGTAATCAACTTTAGTGCGCAGATATGGACTAAATGCTACAAACTGTGTAAGGAAACTGACATCTGCAGGTTTTATAAACTTCATATAAGTTTTAGAAGTTGTCTAGAAGTTTGTTTTCACCAAAGAATGATATTTTGGAGGTGGAGCTAATCTGAAGGGGTGGGGCTGCCAAACTCATCCAGAGTTCAAGAAGCTGTTGGAGGGCGGTGCTCAAGTCACAAAGTAGGATGAAAAACACTATTTGTGAATCTTTCTCCACCCTCATCCAGTGGCGTGGTTGGATTTTGTTTTCCATTTACCTGTGTATCAGTCGTAGTAAAAGTCATCACTACTTTTTTGGGGGAGAGGGAGGTTGTATTAAATATGTTAAGGACTATTGATATTTTTTGTATTTTGGTATGAATATTAATGATGCATTTATGCAGACTGTATATGAGTAAAGAGCTTTTGACCAACTGTTAACTCCTGCTCTTTAGCTTATTCTATTGTTTCAGTTGTTGGTTTGTTTTGGGGTGGGTTGGTTTGCTAGCTGATGGACTGTCAAAGAACACTTTCCTTTCAGAATTGTCCTTGCATGCAGCAACAAACTGTTGCCCCCCCCCCCGTAGGCATTCTTTTGATGCGCTGTTGACATGATGCAAATCAAAGAATACGTGTGGTTTTGGTCACTCGCGGAGTAAGGTGTTTTTGGTCCCCCACGAATAACAGACTCCACAGTTGTTATTTCACTGAGGCGAAGTGTGTGCCAAAAGAGACATTTATAAGGTGTCACTTAATACCATAGGCCTATCCTTGTAAATTGTGACAGAGAACAGAATTTGAATAATACCAAAACAGGCTATCGAATTACAGTTCAGAGGTTACTAGGGATACACTTGTAGGATGCACCATTTTTTGAAGGGGGACACTGAAGGCAATATTGTTTTTGCGCAATTCAATTAAAATAGGGCACGTGCTCCTGTGTGTGCGCCCCCCCCCCCCCCCGTATTGCAGAAAAAAGACGTTTTACTATGAAATGCATCTAGTAGCGCCTGAAACCTGGTTTTTCAAAGCCCATCTCAGATAGCTCTGCAAAGTAGTGCCTTTCGTGGTTGTACTCCACCCCACCCCACCCTACCCCCTCTCGCTAGCTTCTCGCCGACTGTCCTATTACTCGGGACCCATCATTATGGCGTTGTTTTCTAAATTGGTTTACGACGACTGCGATGTAAGGAGCGTGTTCACCGACGTCGTCTCATCAATATAGGCTCTCGTCTTCACAGTAATCAAATCTCGGGCTTTGGTTTTGTTTGTCTGACCTTGACGTAAAATAATTGCGCCTTTGATGCCCCTATTAAATATTATGTTATTAATTAGAGATCAATTGACATCACGAGCTACGTCAGCTCAACCCAAATTCTGTTTCCCATATTCCTTTTCCCATAGGGCTATGTTTTCGTTTCTAATTACGTTTTCGTGGGAGATGTTTTTCCTGTATTTGGTGTTTTTTGTAAGTTCAGGGATCAATAATACAAACAACTCGTAGCGTAGCTGAAGCCAGATCGTTCAGCAGCATCCCTCGAGGTTTGAGAGTCATTTCCGTCCTGTAAATTGGATATCTTCCCGGGCATGTTGACATCTGAAGATGGACAGGGCTAACTAAACATTTCATATTGTAGGACTATTTTTCAGCCTCAAGCAGCTTGCTTTTACCCAGACAAAACAATCCTCAATTCTGAATACATCTGCCCACCGGTGCAGGAGGCTATGATAAGGAACGGACAGTCGACTACTGCATAAAAAGACCTTCGGGATAATCGTTCATTTTAAAGGGCATTTTTGTCTTCATTTTTTATTTGAACTCTCACCGCAAATTGTAATCCAATTTGCCATTCTATAAAAGAATAAATTTGCTATTTTAAGGGGTTTTCTTGTTGTCCCTTCCCCCGGCTTCCCAGGAACAAGTGCATTGGTACTCTGTGGAGGTAAAGAATCATCCTCCGCCTATAGGCAAGCATATTATGAGTTGCAATGCGTTACGCCTGATGGGGGCCGCGCACCACGAGTTTGCATTGGTCTTCAAGGTTTTTCTTCTCACTTCGGCAAGGTTTTCCTTCTCATTTCTGAATTCTTATAAGTTTTTAGTTTTGTGTGTTGTTTTCTCATCTCGTCTCATTTCAAGTAAGAACCTGACGAGAACAGCTCTCAAAATGATATAGTTTTGGAGATTTGATTAAAAAAAATCTTTAAGAAATTAATTCAGGTGTTCACCCGTAACAGGGAACATTAATAATTGTGTATAAAGGGATCATCAAATAAAGTCTATTGTTCAAGTATCCTTGCTTACAACTGAACAAAAAGAAGCATCCTACAACAACTTAAATACTTAACAGACGTAATCGACTGTGATGATGGACATTCATCTGCATAAAAACAATACAGCTTCAAAAACGTTACAATTGGACCTAAAGTGCGAGAATTCAGTTTTCTATTTCATGGACCCTTTGGTGGTGGTTCGCCCGCGTGGAGCAGAATTTTAATGGTTAGACCTTTCTATATCTGAAGAATTGGTTCATGGAAAAAATCACAAATTAAGGCTACTTGAAAAGCAGCTACTTTAAAAGCAGCAACTTAACGTTTCCTAATCAACTCACGAAACTTGCATAACCATGCAAAACCCACGGAAATTTAAATCTAAATCTAAATAATTGTTTACACAACCAGCCGGGTAATACTGCATTCAGCCCCCCCCCCCCCCCCGCCCACCTTTTTTTATAGAAGGTATTGAGGTTAGGGTCGCCTCGAGTTTTCAATTGGTTTACCCAATCGTTCTCTGTGTTTTTCTTGCAAAATAATTACAGATTCAATTTTCCTCGTCGTCGAGTAGAGTGCTTGTTTGTAGCCATGTAAAATTGATTGGAAACAGCGGGCCTCGTACACGGTCAATACGACAGTTCCTTTTGTTATAATTGAGCAATTTCCCAGTAGGCCTATTCTCCAAACAGTGCGGTACTATGACCGTCGTGAGTAGAGTGCTCGTTTGTACGTGCCTTATCTTGCAAGAATTAAAGGCTGTATTTCAAAAGCTATACTGGGCCATGGCAATCTCGAGCGAGTGTAAGGTTGCACACCAGTAAAGTACATTTCCATAGACCCTAATGATAAATGCCCCCACTTCAGAAATTCAGGAAAAATACTCACAACTCTCGGAGGTGTTCAAGACGTACATCAAATTAAAGCTTATTTCATCATCTTTCATTTTCTGTTCAATTTTCTGGGGGTTAACCGATGACTTTTGAGAGAAAATTCCATCCAAAGATGATCGTCCCTAAAAGCAGTCATGAAGCCCATCGCCATTTTGAAAATGGACGCCTACGCCCCATTGCAAAATAGAGCCATTTTAGGGCCTAATCATCATCCACATTTCACAGAAATACGAGCTCGCCGAGTATTCTGCACGGCTTCCAACCTTCTTGTTTCTACAAATCCTCAAGTTCACGGCCTTCAAAATGCTCTAGACTAATACTTAAGAATTTGAGGGCATGCAAATCGTGATTTGGCCGGCGTAGGCAATTTCGGACCGATTTACTGGTCTGCACCCGTAAGCGTTGTTAATTTCTAAGACGTGACTGTTGGTCTATATCACTGCTGTAGACGTGTTTTCATGAAAACAAGCTACAGGGTGACCCAATAAACTGCAACCCTAAAACATTTATAAAAAAAAAAAAGGATCAGTGGATTTTTATGTTTTGAACAATACAAGATTGTTCATTAAAGCTGAGAGCTTTTTCTTTCAAATACTGGAAAAAAACAATGATGAAAATATTGAGTTGCTGTGAAAATCACAATGTAAAAGTAGTCCTTTTTTATCCTGTACACAAAACATTACCACAGTAACAGTACAAGGTATTTTCACTGTACCTATTTTGTGCATGTCCTAATCCTTACAAACAACACTGGCACATAATATGACAAGAGTGCAAATGAATTTGATGGGAATACCTTTTATTTTCCATATGAAGAAGTATCTCATCCTTTTTAGTCCTATTTCAAACTCTGTCAGCATCATAAATATTTCAAAATACTAATGGAATGAAGGATAATTGCACAGTAGGCTTACCGTAAAATGTTTCACTGTTTGAAGTACTTGTAGGCCTACTTGTGTACAGAATGAAAAATTTTACATAGTTGGCATTTTCTCAGCAACCCAAAGTGTTATTTTCATCATTGTTTTCAGTATTTGAAAGAAAAACGTCAGAGGTTTAATCTGATACCTAAAGCATACAAATCCACTGTTACCTTTTTTTTTATTAAGGCAAATGTTTTAGGGTTGCATTTTTGGGGATGGTCACCCTGTAAAAGAAATAATTCAAGACAAAGCATTATTGTGTAAGACTGAACATGTCTTTATTTAGTCTTCTAACATCATGAGTGTGCTTTTATAAGTCGGTGCATTTGCATAGCTGGGGAAAAACAACCTCAATCCTGCTCATCCCCTATCCCTCTACGGATTCGTGAAGAAAAAGGGGTAAGAGCGCCCCTGGCGTGAACAAAGGTCCAGTCCCCCCCCCCCCCCACGTCTCCACCCCACCCCCTTTCGAATTTGCGCGCCGGCCGTTCTCTTGGCCCCAGCCGAAGTGGCTCATTATGACACAATGCATCACGGTCGTGGTCGGCATGCAACTAGTTAGGTTTTGCAGTTTAAAAATTGAACCACTATATTATTTTAAAACCACAGACGATATTTTTTAACAAAAATAAATGTTTACACTTCTAATCACTTCAAGTAAAAGCTAGTTGTTTTTTTTTCTGTTCTCAAAATGTTAAGCCCTTTTTTCTGAGCGCAGTTTACTGTGAGCATACTCACAATATACAAAATTGTTCGTGTTGATATACGTTACAAATTTGTACAGCCCCTTGAAAAAAATTGTTATAAAAATCATATATAGACGCTATTCGATTTTCTACTAGTACACCACCGTCGCAAAGTCACATGATAAGATTCATGATTTCTTGAGAAAAAAATTGCAAACGATTTCTGCAAACTTAGGATATAAGTTCTATTCGTTTTTGTGATCTTCTATGTGATTTTACTTGTGAACTTTTAATTATCACAGTGGACGAATAAACAAAAATAATGTTTTGATGCATGGGTTGATCGAATTAGCTTGTACATGTATTTCACATCGCGACTCTAAACGGCAGGAACCTTATTATGTTTTAAATAACTTCTCATTTGCAACAAATTGTACCAAGCGATCACACTGCAATGAACGGACAATGATGATCTGATGTAATATAATGCCATCGTTAACATAGTAAATAAAGTCATTCAAGTAAAAAGACACGAACTGGATTTAGTGGCTTTCAGACCTATGCAAAATTAATGTTAAAACAGAACGATCTTCGAAAAAAAGGACTTAAGTTCAGTCAATTTTATAAGTAAATGCAATAGTTTCACATTTCTACTGTAATGCTTTTAACATTCCAAAAAAGCCATTCAAGTAAAAAGACACGAAGTGCAGTTTTGTTGTTTTACTTAAGCTTCCGAGTGTTGTTCTTATCATGAGGCCCTATCAAACGTTTCGCATCAGAGGTACGGCATTTTACAAGAGTGGGTATACCAACACTGCAGACGTCATTCAAAAAAACACTTAATATTACCGAAATTATTTTATTCCGGTAAAATGAAAAATAATAATAATAAATAAACGTCAGTTTGTAAAAAAAAAAATAACATTAAAACTATTATTGTAAAACTTGATTAAAGTAATGTAGGCCTAAAAAATAAAATCAGTCCATATAAAAAAGAATACAATTAGAATAAAATATAAATTATCACTCAGATATGGTTTGTTTTTGTCATGTCCCAATCGTGATTACTTTCATGTAGTGATTTTTTTTATTCCACACCAAACGAGGCACGTCTAGATGGCCATTACGCAAGTTGCTTGAACTTGCAAATTCAATTTGCCAATGCAACGACACAATGCATTCTGCTAGATTTACAATATGAAAATACTGTCGTCCTGCAGCCAATAACCATTATTGTCTCACCTTTCCCTTCAAATTACATTCTCGATGAAGTGCTGCTTAGCAACGACGTCAGTATTATACGTTTTGATTGTCGAGGTGAGAAATTGACGGTTAGAAAAAAAAGATGCGCGTACCTTCATAAGTAAAATATGATTGCTGAAAATTCAGCTCTCAAAATGTAGTATAAAAAATAGCTTTGGTATAGCTCAGTACAGAATAGGACCTCTGATTGTTGTGGGTTTTTTTGCCATGTTGAAATGCCAGAATAATTTGATCTTATACGTTTTTAGGTAAACAAGCTGATTTTTAAATACCATGAAGACAATGAAATTCTTACATTACCTAGTCCTCGCCGCATGAAAAACAAGTTAGGTTCTGAAAAGGAAGGAACTATTTTTGTTCCATTTCCGAAGACCAAGATTTGATCCAGTCGTCCTTCATACGCGACACAGCCATAGCGGAAGTAAAACAACAAACAGGAAAGGAAACTATCGTTTATAATTTGCAACCTTCACCCACTGATGCAGTCATTCATTCTGAGGGTCGACTTTCAGTAGGCATATTGTCAAATGAAAAAGATAAATATTTTAGGTCCCATCCAACTCATCATGAATTACGCGTAGACGATCATTTTTCTCACGTCGGAATGTTTCCGATGTGTGGAATTTCGTGAGTGGGCAGATAAACGTAATGTTGCAACACAGAAATGGCTAATTAGGGGGAAAGGGACAATAATTTGTGCACAGAGTTTGTTGGTTGAAATCTTAGTGATTTTGCGAAAGTTTGAATATTTGTGCCTGTAGTCGGTGATTGTGCGGGTTATGATTGTGTGTATTACCACTGTGCCCGTTTCTTTCTTTTTTTGTCGCACAGTGTTTCATGCGCGACACCATAGGGTGTGAAATTTAACTTTGACATTTAATTTACTTCATTTCTTGAAAATGTTTTCAATCTCCCGTCATGTAAGGGATCCTAAGTGCAGGTGGTTGGGGGTCGTTTGGAAGCTTACAGGTTGCATTCACCTGAACATACGCACAAAAATTGTCTTGCCGAGACAATCTGCCCGCAAAATCTATAAGCGGGTAATACAAGGACAAGATTCGTTCTCAAATAAAATCCGCAGACTTTGGACTGCACCGTGTTTTTCTCCTAGTATGCTCCAACTACATCTTTTCAGTCATGTGGTTGCTAAGGCAAAGCGTTTGCCGTTGTTAAGCAAAGCTAATCCGATTACGTACTTAGACGTTGTGTTTCTCAGAAAATATGCGCAGAATGATTGAAAAGTTAAATTATAACGGAAGAAGAAATTCTTAGCTTCATGTCAGTGAAAAAATCGCCGTCATCGATGCCGAAACGTCAATACTGATTACCGGTATAGCTGACCTTCAAGTCTGGAAGAAATCGTTCGAAAACTTCCCCAAATCTCTGTATTTATATCTACTACTCTCAAAATTGTTATTTCACGAGCAGTTGAACACTTAATCATCTAAGTATATTTCGAATTTCAGCTTAATATGTTGTTGCAAACGCTAGTGCTACAATTTGAACGATCTCCATGGAAAATTTCGACTATGATTTCTGCCCACCCAAGTCACATGCATTGTTCAGCAAAGCGCCTTAGGCGCTACGGTTGACAAGCCACACAATATCGCATTGTAGATTAGCATATTCATTAGCGTCACTCGGCGTGTCATGGCGTGGGTCTCGGTATCGACCAATGGAAGCCGGCAAAAAGGTTGATATTTATCAATTAATAACTCGTGACGGAGACTTTTCTCAAAATTTTTACTGCACACCATAATGGATAGGAACTTAATTAATATTAGTAAGGCTTGAAAAGATTGACAGCTATTGCAAACGTCAGTGTTACAACTTTCAATGATGCACGTAGCCTGGCCTATTTTTCCAATTTCAACGAAAGTAATGAACATCACAACGATTTTTGGCACATACTTGGATCATTATGAGGAAAGCAAACCCTGAAAGTTGCATGAAGAAACAGTCTTCCAAACGGGAGAAATTAATTTTCAAAGATTTCGCCCGCCAACGTGAACATGTGTGTGCACATGTAGTTTCATTCAAAATGAAGTGTTACGTAACCTTTAGAAATCGCCCTTCGCAACCGTATGACTGTTTTCACTATATCCATAACTGTGTTATCAAACTTGCTGCTACCACTGCCCCTAAAGATTTGTGTAGGTTTTTGTGTGCAATGTTTGTCCCGACGTGAAATCAAATTCAAAGTCCTGTGGACGTGTACGTGAAGTTGATTCTTCTCTATAGCATATATATACTGCAGTCCTAAAGGTGTTTTTTTAAGGGAAAACACAACATTTGCAAACATCAAAAACTAAAACTACCAAATTATTTTGAAATACCTTGCTGGACTGTTAGTGAATGACAGTCTAAAGCACCTGTAAAATCATGGCACCTGGTATACTGTCATTTTCAAGAAAAGTGGTATTTTTGTATTAATTTCCAACGCTGGTCGGCCGACCAGCGTTGGGAAAAAATGTGGGTGTTTTTTTTTCAAATACTGGCCCCATGTTGACCATATTTAGTTAGTCCACATTTGTTTGCAATCGATTACACACTTATATGAACGGGTACAAGCCAGCTAGACTGGTTCACTGACATTACAATTCCCCAATGTCTATAAATTGCTCCGTTTCCTCTTATATGGAGTCAGGGAACCAGACTACAGGAAAATGATTGTTTTTCTTTGTTTTTATAGCATTTACGAACCCAAAACGTCAAAAAAGTCAGTGTAACCATATTTGCTATATATTACCCCCCCCCCCCCCCCCACAAATCCCATCCATTTCTGATAATTACAGCAAAAGCAAATGATGTACATTCCCTTTAACAAGAAGACTTTTCAACTATGCGGCATAATTAGACAGCGGTGATGTTGACTGCTGGGAAATAACAATGAGGATTGTTTCCAAGAGAGCTGTTCCCGGATGTGATCTTATACTGCATGTATTTTAGCATGAAATTGATCACTTGCGAAGTCCGAGCGCATGTAATCATCCGCTGATGACCCACCACGCTGGTTATCGGCTTCTCGTGGCTATGTTCGTGCTGCGCCATTGGTCGGCGTACGACTAGCCTTTTATCACAATGAATTTCGTTTTTAGTGACAGACGAGAGATGTGATTGGTTTGTTGATGCGGGCATTAATTCATGTTTGACTGGTTACTGTAGGTTGTTGACGTCACCAGGACGACGACAGTTGTCGTTGGTTATAAAGACACCTGGAGTTTACTCGTTGCTATGATGGTTCCTGCGAATCCACACAGAGCGCCCAGCACGCCAATAGTCATTAACACGTAGGAATCATCATCTTTTCTCCCGTGAAATGTTTTCGCCATATCACTCTGCATGGTAGAAACAACAAAATCAGTCAAAATGGTAAGGTATTGTAACAGATGAGCAACTTTTTTTCTGGTGATCGTCGGAAGGAGTCCTTTCCATCGGAATGCACCCTAGCTCTAAGAAACGATTAATGTTTGAAACTTGAGACTTTCACTTTTCTCAAGTTTTAATTTTGTGATACATTTCGTAAGTCACTTGAGCGTTATAATCAGCGATTAATCAGCAAATAAGAGGGGTTAAAGGTGTGAGATATGAATGGTTTATACACACCCAGCCTCCTTGTCGAGCTATCCAGACCACCAGCCTTTCCCTTACAAACCTGGTCAAGCTGACCACTAACCGGTCCACGAAGGCTGCATAATCATAGCTACGCTGTTGTACACACTCCACGGCCAACTCGCCTGCCACAGCAAACATAGCTACCACACGGGCCCAGGTGATACCGGCCCGGAATAGCTCGTCAGCTACGCCAAGGAAGGCCTCCTCGGCAACCTCCTCAGAGCTAACACGGGTGATGTTCAGCTGGCCGAAGACGCCTCGGAACAGGCTTGGGTATAGCTGCTCCAACTCACCGCTTACTCGCTGCAGTTCCAACATGGTCTCGTGGATCGTGGGCCCTAGCGGCGGCGCTGGCGGCGGCGCTGGCGCCGGCGCCAGCGGCTTGTGATGAGCGGTGGTGGCGGCGGTATGAACGTAGGTTTTGCCATTGGTACTCGTGGCAGCGGGCAGAACTATGAAAAAAATTATACAAAATGGATGAGAAAATAATACTCTTGATAAATCTTGTTTTGGGTCTATTAAGAAAATAAAAAGCTTCAGTCAGAGTTGAATTACGAACCCGACCCCTCCCCAGTCTGTCTTTTGACCCCTCTGTCCCTATCTATATGAGAAAGGTCACACAGGGCCATACCCGTTCGTCCCTTCCTCACGAGACCAAGTTGTCTGAGTTTGTGGTGGATAAACTCGTTGCATAGAATAACAGCCTCTTGCGTAACTGCATCTTCCATGGACGGCATGACTTCGGCTACCACACCGGGCTGAAATGAAAAGATAGAACAAAGCACGTCAGGGTGCCGACCAGTAACACGAAATTTCCATGACACCTGCGGTACATGCCCGCTCTTCGTGAAAAAAATCCGGGGAAATATTCCCAGCTCTCACTGGTGTTCAAGACATACATCACAAAGATGTGTTTAGCCTATTTCAACTTCTGTTAAATTTGGGGGTGATTTTTCCCTCCAAAGATGATCCCCACAAAGTAGTTCTGAAGCCCATCATCTCCTTCAAAAATAATATCCCTCCACTGCAAAATATAGCTACTTTCGGGTCAATTTTCATCCCGCATTTCTAATTCAAAGACCAGTACATGTACTTAGAGAAGTGAAACATTTCACTGCTACAAACTTAGTTTAGTGGGAAGAATCGTGCACCCTCGGAAAACAACTTCTAATTGACGTCTTTAGATTAGAAAAAAAGTCGTAGAAAACGATTTGCTATGTTAAAAAATTCAAAAAAATTTCCCACGTATTGTTTTATGCAAATTAGTGCCGCCATTACCGAAAAATCTATTTTTCACTATATCTCAGCCAATATTGCAGATAACTGAACGAATTAGGTGTCTAGACCATGTTTTCAAGATCAGAGATCACAATAAAACTACATGTATTCTGGAAGTGACCACATGTGTCTGTGGCATAGGAATATGCAAACTAGTGCCGCTAATACGGGAAAATCATGTTTTTGGCATATCTCAGCCAATACAGCACATAACTTTATACACAAGTGTCTAAACCCATGTTTTGAGGGTCAAGTATCGTTAGAAGACCATTCACGAAGTAACGTGTGTCTTTGGCATGAAAATATGTAAATTCTAAAGTGCCGGCTTATCAGAAATTTGATTTCAGCCAATATTTTATTCAATTTCAGCCAATATTACAGTTTATTTTGAATATGATGGCTTAAAATTAACTTTGATCATTACTGCTTATCAAAAATCCATCTGTCAACATTAGCTGCAATATTGGCTGAGATGTTGGCTAAAAATCAAATTTCTGATAAATCGGCACTTTAGAATTTACATATTTACCTGCCAAGGACACACATAGTTACTTCGTGAATGGTCTTCTAATGATACCTGACCCTCAAAACATGGGTTTAGACACCTTACTTGTGTAGTTATGTGCAATATTGGCCGACATATTGGCCAAAACAGTCAAATTTCTTATAAATCAGCACTTTAGAATTTACATATTTACCTGCCTAGGACACACATAGTTACTTTGTGAATGGTCTTCTAATAATACTTGACCCTCAAAACATGGGTTTAGACACCTTACTTGTGAAGTAATGTGCTATATTGGCCGAGATATGCCAAAAACATGATTTTCCGGTATTAGCGGCATTAATTTGCATATTCCTATGCCACAGACACATGTGGTCACTTCCAAAATAGTTTTATTGTGATCTCTGACCTTGAAAACATGGGTTTAGACATCTAATTCGTTCAGTTATCTGCAATATTGGCTAAGATATAGTGAAAAATTGATTTTTCGGTAATGGCGGCACCAATTTGCATAACAACAATACGTGAGACATTTTTTTTTCACTTTTTAACATAGCAAATTGTTTTCTACGCATTTTTTCTGATCTAGAGACGTTGATTAGAAGTTGATTTCCGAAGGTGCACGATACCCCCTTCTTTCCACCCAACTAACTGGTCCAAAAAACTTCTTTTTTTTGTACCGTATACAAATCGTAAGTTGACTGGCGCAGGTAATAGCCTTGGCCCTATTTTGGACAAACGGGGGCGCTGTTATACAATAAAAGTAGACTGCAGACCTGACCTTACAGTCACATAACACAGTAAGTAAGATTGAGTTCCAATACTGACAACCAGCCCATTATGGACTCAACAAAGCGGCAGCTATACACCCAAGTATGATTTATTAGTGCATCGACATAAAACGATCGAAGCGAAAACGAAAATCTGAATTCCTATCGACCCTAAGGCCTAAGGGCAAGACATCTTCATTTCATCGATCACTACATATATAGTATTGAATCAGCGCGCTAAACGCGTGTAGGCCTACATATTGCAGACCCATCCAACATTTAGCAGGTTCCATACGAACGGTGTAAAAGGAGATTCTGTTCCCCCAGGATACCGTCCCATCCCCTAAGCAGATATCCATGGTCATTTGCCAGGATATACAGTTTCTTGTAGGAAAAAGTGTCCCCCTAGAGGATATTTCTACCTCAACGGAGAATGTGTGTGTGCCCCCGGCCCCTTCCCCAGGATGTCATGTCCCCACACAGGAAACGTTAAATATCTTTCGATTTTGACTACTAGTAGGCCACCAGGGTATTTTCCTACCCCTAACTAATATTAAACTCGGTGTAGTACTTTGGACCCAATGTCAACGTCCGCCACAATTAATTCACACTCACAGAATAATCTTTGTACCGCCACCGCGCCTGGCTAGTGTGACACGGTGAAAGTATATTATGCGTTCTCACACGCACACACACAAAATATTCAACCAATAAAATAAATCATGACCATGCATACACCAGTCGCGATATTTCGTTCAAAAAAAATGTCAGTTGTAAAATCTCGAACAACCGCAGTCGGGCATGGCCTGTATTTGAACCTAAACAGGGGGACAAAGTATCCTTAAAAAAAGGGGGACAGAATGTCCAGTCGGACACTCATTCCTAGGATACCCCGGACGGTTAGTACGGGGGACGAGAAATCGGGCCACACCGACATGAAAACTATGAGTTATTATTGGCCGCGGCCAATGAGTTTCGTGGTTGAATGTATTTTGAGTTTTTATTCTTCCGCAGATGACGTCGGCTGTACGCTTGAACTGAACAGAAATGATTTATGACGACCAGAGTGCACAGTGAGTTGGACATGACTATTTTGCACACAGAGACGATGGCAATGCATTTTCGTTCCTGGCACAAAATCAATACAAAGCAAGGTGGAGAGAAAGTAATGATTTGATGCGTACCGGCGCTGTATAGCAGGAACCTTTTAAGCGGGAAGTTCATCTGCTTGAGTCATATACGATATGTCAACCAGCGAGCACCACTTGAGAGAAATTGCTGAAATTGCAGTTTAATTGACGGTCATTCGTCATGTGAACTGTCATCGAAACTGACAAACAATCATTTATGAGAACTCAGTACATGCCAAAGTCTCCTTAAGCTTACATAATACCCTGAATTTGGAAATCACCGTAGGTTAATCGTTGGCCGTTGGTACATTGCGATTTTTTTAATGGAATCCTTGAAATGCACGCGTCAGTCCCTAAAAGTCTTTAAAAATCTTTATTTTTGTTTTTATACGAAGTATTCATGAACAAGCCCATGTTGTTATGGGTAGATGCTATGTCTTGTATCTTACTTGAGTCAAGAAAAAATACCACGCATCCAGTGTTTTTTTCTATTTTACTCTAAGGTAGACTCTCTGGCACTTCTTGTATTTGGATTGATTAAATAACTATCAGTTAATGTAGGTACCTTATGCACAAAATGTCACATTGGGCTAATTCCAAAATGACATCACAGCAACCACACCCTCACGTGTCAGAAAAAAGGGCATTGTAAATAGTGGAAGGACCACTATCCAGGGGATGGGGTGGGGGGCATGTTCCCCCAATAATTATTGGACGGGGGACGGCAATGGCGATGTCCCGTATATAGATTTGTATCCAAATTTACATACAATTTGCACTGTATTTTTCCCAAATGGCGAAATAGCTCTACGATATTGCTTGTCTTGCACCCTTTTCACGTAAATGCAACAACATACTGCATGAGCGTAAACTTTACGCGCGTCAAATGTACGTACATGTATATATACATGCATACTTACACGTTTGAGCAGCGACCCCAAGTGTGAGGCCCTTCCCCCTTTCAACCCCCATCCCCCCGCTTTTCGAATTTCTCAAGCTGCCCCCGCTCCCAATGTTGACGCCGCTCATGAATTGGTGACTCCAAAAAATGAAATTCAAACCAAAAGTTCACAGAGGCATGTTTATTCGCACAAAATATCTGTCGATGTGAAGCGTTGTACATTGTATATATATGTATCGTAAAAAGTTAATATATATAGGGGAACATCCATGTAAAACGAGTCCTTTGTACTGACATTTTCCTCCTTTTTAAGAAGAGTGGTGTTTTTGAAATCAAAATGACATGTTCATATACTGGAATGGGAGTTTGTCACTGCTGTTCTAATGGCACTGCATGGCCCAATCTTCCATGATTTATTGACATTTCATCGCTGAGTTGTTCAACCCTCCGTCGAGTGCTGACATTTGTCACAAGTGTAATTGAGTGGAAACTTCTTCTCCTCATCAGACCCAGTCCGGCGCGTCCGGCGGGACAAACGGCGCGCGCCACCCGTGTTGCAGCCGTTCGGCGGTTGCGGGCGGTGGACCATTGGGATCGTACCAACGACACAAGTATTTGCCCGTGGGAATCGACCGCAGAAGACGGCGAGAAGAGTGCAATATAATTATGATAGAAATTGAGGTAATATTGAAGTTTTTTTTCATTGTAATGGGTATTTCTCCTTTCAAATATTAAGTATCGTTTTCTCGTGGGGGAAGGGAAGCTTGTTCATCCATCAGACTGGCGCCTTCGATCACCAGTGACCATGCATTATTAGGATCCTCATCATTTGGCGTCAGGCGACAAACATGGCATCTCACAAGACAAAGATTGCTGCTCAGTGCTAGAATGGGTCGCGGCAAAAACCGGCTACTTAAAATAAAGATGGTGTGTACCCTCTCCCGGAAGCCACACGAATGCCGGAAATGAGACTGCCTCCCTGCCGTTCACTTCATTACTGAATCACAAGAAAGAAATTCCATATATCATATGGTTGGGAATCTGGAGAGGCATTGGACAACTTTCGCATTCCTAGGCACCTAAAGGCAGGTCAGCCATCATTAGTCTTCTAGCCATCATACATTTCATTACGGGCGGTGACCCGGCTGCACCATGCATGATATGAATGAAAACTTCATGACTGACACGCACACTGTCATTGCTCCACATTGAATTGAAGGAGATTTACAAACTTAATTCAAAACCGAAAGACGACGAGCACCCACTGGCACTTAAACATCATCTGCCCGCAAGCGCAATATATACGTCACGAATGTACTACTCTTGGTCGAACATAGCACTCAAACGAGTCACGCGTTAAGCGAAAACTGCCACAGATAGGGCCCAACGGTTTCAAGAAATATTACGCACCATTAGCCAATCTACTTGTCGCAAAACCAGGCTGTCTTCATACCCCGAAACACTTATTTAATATAAACACACATAGTCGGGTTGTGTAACCTCAAAGGGTCATTCAATATACGCTTGCAAGTTCGTGAAATGTCAAATAATACTCCCCAGGCTATCTGAACAAGCGCGGAAATTTCCCTGGGGACGTTCGTTCCGTTCGATTTCATGGCAGTCAATCTTTTACGCTTTTCCCTACCTTGCAATTATCTGTATACCTGATCCCACTACGTAATAATCAATAATCAAACCGCCAAACATACGGAAGATTGAATACAATATTTGATTGTCTTGTAGGCCTATGTAAAAAGAAATCCTATGAAAAAAAGTAATGGAGCCAAATTGAATGGCTATAAGTAACTATATAGCTTTTCCCATCATTTCACTTTACTGATTTTGCAAACAAAGAAAATCTTCGATAAAAGCACACATTATTTGTAGCCACTGACACCACGAGATACCAAGAATAATCTTTCTTGTACAATTATATTCTGATCGGTACATTTCTCAAGTACGAGTAGGTATAGGCCTACACGTACGCGTGTGTACGTATTAAGGCACGGTTATTTACCCTGTGTCAGAGGTCATAGAGACACTGCTTCCTGGTCGACCTCTAACTCTACAAATTGAGTAAGCTACCCTTCAGATCAAAAGTAGTACCGGCGGAGCAATCATCACGGCTCAGGAAGAAATCAAAGGGGTGTGCAGTGCCACGGGGTCTACATTTACATGTACATGTACATGTGTATATATTGCATGATCATCAAGGCAGCCTCGAATCGAGGATAATCTGCCTCATTTTCCTCCTTCTTCACGTTGGGCACCTTTCCGTCTTTGGGCTTGACGGTGACTATGCATATATTGCACGTAAGGCAGGAGAGCATTAATACAAGGTGCACTGTCCAAACTTATCGCTCAGTGGACCGCGGCAGCACGGCGGCTAGGCGGAAGCTGTTTGCGACTGCAGCCGTGCCCAGCCGATCAATCTTCTGTCGCGCGGCAAAGCAGAACAGAAACGGCGTACGTTAAATCTTGAAGGATAAAGTGGATAATACTGAAATATGCATAGTGGAAGTCATGGAATATTTAACTGAAAGCCAAGCTTACCAAAAAAATCTGAAAGCAGAAACATTATTTCCATATTTGTTCCAAATTATGTTTAGTAGAAGTCCGAGTTGTTCTGAAAAAAATGTTGTAAATATTTAAAATGCCCAAATCTTAAATCGTTTCCCCAAAAAAAACAAAATTCATCTTTGAAATAATGTCCGAATCTTCCAAAGCCTGCAAAGTCTTTTCTGAAATTAATCCTCCACTTGCCTTTCCGCCCTGGAGTCTACACACACAGGGCAACAATGAAACCCAACATCTTAAAATTGAATTATTACAAACGAATTTTCTGTGATGTAAACAATTTCAATGTTGCCAACTGTACCTGCAAAGGACACACGAGTCAATTTCCACAAGCAACCTGGAGGCAACCAAACGCGCAAGCTGAATGAACCCCGTGAAGAACAATGTCCATATTTTCATCAATTTACAATAATCTCTCAGAATTAGAATTTGGTTGTCGATTTCTTGACGGAGATTGCCTATAATGCTGGAACAAATTGCCTGTAAATGCACACGGCCCTGTACTCGTACCGTTGGCACCATGCTGCACTGGATGCGTGATTCATTTTAACACGGTGCATCATTATTGTGCATTGCACCCCATCATAGATTACTGCATGATTACGTTATCGCGGGATATAAGTGTCTCTTTTTTCATTCCGCGTCGACGCCTTTACAGAGATTTGGGAATTTAATTTAAAGTGGACTTTTTGCTTGTCCCACAGAGTGGGCAAGCCTACGTCGTTGCACCTATCTCACTGACTGACAGACGGCTACAGTACTCGGCTATCGTATAGGATTGAGTTGTACGCTGAGGAATGGGCTAAATCCGACCAAATGAGTATACGCATGCAGATGCATGAAAAGACTTCCAGTCAATCCAGTGAATAGCCATTCTGAATCAGATGAATAGAATTGTGTGGGCTGTGGGGCAAGCTTTGCTAGTCTTGCCTCGTCTAGTTTCTGAGACAATTGGTCCGTAGAGTATTAGCGACAGAATATGCCTTTTGCATCCCCCCCTCCCATGACACAAGGCTAAGATGTGCACGGGATAATCTTCAGACACAAATACCCCAGGTAGTAATATCCGGCCATCCGATCATAATAAGAATCATAATCATAAAATCTCATCTCCAACGATCGAAGATGGTACAAGAAAACCACCGGTCTGTCGGCGGTGCGAGCTTGCGGGGGAAATCAATGCCTGATATCTATCCCTCTCGGGTCGCGGCTGTGTCACACATTAATGGCGAGTCTATTTCACACTTGGGTGTTTTTGCCAGATGCCGTACTATACTTCGTACCACGGCCACCGCAGTCTCATCTTGCACATCGTGATCTGCACGTGCTATACAGACCAGCAAGGTGTTCACTTGTCGGTATTCACTCAAATTTAACCACTTTTTTCTGCCCTCTGACGCCAGTGTCTTGGTGTCACCGAGTTCCTTTTGCACGCGAAGGCGAGGGTTACATGCACCCGGACATATTCTACACCACAGCAGCCAACTGTTATCTAATTATATCGTTCCAATAAGTGTAAAATATAAAGGAAACTAATACTCTGCAAGAAATAAATGAAATCACTGCAGTGTAACCTTTAGAAACTGCAATCTTTCCTGCCAAACGTAAAACTCACAAACAGTTAATGTTAAAGTTGCAGTTCAGTCGCGAGGTGCGCGTGTCAGCCCTACACGCGCGACCAACGCAGAGCTAATTTATATGCCACACAGTGTATAGCCTATACAATAATTATTTGCATGCAGCACCGTGTATCTACGAGGTAATTTATGCAATGCATTGTATATAAAGAAAACGGTTTATTTTTACAGAACGGCCGTTCTATACCAATTTTTATATTTAAGACACGATATAACAATCATTTTTATAGACTGGACACGTGGCCGTTCTATAGACCAACGAAATTAAAGTATTAAGACACGACCTAAGAATAATGTTTTAACGGCGCCCCTTGTGTCGGGCCCCCCTCATATAAAAAAATCATACCTGACCTCTTGTGATTCCTGACAGAGCAGCATGCTGCTGAAGTATACCAAAACATACGCTAATTCTGCTTACTTAATTTGTTTACTGATTTTTGTTGGATCTAGAAGGACCGTCAGAATGCTTTCTAGCCATCGGTCAATGGACAGTATATTTTGCTTCAATCAGGGGCGGCGGAACCGGGGGGGGGTGTTTGCCCCCCCCCCCCCCCCATTTTCCCAAGTGCCCCTTTTGCGGCCATAAATGTGCCCCCTCGAGCATTAAAGTGCCCCCTCAAGATACAACAAAAATGCCCTTAAAGTATCTTACTATTTCTTAGAAGTAACCATTTCCCACAAATGGTATAGATATTTTTGATATAAACGAGGAATATGAAAACCAAGTCCCAAAACCCATACAATACGCCCTGAAAAGGGGCACATAATGCATATTTAGCATATAATCCCCCCCCCCCCCCCCACCCACTATTTGATTTTACGGAGGCCAAGTGTCCGGTGAAAAAAACGTGTCGACATTTCAGCACGGGTTTGCAAGTGCCCCTTTTTGGTGATATGCCCCCCAGTTTCAAACCCGTTCCACCGCCGCTGGCTTCAATAATTAGTCGTTCCAGGTTGTAATTAGTATAGTACAAAGAACTAACCTCGAGTTACGCCTGGAAATTATGCGCAGTTTGAGAGCTTGCGCGCATGCGATTGTGTGTAGGGAAAGCATTTGGTTTTTTACACTAGAATAATGTAGACTACTATTTGCCCGTGCGTAATTCATCAAGCTCGGCTGGGAAGAAAAACGGAAGAAAACACAGAAAACAAGTTCCATTCCCGCCAACAACATTCTTGTGAACTACGATTTCTGGTAAAATGTAACCAGTTATGAAAAATATATATTAAATATTTCCCCCGTCTAATTTAATATTATACACATTCGTGCCAAAAGAAACAGTTTTCCTAAAGCCAACCAACACATCGTCTCTTCGAATCTATTTTTATGACTGAAAACAATACTTGCTTGAGTCATGCCTTTGTGCTTGAAAAGGCCATGAACAGACAATAGGCACTCACGTGTGAAGACAGACAAACATTATATTACCAAGTGTTGGGGACAGTCACGCACAAACGCGACTGATCCAGCAGAAATTATCTTTGTATAAATTTAAAAAGGAAAAGAGGCTCACCAATGCCTTATCTTGTCAGAGGTGAGGCCAGAACATCGCAGTTTCCTTCAGTCTAATCCTGAGTCGACGTGGTGTTATGTTCGGTAGGGCGGCTTGCTGACGCGATGAGCCAAGAACACGAAGATTTTCTTTAACTCGCTAGCCGCCGAGTGCTCTGAGAGGCAATTGAACTCCGCGCTTTTTGCATGTCGCACTTCACATGCCTTGTCATCATCTAGTGGACGGGATATCGGTCGCGTGTGTTTGTGCATGACTAGAGGAAAGAAATGAAGAAGAAGCAGCTTCGCGGCAAGTCACCGCTTGGAGCCACCGCGTGCTGATTGGCCAAGAGATTCCGAGCACATGTCGCTAGATATGCTACAGGCAAATTCGCTAATCAATTCAAATTTTACGCGCGTATGCGCAGAAGCGCAAGAATCGCATTGGTGATGAATGATAATACGAGCATTTTAGTTGAATCACTCAAATTACATTTTTATATTAGTGCTTTCCTTTTTGAAGGGTGAAAACCTTCGAAAGCAGCTGTAGAAACCATATCTTGGAAAGGTGTGGACGTAATAAATTATAATTACAGGAAGTTAACGCAACTTGAGCGTTTATCCAATGGGCGCTAGTAATCAGTGGTGCGCGCGCGTGTATGACATTTTCTAACGAACCGGATACAGCAAACTACCACCCGTGTAAAACGCGCGCGTATGCAATACAGTTGCTATCATAATCATAGACATCTAATATATTTCTATGATCATAATGCGGGGCGTTCATACGCTCGCGTTAAAGTCTTCACCCGATATAATGTTCGTACTGAGGATGTCACACGACGAAAGCGTTGATCTGCGATATATATCTGTATAATTAAACACTTCGCCCACAGATATATTTACTTTTTCTAAACCGAGCATTTTTGTAATTCTGGACACAAAAACGAAATTTCAGCTTCCTCCGTCCAATGTTCTCTTTTTTTTGCACGAGAAGTTCATACCCTGCTGGATAGTTAGTCGTAATGCAATGAAGACGTCCTCCAATAGGGCTAGGGTGATGATATACAAATATTCAGTGGCTCAGCGTGGAATGGGAGGAATATTATCGCAAGGTAAAATCTGGACTGCCGAGTGAACTGGAAAAGTCCAGATTTTACCGAGCGATAATATTCCTCACATTTCACAATTTAAAGCCACTCAATATTTGTTTTATATAACTGACATTATAGATCCTTGTCATTTGATATTTGAACTTTTATTTCAATTCAAAATTGGTGGAAAATGTATTTCTCTCTTCCAAACACCACCCCTTCACGAAAATGTTTGATCCCAACGCTATAGCACTTGCTCTTTGGAACATTAACAATACGCGCTACGCGCAACGCTGAACGCGCACACCAGCATGCATTATTTTGCACGCAACTTGAATACCGCGTCATGGAACAAGAATGATCCTAGACTTGGCCAAGTCTGGGTTGCGCTTAGACTTGGCCAAGTCTGGGTTGCGCTTGGTCTGTGCCTTTAGTAAATCCACTCACAGCGCATATCGCATGTACATAACGCGCGCCCTCATGCGTCGAATCTGGACCATCATGTTAAAAACGTACATGTACATGTACATGTTATTTTCAAGTGATGCAGCAACCCAATTGCTAACTTTTGCACCACATGTATGCACATGCTCTGCAATACATGCACACACATGTACATTTGTACGTGTAAGACGCGTGTTGTACAATGTACATGTACATGTACATACAGTGTGTGCGCATTGTTACACGGCATTGAAGTGGAACGCGCGCTGAAGTGTACCTTGTCGGGCATCTGGAAAGACGTAAACTAAGTGATGTTTGCTACTTTTTTTAAGATACCGACTTAATAGGCAATTCCGAATTGAGTCAAGTCTAGGTTGCGCTCGGTCTGTGCCAAAGCCATTGATCTCCATATACACAGATCAATGGCCAAAGCGCATACATTGTAAACTGAAACTGTACACGCCTTACCATAACGCGCCCTCATGCGTCAAATCCAGACCAACATGTTAAAAACGTACATGTACATGTTATTTGTATGTGATGCAGCAACCCATCTCATCTAGGCGCTTGCGTCAAGTTGATCTGACATCGCGCACTCTGTAAGTGTTCTCCACTGTTCTCTATGGTGTACTATAAAGGACACCTATCTGTTATCGTCGTGCGTGTGGGGAGCTCCGTCGTGCCTGTGAGCAGGTCCGTCGTGCCTGTGAGCAGGTCCGTCGTGCCTGTGAGCTGGTCCGTCGTGTTTGTGAGCAGACCGTCGTGCGTGTGAGCAGACCGTCGTGCGTGTGGGGAGCTCCGTCGTGCCTGTGAGCAGGTCCGTCGTGTTTGTGAGCAGACCGTCGTGCGTGTGAGTAAAACCGTCGTGCCTGTGAGCAGGTCCGTCGTGTTTGTGAGCAGAGTGTCGTACGTGTGAGTAAAACCGTCGTGCCTGTGAGCAAGTCCGTCGTGCGTGTGAGTAAATCCGTCGTGCCTGTGAGTAAAACCGTCGTGCCTGTGAGCAGGTCCGTCGTGTTTGTGAGCAGACCGTCGTGCGTGTGAGTAAAACCGTCGTGCCTGTGAGCAGGTCCGTCGTGCGTGTGAGTAAATCCATCGTGCCTGTGAGTAAAACCGTCGTGCCTGTGAGTAAAACCGTCGTGCCTGTGAGTAAAACCGTCGTGTTTGTGAGTAAAACCGTCGTGCATGTGAGTAAAACCGTTGTGCCTGTGAGTAAAACCGTCGTGTTTGTGAGTAAAACCGTCGTGCGTGTGAGTAAAGCCGTCGTGCCTATGAGGCGCCATGTGTAAATAAATTACTTAACAAAATTATTTTTATATAATTCATTATTTATTATATAATTCAGTTTTCCGGACAATTATATGTAAATAACTGTTTGGCAGTTTGCATTATATGTAAATAAATATATTTGCCACTGCATTATTTATATATATATATTTTTTTTGCAACCTTAGTATTTATATATAATTTATTTGGTACCTCATTATTTATATATATTTTTTTGCATGCTTTAATTATTTGTTATATGATTTATTTGGTACGGGTACCTTATTATTTAAATATTTAAATATAATTTTTTGCACACTTTATTTATTTATATATAATGCATTATTTATTATATAATTCATTATTTATTATATAATGCATTATTTTATTTTATCACTACAAGATAAAATGCATCATTCGGCACATACACACACTGTTGATCAGTCACGTAATTTGTTGCCATGGGGTACGTGTGCGCGGTAAACAGTAGCCGACCGGTGGGCGCGGCCGGGGAACACCTGGCCGCCCCACTTATTTGCGGACGTGACATATTGAGGCCAGAGAAATTGTTCATAACGCTAAAATGATATGGATCGCGCGCCCAATGGGGTAAAAGAAGCAATATTGACACAGTGTATTAAGTCAAGTTCATTAATTAGGCCCAGAAAGTTCACTTCGGCTTAGCTTTTCGAAGCCGCTATACATGGAAAATAAACCCACCACCTCCCCTTCGCCTCCAACATTAAGAAATTAATTAAGGGGGAGTAGTTACTGGGTACGACGGGCAGTGCCTCAATTCAAAAGAAATAAATAGTTCTTGAGTAAGATTTTGAATTTTGACCAATTTTTACAAGTTCGTTTTAATCTTTAGAAACACTACGCCTAGCACCCTCTAGTACTGGTGGGGCTATTATTATATATAAATAAATAAAGTGCACACAAATTATATATATAAATAAAAAGGTTGCAAATAAATTATAAATAAATAAAAAAGTGTGCAAATGTTATATATAAATAATAAGTTTGCAAATAAATTATATATAAATAATTCTAGTATCACTATGATAAAATATCCTGTTTTATATTTACTGTTTAAGTTGTATACGTTGACCTTCAAGGAACAGGACCACTTTCCTGGTAATGAGACACATCTAAGGAATGGCCAGTTTAGCCACAAGGTCCGCGTGGGTGGATGCTGGGCTGCACCGGAAGGCCACAGTGATTCAGCCCACAGACTTATAAGGAAATATGATTGTTCTATTAATTTGCCTAGCCCTGCCCCCAGATACAAGATGACCAAACACCTTCAATTCTGTATTATTAATATTCAATAGTTAGTGAACGATTCCTAATAAGGCAAGAAACCTGTAAGATAGCTGTAAGATTGGAATGTTCAATTACTGTATAAAAACCCAGTAGAATCTAGGAATCAGACAGAGAGCGTCACAGCCAACCGAATAAACCACATCATCCCAAGTACCACTTCGTCTCTTACTGTCTTACTTTGTCTATATAACCTCACGGGTTATATTAGTTTGCCCAAAATTATATGTTAATAATTAGGTTGCAAACAAAATTATATATAAAAATATTACAGTGGCAAATAAATTTATTTACATATAATGCAAACTGCCAAACAATTATTTACATATAATCGTCCGGAAAACTGAATTATATAATAAATATTGAATTATGTATAAATAATTTTGTTAAATAATTTATTTACACATGGCGCCTCATAGGCACAACGGTTTTACTCACACGCACGACGGTTTTACTCACAAACACGACGGTTTTACTCACACGCACGACAGTTTTACTCACAGGCATGACGGTTTTACTCACAAACACGACGGTTTTACTCACAGGCACGACGGTTTTACTCACACGCACGACGGTTTTACTCACAGGCACGACGGACCTGCTCACAGGCACGACGGTTTTACTCACACGCACGACGGTTTTACTCACAGGCACGACGGACCTGCTCACAGGCACGACGGTTTTACTCACACGCACGACGGTTTTACTCACAGGCACGACGGACCTGCTCACAGGCACGACGGTTTTACTCACACGTACGACGCTCTGCTCACAAACACGACGGACCTGCTCACAGGCACGACGGTTTTACTCACACGCACGACGGTCTGCTCACAAACACGACGGACCTGCTCACAGGCACGACGGTTTCACTCACACGCACGACGGTCTGCTCACAAGCACGACGGACCTGCTCACAGGCACGACGGAGCTCCCCACACTCACGACGGTCTGCTCACAAACACGACGGACCTGCTCACAGGCACGACGGACCTGCTCACAGGCACGACGGAGCTCCCCACACGCACGACGGTCTGCTCACAAACACGACGGACCTGCTCACAGGCACGACGGACCTTCTCACAGGCACGACGGAGCTCCCCACACGCACGACGATAACAGATAGGTGTCCTTTATAGTACACCATAGTTCTCTGTCTGATGCCACGTGCCACGTGCATCGATCCTTGATGTTGACCCCCGTGGTTGTCAGGTCCTTGTTTACTCTCTTCAGCCACGTGGTTCGTTGTCCCCCTCTTGGTAGCTTGTTCTTGCGGATTGCCTCTAGAAGTGCTTGCTTGGCAGGAGCTTCCTCGGGTAGTCTCAGGAGATGGCCTGTCCACCTAAGACGTCTTCGGGTAATGGCAGTACTCCAAGGGATCTCGTTGGTTCTCCTGTACAGTTCTTTGTTGGTGATCTTCTTGGGCCATTTTATATTAAGGATTGAACGCAAGAGTCTTCTGTGAAATGCATCAATGTTCTCTTCTAGTGACTTAGTCAATGTCCATAGTTCGCTGTTGTATAGGAATACAGATGCTATGAAGGCGCGGAATGTTTTGAGTTTCGTGTTGTTTGAGATTGCATCACTGTTGAAGACATTCCTGAATTTGTTGAAAGATACCATCGAAAGTATTTTCCTCCTGGTAATATCTGGTCAATCTGCCAAGCGTACGCGCTGGTTTGTTCCACGTTTGTACACAGTCTATGGAAATTAATTTTCGCTGTGATTGGCTTCTACCGATTTCGGTAGAAGCCAATCATAATCACAGTATTTCAGGTAATTAGCGTTTTATTCTTAAAAACGTGCGCAGGTTGTTTTGATATTATTCCTTACACGCAATCATAGTTGTCTGCGTATTCGCGCATCCAAAGTTTCGCATCCCATCCCATGGTGAGGAGTAGAAACAGATACACGGGTACGCACGCGTATACGTTCGAATGCTTTGTAACGGCTCAGCTGAGTACGCACAACACGCAGCGGAATCAATGGATCTAAACATCTTTTACAGGTTAATCCCAATAAAAATCCCCTTTTGTTTTTAATAACATTTGAATGTCATGTTCTCAATAAATTCAACCCAAGAGCAGCTGATCTATGCATTATCATCCAAATATAATGTGTTTGAAATCTACAAGTTAAGATTACATTTTTAAAACTTTTACAGTTTGTTATCCAGCCTTCCATACCTACTGAAAATAATAAACGAGTCTTCAAAAATCGGCTACTTTGATTGGTCAAGGGATGTTGCTGCATATGCATAGAGATGGTGTTGCATATGCATCGATGAATATGTGCGCGTTCACGCGAGGGGGGGGGTGCTGATGGCAGATTGATCAAGTCGGAATTGCTAACTTTTGCACCACATGTATGCACATGCTCTGCAATACATACGTACAATACGCGTGTTGCACAATGTGCATACAGTGTGTCACCAACCTCGTGCCCCGTGGGTACGATCTTGCAGCGCCATGTTGTTTCCCATCACGCGCCCCTGGAGTCGAGGCTGGTGTGTACGCGCATTGTTATACGGCACTAAAGTGGAACGCGTGCTGAAGTGTACATTGTCGCGCTTCTGGAAAGACGTAAACTATTAGTGATTTTGAGGATTTTTTTTTTAAGACACCGACTGAAAGCAATTCCGACTTGAGTCAAGTCTAGAATGATCCTAACTGTTCAATATTCAATTGAGGGTGGGCAGTAGATATTCGCTTCACACTAGACGAAAACCTTTTTGGTCACTTGACATTTGAAAGTTTCTATAGCTACACCCAGAGGTTACTAGTTCATTGTTCTAAGATGTTATTATTTATTTCTTAGAATCAAGAAAACCAAGATGCATGACTTTCTAATTTCACTATACAATACATAAACACCGTAACAAGAGACAAAGTAATTTTGTTGGCTTTTTTAATTTTACATTCGGGCTACTAGATGTGGTTACACCACATTTGACTCATATTAATGAGTCTTAAAAATAACAAGGGGGTGCCATGCTGATCGCCATTCAACTAATGGGGACACTGACAAATCAAACCACGTATGTAATATTGATGTACCCTAACGTGGCGCGGTCCCCAACGTGGCGCACTTTGATTTTTTCGCCTGTAGCGCCTACCAAGAGCAAAAGTTTTAACTGAAATTTCACAGAAAGCGACATTTCATCAAGTTCTAAACACTCCCATTCATAAATCGCGAGTTTATTTACCCGTTACAAAGTTAGAAGAAACATTTACTTTGGCGTGATTTTCCGATTTTATTTTCAACTGCAAAGTGAACCCTTTGAAAATGCCCCGAAAAAAATACGAACATAATTTTGTGACAAACATCTGGCTGGGTATGTAAGTAGAGATAATAATGATTTATCAGAATTTATCAAGTTAACAGAAATTCTTCAATGTTAATTTGGAATTTTCCGAGTTTTATTTACGTGCGCCACGTTAGGGAACACTCCGCGAATTTGTGCCCAATTTCCGGACGTCACCATTTTTGAATTTCGGATTAAATTTTATGAAACCGAAATTGTTCACAGAGGTTAAATAACACGCATTAATAAGGTAAAAGTACCAGTATTTTACTGCATGAATTTGAGGTTTGTCAACAAAGAGGTTTGGCAACACTACACGAGGAAAGTTGGGTAAGCTTGGAAGTGCGCCACGTTAGGGAACACGACTATATATATGTATTGTTGATGTACCCAAACGTGGCGCGGCCCCTAACGTGGCGCACTTTTATTTTTCGCCTGTAGCGCCTAGCTAGAGCAAAAGTTTTAACTGAAATTTCACAGAAAGTGAAATTTCATCAAGTTCTAAACACTCCCGTTCATAAATCGCGAGTTTATTTACCCGTTACAAAGTTAAAAGAAAAAATTATTTTGGCGTGATTTTCCGATTTTATTTTCAAGTGCAAAGTGAACCCTTTGAAAATGCCCCGAAAAATAAGAAAATAATTTTCTGACAAACATCTGGCTGGGTTTGTAAGTAAAGATAATAATGATTTATCAGAATTTATCAAGTTTACAGAAATTCTTAAATGTTAATTTGGAATTTTCTGAGATTTATTCAAGTGCGCCACGTTAGGGAACACTCCGCGAATTTGTGCCCAATTTCCGGACGCGACCGTTTTTGCATTTCGGATTAAATTTTATGAAACCGAAATTGTTCACAGAGGTTAAATAGCAAGCATTAAAAAGGTAAAAGTAACAGCATTTCAATGCATGAATTTAAGGTTTATCAACAAAGAGGTTTGGCAACACTACGCGAGGAAAGTTGGGTAAGCTTCGAAGTGCGCCACGTTAGGGAACACGACTATATACATTATTCGCGAACATTCTAACGTGACGTGAACAAAAACCGGCACCAGCGTAAGTCATTGCAAACATTTTTCGCAAAGTTTTGCTTTTATTTGTGGGACTCGAGTCTTATTAGCCTTCCTCGAGTCGAGTCGAGTCATTCTGATGAGGGACTCAAGTCGAGTCATTATTTTGCTCGCAGTGACTCGAGTCGAGTCGAGTCACTAAAAATTGCGACTCGAGTCGGACTCGAGTCGAGTCATCGACTCGAGTCTTTACAAATCTGCCCTCCCCCCCCCCCCCCCCCCCAAAAAAAACTACGCTGCTTCACCAATGGAATATGCCTTTTTATTAAAGTGCCCACTTGACATTTGAAAGTTTCAATAGCTACACCAGAGGTTACTAGTTCATATAAGATGTTATTATTTATTTCTTAGAATCAAGAAAACCAAGATGCATGACTTTCTAATTTTAAGCACTGCCCCAGCAGTTCCTCAATCGTTATATAGTTCACAATCACTTCGTTCCAGTTCAAAAGTTCGCTCCAGTTCACTTTTCCTCAGATCGCTTTTCCTCAGTTCACTTTTCAGTTCACTAGCAGTTCACTTCAACCAGTTCGGTTCACTCACAACATTTTAAATCGTTATGGAATAACGTCACGGTTAACACATTATTGACCCCCCCCCCCCCCCCCCCCACACACACACACACACACACCCAGTCATACTACGAGGAGGCAAAGTCGACCTGACCGGTGATTAGATTATGTGGTATTGTACTATTGTAGCACTTAATCAAGATTTCCTGAATTTTAAATATTTGGTTGAAGACGGATCTGAGCGCATTGATCGCCTGCATCGAGGTATCTTTGTAGGCCTAGTGTTAGTGATTTAGGTAATATCAAACCGGGTGATCTATACTTTTTTTTACACCGACTACAAAAATGTATAGGGTGGATTTAAGGGATTGTTGGGGTGATTGTCTTTTCCCCCAAAATATGCCTTAGAAAAAAATCCCAATAAACTAGGGAGAAAATCCATATGTTCCTCAAGATTCCTGAATATAATCTCGATTCGTTGCTTCAGGCTTTTGGTCCTTCTAAATTGTCTCTTTGTTGACTTCCACACCCTCTGCCAACCGCCTTTAAAAGTCCGGGATCCGCCACACCAGGAGGTTTATTTTACATTGCGAAATATACGTTACTATATAAAGGTTCAATACTGAAAAGTGCATTTATTCATTATTCGCAAAAACTATTGCATTAATAGGCTTTAATATTGCATTAGCAGTCAAGTTAGCCTACATCTTTAAGATTATAATGTCACAGTAATAGCCAGAGTATGACCGGTACCCCAAATGGAAAGTTTGGTAGGGGTTGGGGTCAAGGGAAAGAGGGATTGCCGCATTCTCTACTCATTCATGGGATTTATAGATGTACAAATCTGAGAGAAAATATGTATTATGTATAAGGAAATTAGTTGGACAGAAAGGGGGATTTGATGTGTGATGCACCATGCACCATCCCACTTTCGTACTTCGAAGCTAACGACCAGGGTCAGGTATTTAGCCCCTGGGTGCTCATATAAGTGTCAACACAAACATGGCTTTGTATGGCTTATATGTGCATTCGTTATCACATTCTAATATAATATGGGATTCAACTTAAACAGAACACAACTGTTTCTGCAGTGTTATAAGGCTTCATAGTCTTCAGGTGTAGACAAAGGTTTCGAAGACAGATTTTTATTGCATTTTTTTTTTACTAACATTAGTACTGAGACAATAGTTTCTGCATAATATTCTCAGAAAAATTACGAGAATATATCACTTTGCCTTCCGTTGAAGTGCAAAAAAAACTATATATTACTGAAAAAAGTCATCAGGAAATATACATTTAAAACAATATTTTTCACTCTCTGATTTATAAAATATACGCTTCATATTTCATATACATTTCATATAATTTTCAAATTAAAAAGTGTTTTAAAACCAATGCATATTACTGGTGTAAAATTCTTTGACATAAGTTACTTTAACAAAATTTAAATTTAATTTAGAAAACAAGTAGGGAAAAAATCATTTTCATGGCCTTCAAGTTGTTTTTTTTTATAACGAAGTTTTATCACTCTTGGCTCCCACTCATTCACTGTTTTGTTCTAAATGGCACTCTTTGCACACAAGTAAAGACATTTTTAGCAAATCAACATCAAACTTCATTACCAAATCTAAAAATCATGGAAAAAGTAAATTTATTGATTGATTGATTGATTGATTTCTTATTTATCCTGGGTGATCCATTCAGTGAGAAAAACTCAATGATCAAAATAGGAATTACACAGATGATAAACAGACATTTACAATACAATACAAAACATCATTGCAAGATGACATCCCCCTCAAATTGAGAATGGAAACTCGGAATGTTGACAACACCCTAGCACAACACAACACCCCCTCCCATTTCCTGAAAGCTGGATCCGTCCCCGATAATGGATAGAATAAATCTGTATTTTTTAAGTGATCTAAACCTACATTGTGTAATTCTAACCAACAATTGGACAACAACAATTGGACTTTTTTGTTTTCTTGGTAGTCACTTACAGTCCAAACCAAATGGAAAGGCTTTGGCTCCATATTGGAAGATTTTATGTTTCTGAGGCAGAAAAACAACTGCATGTTTGTTGATTTAATGAAAACTAAAGCCCAGATTTGGAAAACTCCTAAGGGAAACGACTCCTTGTTAGTTTGTTGTGTTGTAGTAAGCTTCCAGGTAGCCATGCACAAACTCTTCCACCATGGAGCGGTCTGGTAAGCCCTCTGCCATCCCATACACAGCAGCCTGGTCAGGAGAAACAACACAAACAATTCAAACTTAGCTCCAACGAAGACTTGGACATTATGATTTGAACTACAACCTGTGAAGCATCATACAAGTACTTTAAAGGGAATATACAACATTTGCAAACATGAAGTACCTTACTGGACTGTCAGTAACTGACAGTCTAAAGCATCTCATCATGGCATCTGGTGTGCTGTCATTTTCAAAAGAAGTGTTATTTTTGGATCAATTTCCAACACTGGTAAGCCGAGCAGCGTTGGAAAAAAAAACGAGCTTTTTTTCAACTACTGCCCCCAATTTACCATATTTAGTTAGACCGCATTTTGCTTGTAATTGATAACACACCTATGAACGGGTACAAACCTGCTAGACTGGTTCCCTGACCTTACAATTCCCCGATATCTATAAATTGCTCCGTTTCATCTCAAGTGGGGTCGGGGAACCAGACTACATGAACATTTCTTGGTTTTTCCAGCATCTACGAACACAAAACTTTAAGTAAGTCAGTGTGACAATATTTGCCATAAAGTACTTACCCCCCCCCCCCAATCCATCCATTTCTGAAAGTTACAGCAAAAGCAAATGTTGTATATTCCCTTTAACAACTGAGCTAGCACTATGTTGAAGGGTTTTTTTCAATCCCTCACTGTCTGCATTCATTGGCACTTTTTAATGGACGGAAACCTCCATGTGATATGCGACCAGAAATAACTTCAATAAAGTTGTTTATTACAAATACACTGCAATGGGAAACTGACTTTGCCCTGACTTTTCTAGGACAGGATTCTTTTTCCCATTTTGGAATAGCATGGCTACAGGTTCAGCATATAACAACTTATTGAAGTAGCCGCAGCTCACCAGTGTAATCTTTCTTCTACCCAACAGCACTAAAAGTTTGACATGAATCAAACCTGGTTTGATTCATGAAAAACAAGCAAGTTGTTTCCCTACTACATACTATGCCTTCTGCCTTGGCCTTGGGGTCCTTCATGATCTCTGCGGTACAGTCCCTCAGGTCTTTCAAGAAGATGTCTGCCACGCCCGGAGCAGTGTGCATCTTGGTCACCGCAAAGTTCACCCTACAGGATGACACAAACAACACATTGTCAACGTCATTTTTTAAAACTCTTTGCCGTTTAAGGCACATAGGAACATTGGTAATTAGTACCCAGCAATGATATTAATATAATGATAAATACCTTGCTTAAAGGGAATGTACAACATTTGCTTTTGCTGCAATTTTCAGAAATAAATGGATTTGGAGGATTAGTATGTTATAGTAAATATTGTTAAACTGACTTGCTTCACGTTTTGGGTTCGGAGCTGCTAGAAAATCCAAGAAAACCAACCATGTTCTTGTAGTCTGGTTCCCTGACCCCACTTGAGATGAAACGGAGCAATTTATAGACTTTGGGGAATTGTAAGGTCAGAGAATCAGTCTAGCAGGCTTGTACCCCTTCACAGGTGTGTAAACAATTGCAAAGAAAATGCGGAATATCTAAATATGAAAAATTAGGAGCAGTATTTGAAAAAAAAGCCAGTTTTCTCCAACGCTGGTCGGCCAACCAGCATGTTGTACCTTCCCTTTAAAATGAAGGATTGATCACAAAATTAATACTCTGTGAATTTATTCCACCTGAAATGGTATAATTTAGAAGAAAACAACCATTAAAGATGGCTTTAAATTTGAGGATTTCCATTCAATACAATGGAGATTACCAACCCATTAGAATCTTAACATCATGCACACTAACTGGCTGACATGTCCCAAGTGCTGAGTTAGAGATTGTGCAGGAGAGGGTGCGTTTAAAAAAAATGTAATAGCAACATTTGAATCAGAAGTGCTAGCAACGGCATTCACTAACAAGGCCTTAAAAATCTGAATAGGTTTTCTCTATTTTTGTCAAAATGTATCCACTGAGCTTTAACTTCAAAAGGTTAGATGTAATGCACCTTACTTAAAGATTTTTAGCAGTTTTGTTGCTTCAAGCAAAAAAAAAACCTACAAAAGCAAATATTCCTAGGTTCCTTTAAAGGAGCAAATTCCATACTAAAACATAATATCCATTGTGAAAATATCCATGCTCCTTATCTGTATGAAAATGGTGGACAGCCTGTTTGGTCTTCTAAAATGTGGTTTCTGTTTCATTATTCACAATGCTACTTCTTAACATAGTATGAGGATATTGTTGCTGCACAAACAAAAGATAGCAAGACAGCAAGAAATGGAAGGTAATCTTCATGTTGCCCACCCTGAAGGGTACTGAACGGTAAACATGTGCCATCCCTGCGCCGTGAGGGCTGATCCTAAGCGATAGATGTCAAAACACTGTGATCCGATGGACAGGATGTTGACATCAGGTTTGCCGTAGACACACAAGCCTGGGATGTCACGGACACTGAAATGAGAAAGAGCATCAAAGGTTCAGCAAGAATCAAGTACCGAGAGAAAGCCAGATACTGGGCTTGATTGCGTTGTGAATTTTTACAAAGTTGTAATCTTCCTGCAATGTTGCTTTGTGAATGGTGAAAATAAGAAGGAACATCCTTGATGCCCAGTGCTACGACCATCTTCCAACATACTCCAATATATATTCATGCCATTCATTCACAGCACCAAAAGAACAATAAAATGCATCTAAGGGTATTCATAATTATGGAAATGGTACCTTTGGGAAACATTCTTCCAGGGAAAAGGTGAATAAAGAAAGGAAGAGCACCAAAGCTACTCTACAATTTGAGTGTAAAGTAACAATTTTTGGAAACAGACGTAAAATATACAGGATTCTTTGATTCCATCAAGTGCAAGGTGGTGTCCAGACCACTTGACACCAGATGATAAGTTCAACTTGTTGAAACCATGATCTTGAATGCCAAACTTCTACATGACTCACTGTTTCTCAATGTACTCTCTGGTTTGGATGACTTTGACAGCATTATCCATGTAACCATCTGTACCAACAGCCATCATGGTGGCCCAGCACGTTGCAATGATGGCACCCGACCTTGAGCCTTGAAAAGACACCACCACAAAAAAAAATAATAATAAAAATATCAATTTATTTTAATGCTGCATTCCAAGTACTTGGATGTGACGTTTTTAAGAAAAGTGCTATTTTTGTATCAATTTCCAATACTGCGGTCGGCCAACCAGCATTGGAAAAAACTGGCTTTATTCAAACAGTGGCCCCAATTTACCATATTAGTTAGGCCGCATTTTGTTTGCAATCAATTACACACCTATGAACGGATACAAGCCAGCTAGTTTGGTTCCCCGACTTTACAATTCCCAGACATCTTTAAATTACTCATTTCATCTTAAGTGGGGTCAGGGAAACAGACTACAAGAACATGATTGTTTTCTAGGTTTTTCCAGCATCTACGAACACAAAACTTGAAACAAGTCAGTGTAACAATATTTGCTATAAAATAGTAAACCCCCATATCAATTTATTTCTGAAAATTACAGCAAAAGCAAATGATATTCCTGTTAACTAATTAGTGTTAAAAACATTGTTTGGCTATTGCGAGGTAGTGAGTACATACTGCTTATAAAATTAACAAATAAACCCCCCAAAAACATATCAAAATTAACACCATCGCAATGCAGAATTTCATCAGATGTCAAAAAAGAGGTCCCTGTTTTTTTTTTCAGAACCTCACAAACTCATAAAAGAGATTTGTCACGGTGCCACTGTCAATCTTGATCTTACTGTCAAAAAAGCTTGAACATTTAAATTTTAACAGTTTGACATATTTTGTCTTGACCTGAGACTTACAGGGCCAAAGAACTGCTAAGCGCAAAAAAATACACTGAGCCCCGGAAACTATTTCTTAGCAAATGTAGGTTACTAGTAAAAATGTCATGTGATGTGTAATACTAGAAAATGGTTCTCAGCTATGATTTAGCCCTGATTAGCAGGTTCATGTACTTTAACTAAGCAGTATGTTTCAGCGGTTCCATTCACTTGGGCAAGGATGCAATGATCTAAACAGGCATTATAAATGTCACATGTGTCTTGAAATAAACATTTTTAAAGAAATTTCTCAAGAAATAAATTATCAACTGCTTACCACCAACTGCTGGTGAGGCATAAATTCCCCCACACCAGTCCGTGTTGACATAAAACTGTCCCATGCGGTATTTGGAGTTCTTGTACAGAATGAGGGAAGAGCCCTTGGGTGCCAGACCGTACTACAACACAGATAACAAATACAGGCCTTTAATACTGATTTTGTGTTGGAATTTTACATCTCCAAAAGAAGATGAGATGGGAAGGGTGAAATATTTAAGGTAACATTCCCAATGTGCTCTAAATTGTACGAAAGTTGGTATAGCTAAAAAATGTCTAAAATATTAAAACATCCAGAGGATGACCACATCTTAAGATGTATGTTTTGTAACAATAGCACACGGTCACGTGACAAAGCAAAAATAAATTCAGCTCTTTCAGTCATTTTGATAGTAGTTAAGTCTGACAGTTTTTCAATTTTCAATTCAATTCAATTCAATTCAATCTTTGTATCGGGTGGAAAGGTAAGGTGTATATGAACTGTTTGGTGTTTTGATTTTGTAATTTTTAATTGTAATAACTTTTCATCATGTTCTACTGAGAAATGCAAATATGTAATTTCCTGGTTGGATATAATAACACAGGCAGACAGACAGGCCTGCATGCAGTCATTATCTAACACTCAACATTCTCTCAAGTGTAATAAAGCATTTCATTTCCCTAAAAAAACCCAAAGCTGTGGAGTTAAGCAATGACATCTGTTAATAATTTGTTTGTCATATAATAAAAACTTCTGCCACCTAAAAATGACTGTAGAGGTTGTAGCATAATTATTTTGTGCATGAATTACACATTTCGTAACATTTGTGAAATATGTCTTATTAGACCTGCTATTCAACGTGTAGATACGCCATGGGTAATGACAGACTTGGACTCAAAGTCCCTCTCGATCGCAATTTTGTGACTCAGACATGACTCGAGTCACATCAGCAAAAGACGTCTGACTCGGCCATCTGAGACTCGAACTTGATGCTACTGACTCATGACTGACTATTTTGAGTCATATATCTTTTAGCAAAAATATTACCTTTTAAAGGGAAGATACAACATTTGCAAACATCACAAAATGAAATGATCAAATTATCACAATATATCTTACTGGATTGTTAGGGAATGACAGTCTAAAGCAACCTGTAAAATCGTGGCTCCTGGTGTGCTGTCATTTTCAAGTAAAATGGGATTTTTCCTATGCTGGTCAGCCGACCAGCGTTGGAGCAAACTTTTTTTTTTTTCAAAAACTGCTCCTAATTTTTCATAAGTAGTTATTCTGTGTCTTCTTTGCAATTGATTACACACCTGTGAAGGGGTACAAGCCTGCTAGACTGCATTCTTTGACCTTACAATTCCCCAAAGTCTGTAAATTGCTCCGTTTCATCTGAAGTGGGGGACCAGGACTACAAGACCATGATTGGTTTTCTTGGTTTTTCCAGCATCTACAACCCCAAAACATGAAACAAGTCATTTTAACAATATTTGCTATAACACACCAATCCTCCAAATCCATTTATTTCCGAAAATTGCAGCAAAAGCAAATGTTGTACATTCCCTTTAAAAAAATATTTTTCCAAAAGTTATATTTAAGTGATGACGGAACATTAAGCACACAAACTACAAATCTTGTTTTTAAATTCCAAAAACAGTGCAGTACTTATCACTTACATTTACATGTATGTGTGTCCATGTCCATACATACCCATTTCATACAAAATATGACTCAGACTCGGACTCAGACTTGAACCAAATGAATTGAGATGTGGATACGGACTCGGACTCCATCCAAGTGACTTGGACTTGGACTCAACACGAGTGACTCAAATACAGCCCTGCATAATTTTTCCTAATCAGCTGTAGGACCTCTTTTGCTAAGCAGTTACGTGTACTGACAGCTCAAGTGTGCAGTGACCCATAGATAATCACCTTGTGTGCATCAGCTGAGATGCTTGTAACTCCTTCCACAGCAAAGTCAATTGAGGGCAGATCCAACCCCGCCCGCTTGGCAAAGGGGATGATGAACCCACCCATGCAGGCATCCACGTGAACTGGGATGTTAAACCTCTTCCCAAGCTTAGGATAAAAAAAATGACCAGTAAAGGATTTGCCTGTAGAGGACATAGTGCATCAGTTTACACGCTAATAGGCTCGAGTGTGCACAAACCCTCAGCATCTTCATCTGAGTGCATGGTGGCAATGCATGATGGCTGCCCTGTTTCTTAAACAATAAATAACACGTTTACCACCGGTGTCACTATACCAATGGAGCCCATTTTATGCCAATAAATATATAATACCCGTACAATTATACAACAAACTGCACGCTTTCGTTTCTGCGCATCTGGGCAGAAGATGAAATAAGACCAATATTGCTTGGGCAAAATGAACTTACACAAGTAATTTTCAGCTTTCACTTTAATACTCACAATGCAGTACTTATACATGTGACAGCACAAATCAATTTTTGTTGGGGAAAAATACAGCTGTAGAAATGGTCGGAAAATGTCTGACATCCGAATGCGACCACCATCTGCTAAGCATGCTTCTATGTGGCCTACTGCTCTGGCCATATATTGCACTGGTAATTATGACCTGCACTATACATCTTAAGCCAATTAATCATCACTCTGCATTTTGTAGGGATGCCATCCACCACAAAAAAAACTATCTGTGGGGCAGTGTGCTTCCAAACATCAAGGAGATCAGCTATGGGTCACAAACAAAAAGCAGTGGTATTTATGGGCATATTTTGTACTACCTTGCAGATATCCTACTTACCTGCCCAATGTCTTCCACTTGTTCGATGACTCCATAGGGGAAGGATGGGGCTGAGGCAACAAGCATACAGGTGTTCTTGTTGATTTTTTTCCTCAATGCCTAAAAGAAAAGCCCAAAGATCACTTTCCAGTAACGGAGTATTTCAATATAAATTAAATATCTTATTTTTTGCAAGCAAATTTATGCTGCATTTAATCTATACATATTACAATAACATGTTCAAATGTTCATTTGAAAACAATCAAAATCTGTAACGTTTCAATGGAACTTAATTCTTTAATAAATGGTACCCTATGTTTTCCTAAAGGGGCAGCAACGTCTGTAGATGTTAAACTTTAAAAGCATTAGCAGCACCTAAATACTTGATCACATACCATCCCTGGAAGACCAGCAAACTACATATGTGACTAGCTCTACAAAAAAGGGTAGTATGTCGCAAAAAACTGAACTGAGAAATCAAGTTATATACATGGTTGGAATGCCCACAATTTAAGCTTTCATTTGGTGTATAATAGAGCTCCATTGCCCCTCCCGGAAATATGACGTATTTTGCATATTAATTACTTCCTTGGAGTTCAAATTGCACAAATGAGAAAACAGGCTTTGAAATAGCTGGCTTTGTTGAACAACAGCAGAACGATGCACACAAAATGGTTGGTTTTTCCACTTTGTTCATCAAAATCAACATTTCTGTGAATGAAACATGAAACTGTAGGTATTAATGATAAAGATGACATTCATGACAAAAAATGAAAATCACATTTTAACAAAATTTTCACCCTCTCAATTTTGAGCAGGCCATTACACAATAATGCTAGGCGCGACTTAATACCCTTTTTGTGGAGCCAGTCACATATAAACATCGATCTAAACTGTATACAATTTATTGTGTTCGCTGAGTGCGATAGGCTGACAGGGCAAGTTCAACGTCTAGTGCCTATCCTACATGGGACCAAACATTCACTGGGACAGGTAGAAGCCTCTGTACAGTGTTGGCTGAACAGTAGGTAACCAGCTTACAAGCTCCGCTTTTAGGAAACCAGTCCTCCTCCACTTATTGTTAAATGAGGGTTTGGTAAATTTACACCTATTGACATTGGCTTCTGATCGAAGCATTAATGCCGGGATGTATTTCGGCTTATTTTCTCTACTTTTGCCCAGCCTTTTGGTGACTCACCCTGAGATTCACCAGCTTGGTCTGGGGATCCACAGGGACTTCAGTGTAGCGCATTTTGAAGTACTTGGCTGCCTTTGCAAAAGCAGCATGGGCACTGCAGGCGACTAGGCTGAGAGAAAGAAAACATTGTAACTAATTGGTGAAAAAAACAAGATTGACTAAATGTAAATAATTGCCACTAGTTACGGTAACATGCATGCCGTTATGTGCTCTGTGTGAGACTGGACAGGGCACTATGGGCAGTGGATGGTAGAACACGCTACTACATGCAGTTCATGTGCAACCTTTCAATACATGGGGGAATCAGATGAGTAGCATTTTAATAAGGAAGGCAAAGTTTGGCAAATCAAGAGAGTAAGTTGATATTTCTGGTCCTTCAATCATTTTCTGCACTCCAAAGGAGGGAACCTGTTTAAAAAGAGGAAGACCTACCTTATTTGCTGGCTAGTGAATCATATGTGCTATTATCAGAAATTCAGAATTTATGCAGTATGCATACCAGCAAACAGAAGAATTTTCAAAGGCTGATATTTACCTCAATTGTCAAGCAATTCTGGGGTAATCCAGAAGAGTCAAGTTCTAGTACAGACTTATCCAGCACCATGCTCAGTCGTAGGTACCACAACTTCTAATTTTGCTTCTCATTTTGGAAGTTGGAATATACAATGTAAGTCTTTATCTCATTCCTATTAAAACAATGCCAAATGATCAAATACACACTAACATAGTTGTGCAACATTTTTAAATTGACCATTCTAAATGTCTGATCCTGACAAACTGTAGGGGCTTACATTTCTGGTGTCTTGATCCCCTGTTTATAAGCTCGTTCTCGGTATGCTTTGCAAGCCATTAGGATACTCTCCGTCCCGCCTGATGTCATCTGTTTACATTGAAAAAAAAAGAAAACCAGAAATGACTTTGCATCATCGACAAACATGGAGCTGTTGTAGCCTTTGAACATTGTTGAGAGTTGAGTGTTCGAGAGTTGGAGTTGAGTGGTCGAGAGTTGTATGATTTTTGCAAGAAGTATGATGAACTGATCAGATACTGGATACACTTTGGTCCTGACTACATTTAGGTCTTTGATTCCATATATGGTTCAGGCTACATTTAGTTACAGGGTTAGAAATTAGGTACCCTTAGCCTTAATTTAGGTTTTGTAAAACACTGAGGAGCTGCCTGTACATGGTTTCTATGACTATCTTGCCACTGAGACCATTACACAGCCGGCCTCCAAGTATAGTACTCACTGTCCCACAGGTGTCAGGCCCACCATGAAAGAAATCACAGCACATAGCCACTACCTCAGCCTCCATCTTACGTGTCCCTGGAAACACATCTGGGTAGAGGAGGTTATCACCAACAAACAAACCATATATCTATACAAAGAGAAAATATATTTGAAATCTCACAACTATTTGATGAGAAAAGAGATAAAAGGTGTTAGTTAATAATAAGTACAGTGCACATGTACCTATAATATTTTGAGTACAAAACTGACATTGACAAGACAAAGTTGAGCCAACCTTTGCCATTAGCTTGTCATGTCCCTCTCCGCAATTGTATACACCTCCAGATAGTCGGCCCCCTTGCCAGTCAATTTTCTCTGTAAGGAACCAATTAGATAATTCAATTTTGCCAAACACAGGTTTCCATTTTTAAAAACAATTTTTGTAAGGAAAATACTTGAAAATTTGAAACTGGTTTTCAGGTTAAACCTAGTTTACAGACTTTTCCATTCACCAAAATGAAAAATGGATGGTAATTTTTAAGTGGAAAATTGCATAGATAAATTTCTGTGTAACCCAATATGTAACAATCAGACACAACTTCTTGTCTCCTTGAACTTGACCCCTGCATAACATCAAGAAAATTGGAAAAGTGCACAACACGCTCCCTTAATTACTGTCCCTTTAAAGAACGTGCTCATTGTAGGACCAAAAAAAATAAAAATCGGAGGGGGGGGGGGAGAGGAGGCTTGATTTACCATTTAATTAAAAGCACAATGTACAGCTGTGTGAGGACTTGGCTTATGTCTACATTACACTGCAAATCATTCAGCAGAAAAGGTTTTTTTACCCCTCATTTTCAGTTGACAGCCATGTAACAGGAAAAAAATGTCTTTTGTCTGCACTAGTTTTGGAATAAATGGAATGTAGATCTTTCGGGATTACAATAGAAAGTGAACAATTTGAACCTGAATAAATCATTGGCTCTATATGAGTCTACACAGCACAATATATGAAGTCCACAGAACTCTTTGACATACTCACCCATGCTTTTATATTTGCTTTGTGCAAGGTCGAACACTGCCTCATAGGTCATTCCCTTGTCTGGTAAATGTGTATTGTAGACATACCCTGGTGGTAGGGGGAACAAGTCCTTAGCTATGCTGGCTTTCGTCTTATCTAATTCTTCCTGTATCTGTTGTTATACATAAATATATAAAGGGATAAAATATACTAAGCCTAAATTGGAGAGATTCACCCTACAAAAAAAAAGCTGCCACTGACAATACAAATAAAGTTAACATCCAACTGAACTGCAAAACAGTATTCAATGTTAACTGGGCGAAAAGGACTCAACACTGAGTTTTAAGTTTGTTTTGATTTGATTTTTTTTTGTCAATAACAATCCTTTCTTACTGTCAAAGCTTTTTGACATTCAAAAGCATTTTCAATAGCAACAGACTTATCAAAACTAATCCAAAATGTCAACACGATCATAAATGGATCGACTTTAAAATAAGTTTTTTTTGCAAGCTTAAAGAAATAGAATGTCACTCGAGTGGAACTGAACAAAAAAATTAAAATGCTAAAAGAAAGACTTAAGGGCTTGCATGGTGGACATGATCAATAAATTGATTGATTCAACATGATTCAGTCAATGTGAAAAAGAGCAAGAACTCTACCCTGTCTCAGCCAAGTCATCAAGTCCTTGGACATTAAGACCCAGATTGGGACTGCATGAGTCCTTAACAGTTCAAGTCCAAGTCAGATCAAGACTGAGACCACCAACATTGGGTCTCAAGACCACCCTTAAGCCTGAAATCCAACACTGCTTCATCAACGTAGCAAATATTTCACGATAAACAATTACCTTTCGACCAATAACAGGAAGGCTACGAACCACTCGAAAGAAGAACAGTTTGGATCTCTGAAACAAACCTGACAGAAACAAAAACATTGATTTTCTTTTTACTTAATGGTATCGTACATGTGAACGAGATCTGTAGCCTAATACTCATGTCTTCCCAGGCATATCCTGTGATGGCAAAACAAAAACAGATCAACTCTTATGTGAACCAAGTTCTCCAAACTTCCATGAAGCAAATTAAAGATGAGGTCTTGAGAACTTCAACAGCCAGGCAAGCATAATATTGGACTTAACTATACATGTCATTTAAAAAAAAAGATGAAGATTGATGATGAAGTACATGTATCATTGTAAAAATGTACACGCAGTACACAAGAAGAGACTTCACTGAACATTTGTAAATGGACTTAGGACACTCAAATCACAGTAACATGCAATATTGTAATCCAATTGTCAAAAGTCATTGCAAGTCATTCACAAGTCCATAATAGGTCATCCAGCCGTAACAAAGGCATTCCTCTGTCAGTTTTCATCCCCATTTGACTTGGGCAAGATTTGCCTACAACTCGATATACAGTGAAATCTTGATAAGCATACCTCAAGGGAACTGTTCAATATTTGACTTAAGCAGAGTTTTGAGTTAAGCAGGTACGTTGTATATCATTGTTATACTGCTGAAGGGAATGGATTCTTTGTTTGACTTAACAGTAGTTTTGAGTTATCAGAGTTTGACTTATCGAGATTTCACTGAAGTGTGAGTCCAAAATTTCTTGATTACTAGACGAAGCATGGATTATAGAGTGTTCCTAGAAATGAACCATGAATTAAACAAAAAATATGAAAATAAAGTCTATCCGTGATACTGGCAGTATACAGTGTGTAGACTGGACTCACTCAATTCATGAAGGAAGAGTTCCTGCCACAGCCATCCCAAGGCCAGCGTGGCTAAGAAGGTACCCAGGATGAGCTCCCAGGCCTTGTGGCCACTGCATTGCTGGTTGATGAGCACGTACACATCATTCAAATACAGCTTACTTATCTCCTGCACAAGTAACAAAGTTGTTCTATTAGGACTCAATGCACAATAGGCCTTGTAGTAAATATGGACGTGTTCTAAATGTTTAAAATATCACTAGGGTACGTACCTCAAAAAAGCCATAAACAACTACTGAAAAATACCAGATACTATAGGCAACTAACAAAATCTAGTTCAAAGCACTTAAAAGGTATACTTGAAAACTCTTAAAAAAAAAAAAAAAAATACACACGAGCACAACCCCCATATTTGGAGATGTTCCGGATATATATTCTTAAACTTGTATAACAAAAAAAAATAAAAGGCTCAACTTTTTTTTAGGTCAGTTTCAAATATTCGGACCCCCCCCCTCCCCCCCCCCCCCCCGGCTATAAGATGGCCTGACAACCTGTACCTGTGAGGTAAAAGAGCCAGAAAACGACCAGTAAACAATATTTTTAATAGTGGTAGTGGTGGCATTAAAAGCCAGATTTTTAAAAATCGCTTTTGATTTTAGAACTTGAACCGGATTATTAGATGGATTTCCCATCCATCGATACAAAAACATGCAATGTTCATCTGTAAGTTTTCCATCCAGTCAGAGAAATTCACTAATTAAACATACACCAATTTCCACTTTCCACTTTCGGTTTAATGGGTAAATTAATCAGGCATAGCCTTTGTGACCCCATATCCTATTTTTTCCTTCTTCCACTGAGAATCCAGCCTTTTCTTGAATGCTGCAACAGTTTTGCCATTCACTACTGCTCAGTGCGGAAGGGTTATGCTTATTACTTTGTGGGTGAAGATGCTCTTCCTACAACCAATGTTTTCCTTCAAGGATTGGCTTGAAGAGTTTAAGAGAGTGACCTCTTGTACTGGTTCTATCTGCTTTTTGGAAGAATCTGCTGCTGTCTACTTTTTCAAAACCTTTCAATATCTTGAAAGTCTCAATAAGGTCCCCTCTTTCTCTTCTTTTCTCAATGGAATACAGGTCTAGAGCTTGCAATCTATCTTCATATGAAAGCTCCCTTAGAGCTAGGACCAATTTGGTGGCCCTCCTTTGTACCTATTCTAAGACATGCTTATCTTTTTCCAGCCATGGGCACCATGATTGGACACAGTATTCCAGATGCGGTCTGATGTATGTTTTGTATAGAATCAGGAAGCTGTCCGTATTGATGTACTTGAATGATCGCTTCACCACCCTGAGACAATTCATTCCCTTCACTGCCGCTTTGCTGCACTGTGTTCTTGATTTGAAGTCTGGTGTTAGGTAAACTTCCAAGTCTTTTTACTTCATCTTTCTTCATCTGTTGATTCAAGTGTCGTCTCCCCCATATGATAATCAGCCTGTTGGTTTATACCTGTTCTAATGTGCATGGTTTTACATTTCCCAGGGTTAAAGCGAAGCAGCCACTTGTCAGACCATTTCTGTAAATTTTCAAAATCGTCTTGGATTTTTTTCCGCATCTTCTTCTCTACTGATGCTGTTGTATATCTTTGTATCGTCTGCAAACATCTGTATGTTACAACTGACATGGTCCGGGAGATCATTTAATGGGGGTACGCCACTCACTACATCAGCCCAATTTGAAGAGGCACCTCTGACTGCAACTCTTTGAGTCCTTCCCATCAGGAACGATTCTATCCATTTCAGTATTTTTCCATTTTATCCGTAGGTTTAACTTGTTAACTAGTCTTCTATGTGGCACTGAATCAAAGGCCTTCTGGTAGTCCAGAAAAAATACATCAACAGGGTTGCCTTCATCTAAGTTGCTAGTGATGTCCTCTAAGGTTGTCAACAGATTGGTGAGGCACGACTTGCCCTGCATGAAACCATGCTGACTATCCTCAAAATTGTTCCAGTATTTTGCATGGTATGCAAGTAAGGCTGACGGGCCTGTAATTTCCGGCTTTTGTCCTGGCACCTTTCTTGAATATTGGAGTCACCCTTGCAGTCTTCCACTCTTTGGGCAGCTTGCCGGAGTCCATAGATTTTCTGAAGATGATGAATAATGGTACATGTACTGCCAACTCCTGACTGCACTCTCTTAACACCTGGTGTGCATTTGGTCTGGTCTGGGGCATTTGTCTTGAGAGCATCCACTTTTTCCTGTACATCTTCTACTGTGAATTCAATATCTCGTTCTAGTGAACTATTCTGATCAACTGGCCTTTCCATGTGGGGAACTTCACCATCAGGCTCATTTGTAAAGACTGACTGGAAAAAATTGCTCAGAATCTCAGCCGCTTCTTCAGCCCTCTTGATCGTATTTGGATACACCGCCCCATTCTCTCTCCAATTGGGAAATTCCAGATTTCACGGAAAGATTTCCATATACGAAGTTCACTCAACACCCTGTGTACAAACCCTATGAGATTGGACTGAAAAATTCTAAGTCTTTTCTAAGAAAATGCTTGTATTTTCTCACTGCTCAAATTGACTTTGATGACATGAAATTGCTACCTGGGGCCTTGTTAGTCAATACAGAGGAAAATTTGTGAACTTCGCATATGGTAATCTTGCCAATTTCACTTTTTGCTTTCTCCTCAGACCTCAGCTTTAACAAGGAATTTTGTAATTCACAGTAGCTATCGTTATGGCAGTCGACCATCTGGTTTCCTGACCTAATATTCAACGTCAGGATCTTTGGCTCTTGGAACCAGAATATCAACCGAGTGGTTTTGAGGGACTTTATTTCCCATGAAACAAAATCCTCTAAAGCCACAGATCGTGAAGACAAAAATTAAATCTATTTCAATAACAAGTAGGGTCTGATTTAGAAACATAACAGAAAACTATTAGGCCTACTAATAAGTACTAGTATATTATAAGCCTAAAAGCACCACACAAAAAAAGACCAAAAAGAAAATGTCCCCATTGCGGATTCAATCCTGGCATGCATGGTAGCCAGAACAACATTAAACAAATCAAGCTACCAAAGCACTCTAGTTGGAAAGGTAGTAGGCCTATGTGATATCTATAGATTCACAATTTTTTCTTCTTCACACAGGCACAGGCCTAGGTCTAGGCTACATGATTATGATACATGTGTAGCGTTCACTTTAAGTTTCACTGTACTGCGCCTTTAACGCATCTTGTATATATATATGTTACATGTAGTTCAGAGGCCAACCTTCATGCATTCATTCATGGAGTGTCGTTTCGTTATCGTTCGTCTATACTAGTTTTCTGTCACACACACAATATTTACAGTGCATTTCCTATACTTTCACTTGGAAGTACATGCTAGAATCAACACTATTCTTTACATGATTTAGTAAACATTGGCAGAGCTATTCCAGTGAGCAATCCAAGCTTCTCTTGTGGATTTTTGTGAGTGTGTATTGACCGAACTTTGTGTGCATATTCACCACGTGAGTTAAAGCCAACTCGCCCCGCATTCACGGCGCGGGCAGTTGCCCCGTTCGCGTTGCGTTGTGCATGGACTCGGCCCAGTTTTGGCTGTTTATATACTTCAACTTGGTTAGTCATTTAACTTGCAATAAACTCGGAGTTAAAGTAGGACAGTATAAACAATTCCTATATTGGTGACCCTGACCTGAGCCGAACAACATGAAAACCAAATCTGACTCTGATCATGCTGATTCCAAACCGGGCACATCCAAAGGTGCTACTGCTAGTTCATCTCCATCTGCACCCACAACATCAGCTGCAGTGACTTTGAAGTTGCCTCCATTTTGGCCCAGTGACCCTGCGCTTTGGTTTGCGCAAGTTGAAGCGTAATTTCTAACCCGTAACATCACTCAGCAACACACCAAATTCGCATACGTGGTTAGTTCCTTATAGCCAGAGTTTGCAACTGAAGTGAGGGACATCCTCATTTCACCCCCCGAGCATAATGCCTACGACAGCCTGAAGACTGCCCTCATCCGTCGAACCTCCGTATCAGAGCAGAAAAGACTGCACCAGTTGCTAATATCGGAGGAGCTGGGGGACCGCAAGCCTTCACAATTACTACGTCGTATGCGGCAGTTGTTAGGAGACAACACGCTCGAAGAAAACATCATGAAGCAACTGTTTCTTCAGAGATTACCGACCAACGCCCAACTAATCCTGGCATCAACATCTCAAACGACACCCATTGAGCAACTCGCAGAACTTGCAGACAAGATTGTTGAAGTTTCTGTCTCGCCTACTGTACATGTGGGGACAGTTTCATCCAGCCAGCCGGGCAGTTGGTCGCCTCTAACAACCATGCCAAGTTCAGATATGCTCAAACTACAAGCCAAAGTTGACCAGCTAACCCAACAAGTCAGCGCTCTCACATGCCAACTCACCGGTCAGCCCCGTGGGAGATCGAGGAAGCGTGACACAACCCCACCCAATCGACGCCCATCTCGCAGTCGCAGCCCATCACACTCTGGCACTGACTGCTGGTATCACTGGCGATTCGGCGCTGATGCCAGAAGGTGTGTGTCCCCATGCAGCTTCAAACCCCAACAACAACAGGGAAACTCCGATGCCAGAGACTAAAGGCGACGAGTCTCCCTGGCACCGACACCAATAGTCGCCTATTCTTCATCACTGAACGCAAGACAGGGGCCCCGGTTCCTGGTAGATACAGGAGCGGAAGTGAGCGTTTGGCCTCCATCGGCTGCGGGTAAACGTCATGCCCAGTCTTCATCTATCAATCTTCAAGTGGTGAACAAATCTCCCATCAACACATATGGTGAGAAGTCACTCACTTTGGATGTCGGGTTGCGTCAAGTCTTCCGTTGGGTATTCATTATCGCGGACCTGCCGAACCCAATAATTGGAGCAGATTTTCTCCAACACTTCGGACTGCTAGTCGATGTTCAGCGTCGCAAACTCATCGACTCCACTACAAGCCTCACCGTAGGTGGAATCGGTTCAGACGCCATTCCCATCAGTCCAACAGTTGCCAAGCTGAGTGAGTCGCCCTATGAAGTGATCCTCGGACAATTTCCAGAACTGACACGTCCGACTTACACTGCCAAGGACGTCAAGCACTCTATAACGCATCACATTGTGACTAAGGGTTCCCCAGTGTCAGCACGCCCAAGATGCCTGGCACCCGACAAGTTCATCATGGCGAAAGACAAGTTCAATCATATGCTTGATATTGGCATCATCGAAGCTTCGGACAGTGCATGGTCGTCGCCATTACATATGGTGGCCAAGAAGTCAGGTGACTGGAGGCCGTGCGGAGATTACCGTGCCCTCAACTGCGTTACAGTACCCGACCGCTATCCGATTCCCCATCTGCATGACTTTACAGCCAATCTGGAGGGTAAACGCGTGTTCTCAAAGATCGACTTGGTACGCGCTTACCACCAAATTCCAGTCCATCCTGACGACATCCACAAGACCGCCATCACAACACCTTTTGGTCTGTTCCACTTCCTTCGTATGCCCTTCGGCCTGCGGAATGCCGCTCAGACTTTCCAGCGATTCATCGACATGGTTACGCAAGACTTACCTTTCGTGTATGCCTACATCGATGACATTCTGGTCGCCAGTGAGACAGAGGACCATCTTGAGTACTGGCGTCTTCTCTCTTTCCGAATATGGCATTATCATCAACCCATCCAAATGCCAGTTCGGGGTTCCCACCATCGATTTCCTGGGACACAGAATCGACGCTGATGGTATCCGTCCCATGAGAGACAGAGTCGACACGATTGCAGAGTTCCCTCAGCCTACCTCCACCCGTCAGCTGCGCAGATTTTTGGGACTGGTAAACTTTTACCGTCGTTTCGTGCCAAACTGCACAAGCATGATCGCCCCGCTGACAGACCAGCTGCGAAAAAGACCCAACCAGTCACGCAAATCAAACAAACTGAATTGGACACCTGAATGCCAGACAGCGTTCCTGCAGATCAAGCAATCACTCGCTGACACCACACTTCTCGCTCACCCTTCTCTGGTACTACGTACCAACTGCCATGATGGTGGACGCCTTGGACACGGCAGTTGGCGGTGTGCTTCAGCAACTTTCCGAAGGAGTATGGCACCCCCTGGCCTTCTTCTCTCAGCGTCTTAAACCTGCAGAGAGTCGCTATAGCACCTTTGGGCGCAAACTACTGGCAATGTTCTTGTCAGTCAGACACTTTCGACACTTCATCAAAGGACGAGAGTTCTGCATTTACACTGACCACAAACCGTTGGTGTATGTTCTCAACTCCAAACCTGATCGGCATTCACCCAGAGAAGTTCGTCACCTCGACTATGTATCTCAGTTTACATCCGACATTCGTCACATCAAGGGCACAGAGAATGTTGTAGCGGATGCGCTTTCCCGATCTCACATCAGTGCCTTGACCACATCGACCCAGATTGACTTCGAGCAGATGGCCATGGATCAGACACATGACCAGGAACTCCAAGGACTCCTGGAATCACCCACATCCCTGGACCTCAAGCAAGTTCCGATACCAACCTCAAGTACATCCATCTGGTGCGACGTGTCAACAGGTCATGAATGCCCTTTCGTACCCCAAAACAACAGACGGAGTGTGTTCGATTCCTTGCACAATCTGTCTCACCCTGGCATTCGAGCAACACTGAAACTGGTTGGTTCATGCTACGTCTGGCCACGCATGAACTCAGACATCAGAGCATGGGCCAAGGCCTGTGTCAAGTGCCAGAAGTCCAAGGTCCACAGCCACACCAAGACTCCGTTTGGAACCTTCGCATCTCCTGATGCACGTTTCGATCATGTGCACATAGACATCGTGGGACCACTCCCCCTTCCCAGGGATATTGCTATCTACTCACATGCGTTGACAGGTTTACACGCTGGCCAGAAGCAATAACTATACCCGACTGCACCGCTGAAACAGTCGCCAAGGCCTTTGTGAATAGATGGGTCTCCATCTTTGGTGCTCCGTCTACGATAACCACAGACCGTGGACGACAGTTTGAGTCGACCCTGTTCCACGCTTTGATGGTTCTCCTAGGTACCAGACGTACGCAAACAACATCGTACCACCCCATAGCAAACGGTATGGTTGAATGCCTGCATAGACAGCTCAAAGCCTCTCTCAAATCGAGTACTAACCCTCAACGTTGGACCGAAGCATTACCACTCATCCTCCTCGGGATCCGCACAGTGGTAAAGCAGGATCTTGGTTGCTCCACCGCCGAGTTGGTGTTTGGCACCACCCTGAGACTTCCAGGACAGTTTGTTGCACCTCCCAACGATTCTGATAATCTCGCTGACCCTGCAGACTATGTTCACAGACTGCAACACACGATGCAGCACATCAGACCCACACCGCCTCGGTCGCGAGACAGAACTGCACAAATTGGATTGGATGTTGTGCACGCATGTATTTGTCCGTTGCGATCATGTGCAGAAACCCCTCCAAACACCCTACAAAGGTCCATACCGAGTACTCAGCCGGACAGACAAGTACTTCACACTCGACCTGGATGGAAGGCAGGACACAGTCAGCTTAGATCGGTTGAAAGTTGCTTACCTCGATACAGATACCATCCCTTCCCAGCCATCTACCCTAGAGCTTAAGCGTGTACAGCCATCTCCTGCCATCCATACGCACACTGTTGATGACCAACACACAGCAACACCAGCAGCTCCACGGCACACGCGTTCTGGCCGGCATGCTCATTGGCCAAGTACACAGACTTTGACTGTGGTTGATTTAACCTGAACACTTATCGCTCGCTTCAATACCATTTTGCGATCTAGAGGGGGGCCGATGTAGCGTTCACTTTAAGTTTCACTGCACTGCGCCTTAAACGCATCTTGTATATATATGTTACATGTAGTTCAGAGGTCAACCTTCATGCATTCATTCATGGAGTGTCGTTTCGTTATCGTTCGTCTATACTAGTTTTCTGTCACACACACAATATTTACAGTGCATTTCCTATACTTTCGCTTGGAAGTTACAAGCTAGAATCAACACTATTCTTTACATGATTTAGTAAACATCGGCAGAGCTATTCCAGTGAGCAATCCAAGCTTCTCTCGTGGATTTTTGTGAGTGTGTATTGACCGAACTTTGTGTGCATATTCACCGTGTGAGTTAAAACCAACTCGCCCCGCATTCACGGCGCGGGCAGTTGCCCCGTTCGCGTTGCGTTGTGCATGGACTCGGCCCAGTTTTGGCTGTTTATATACTTCAACTTGGTTAGTCATTTAACTTGCAATAAACTCGGAGTTAAAGTAGGACAGTATAAACAATTCCTACACATGCAAGTGACATAATGATAAGCAGGATAAGTGACTATGTACATGATGTATATGTAACCACCTGCAGTGACCATATTGACCTGGTATTCTGTGTTTTGTATTAGTATAAACTAGGACTACGAATCGCCTTTTTTAACATTTGGACATGGTCAGGCGATTCGTAGAGTCAGATCATCAAAACACATAGTCCGAGTAAAACCTATAGGACTGAAGGACTCCTAGTCCTATAGCCTAGGCTAGCTCTACTGAGTAGAGCGTTGAATTACGGGTACCCGTAATTCAACGCTCCACTCAGTAGAGCTAGCCTAGGCTTAGACCCGTGAACGTGGCGTTGTATACAACGCCACGCGCTTCCCTCGGGTAAATACAAGCGAAAGCATTCTATCTTTTGATCCGCTACATATGACCATGTATAATTTCGCCCATGGGTGAATCACTTACTTGTTGGGCTTCCTGTGAATATACGCGAGTGTTGGATCTGTCATTGCCAAGAAATTTGATGTAAAATACGGCACAACTTTGTCACAACGAATGTTTCAAAATGATCAGAAATCTAAGACAGGCATGACACTCTGGTACCCCGAGTTCCGCATGCGCAAAACGGTTGGAGTATCACGAGTGGGTACCAGACTAACCGTCTTACATGGCAGGCTGACCGTAATACCATATATATTTCTGCTAAATCCACTTCGAAAGTCTGTCAAATTACCCAGTATAATTGCTGGTCCATTGTGCAAGGGTTTGTTTCAGGGATCTTTCAATAAATGAAGGTTTTTCAAACCAAATGTGCCATATTTCTCTAATCTTTTTCATTTTTCCTTCATCTTCATAATTCTGCCGAAAAAAAATTCTGCTGATTTCTGTACAACTCATTTTTGTATGCAAATATTCTGTCAAATGTAGCCAAAATTCGGCTAGAACGGTCACTCCATCTTTGTAACCGCGGATCACAATAGAGTCTTTTTACTATAGACTAAAGCGTGGCTATGTATATAGCCACGTTCACGGGTCTAGCCTAGGCTATAGTTCTTTACTCGGACTATGTGTTTTGATGATCTGTGGCTCAACAACGTTCTCAAACGCACACTAAAGTTACCTTCAGGTCTTCCACTACATCCATGCTTCTATATCGTGCAGATGTCAGGCAGTAAGTGCCTCCAGATATCCACAAAGTGAGCTACCAAAAATGTTCTCAAAATCTGAATGCATCGAGTGATGACGACGAGTGATGACCGGCCCGCCCCGCCCCCTGAGCAAAATAAGACAGTATTCATCTCAAGAGGGCGCTACCGCGCTAGCGCTATGCCACGCGTGAAATCTGGTACCCAACGCCGCGTCGTTCGTACCGTACGCTTAAAGTAAAAAGACAGGTACGAAAGTTTTGTAACACATTTCGATACGGATCGTGCATGACATGCATGATGTAACTTTATCGAAATTTCTGAGGACAGTTCTTTATGACAGCATCAGGCCTCCCAGCCTCATCACCATAAACTTTCAACAGAATATATCGACAGAAAAGACTCGATAATGGTGAGTAAACCATAGTCCGAGTAACTTGGACCCAACTTATCGCCTTTTTTTAACTGCGCAATAGTCGTAGCCTTGTCATGCTTGTTGCTGTCACGCCCCAACTATCGCATCGGGGTAGGTCCCAACTATAGTTGGGACTGTCCCAACTACAGTGCGGCAGTTGGGTCGGCCCAACTATAGTTAGGACTGGAGTTGCGCCGGATGCTTCATGCTTGATAGATCTTGTTGGATTAAATGTTCCGCGGCGCTGGCACCGTGTATTCGTCGTGCATGCATGCCGCAAGGCTGGCCGGTCACGTGGTAGTATGGAACGCCGTATTATCGCGGTACTTATCACGTTTCTCGTTCGGAATAGAGATTGCCCACTAACCTTCCAGAATTGCCCTGTCTTATGTGTAGTATAACTCTTCCTTTTTAAATTAATATAAAAAAATCTGACGGGTGGTGTGGTTTATTCCGTGTACGATGTCTGTGAAAATAGACATGCGCGGCGTGTGCGAACGGAGGTGGACTCCCTATTATCGCGGTATGCGGGAAGTGGTTTTTATAACGATCCCAACTTTTTTGTTCATAGTTTATTTTTTACCAAAACACCCCCTGAATAAAGTCTGATATTTTCCCTGTAACGTTCAAGTTGATTAAAGACAAAATGTCTGCAGGATGATTTCTTAAGACCCTACCCTTCCCCCGAAAGGAGAACACAAATCCCTGAGGCAAGTCTACTGATCGGCGATTGAGGGCGCCATTCACTTTACACGGTGTGCCGTTTTATTTTCGCTAAGGCGCGGTGCTTATTTTGATCCCGTAAAAGTTGTTACGATTTCGCGCTGCAAATATCGTCGTTCGACTTCATTTTACATTTGCAGCTGAAGAATGGGAACCAGACAATGGAACTTTCATGGACAGAGCGCAATTAAAGATTTATGTTAAAATATTAACGGTACCTTTTAGCAGACACGGTGAGGGAAAATTTTGCAAGTTTTGGAAAACGTTAATATTTATTAAAATCGTTAAAAGTCCCGAAAGACACAACATTTTTTAATCGTCCTTTTTATACAACTCGGTAGAAAATCCTTGATGACTGGTGAACTGGATAAAAATCGCCACTTGAAGGAGTTTTGACACTGTAAAAAGAGAAATTTCCCATGCCGCGATAATAGGGATGCCGCGATAATAGGGAGTCCGACTATACTGCCTAGTTGGATGAGTTGTCCAGCTGCTGGGTTGATTGTCCAGCAACATTTTGCAAAATTCAAAGATTGCCATGGCCGGCCAACTAGTATAGATGGGCCCCACCCATAGCTAATGTCAAAGGTCCCAAGTAAAGTCGGACAGTATGTAACAGAGCTGTAGGGAATGTTTTATAGTCGTCGTACATCGATGTAAACTATAGTTGGGACCGCCAAATAAAAATATTGCGGTGGCCCAACTACAGATGGTCCCCACCCATAGATAATTTCATTGGTCCCAAGTAAAGTCAGATGTGTATTAGAGTTGTAGGGAATGTTTTATAATCGTACAACAATGTACACTATAGTTGGGATCGCAAAATAAAAAGATTGGAGTGGCCCAACTATAGATTCGCCCCATCAATAACTAATTTCAGTGGTCCCCAGTAAAGTCAGACGTGTATCAGAGCTGAAGGGAACGTTTTACAGTTGTACATCAATGTAAACTATAGTTGGGACACCGCAAAATAAAAAGATCGGAGTGGCCCAACTATAGATGGGCCAGCCCAACAATGGAACTTACAGTTGGGACCGTCCCAACTATAGTTGGGACAGGCCCAACTATAGTTGGGCCAGCCCAACTGTGGAACTACATTTGGGACAGGCCCAACTATAGTTGGGACAGGCCCAACTATAGTTGGGACCGATGCGATAGTTGGGGCGTGACATTGCCATTTTGTGATTGGTCAATTAACGACGTTGAAGTACATGTACGCAAGTACGTACGGTACCATGTACACGTACGGGCGCCGCATGTACATGTTCATCGTACAAGGCCAGATTCTTAGTGCAGGTTTTTTGTGACACATTTCGTTCACATAATGATACAGAAAGGGGGAAAAGAAATATCATTTCACAAAACCCTACTGACCCACTGTGTATACATCTCGATATTTGAATGACAGAACATTGCAAGCTATCCGCAATGATTCGTTGGACATTAATTTTGTGCATAAACTTTGGGAATGGAATACTTCTCTCTTTAAAAAGAAACTTATATTATTCATCTATATTCATGCTTTCTTTAAAAAATTATGTTATGAATGTAAATTTATTAATTTTATGTACATATTATGCGTATTAAATTGATTCCTGCTTTTCTCTTCAATAATTGTTGTAATTAAAAAAAATACCTCCCTAATATCAAAAAGGACTGATAATGCGACCGGAAGAATTACTTAACACTCCAATTCCGTATTCACTTTCCTCCATGCTTTCATTCCTTTTTGGGGGGGGGGGGGGGTGTCTAAACGATCTCACGATGTAATCATAGATCATTTGGAAAATTGGAAATTTATTTTCTTTACATGATGTTCATTTATGAAAACAGACCGTCACTAAAATGATTCTGAACGTATTGTATACTGATCGAGTGCGGACGGATCCCAGGTGCGTACGGTAAGCAGCACTACTTGCGACCCCGCGTGCAGCTACTTGCACTGGAAGTACGAAGACACCATCAAATGAACGTAGTTCATTGTCCAATCACAAAATGGCAACAAGGCTACGACTATTGCGCAGTTTTTTTTAACATTTGGACATGGTCTGGCGATAGTGGGGTCCAACCAAGCTAATACCGCGACCTGGACAACATCATCCTGTCACTGTCCCAAAAACCAACATTTTCCAACAAAAAACATCAGATTTCACCTTCAAAACGGCCTCCAAATTACTAGATATGCCACCTGAGGTACAAGTAGACATCGATAATTAAGATGGTTGTACTGAAGTTGACTTACGATCCGGAAAAAAAGTGAAATTTTCCGTTCCATTTCGGAGAGCCCCCCTCACGATCTTGAACACGTTAAATTTCCGATCGTGTTTAATGTTTGAACGACGCAATTTCTTCTACATGCCCAGCGTACATTCGATGGTCCCAGTATCCCGAGTGCGATTCCGTTACCGAGCGCGCGCGATGCATCGATTATGATAATGAGTAGACTGGATCACGTTTGTAAACACATGTGCATTTCAAACGATAATAGGGAGTCGGGAACTAGCGCAGCTTTTATGGCGGGTACCAGTTCAAGTAGTCCGAGTAACTTTGACCCAACATATCACCTTTTTTAACATTTGGACATGGTCTGGCGATAGTAAGGTCCAAGCTAATACCGAGACCTAGACAACACAGTCCCAAAAACCAACATTTTCCAACAAAAACATCAGATTTCGCCTTCAAAACGGCCTCCAAATTACTAGATATGTCACCTGAGGTACAAGTAGACATAGATGATTAAGATGGTTGTACTTAAGTTTACTTACGATCCGGAAAAAAGTGAAATTTTCCGTTCAATTCTGAAGACCCCCTCTGCCTGGGTTGTCGTTGTTGTGCTCACGTTCAAAACTGCATGATAATGGCGTCTGACCTCGACCTCATGCAAATATCGAGACGGCGCGCTTGCGCATAATGCACTGCATGCACGGCAGATTTCCCTGCGCTGCGCCGACGACTGTTTCCTGATGTAGAGCGCCAGCCATGCGCCTGGCTAGCCAGCGTGACTCCTAGGCGTACCGCGAACTTACACAGCACTCTACATCAGGAAACAGTCGTCGGCGCAGCGCAGGGGAATCTGCCGTTTCGTCACGACATTTGCATGAGGTCGAGGTCAGACACCATTATCATGCAGTTTTGAACGTGAGCACAACAACGACAACCTAGGCAGAGGGGGTCTTCAGAATTGAACGGAAAATTTCACTTTTTTCCGGATCGTAAGTAAACTTAAGTACAACCATCTTAATCATCTATGTCTACTTGTACCTCAGGTGACATATCTAGTAATTTGGAGGCCGTTTTGAAGGTGAAATCTGATGTTTTTTGTTGGAAAATGTTGGTTTTTGGGACTGTGTTGTCTAGGTCTCGGTATTAGCTTGGACCTTACTATCGCCAGACCATGTCCAAATGTTAAAAAAGGCGATAAGTTGGGTCCAAGTTACTCGGACTACAGTTCAAGCTGGTTCCTGCACATGTACAGTGTATGTGTTTACAAACGTGACTCATTATCATAATCGATGCATCGCGTGCGCTCGGTAACGGAATCGCACTCGCACTGTATTCTGACAACCTTTCAGGCATGGCCAGGACCGCAATTGGTTTGTGCACAAAAAAAAATTAAGTACAATGAATGGCGGTCGATTACCAGGCACAGAGAGCAATTGCTGTCAACTACTCGTTTTTGCCGGCTGCGCTGGCTGTTGGCATATGACGTCACGCAGAAGCGTAACACCTGATGACTGTTTCATGCACTATCGGTTGCGGTTCCAGTACCAAAGCTGTGATGCGAGTGGTAAACCTCATATTAGTGCATGAAACAGTCATCGGGTGTTACGCTTCCGCGTGACGTCATACGCCAACAGCCAGCGCAGCCGGCAAAAACGAGTAGTTGACAGCGATCGCTCTCTGTGCCTGAAGCCGAAGGGGCATACTGTTTCCACCTTGTCCTTCCGTGGGTGTGTGTGGGTGTACAGGCATTACATTCACTGTGTGGACTTCCGAACAAAAGATGTCCACATAAACCAAGTAGAGGAGACACTGTGTGGACTTGGGCAAGTCCACACAGTGTTTCCCCATTTCTGGAAAACAGGTTTAGAGGCATTTTTGGGTTACGTTTATCTGTAGCAGAATGAAGAGAAACACTAAAGGGAATCATAGAAAAAAAATTGGGTTGAAAGAGTTTTCACAGTTTGAGAAAAATGAGTTTTTTTCACTGGTTTTTCTTAACTACACGAAAGCAATGGAATGTCCACACTTGGTATGTAACGTAAACTTGTGTGGGTGGGTAGGCATTACACTCACTGTGTGGACTTCCGAACAAAAGAGGTCCACATAAACCAGGTAGAGGCGACGTTGTGTGGACTTGGGCAAGTCCACACAGTGTTTCCCCATATTTAGCTAGAGGGGTGTTTCAAAAAATATTAAGTGAGTTTGTCTTACATACGCAGTGTGGACTTCCGAACAAAAGACGTCCACATAATGTAGGTAGCACCGACGTTGTGTGGACTTACCCCACGTCCACACAGTGTTTCCCCATTTCTGGAAAACAGGTTTAGAGGCATTTTTGGGTTAGGTTTATCTGTAGCAGAATGAAGAGAAACACTAAAGGGAATCATAGAAAAAAAATTGGGTTGAAAGAGTTTTCACAGTTTGAGAAAAATGAGTTTTTTCACTGGTTTTTCTTAACTACACGAAATCAATGGAAAGTCCACACTAGTCATGTGAAACAAGTATGGGTGAACTTGTTGAACAAATTGGGTTGTTTTGACTGAAAAATTTTGACTGAAAAATTTTGACCGCTTGGAGTCTGATAATTACCCTCGCCTTCGGCTCAGGTAATTATCAGCACCCAGACTCCAAGCAGTCTTAAACGGAGTGATTAAAACCTCCCAAGCACACAATTATTCCATCATTAAAGTTATTAACTTGGTGATGTGAATCTACGGGCCCTGCCGCAAATTTTTTATCCAAAAGCACATCGTATGGATGATTGTTGAGTGCCCTCTATGATACTTTAATTATACGTACGCAGGTATATAATGGCATGAATTACAGTTTGCTGTCGTGCTCTCCGATGGCTCAGCTGGATAATGCCATGGTTTTGAGATAAGAGGGTGTGAGTTCGAAACCATATTTTCCAATTTTTTTCTCTTTTCTAATTTTGCCACTTTGGATGATTTTTTTTTAAAAGGGAAATAAAATCTGAATTTCAGTAGGTTCAAATTCATTTCTTTTTTTTTCTTTTATATATTTTTTCCTCATGTTTTTTGGGAAGTCAAGTCCAAAACGCATAGCATACACCCCATTTGCTTATGTCATCTGAGAAAACATATTTGCGGCCTGGTTCCCTATAGGGACCAAAATCCCCTTTTCAATTATTTGACCTACCAAACTAGTTGCCGACATTAAGAACATGCAGGCATATCATAGATAAAGGGCAGGGTTTTGAATTTTTGAGGAAAATTTGAGGGTAAAATGATGCTGACGACAAAACGTACCACGGAAATAAAGATGGCAATCAACGCACAATGTACCGTGAACGGCGCACTGAATCGCACGGCACCAACTGTGAAATTTGCTTAGGAAAATATATATTATTGAATTATTGTTTCATTTGTATTCACGGTCTTCTTATTTTCACTTATCCAAATTGCAGTCTACATCACTGATTCTGGTTGGCCTTGGATTGGCTGGGGCTGCGTATGTGGGTAAGATAGCCATTATTAAATATATTTGATCATAATCGTCCATTGCTTTATGTTGTTATATGCACGAGGCTGATTGGCTTGATTCTCTGTTTGTATTCTGTCCGTAGGCCGTCTTGCTATGCAAACTGGACGCTTAGTTCAACAGAATGCTCATAAGATTCCAAAACCGGTAAGTACAGTAAGCTCCGGCTAAGGCTGCACTCTTGGGACCCAAGAATTTGTTACGACTTACGCGAATGCCGACATCTGCTGTAAGTCGTCATTTTACCGACTTATATGAATGGTCTTTTGCACACATGATTAATTGCACTAATTGGCTTCGATTTACCCTGGAGTATCTCCTTAATGCTTGAGTTGAATCCAGCAAATTAATCCTCGAATTGTATCATCATGTTTGATAGTGGAGACCTCGATACATATGTACGTGCACAGTAACGAATTAAATGCGTACATGGTCTGGTATATACCACGCATGCATGAAGTCCATATTATACCCTAGCCTTGAAATACATAGAACAGCTGATGGGATGATAGAAAAGCTCAATTTTATGTGTTTTTGCTTTCATCAATTCAGACATTTAGCAGTTACTACAAAGGCGGCTTTGATCCCAAGATGTCCAAGAGAGAAGCCAGCCTCATCTTGGGTGTCAGGTAAATATGTGTTGAAGTAACAAGACCCCATGTACGTACTAAAGAGTGTACTTAAAAAAGAAAATCCTCAAATCACCTTTTTGATGTAATTTTTTGTCTATCGGGCAGGTTTATTTATATTTAATTTTTTTTTTCAAAACCAATCTCCTTAGCCCATCCGCATCCAAAGTGAAAGTCCGAGAAGCTCACCGGAGGATAATGCTGTTAAACCACCCAGACCGAGGTATGTGTAGTAATCCACTGTAATACAGGCACTGTGTGGCCTCTCAAAAGGCCAAGTCAAGATGCTTTCTTGACACAGTGGAATGATGAAGTTGTTTACATGTATCATTGTCAACTTTGTCAACCTCGCATAGTGTGCACTACTAGTTTCCTGATTGGTTATGCACAGATGGTTGCATATAACATGCATTTTTTTTGGGGGGGGGGGGGTAGGGAGATGGGGGTACGTTTGCTTGAGATCACACCCAGATGTAGGCACATGACTCACAGAATTGCACTAATGCCTTCATATTGCAGGGAATAGTACGCATTTCTACTAGTATAATCATGCCAGTATAATCAAGGGCCAACATTTATTTAGATGAGCAAGGGGAAATCTTGAGTCTTACAAAAAATACTACTTTTCTGGATTCAAGGAGTTGCTGGATACAGATGCCAGGTACATGTAGCTCTGTTCATATTGTTCTAGAATTGTCCCGTCTCATATTGACAATATTTAGATAGAAAGAGGGAGCTTTTTAAATTAGCTGAACCAGAAGGAAATTGAACATATCATTCTTACTGAGAGTGCCGAAACATCCGTACTACACATTGAATTGAAAAGGGCACTTGCTGTCTGGTTTGAGGAATTCATTCTGAAGTATTTTTGTTTCACCTTTGTTTTGTCACAGGAGGCTCCCCATATTTAGCAACAAAGATCAATGAAGCCAAAGATTATCTGGAAGGACAGTCCAAGAAGTAAAAAAAAATGAACTCATTGACCTTTACATGAACATTTGCATTGTCAAATTGGAACATTGAAAGTTCTAATCTTGTTAAGTGCAGCCAGAGTTGAGTGCCTTTGAATATCAATGCACGCAGCCAAGGGAACTATGACGACTCTGAATGAAATTATGAATATCCTCAAAATGCGGATTCAATCCACTTGTGAATAAGTGGCAGACAGGCTTTTGAGTGCCATCTATGCATTTCTACATGTGTTCTCAATAGTAAAGTGACCCAAGGCATCAAGTTCACTTAACCGAGAGTTCTGTAAAATCACATCAGAGTATAATGTGCATCAAAAAATATGGTGACCGTAATAGGTTACATGTACACAGCAAAAAGCATGCGCACTTCACAGGCAGAATTTGTTAAAGTGACACCACAGCGGAGTTCTCCATTCGTCTGCCAGCCTACCACACGTCTACCCTTTTACTGTTAGGTCTAAAGTTAGCATTTTTCTGCTAACCATCGTAAACAGTGCTCATCCCCTCTGAACAAGTGCAAGTGAGAATTGATTTACCATTGGTCAAAGTCTGTGTGTCAAGCGGGCTTCCATAGTTATGGCTATGTCCATTGTCGGCTTGTTCCATGTACATGTAGTTGTAATCTGTCAAGACCTATACAATGGCTCTAGACTTGAGATGTGTCTAAAGTTACAGTGTTGTCAAGCAGTGTTGAAACACTGCTTGACTCGGTGGACTGCAAAAAGTACCCCCCTCAGTGGTTACAAAGAGGGAGGTAAGAGACTACTTGAATGGTCACTCACACAGACACAACTGGTTTGTGCACATTTGGATAATTCCCACGTACTTCATGGCATGTGCATATTGGTTCTAGTGTATAGTGTGCCCCTCCCACTGCAGCTTTAGAGAGTGGTATTAAAGTGCATGCCATTTACTCTTAGTGTACGGAGTCCATATGCTGCAACTATGGTGAGATGCAACACTGAGATGCTGTCACTTTCACTGTCATCTGGCACTGTACGAGACTCACCACACAATCAAGAGCTTACTACAACGTGGTGAAGTGGTGCGCCAAGACCCTCCCAATAAAGTTAACGTTTGGTTTTCTTTGAAACTGTGTGACAGACTACACATCTTCTTGTGGTGTAAAAATCTATTGTAATTTTGTTAGAATACAATTTTTTGATCATTTACTGAAGGGGAAACCTTGCAAATTAAAAATGAAACAAGCATCACTGATCAACAAACTTCCAATGTTTATTTCCTGCTGACAAGCTGTTGTATTTGACAGAACACATTGTGGGACAGTCAATTGTAAAGCTAAACAGAAAACTTCTAAGTTCTCCCTCAGAGATGGTGAGCTACCATTAAAAACCTGCTATTATGTACACCGATAAAGCATAAAAGTATTGCTATCGAATTAAAATATTTGGATCTGGGGAAATTACACACAGATACAAGTGTGCTCAAAGTAGGAAAATACAAATGTGAACAAATATGCACACCACCTTTTGCCCCGCCCATACATTCTGGCTGAAAAACATTCCAATGAAATCAATTAACCAATGTGAATTTCACAGACAACCTGTAACCATAATGAAAAAGAATATTTCGTTTCCAAGTAGTTTTATGTTGATTTTCACAGTCACACCCTAAGGATTTAGGGTCATGTTCCTTTCAACACACACACATAACAGTTAAATTCTATGAAAAGGGATGGTTTTTAGATATCTCTATGGCTCTGTCATAAGCAATTTTGTTCAAATATGAAAAAAAAAAACTTCCAAGTAAATCAATCCTTTAGCACTTACATTACATTGTACTACACTGTATTTACTCCGTGATGAATCTATAGAGTGCGGGGGCGGTATAAAAAGTAGTCGGCAGGGCTAATGAGTCAATACAATTACATATTTTGGTCAAAAGAGCCCACAGAAACATTCATTGAGGAAATGTCAGCCCTCCAAAATACCATTGCTTTGGACAATGTTAGGTCCAATTGATGCCAGAAGTCTGTGTTTAATTCAGGTTTACACAAGTGACTTAATTTGTACTTTCTTTAAAAACGTTAATTTCATCATATTTTCCCAAATTTGGGCTAAAAACCATCAATTGTGCACCTTGGAATTGAACATTTGGCATTTCAACAACCTAGGTTCTGATACAATAATGTCAATTAACTTGGTTTACCTGAACGGCATATAGGAATAGGACCATTTGCTTTTCATGCAGTTGTTTCTTTTCCATTAATAACACCACTCAAAATCCACAGAAGAATGATAAAAACCTAGTGTGTTGAAGTTTCAACTCCATTGATTTTACTCTTTTGGAGAAAACAGTGAAAAGCCATGCACAACCTTTAGATCATGAAACACAATTTTTGGCAACAGAACTCTTTATTTCCCACTGATCATGTAGTCAGTTGACTGATCAGTCAACTGACTACATTTCTTGAGTTCTTCTAAATGATAGTGAGTCAGACAGAATAATTTCACAGGGTGTTAGGTGTCAGTACAATCTTTGATCCATTTAAGCTTTATGGTAATTATTTGCTAGGTTAGGGCCCATCTCAATTTATATCCAGGAGGAGATCTGGATACATTCTGGACATTGTATACGTTGCAGATTCTGACCAACTTCCCTTCAATCTTCCTGCAATGAAGTTATCAGTTTTGGCGAGTCGAAACGTTTCTTATGAAAATTTTCCCAGAACAATGCAGAGGTTCTTCCGGACAAAGTAAATAATGACATGCTCAAGCTTAGCCAAAATGATATGACTTTACTGACCAAATCAGATCCTTGGAAATCCACAATGAGATTACTTCATTATACCTACAACCGGGAAGTCACAAAAAATTTACGAGAATCTCTGTACTGGTTTTCAATTTTTAATGGAAAAAAGAGCAGATCAACTGATTGCAGGAAAATGAGCATGTCTTTACATGGGGGTTGATGGTCTTTGAAAGTTTTACAAAAGATAGTACAGTAAAAAGTAGACATTAACTGCAATTCATAAGGTAATTTACTTGTATAGGGTACGGAGGTTCAATACTACCCATAACATAAATAGGTGCAGAAATAGTCATACACCATTTTTTAAACTTTTCTCTTTTTTGGGGGGGGGGGGTGTTGTGGTGGTTGTGATGCAACAGATGAACAATTCCTTCATACTTTGAGATGAATCATGATTATTGAAATGTAGTCACAATTTCATCATTTTTTCCACTTATAAGTTCATGTACACTTGTAGAATTCATCATTTCATGCATTCTTGATTTTTAAAAGTTAATCATTTATGTAATCCACAACAGACATGAATCAATGGGTAGATTGTTCTTCCTAGGAAGCAAACGCTTTGAAATGTACACTGCGCATATGAGAAACAGTTTTCAAATTAAAAACAGTCACATGAAAAACTACTTACATGTATAAGTTCTACAATTTTCACTCACTGAAGTTTTCTTTGAAGATAGGCTAATAAATACATGGAGACAGGTTAAAGGGCACAACCAACACAATTTTTTTTAAAAATGGAGTCACATTTTGAGTCTTGTCAAAGTACAACATAATAATGATACATTTGGAAACAGTCCAAGATCTACTCACAAATGAGATTGGATCACAATCAGAAACTACATGTACCTTTAAATCATATCATTTTGTGATGTCTTCAAAATAATTCATAAATACCTTCGACAGTTTACCCATTCCTATTGGTCGAGAGCCCATCACATGGCCAGTTTTAAATGGTTGCTAAAGACATTGCTGGCTGGCTGGTCTTGAAACACTTTTCCAGTGTCGCATGAAATTTGGACTCCTCTGAAATCTGGTGCCAGCACCGTTTTATTGGTTGAACCTTCACAATCCTCACGTAGGCATGCGCAATACTACCAGTGAGTCAGTATTTCATAGTCCTAAATTCACACTTCAGCAGTACATCTGCGTTCTGCGCGACATGTCGCAGTACACACAACACGCGCGTCAATCTCCATAAGGAGTTGTTTACCAGAGGGCCTTACCATTGTATAGCTAGAGGGGTTTTTGTTGAACAAAATCTTTTGAAATATATAATTTAAAAAAATTTTTTTACTCTTGTGGATTGAAAAGTTTTGATTTTTTTAAATGAAAAGGTATGTATGAATGGGAATGAATATGTGCATGGTCAGTATTAAACACTGACCGGTTGGAGTCGGGATGACTCGAACCGGTCTTAAACATAGTGTTTAATACCTCCCAAACACACATTTATTCCCTTATTAAATAAGCTAACAACTTTAGTGCAAAGAAAGGTTTGAGGTTAGCAGTTTCCATTCCAGGACAAAACGACTAGTCGTATTGTAAATACCTACATAACAAAGCAGGTGTAATCCCTTGATGCATAGCAACTCGTTGCCTCGCAGCAAGAAGTCCACCAGCAGGAGAGATGTCTGATGTGGAGGAACTGAAGCAACTGTAGTTTTGAGGACAAACACCAAGCTGAGAGAAGGGGGGACTGGCTGAACGGCCAAGGGAGGAAGGGGGAGGGGAGCAGACTATGGCTTTTTCATGTTGAGGCCGAAAGAGAGCTTAGGACGAGCGCTCTTTTTGTTCAGGATCAGGTCCTGATCGGCCTTCTGGAGCTTCTGTTGCTCCTGCACAAAGGCCAATCGCTCCTCATCCATTTTTCGCTGGCGTTCCACCATCTCCAGCCTCTCCTCAGCCTAGTTGGAGAAAAAGAAAAAGGTTGCGTGTGAACAACAAACATAACCACTTCTAGATCAGTCACCGTTTACTCACTAGTGTTCATTTTATGTAACTGGTGCCCTGTTAGTGTTAACCAGTCTTGACGTAGGGCACCAGTGGCTAGGACAACCGAATGCCTGTGTGTTCACTGATTTCAAGACATTTATAACACACTGGCATTGGCATATTCCTGGTACCCTGCTCAATGGCAAATATTTAAAAAAATTGCAAGGTATCAATGACAAACAAGATTTGTCAGAGTGACTATTTCAAAATACATACAATGTATGGGAAATCCAAAAAAAACCTAGTACTTCAGTCAATGTAGTATTTTACTCTTTTACTTTAAAATCATGTAGCACCTACGCACACCCCACAATTGACAATCCAGTGAAATACAAATGTCCTATAAGACAAAGAGCGTAAATCAAACATCTAGTAACATGAACAAAATGAAACCACAACCCACTTTAAAGCATTTCTTCATTTGTTAACGGTCCCAAGAAGCCAAACACCATAAACCCACCACACATGCATGCTTTTTGAGTAACCAACATTTGAAATACTTCCAAAGAAACTGTGGTATAAAGACTTCCACTGTTAAAGCACTGACCTTTTTTTTGAATTCTGAGTCTTTTCTTAAACATCAGTAGTAATTGAAACCAATTACAATGTACATAAAAAAGCATGATTTTTGGGTAGCTCATCCCAAATTAATGTTTTGATCATTTTATTACATTCCTAATTCCTACTGAATTGTCCCCTGCTACAAACACTTCACTATAGTCAAGCTTTCATTTTCTTTTCAGATTTTTTTGACCAAAACAATGCTGCTTTTCACCAAACATTAAAAGCTGTGATTAAAGTGATTCAATTTTCTGTTAATTTTTTTTAGTTTTCACGATGCTGCAATACTCAAATACATTTCTTCATTCTTTTTTGTTTGTTTTCACAGTAGCATTTGAGTATTTTAACATGATTTAAATAACATATTTTATTATGTTTGACAGTAAATTCAAAGGCATATTTATACACAAACTTTTACCCCCAAAAATGAATCTAACTTTGGAAACAATAAAATCAACAAAATACATCAATTGCCAATCTATTTTTTAAGAATCACCTTTCATTCTTCAGTTCCTTTTCATAGAAAAATACCTACCGCCTTTTATGCCAAACTCTGATCCTACGAATTAATGCAATTGAAATCACTCGCAATTGACCAACCAAATAAAGATGAAACAGCAAACTTTGTCGGGAAGTTCTTGTGGGTGTAGGGTACATCATGGGGGGCCACTGGCCCAGCCCAGCCCAGCCCTGCTGGTTGCTTGACTCCCAGTAATGAGGGAGGGCTAGCCTCACGCTCCTGGCTGCACCTTAATCCACGTTGGAAGCTAAGGTTAAAAAACAAGCAAGCCCCTCTCTTGCACAACTCCCAACTAAGGGGGGAGAAGATGAATCAAAAAGGGGGAAAACCAGGACTTATTTCAGGGGAAAGTGTCGAGGTCCCTAATCATTGAGGGACAAATGTGAACCTTGTCTTTGTGAACTATTTGTGACCAAGGCTGGTTTATAATGGTAGGTTAATATTAATCATGAAGGTCAAATTCTTTGCCTAAAATTAATCAGGTTTTTGCAGTGGGGGATTAGAGTTAGTGTATTTTTTTGTGTTTTTTTTTACTTTGGCAGGAGAAAATGATAAATGTGCAAAGACAGAGTAGAGCAAAAAAATTTTTAAGGGTGAAACTGGGATAAAAACCTGCAAGAGAAAGACATGGTAGTGAATGGACATGATGTATTGACATAGCTGAGGGGACGAGATGTTTGAAGGACTTTGTTGGCATCTGTGTTCTTTGCTAACGAGGGGGTTCCAAATTTGTAAAAACAGAATTAAGATTTCCATTTCAAAGCAAAGTCCTTCAAAAAATCCAATCTGCAGACAAGAAAGAGACAAATTTTGTTAGAAACCCAAATCAATCCCGCCCCCAAAAGACCACCTCCACACCCCTCCTCCAATCCCCTCCCCCTCCTAAAAGCCTACACTAAGTTCGATGACCCTAACACTCTTCCCCCTCTCTGCCAATGCTTTGGTTCTCCATGCGCAAGTAAACAATAAGTGCAGCACGCTTGCACCAGCCAATGAGAGACACTCTACAGACCCAGACAACCAATCAAAAATCAGAATCATGTTGCTCAATACCAGTACGGAGACAACAAATAAAGAGTTGAGAAAATGAAGCCAAGGTTCAGACTTGTTCAATACAAAGTGCATTGTGAGTCTGTGTGTGTATGTACATGCTTGTATTTCAGTCTTAAATGAGATATTCAGTCTTTATGATCATTAGATATGTTCAGAATATTTTCATACAATAAATAATTATTAAGTAAATATAATGTACCTATTTGGGACTTAAGTTACAGAGCTCATATCAGGAGCTTGTGACACCATCACAGAGTCTTTATCAACTGGCGTTATTTTCACCCCAGGACATAACACCTCCATGGTCAATGTTAAGAGAGATGTTAAGAGATGACAATGTTAAGAGGGAGGGCAACCTCTAGGAACGCAAAATCCATGAGGCAGTAGAAATCCACATTGCCCCCATATGAACAGAGATGGAGGGTACATGCTGGCCCACATGTACGACTGCCTCCTGTCATGTGACCAAGCTTGGTCACGTGACGGGTCACGTGAGGGCCTCAACAATGCCAGTTGATAAAGACACCGTGATGGTGTCGCAAGCTCCTGATATGAGCTCTGTAACTTAAGTCCAAAAAAGGTACCATCTATTTACTTGATATAATAACGGAACTGGAAACAAACTTCCATACTCAATCAATTGTTTCTTCTGAGTTTCTTAATTTATTTTCAAGTCTGCACCATGTCTTTAACCCTAACTCCTGGGGCTCTTTTACTAGAAAATATCCTGAATCCGCCGAAATCCACCAATTTTGTCATGCAAAAAATGCTGGTATCCTCAGTCCATCAGAATCCCCCAGTGTTGATAATGGAGGTATCCTGAATCCGCCAAAGTCCACCAGCAAAAGTCTTGATGGATTCTGGCGGATTCAGGATACCATGGTGGCATAAAAAAAATACAGCATGTTTTTCCATAGAGTCTTCAAAATCCATCACCTAAATTTCTGGTGGATTTTGACGGATTCAGGATACCATGCTTGCATGAAAATTGTGATGTGTGTTGTAGCATAGGATCCATCAAAATACACCAATGCATGGTTCAACTGCTGGTGGATATGATGTGGGTTGTTTTTCCTTTCAACTTGGTCTGTGGGTAATTATGCTGAGGCCTAATAAGCCGCAGTCACAAGCTCCCAACCGCCCAGTACATACATTTTTGTACAGCATGTGACAGACCTGGCAGGGCTACAAGCAGTATTTACTCGACCACAAAACTAGCGAAAGAGTTATTCTGTTGAGATCCTGAATCCACCAAAGTCCCCCAAAAGCTCAATATGGAGGTATCCTGAATCCATCAAAATCCTGCAAGTTCCGCTAGGCTTACAATCCTGAATCCATCAAAATCCCCCAGTTTGTGCAATATGGAGGTATCCTGAATCTGCCGAAATCCCCTGAAACAGGGGGGTGGATTTTGATGGATTCAGGTACGTTAGGATTAATGTATCTCCAAAATCCACACAGAATGAATTTTATTGCAAACAAACAAGAAGCATCTTCACCAACTCACCCATTTGAAATTTCTGAGAAGTATTACATAAACAAATATCGGACAAATGCGACTTGCAATGGAAATCAGTTGGACAGTGTGGGGGCACAAATTACATGTATCATGAGAATATCCAGGCCAAAAACGCTCCTTGACTGAAAACCTGACCTCAATCTATGAGGAGAGGCAACAGCCTACCAACTCATCACCAGCTGGCTGATCTTGCAAGTAAGCACAAATGTGGCATACACAGTGTAGGCCCACGTAGAAATAACAAACAAATGAGTGAGGTCTTCGTAACTGAAATGCACTTGCCAATTTCTGACTTTGCACAAAGATAGGGGTAGTGTTCCATATGAGATCTGCACAAGATCAGCAAAGAAGAATGCCAAAAAAATATGCTGGACACAACAAACATGGAATAGTATCAACTATGAGAAAAACAAAAATAACAGCGTTGCTGTTGAAACCCCTCAGCCAGAGTCAAGTTATCATCCGGAAACCATTAACCTTTAACTCAACGTGGTGACCTTGACCTTTGGCCTTTGACCCCAGAACCAGTCCCAACATGCCTGTACCAATGGGAAACCCCCTACCGAAGTTAGACACCAACATTTCATTTCTAACTCAAGTTATCATTCGGAACCATTTACATTGAACTCGCCACGGTGACCTTGACCTTTGACCTTTTGACCCCAAAACCAATCCCAACTTGCCTGTACCCAAGGGCAAACCCCTACCTCAGTCAGACACCAAAATCTCATTTCTAACTCAAGTTATCATCCGGAAACCATTTACCTTTAACTCACCATGCTGACCTTTACCTTTGACCTTTTGACCCCAAAACCAATCCAAACTTGCCTTCTCCCAAGGGGAACCCTCTTCCAAAGTTAGACACCAAAATCGCATTTCTAACTCAAGTTATCATCCGGAAACCATTTACCTTTAACTCACAATGGTGACCTTGACCTTTGACCTTTTGACCCCAAAACCAATCCCAACTTGCCTACTCCCAAGGGCAACCCTCTACCAAAGTTAGACACCAAAATCTCATTTCTAACTCAAGTTATCATCCGGAAACCATTTACATTTAACTCACCACGGTGACCTTGACCTTTGACCTTTTGACCCCAAAACCATTCCAACTTGCCTGTACCCAAGGGCAAACCCCTATCAAAGTTAGACACCAAAATCTCATTTCTAACTCAAGTTATCATCCGGAAACCATTTACCTTTATCTCACCATGCTGACCTTGACCTTTGACCTTTTGACCCCAAAACCAATCCCAACTTGCCTTCTCCCAAGGGCAACCCTCTTCCAAAGTTAGACACCAAAATCTCATTTCTAACTCAAGTTATCATCCGGAAACCATTTACATTTAACTCACCACGGTGACCTTGACCTTTGACCTTTTGACCTCAAAACCAATCCCAACTTGCCTACTCCCAAGGGCAACCCCCTACCGAAGTTACAACCCCAAACAACATTTCTAACTCAAGTTATCATCCGGAAACTAAGCTGCCCGGACGGACGGACGGACGGACAGACACACACACATCCGGACGGACGGACGCCCTAGGCGATGACAATACCCCTCGAGCCTCTCGGCTGAGGGGTAAAAACCCAGAGTTTCACCTAGTAAATATGAGTACATGTACATTATGTTAGTTTGAGAAATGATATTAATCAAAGCACAATATGTCAAAACCTTCGAGCATGCTTCTGGTTTCTGATTGGATGCCTTCTGTTGCTGGGACAACCTTTGAAGCCATAATAGCATTCTGGTTGACATGGTTGATGGGAGGTACATTTAAAATCTTAACAGTTGGTGGGTCATTGGCACAGAGAGTAGGAGGGAGAAGAATGCCGGGCCACCGAGGCTAATTAGGGGGACACCTACCAGCTTCCTTTGAGCTTCCTCCATCTTGCGACGATTCTCCTCCATGATGCGTTCCAACTCCTCCCGTTTCCTTCTCTCTTCTTCCTACAAATATGAAGACAGAGAGGTTTCGGTCATTAGCCCTCATTCTATCATACCCTCATAATAAAATATACATCAATATTTGCCTTAAGACTATGCCCTGTATTTGCTTGTTGCTTGCCTCAAACTAGTTTTGCACTGCCTGGAATCTATAACGGGCATTCATCGCCAGCATACAGATGGCTCGGTTCACTCGGAACAAGTCACGCACAGAAGAAGAGGGCTGGCAAGTCCCGTCAATTAATGAGAAGTGAACACTGCATATGTACGTGCAAGTCTAACAAGAGCCACAGATTGCTTACATGAAGAAAATTATAATCATAAATAATAATAATACTGGAGTCTTATATAGCGCACGCATCTACCAACAATTAGATATTCAAGGCGCTGGTAATTATGTCTATTATTAAAGACTGGTAAATGAAGTTTATGAGAAACATGAGACCCATTATGAAGCACCTTTATAAAGGGTACACAAGGTGCTGCGGCGCATATTGCAGCCACTGCCAGAAACACCGGGGCAAACCCCTTCTCTTAGCGATAAGTGTTACCAGGCTCTTTAACGTGCATAACACAACACACAGGACCTACGGCTTTACGTCCCATCCGAAGGACAAAAGCATAATGGTAACATGCCTTGCTCAAGAGCACAAGGACCATGTTCAGGATTCGAACCCACGTACCACGGCCATTGGACCACAGCCCCCCCCCCAAAAAGAACCCCCATAAATGTGTACATTCAAGCTATATATTGAATATTGATTGGTTATAGTGGCATGCAAGAGTTACTCAGTTTGAGCTACGAGTACTGGAACTACAAAACAGTGTCAATTTGTTTAATCATTTCCCTAGCTGAGAGCTTGACACATAAATTATGTTGATTTCCAGTTGAACTGTAACAAGCTGAATTCTTTGAGGGTCTCCTTTTGTTGTTTGAGTAACACTGTCTGACCCATCTGTCAAGTTCTTTATGTATGTCCATTGGTAGCGTCAGTATCACACTGGGAGGAAGGTACACTTATCATAATATATGCTTACGTCACCATTTCGCTACGGAGGTCATTGGCATCACTGTGAAAACATGAATTATGCAGTACGTATGCACATGGTGTCCCGGATGATTGTAGTAGCTAGCTGCATGTTGTGAACACGTGCATCACAATACAATGCGCGGCAAATACTAGCGCCGCGTCGCGGGACTGAGATCATGTTTCTCCTGAAAACTGTGCAGAAGCCTGGCAGCAGCCTTGAGTGTAAAACAGTTCTCGTTTCATTTATTTAGGGTGAGTTAAAAAAAAAGCTGAATCCAAACCACCAAAAATATATTTCATATTAAAAAAAAAAATATGTAGCACCAAAATAAGTATAAAGACTGGAAAACCTAGCTATTCCAGAATTTTTTTTAGATACAAAAATACTGAAATTGCTCAGTCCGTTCAAATAATATCACCATTTAAAACGCAATGACCCTAAAACCGGTTTCGTCAAAAAAGAGCAATTTATTGTGCATCATTCTGACTGCTTGGAACAACGAAGAAATTGACACAGAATACATGTATTGCTAGGCTGTCGTTTGCATACAAGCCAGCGCTTTCATCTGGCGCATGGCTTCCATGCGTCGGCGCGGCCGTTGGCACGGATCTGCATAATTCATGTTCTAGCCATGTCATACGACCTGCCATCAACTTGGTGACGTAGGCATAAATTATGATAAGTGTACCTTCCTCCCAGTGTGATACTGACGCTACCATGTCCATTCAATAGCAGACTGCCGAGTATCTTTTATTAACAACTTCAAGAGACTGCAGAGCAACCTCACTGAACCATTCCCATTTATTTATCCAGTCATTGTTAGGCCCTCCAATCCCTGCCTCTCCTTGATCAACAGATTACGACCAGTTGGTTTGAAGCCCGCCTGCTGGGAGCCTTGTTCACTTCAAGTCTCTAAGTGATATGGTGTGTACATGTATATGAGGTGATCGTCATTCTCAGAAGAGGCAACCCTCACCCCTCTGAACTCTCTAGAAGTGATAAGACCCCCTCCTGGATTAAGTTTTCAGTGCAGTATTTTTTTCACTCATTTACAACGTGATGCAATTTTCTGACCACTAAGATGTACCTTCAGTCAAGGAAAAAACGAGAACAGACTGCAGTAAAAGCCAAAAATTCTGGCAAAACATGACAATGAAGCAGTTGTAACACTGGAGCTGCTGCCTAACATGACCTCACTATTTACATGTAGCTGATAATAAAGCCCTGAATCTACCATGGAAATTCCACTACCAAGAACTGAAACTTAACATTCTTTCAATGAAAGACTAAAAAAAACCCACAATACCCAGTTGTTTAACTGACCTCTTTGGCTTTTTGGGCCTCCAGTTCTTGCTGTTTTTTCATCTCCATCTCTTCAAGCATGGCGGCCTCCAGGATGCGTTTAGCCTCTTCCACACGACGTAGCACCTCGGCCTCTATGTCATCCTTACGCTTCTCTAACTCCTGCTCTACTCGCTTGGCTACCATCTCCTCTACTCGCTTGGCAACTTCCTCTTCAATCAGGCGGGCTTCCATCTCCTGTTGCCGGCTGAAGAGGAGAAAGGAAAAATGGATGAAGAGCAAAGGCGAAACAACAGGGAAATATGCAGGAATGAGTCATTTTGGCTACAACACATTGCAGTGCAATATGTATGTGGGTTTGTATCCATTGGGGATTATTGCGTGTCAAGTTTGTTTTATGGAAATAAATTATAGCGTGTCAAGGTTGTTTTATGGAAATAAATTCAAGAACCTCAGGCAAAACTGTCAACCCTGATTATATTATTTGGGTTCAGTGTGTAAGATTCTCCCTGTTTGATGTAATGGTCTTACATCTTGCGTTGTCTCTCAATCTCTGCCCGCCGTTCCTCTTCCTCCTTTTTTTGTTTCTCTTCCAGCTCATTCCGTTTGCTCAGGTCCCGGCCAAACATGTCCACCACAGGGCTGCTTCTCTCGGACTTGGAATGGGACCTCCGATGCCTGCGCTCCCTTTCTCTATCCCTGTCGCGATCACGCTCTCGTCGTTCCTTTGACTTGGAGCGAGAATGCTTCCGTGAGGATCTGTGGGATGATGATGACTCTCGCTCCCTAGAACGGGACCGGGACTTGTGGCTGTGCTTGTGTTTTCGCTTTGGTGAAGAGCTGTGACTTCTTGACCGAGGCATATTTAACAGTTTATTTTGACAGGGGGATGAAAGATATTTATAAGGGGGAGAGGTCTGTATTCAAATCCTGAGATTTTGAGACCTGAATAGAAGGAAAAATAACAAATGTTAGGATATACATGGTTGTTAAGTACTACAGCATTACCATATCTAATAGTGGTTCTAATATGCCGACATATTTTTTTAAACAGAAAAGGCAAATTTGTACTGTATTAATGTTATTATGGTTACGGTTACTCCTAAACTAGAAGGCATTCATCGGCACAATTGCAGAATACACCTCCACTAAATCTATCCACCTCGTTAGCCGGCTACGGAGTCACGGTTGATTACTCCGTAAACCTTCTCAGTCCTACCAGTATGTCCACGCATCATGCTCCATTGCACTCCCACTGGGTATCCGCGTTGCAACTTAGGGGGGGGGGGGAACACTTTAGACTTATTTTTGGCAGTCCCCATTCAGTTTACAATCATAATGATTTAGTCCCCTTGGAGGGTTTTTTAAAGGAAAATAGCGCCCTGTTTTTGCCCCCTCCAGCGCCCTTCCACTCCGTGTCTGCGTAGCCACTCTGGGGGAAACACTCTCGACTTAAGAATTTTTTTTTATTCCCCATTCAGTTTACATTATTACTGATTGATTCCCCAAGGGATTTTTTTCAAAGGAAAAATAGCGGCCTCTTTTTGCCCTCCCCATCTGTGTAGCCACTCCGTGCATACCGGGGGGAAACCCTTTCGACTTATCCTAACTTTAGACCTAGACCTTCTCCCTTACTCCTTCAACTGCGTAGCAATTGATTTTGGGGGATATTTTCAAGTGGCAGGATTTTGAGGGAAATTTTGGGTCAGAATTATGATAACATGAAGATGACCAAATCCAACACAAAAATAAAAATGGCGAGCACTGTGACGCACCATACAGTGTAAATGTGCAAAACCGGGTTGATTTGCATGGCATCAACTGTGAAATGCATAAGAAAATCACTTTGTTTTGGCTGGAAAGTACCGTTCAAAATTACAAAAAAAAACTAGCGTCATCAGAAATAAAAGAAGTCTGCTTTAATAGGTTACAGAAGTCATTTTGGAATGATGATAAAACATCCTCGACTCTAAACTTGGCAATTGTGTAGTGTAGGGCGATGACGACCAACTACAGCGCGGCTTTCATTCCAGAGTTTGTTTCACTGCCTCGTGCGATAAAATGAAAGCCGCGCTGTTGTTGGTCTAGACAATTGGTCAATTGATCAAGAATTGGTCAAGCACTCTTTATAGTCGACAGCCAACAATGACAGACAGCCAAGTGGAGACTCCTGTGATCTTGGTAAAGCGAAATTCTGGTAAATTTTTGCTTGATATCAGGGATTTGAACCCACCCTAGCAATGATAGTACCCAGACATGTCAAAATAATACATGTGAAAAACTTGGGTTGAACATTTTGTGACAGGAGAGTTTGGAGGTTGGAAAAAAACTGGAAGGGGATATAGCCCACCATTTTCCTACACTAAACTAAGCCAACCCCGTCCAGCAACCCCAGCTATCAACCCAGTCTGATCCGACCGAGCCAAGCAGGCTACCCCAAACCCGTACCCCACCACCGGCAGCTTGACACGGCAACAAAATCCCCACGGCAAAAAACCCAAAAACTTGGCATCTCCCCATCCCGTACCCGACCGCCGAATCAAATGCTCTCTCTCTCAGCTTGGAAAACCCTAGTCATGCTAGTTCCAGTAACTAGGACTCTACGAATCGCCTTTTTAAAAACATTTGGACATGGTCGGGCAATAGTAGGATCCGAGAATCATAGCTGTATTGCATTTACCAATATTATAATTTTTTGGCCATTTTCACTCGTACCCTCAACATGCTCAATCGACTTGTCTCACTCTCAACGGACGACTCGTCATGCTTGTCTTTCCATTTAACGCACATACGATAGAGTTGTCTCAACGGTCGAGCTGTCCCAAGTCGAGTTGTCTCAACGGTCGAGTTGTCTGGCCCCTAGCCCCACTTGTGTGGCCTCAGTATTGCTGCGCTGTACGTTAGGCCACACGTCTGGTTTCCCAACCAAATGAGGAGTTTAGTCCTAAACTGGTGCATATGGACTCCAGAAAGATTTCTAAATTTCTCAAAAAATTTGAAGAAAGATTACCTAATCGACCCGGAGGGCAAAAGATGAGAAATCATAGAATATCCTCGTGTGACCATTTTTCGCACACTTAGTACTTTGACCGATTTTTTTCTTGCAAAAACTAAATCCTACACAGTTATGGACTTTAATATTGTAAGAATGACTAATAAACTATAATTTGAACAATATCGAACGTCAAGGAAGCAGCAAGAAAGTCGTCGTCTGCAGATGAGTCAAATTGGCTGCCAGAAAAGTTTCGTGCCCATAATTCGCGCACGAACGGAAAACATCATTCTACGGAGTCTCCATTGTGTCCTACTTCTTAAAACAATGTGGATCGATGTTTGTTGAATAAAGGATAAGTTTATGTGCACAACTTTGGTCTCTAGTTTGATTAACTAACTTTTATTTGCCATCCGACATTGTTACTAAATACACGTTTGTTTAAATATGAAATAAATGAATTTCTTTTGATTTTGGTAAAAACAACTGCATGCAAAATATTTAAAATCATTTCATAATTGAAAATTGGAGGAAAATACAATAAATCCACAAATATTATAATATAGTTTGTCGAAAGCTTAAGAAGCTTAACTTAAATCCTATGCATGGAAAGACTTCCGATAATTTTTGTTTTGCTGAAAATCAACCCATGTGCCAATTACAGAACATTTTACAAATGTATACAGATTCTCCAAAAATAGAAACATTTGCAATAGGTCCTATAACTTAAGTATGCCGTGGCTATACTTTTAAGTACATGGACAAATATATTTGAATTAATGACCCCTCCATCAAAAACATAACAAAACCACTCTTCTGTCATCTGTAACAATGTTCTCTGACATTTTATTGCTCATTCTAATACACCTGCGATCAATCACATGGTTGCATGATACACATCATTTCAATAAACAAAAATAGGTATTGGCCTACTTTTTAGGTACTTTAAACATTACGATTAGGTCTTATTCCGACAGAAATATATTTTAAGGCATATTCATTCCAACAAACAACTCGGTACCGAAATCTGCATCTCGGCGAAACAGATCGTAAAATTAAAACACGATATAAGGCGCACGTCGTATTTCGTGCTCCGTAATTCTGATTACGCCCTCTGTTGTTAAGTGAAAGTCGACCGAAGTTGTCTTTCACGTTTCGGGGTTGGACGGCGACACTGAGTGGAAATTTGTAGCGATGTTCTTATTAGTTTTCTGGGCCATTCATTTCAGATGTCTATATTTCGTGAAATTTCCATATTTGTTTGCACACGTTTGCGCATCAAAATTTCAACATGAAATTTCACACAAATTAGACACCTGAAAAAGGCATCACTTTCTAATTAGCCTATAAAGAGGGTGAGTATGCTTCTAAAGTAAAAATAAACTACAAACTAAGCCTAAATGTGAAAATCAAAATTTGACAAAGTTCAACATGTTTTTGTATATGGTGGAAGTGTGGCCTTTATTTACGGAGGTAGTCCAGTAAATTGGCCACATTTATGGCGCTAGCGCTACATGTGTATAAAATATGAGCATGTCAGCTGGACTTACTCAAGCTAGAGTATTAAGGTCATTTATAGCGGAAAACCTGTCATTTTTGTGACCACCTTCAACCCCAATTTCCGGGTCATTCAAACAAAAATGGCGATCATGTGTTCAGCCACAAAAAATCGAAGCTCTGAAAAACTCACCAAAAGTCTTCTTTTTTTTACGTCCAAAATGTATGAAAATCTTTCAGTGACATAATTTTGATAACATTTCACGCAAGTTTGGAAAGTTTGGGGGCGAAAAACTGAAAGGTGAGTGTTCTGTAGCGATTTAAACTTCGGTAATTTTACGTGTGACCAGAAATTCTGGTAGAATAGAAAAGGTCAATATCGGGAACCCGCTGCGATAGCTACAACCATGTAGGCCTAGGGTAAATGTCCGGAATTTCGGCACGCAGGGAATTTCGGCACCCCTATATAAATAGTGAACTTGCCCGCCAACGCGGTCACGTGACCACCCATTTTGCTGTCGGGTGACATGACAAACTCCCGCCCTTGGGTTTTCAACCAAAAATAATTGAAACTTACGACGCATTCTTGCAAAAAAATTGGGATTAAAAATCTCTCCACAAAAGGCGAACTATTTTTTTCAAGTTTTTACGATTCATTGTAAAATGGATTTAAGATGAAAATGATGATTGCAGCCAGTTTTTCAGGTCGAAGTGGTTAAAATGGAAGTTTTTCTGACGTTGGTGATCGTTTGCGCCGCTCAAAGTGGAAGATCGTCTGTACAAAGTGCAGGTGTGTAGTCTTGTGGGGGATGCCGAACTTACGAGCAGGGATCAGAAATTGACTCGAATTTCGGAACGTGATAAACAACTCACAAAATCAATATTGTATAAGCTTGATAACCATTTTGAATTTTGTTGGGGACATAACTAATATAGGGCAAAAATACAACTTTTACGGGCGTAAAAATATAAACCTACGGAACTAAACGTGCGCGTAACGCAACTTTTTCCCCACGCGCTGAAACATGGTGCCGCCCATGGCAGAAGCACGTGACTGCACGCACTGCCAAACTTACGCACAGGGTGCTGAATTTCCGGACAACACGAATGTCTTACAAAGTCACATGACATTACCGAAGCAGGTTCGGGATCGATTTAGTTTTGGTATCGCAACATGCGCTATGCCCATGTGCTGTGTGTTGATGGGAGTACCGGGTAAATCGATACTGCATATGTCACAAAATAATAATCTGATAATCGACCCTAGTTATGGTGCCGAAATTCGGGACGTCGACCCTACAGTGGTAATGTAACAAAAAAATGCTCAAAAACGGTGCGCCATACAGTGGTTGGACTTAAGTCTAAACTCCTCAGTAGGTTGGAGGAAAACCAGACGTGTGGCCTAACGTACAGCGCAGCAATACGGAGGCCACGGGGGGGGGGGGGGGGGGGGGGGGGGGGGAGTCGGCCAGGGGGCGAGTTGACATGATCCGTGGTGCCTAGCCAGCCAAGCATTCTACCTCCATGGTAGCTCTACTGAGTGGAGCGTTGAATTACGGGTACCCCTCCATACAAACGCTCCACCGATTTGCCATACTTTGGTAGCACCATTACACGATCGTCATGACGGTATGCATTTTGTGCATGCCCTCGCGAGGACAAGGCCCAAAAAAACTGATAAAGAAAATACAAATGAGGAAGACAGTAACCCTGGATAGATCCACACATTCATGACATTTCATAAGACCCCTCAAATTGTTTCAAACAACCGGTAATTTTGAAAAAAGAACAAAATAGACTGAACTTACCGCTCACAATTAAATGTGTCTGCCGAGTTGCACAGTCTATTTCACTGACATGACTGATGCATAATTCATTGCGCGCGTGTGTGACGTCACTATTGAAGAAAAACAAGTCGCGCTTAATCAGTGACTGTTTCATGTACTGATATGTGCCCCGCACCAAAAACCCACAGTCAGACGGCGCGGGGCACATATGACTACATGAAACAGCTATTGAGTAAGCGCAACTTGTTTTTCTTCAATAGTGACGTCACACACGCGCGCAATGAATTATGCATCAGTCATGTCAGTGAAATAGACTGTGCAACTCGGCAGACACATTTAATTGTGAGCGGTAAATTCAGACTATTTTGTTCTTTTTTCAAAATTACCGGTTGTTTGAAACAATTTGAGGGGTCTTATGGAATGTCATGAATGTGTGGATCTATCCAGGGTTACTGTCTTCCTCATTTGTATTTTCTTTATCAGTTTTTTTGGGCCTTGTCCTCGCGAGGGCATGCACAAAATGCATACCGTCATGACGACCGTGTAATGGCGGTCCTACTAAAGCGCGTCAACAAGCGTAAACAAGCGTCAACAAGCGTCAACAAGTTTTAGTAGTCGTTAAGTGCGCGTCAACAAATTTTGTATAGGCCTTAGAACAATAAAAACAGCTTTATATGGTAGAAAAAGCAATAATGAACATCTTCTACATATCAATTAAAGTTAAAATTATTTAAAAAGTGGTTTTCCAGCGCGAAATCTACGACGGATTTTTCGATTTAGTATTGGCCGCCATCTTGTTTGAGATCTACGTATTACGCATGCGTGGAGTGTACCATTCACGCATAGGGGTTTCTTTATAGGAAATTAGGAAAACTATTTTTTTTTTCAATTATAAATTATGCAAAACTTGGTCACGGTACTTGGCTAATTATTTGAAAAATATGCTTGCCGACACTGTTTACAATATCTGCCAAAACATCCCAATGCAAAAACCAAACGAGGTATCGCTAAGCGTATCGTATAAAGAAACCCCTATGCGTAAATGGTACACTCCACGCATGCGTAGTATGTAGATCTCAAACAAGATGGCGGCCAATACCAAACCGAAAAACCCGTCGTAGATTTCGCGCTGGAAAACCACTTTTTTTTAGTAATTTTAACTGTAATTGATATGCAGAAGATGTTCATTATTGCTTTTTCTACCATATAAAGCTGTTTTTATTGTTCAAAGGCCTATACAAAATTTGTTGACGCGCACTTAACGACTACTAAAACTTGTTGACGCTTGTTGACGCTTGTTGACGCGCTTTAGTAGGACCCTGTAATGGTGCTACCAAAGTATGGCAAATCGGTGGAGCGTTTGTATGGAGGGGTACCCGTAATTCAACGCTCCACTCAGTAGAGCTACCTCCATGGTACCAGCAAAGCCAGGGGCCCATCTCCAAAAATATTACCAAATACTTACCTATGTTGGTCACCTAATCTTGAAACGTGGCATACAAACCATCTGTATGTTACGGTTTACCTACGCTCGCCCGTCGATGCCTATTTTTTTTTTCAGTTTCGTAGCAATTAAAAGCAAATTCGCAAGAGACAAATCGTTCTCCGCACTTTCATGTGCCTTTGTACATTGTACTTTTCCACTGTCTGACAACAGCGCCACCAACGACGGGGTCGCTCCCGCGCGTAATGATCAGAGCAAGGAATAACCCTTGCCTTTTACATGTATTAAAGGGAATATACAACATTTGCAAACATCGAAAAATAAAACTACCAAGTTTTTGCAAAATACCTTAATAGGATGTTGGTAAATGACAGTCTAAAGCATCCTGTAAAATTATGGCACCTGGTATACTGTCATTTTCAAGAAAAGTGGTATTTTTGTATCAATTTCCAACGCTGATCGGCCGATCAGCGTTGGAAACAACTGGCTTTTTTTCAAATACTGGCCCCAATTGACCATTGCACTTGTTTGCAATCGATTACAAACCTATGAACGGGTACGAGCCAGCTAGACTGGTTCCCTGACCTTACAATTCCCTAATGTATGTAAACTGCTCTGTTTCTTCTTTTATGGAGTCAGGGAACCAGACTACAGGAAAATGATCGTTTTTCTTGGTTTTTATAGCATTTTCGAACCCAAAACCTCCAAAAAGTCAGTGTAACTATATTTGCTTTATATTTCCAACCCCCCAATTCCATCCATTTCTGAAAATTACAGCAAAAGCAAATGATGTATATTCCCTTTAAGCTAGCCCTATCGTTGTGTTTGATCGAGTCATTGCGTATGTTATGATTCTTTAATCAACGAAGCAAAAACATATACTCAACCAAAAAGGAAAACTTCCGACATTTTGGGAAAGGGCCAGGAATAATTACTCTGCCGATAGACGTACAATGGTTATTGAAAAGATTAATTTTTTTCGTATTTTGACATTCATGACATTGATCAAAATCATAGTTCAAATCATTTTTAACGGAGTATTATTTGACGGGTTAGGACCGTGCCCCGCTCAATTTCTATCTGTTTCCAGAAAAAACACCATTCAGACGTCAATGTGTCAACATTCAAATTAAACGTATTAATTTAACAATAACACTTTTGTCATGCTCAGTGTAAACAATATTTGATGGAATAAAGAAAGGAGAAAAAAAGAGAGATTAAGCTCTCAAAGTAAGTATTTACTTATTTTTTGGACAACTGTATGTTGTACCTTTTTAGCATTTCGTTAGTTGGATTATTTCAAAACTATTTATTTCGGTGAAAATCTTCAACCCCTGAAAGACAGAAATAACAGAAAACTTATTTACATCAAAGGTACAAATTTTTATTGTGATCATATATTTACAACACTAGAAGACAGATACATCCATTTTTGTAAGCTTTTCCTACAACCAGGACAAGTTGGAGAATACAGTGGATCATCCCAAAACATATAGACTGGTGTATCAGTTTACACTACTCATCAGTCTAGGAGGGGACTACACAGAGAGTCCGAGGGGTGATGATTACAGAATGCACGCAAGTCTTCTGATTTCATTCTCATTTTGAAGCATTCTTAAGAGCTAAGGTTACCGGTTCCAAGTATTTTAACCGATTTAAAAAAAAATGGTTTTACCAACTCAACACTCCAAAAATTAAAACACAATGGATAAAATATGAAAAGTGAGAAGTCTGACTAAGTGGCATACAATCCTGGACTATACATTTACATTAAATAAACTTTACTTGAATGATATATTTCCTGAATATGTACACATATAACTCTACTTCATCAACTGAATATGTCGTCCTAGTAAGATAATAAAACGCTACTGGAAAGTTGAATCCAAAGATGGCGGGTAAAATCTTACATCAACTCGTGAAAAGATGAAGGCTTGTTGAGGTCACATTCATGTGCAACACATTGTTGTTCAGTCAAACACTTCAATTTGATTCGTTAAAAATTATGATGTTCTAAAAACCAGCGCTGTATGTTCACCTCTTGATAAATCAAACTTGATGGATGCCACAGAGTTAGAGGCCCATCGCCATGTTTAAATTTTTATTTAAACATGGCGATATTTAGGAATATTTATGTAGACTCTAAGCAAAAGGGTTCATGTAAAAGTAAACTAATGATGAATGTTCAACTGTTCACAGTGCTTTACACACTTCCAGTAGCCTACTACAAGAATGAAATATCCAATTTATAAAACATCAAAATATCAGTTTTAATTTGCCACCATATCATATTTACACAAGTTTAATTTTAGGCTCAATAAGTGACCACAATTCATTTAAGATTTGTTTCTTTCTTAAATATAAAACACACCTGTACCTGTATTCACCTTACAAAAATAGGTTAACATTTTCTCCCGACAAAAATAAGCCATTAAAATTGTTCATCAAAAGAACAAAACTCTAACATGACAAATTCCAATTATGTCTGAAGCCTGGTTTATAATGCATGCAAGTTTGAAAAAAAAAGCAAATTTGTTTCAGATGTCACCATGAAACCACCATGCCCAACATCATGATCAATGTTGGGTAGTCACTTTTTTTCCCTGCGTCTGACAAATTTACTGCGATATCAATCTGCACAGTATTAATGTATGAATTAAGTCTGAGAAGTTCAATTTGATCATGGATAGGCATCTGAGTACTTTGACCAAAAAAAATGCTGAAAATTTCCCAAGTATGTGTACCGTACTTAAGGAATTGGACTCCAGTTTTAGTCCTTGCAAAATGCAGAATATTTCTTGCATACCGTTGTCAGTCTGTGTTTCCAAAAAAAACCTCTTCTTCCTCCTGAATTCACAGCACTCAGCCAATACAAGCAGGCCTGGATTAAGTGTTTTGTAGGCCCTAGGCACCATTATTCCGTAGGCCCTACTCCGCCCTAGGCATCGGCACAAAATTCAAAGTAACAAAGCACTGTACAAATCAATGACTTGTATGCACTTGTACAGCGTCAGTTGGTGAAATCAAAGATTCTGAGAGAGACCCTAAAAATGTTTACAAACCTTTTTTTTCTGCGTTGGGTGGGTGTGGGTAGGCCTATTTATGTGTTTTATGGCACACTGCAGTATTTTCGTAGGCCCTGGAATTTTCCGTAGGCCCCAAAAAATTGTGTAGGCCCTAGGCCCATGCCTACTGTGCCTATTTGATAATCTGGGCCTGAATACAAGGCTGCATCAAAATGACTTGGCTATGGCTAGCAGTCTATGGGATGTGCCATGGCTATGGCTAGTAGTCTATGGGATGTGCCATGGCTATGGCTGGCAGTCTATGGGATGAGGCTGCAGCCACTTCCATAGGCGCATGTGTAATTGCAAGCCATAGCCAAGTGATTCAGATGCAGCCTTAGCCTTGATGATAAGGTCTGATTCCCTCAATGTCACCATCAATTTTAGTACAAAATGCACAGACATGACAGGGGCATCTGACTACAACACTGACTGTCCAATCACAAGTCTGCCAAGTATCAGGTCACAAGCTATTCAAATGAATGTTCATCCTGGCTTGAGATTTGACTTGATTACAAATCTGAAAGCTTCTTCTCTTTCTCCTTTGAATGAAGTATAAACCAGTTTCACACGTACCATGGAACTACTGTATACAGAAAAAAATGATAACAGCTTGAAATAGGACACAATGTTAAAACCCCAAATCCTTCAATGAAGTTCTTTTTGTTCTCCCTTACAGTCAGGGAAGCAAATATATACCTGTTGTCAAGTTGCAAGTAAAACTGCAGCACACACATAAGAGAGTTTACAAGTATTGTGTTACAGTCCTAAATATACAAATTCAATCAGCACCTTTGGAGCCTCCGATACAGCTTGAATGGGGTTTGCACAATTTCTGTACCAAATTTTGACGTTTAAACTCTGCCTGTTGATTCTAACATTGCCAAATGCAACTGTTTCCATCCTAAAAATACTAAAAGATAGACTCAATACCATTCCCTTAAAAAGGCTTTTTTTTTATACAACATATGTTGCAAAGCAAAACATTATCCCATGTTTCTACGCATATGATCAACATCCACTGAAATCCCCTTATTTTTTTTTCAGTAAATTTAAGTTCATTGCAGTATGCAATGGATTATGTATAATAGCAAGGCATAAATGGAGTTCAGTCTTCAACTGTACTTGCATGAAAGGAAAACTATCTATGTGATAAGTATATATATTTAAATCTACACGATAAAAAGGTTGGGGTACAAGTCGGCTCCAAATTTATGGAAAGTAGGGCTACTACATGTAGAAGCCTTAATTTTAAATTCTAAGCAAAGTGCATGAAAAATGTACACTCTATCAAAATGGGCCAGGTTTTTTCTGAATTAATTACCAACACTCTTAAGCATCTTCAAGATGGTGTTTGTGTCATTGACCAGTTTGTTGGCACTCTTGTACACATTGGTTATGTGGCCGTCCCTGAAGTAGACTTTCAGTGTGTCACTGAAGTTCTTGGATGAGTTTATAAACTCCTTCTTGTGCGCATCAAGAACCTGAAAAGATTAAATGTTGAAAATATAACCAGTGTCACCAAATCGAAAAACTAGCACACATCTTTCCTGCCCATGTGTTAAAGGTACATGTACAGTCCATGATTTGTTATTTGTACATTTTGTTCGTTTGAAGCAACAAATTAACGTGCTCAAAATCTAAATAAGGGTGCTGAACAATTAACCTGATGAAGTTTCAGCTCAGTTTCAGCTGTATATTTCGAGAAAAACAGCATTCTAGGATCTCGATTTCAAATCAAAAGTTGCTGAATCATTTTTTTGAATTGGGCCTGAATTCAGCGTCCGAGACACGTTTTCATTGAGCCGATTGCAGCTACGTGAAGGCGCGCACCAATCTGACAAATTATAGCAACCGCACGTGCGTGTGCATCGTGCCAAGGCTTGCGCGTGCTTCCCCAAATAAAAAAAACAAACTTCTTACGGAAATTTCCAATGGTGCGTCTTTAGACGCACCATTGGAAAAGCCTTCTTTCATTGATTTCTTCAAAATGACAGCTTGCCAGAAAGATTAATTTCACAGGGAGTTTAGTCCCATTACTATCTTTCAAGCAAGTATGTTTTTCAACAATAATTGTGTTAGTTACTTTTTGGATAGCTGCAAATGATGAACTGTAACTTTATTAAGAGAAAAGAGGCAGATCTAAGATGGCGGCGGTACCGCATGGCATTGTGGGTGGGAGCAAGAGGATGCACTACAGTGGTATACAAAGGTATTTACTGTTAGGCTAATATAAATATGAACAAAGTAGACTGGTAAATTTGTGACATACTGAGGCAAAATGAGGAATGTCCCCCAAAACCTTGTTTTTAGTAATCCATGCCTGAAGTCGGATATACTGGAAAAAATCATGTCAAAATCGATATTGATTGTTGTGTATTTGGAGTAGCCAACGTTTCCAAGATTCACACTATGCATTTTTGTTGGGAGAAAATACCCACAAAAGTGGAAACTCTAGAACGCTTTTCACTGCCATTGGCGGCGCAATGCATGTCTTTTATTTTCAAAGCCGTTTTTCTTGAAATGAGGTTAGCGAGACTTGGCAGGACACTGTTGAAGTTCCTGCGTCACATCTTTGAAATAAATTACGCTACAGAAATGAATTTGGTATCATTGGAAAGCCAATGATTTGCGCTTTAACCTGATGTACATAACATTAAAAAGTCAAAGGTGGGGGTTATTCCTCATTATGCTATAGCAGGTCACATTTATTTACTCCTATGCACTTACAACATAATTACATGTAAAAATTGGCCCTGCTACATGGACACTGAATGACTGCAAGTACATGCCGGTCCCATTCCCAAAGCCAAAGGCAGAGTGAACCCCTTGTTGAACCCTAGTGACTGGGTTTGGCCAACTACTAGTACAGTAATGTATTCCTCAATACTGTTCCCTCTAACTTCCCAACTGTGGAACTCCTTGCCAGAATAATCATTATCTTGGTTGAATCCAAAAGTCCACAGTTTTCTTTTTTCTCTTCCACTGTTTTGCTTACTATGGCCGCCACCTCCAGTTGATACTATCATTGTGGTTGACAAATAAACCAAATAAAGATTTGTCAAACTCCCGAAATTTATTTCCAATCTTTAAAGCTAAGCATAACTTACGCTTTTACGATCTCTCAGGCGACCTGCCCCGTGTTTCTTGATGAGTCTGTTGAGAGCTTCCAGCAGGTCTTTAATTCCACTTGCGATGTCTCTGTGAGAGAGGAAAAAAACATTTAAACATTTTCAGGGTTTTTTAATTGCATGCTGGAACACAAAGCAGTTTATCTTGGCAGACATAAGACAAGATAAGTTTGCGGTAGCACCATGTGAATAAATCTCTTTTGTGAGTATGTGTGGTTCTGAAAAGAACCGGATGGCAGACATAATGGGGACTGTGACAGAAAACAGGAAAAACAATTTTTAGTGCTCTTACAAAATCTTGTCTCTTTGTAATGAATTAAATTGCAAATAGTTTGTATGCGCTGTTGCAGATCAATGTCAATGACAGAAACATCTGAGTAAAATCACAGCCCAAGGCTCTGATAATGGCATAGTAGCAATCGTATGCAAACAAAGGAATGAGGATTACGGACAATAGGGGGTCCACGATTGCCGGTGTTTACAAAGATGGGTGTGTGTGTGCGAGTATGTACACACCAGCGATTGTGGACCTAGGACAAAAGGGTTAGGGCACAAACAACACGTCCATGATTGAAATTCATGTACAAAACAAATGAGAGCTCTTAAACAGTATAAACAAAGGAATGATGATTAAAGACAATGGGGGTCCACAATTGCCTGTGTTTAAGAAGATAGGTATGGGAGTTTGTTTCTGCATTCAATAGGGGACGTTGAACACTAGAGGATAATTGGGTCCCAAATTCCCGTGAGGTTCTCAATTTGGATTTGTGTGCAAAACATATGGAAGGTCTTCCTAAAAAGTTACAGTACAAACAAAAGAGGAACAATATGGGGTCCATGACTGCAGGGGGGGGGGGGGTTAAATATCTCTAAGCAAGCCATTTTGTTGTCACAAGAACTCAGATAGCACCAAGTATACTGAACTTATAACATGACATCGGTGAAGGATAAAAGACACTGACTTGATTGTCTGCAGGAATTTGGGTCGGTCACCAATCTCATCTGGCAGGCGAGCTAGGATCTTCTTCAGCTCCTTAGCTTGCTCATTGAGTTTCTCAAACACATCCTCCTTCCTGCGTAACATGTACTCTGTTGAAACAAAGTGGAGAACTTTGTGGTGAGATGTAAATAAAAAAAAACACTTGGACATGGATAAAGAGCATCAAAAACTGAATTGCCATCATGCGCTCACGTCAACACAAATATGTTTAACTTATTTTACTTCAACAACTATGAAAAGTCATCAAGGGCTATCAGTAATCCAAATTGAAAAGACCATGACTTCCACACATTTACCTACCTTCGCTGTCAAGAGCTGCAAGTTTGAGCAAGCACTCAGTGTTGAGACTGACCCCAGCAGATCGTGCCTCCAGCACCCCACTGATGATGTCCTGACTGATGCCAGGGTTCTGCTTCTCAGCCTTCTCAAATGCCGCCCTCAATGTCTGCGCGGCTGACAGGTCTATCTTCTCCAGCTGAGAAAATAGGGGTAAATGACTCAATCAGAACTATTGTCCCATCCAAGGACGCAGCTTAACTCTTTGATCTCTCATTGGAAAGATTTTGTAAAACTGGTGACCCAAGGTCAATACTTTTATACCACTAAATTCCTCATGACAACATTGCATTACTCATTATGTGCATTCCATGTGGCACTAATAAATTACCTGAGATGCTTTGTGTTTCCTTCACAGTAGTTTGTGAGATGGGTAAGCCATTACCAGTGCCATTAAATAGGGGAGTTGCATTTTTAGAAATATTGAAGAAAGAACTGAGTTGAGCAAAGCATCTTTCACAAAACTGATAATTAACAATGCAAAAAAACCTATATTTTATGTCTCATTTCACCAAACTTTAAGTGTTCATCTTTACGAGCTAAAGTCATAGCTGCCAACATTTCAATTCCAATTAGTAATCAATCCACGCGGTCACTGTCAACTAGGCGTACATACTAAACATAACAGTGCTGTACAACTTTGCCCTGGCACATCATGCTTGTTTTCGACCTTTTCAAATAAAGACTTGTCAATTCAACCTGAAAATGTGCCTTTTCTTATTTTGGCACTGGTCTTACAATGTATATACAGGCATGCAACTGGGAAGTCACAACAAAAAAGGAAGTTTCCAAGACTTTGTACAGTGTTTTTTTCATTTTTAGTGTCACACATGGGAAGTAAAACAACAAGGAAATCAGCTGATCCAAGGAAAAGTTGCACGCCTGTATATACTTACAGTGGTAGAATAACAACAATTCTGCTACTAGCCTTGCAGTTGCACTGTCATAGACTCCTAACATGAAATTAACCCTAACCCCCTAGGCCCTTTTTGCTTACAACCATCCTCAATCCTCCAAAATCCTCCAAAATTTTGCAACTCCGCCTAAATTTTTCAAAATTGTCAGACAGTCCTGCCTCAAAATGCATTCATCGTCAATCCTCCAAAATCCTCCTCATCCCAAAATTTTGCACTCGTGTTTTAATGAAGGATAACCAACGCCAAATCCTTCAAAATCATCAGACAGTCCTGCCTCAAAATGCATTCATCCTCAATCCTCCAAAATCCTCTTGTGCTTCAATCACCATTCATCCTCAATCCTCCAAAATCCTCATGTGCTTCAATCACCATTCATCCTCAATCCTCCAGAATCCTCATTTGATTCAATCACCATTCATCCTCAATCCTCTAGAATCCTTCAAAACCGCCAGGAGGATTTTGGAGGAGTGAGGTGGGTTAGGGTTAATGCACTGGGATACCAGACCCCAAATAAATGAAGTACATGTATATGGAACAGTTATAAGATGAAATTTTACGTCGGGGTGATATAAATCAAGTTAGGTTTTGCCCTTCACCGACGTTTAAACACTGTATACTCAGTGAGTTACCTCCCGAGTGAAAGTTGGAAAAAATCACTCGGGTGGGACTCGAAAAATTCCATCTTATAATAACCAGCCAACCGATCCCGTTAGCTCGGTGGTCGAGTGGTAAGACACCTGCACTAGAAAGCAGGAGGTTGTGGGTTCGAGTCACACCCGACTGATTCTTTCCAACTTTCACTCAGGAGGTAACACACTGAGTATACAGTGTTTAAACGTTGGTGAAGGGCAAAACCTAACTTGATTTATATGGAACAGGTTATCCAATTATTATTATCAGCCTCCTCAAGTTTGAATAAGGGCAACAGGAGTAACATTTTAAGTCTCAGAACCTTTTTCAACCACAAGGAGAATTTGGAGGTTGTTGTTGGGTTGACTTGAGGAAGATAGAGCCCAGCTACTTTAGTTGATGTGAGCTTTGATGGTTCCTGTACATAAAGTACATGTACAAAGACTCTGCCACTGATTGGCTAGTTTTCGTCCATCCAGGGACATTCTTAGCAAAAATACCAAGGAGTAGGCCTAAACAGTTAAACATAAACATGTACTGTACCTCATCCAGAATGGGAAACAGTACCACATGAAGTGCGAAGGACTCAACGGAAGAGGCATCATTGTCGTCCTCCATGGTCATTCTGGGGAGTATTCACGTTGATGACAATACAAATCTACTTGCGGTTGTCCCAATGCTGTTTCTCTGTGCAAAAATCTGTGCAAAATAGTAACAATAACCACAATACAATAAGTGAGACAATTGCTCATTTAACTTTAACCATTTTGGACCCTTTAAATCAATGAAATCATACTTCCAAGACTGCAAACAAGTGGCATCGGGATCAGCCATGTTTAAAACATGATATCTTCACGACCACAAGAAACCGGGTTTTAAGATTTCGTGATCAGAATCAGATCATCTAATATGGGTCTAGATTTTTGGCTTGCTTGTTTTTTTTTTTTAATGACCCCATGAGGCATTATCTTTTTCGATGACGATTTTGTGGCCAATAAACATGCTGAAGACTTGACAAAAATACCTTTCAAAGCACCTACTGGCTTCTCCACATGTCAAAGACGAAGTAATGGGGCATCAGCGATACTCACGATTATTTTTTAGGTTGAAAATCCGTAAAATTCAACCAGATTAGCACAGACATCAGACAGCACACTTCAGATTCTCTGGGCACGACCACATCGCATTGTTCAACAGAAAAGTTTGTTTATCGATGCAGGCACGGTCGTAGCAAAAAAAATTATAACACATTTTTGTTCATACATGTATTTTTACCTGACTGATGAAGCTGAAATTTCGCTTATATATTCCTTGTGTCCAGAATTGTGCCTGCGCTGGGTTTAGAAAAGGCAAATATGTCCGTGGGCGTCGTGTTTACCGAAAATAAACCGAAAAAAAAGTTCTACGCTTTCATTGAAAACATTTTCAGTAGGGCAATTCCACACCAAAGTGGACATGACACCAAAAAATTCAAATACATGTGACTTAAACAAATTTGGCATCAAATGAAAGCTAAAAGTCTATATTTTCAAGATTTGAAGTCGGAATTTTATTTTTTATACATTTCGGTACCAAAAAATAGGATTATGTAATAATCCTGTTTTAATCCTAAAAATGTGATTAATAGTGATATGAAAGTATTCTACCAATAGACACACAAAAATATGTACTAATGCCATCAGTTTCTGTCATGAGAAAGTATTGGTCTTGAAAAACCGATTAAAACTTGTTTTTAACATTTTGCGTAATTTGTTTCGCTTCAGTGACTTCTAATATTTCAGCCTTCGAAAATGTCCTTCCGTTACCGAAAAAATACATATTTTTAATTTATTTTTAAAACTTGCAGTATGAATGCATTGAAAGTTATTGTGCAAAGCAAGTTTAGGTAGGCCTTCAATATGACATTATAACTGACACTGCTGTACTTCTCGTTTTTTAATTACAATTAATCAAATCACGTCCTTCCGTTACCAAATTGGTAACGGAAGGACAAATAGTATTTTTATCAAATGTTACGACATTTGCGCTCATGTTTGAAAAATGAACTCACTGCAAATACATGCATGTATAATGAGCATTCAAAGGACATTCATGTGACCCACCTTCACAAAAGCGGGATAAGCAGGGCAAGGTGTTTATTACAAAGGAAGGCACAGGCATGTACAACATGTACAATGTACATGTACATATATGCCGATGTCAGTGATGTAGTGCCTTGATGCTGGGCCTTGGCCTTAAGGCTGCCTTAAGGCTGGATTTTAGGGCCTTGGCCTTGGCCTCGAGGCTTGAGGGCAAAAGCCTTGGCCTTGGCCTTGGCCTTGGCCTTGAGGGTTCAGGGCCTTGCAATTTTGAGTCAAGGCTCTTCAAGGCCCATAGAGTTTTGCATTTTCCAGATAAATCTGTTCGAAATTTTGCTGTTACCATTTTAATCGTATTACATGTACGATGGAGGAGGGAAGCACCATATAGATTTGTGTGTTAGGCACACTTCCACTTTTATAGCATCATATGTTGTTACCATTGTAGTAGATTTGCTGCAACAATATTCTGTACACTTGTGGGGCTAATGAGATGATCACTTTAATTGCATATAACTTTGGAATAGATTTGATTGGTTGTATATGTCTCCCTGATAAGTGCTAAAGATTTGCATGTATCTGTTTTAGATAATGCTGATATTTCTGACCATGTTGGGCCAGCAAATAAAAATTTTCCAAATCAGTTTCTTGGATCCCCCTTTTGTTACACTTGGGAGAATTCTGTGTCAATATAGAAGTAAATCATTATTTTGTTTAGTTAAACCATATTGAAGACCTGAACTTATACGTTAATAGATACAGTGCAGTCATAAAACGGTGTAGGCCTATGCGAGCATGTTGATTGCAATTAAAGAAATGTTGTTCTTCGTAACGAGCAATTCGTGATGATAAGGCCGGATCCAGGGGGGTCAAAAGGGGCCACGCCCCCCCCCCCCCAAAAAAACGAAACCATTTTTTTTTATGTGACGTCGTAATAAAGGCAGGCAATGAGTACACCACCATCTTTTCCTAAATAAACATCGGTTAAAATGGTCAGAAATTGCCTCAAATCGCACCACAGAGCATCTCGAATCCAAAATTTTTTCGGGGCCCTTAAGCGGGCCCCGAAGCCCAAGCCGTAATCTTTTGACCCACTTTTTTTTGGGGGGGGACCAACATTTCTTTGCCCCCCCCAATTGTGTTCTGGATCCGCCCTTGCGTGATGATGTGTCACTCATGTGACTATAATTAGTTCTATATCAGTGGTCATTTCATAAAACAGGGCCTTGGCCTTGGCCTTGGCCTTGGCCTTGAGGGTTAAGCCTTGGCCTTGGCCTCGAGGCTTGAGGGTCGAAGCCTTGGCCTTGGCCTTGGCCTTGAGGGTCAAAGCCTTGGCCTTGGCCTTGGCCTTGGCCTTGAGGGTCAAAGCCTTTGCTCCAACACTGGCCGATGTACCAGTACTTGTACATGTATGGAGTTGTTGCAGAAAATCAAATCATAAAGTTGCTGCCATCAGCATTCATGGACAATAGAGAAAGATACGAATTCTGTGAAGCCATTCCAGAAGCAAATTAAGTCAAAAATGAGATGGCAGAAAGTACCGGTACTTTGGGGCACTTTCATTCAACTTACATGTGTAAGACATGTGAGGTGCAATCTTTGACAAATTATGCCCAAGTTAACAATTTCAGTTTGGATGTTTATAAATTAATTGTTACTACTCTAAATCATTGTAATTTGATTTCAAACATTGATATTAGAGTTCAATTAAAAGCAACACCTAACTGAAGCCATCAGTTCTACCGGTAGATATTTTTACCTTAAATGTACATGTAGGCTGGTCGTCCCCCCCCCCCCCCCCCCACCCTTTAGGTAGACCTTTGAACCTACCGGTATTATTATTAAAAGTTGTTGGTGAACATGTAACCAATATATTCAAAAGTTCAAATACTGTGTATTTAAACTTTTAAGGATTGAGGTGGTGGGTTTGAAGTCTATTTCTGTAATAGTCCTGTGTTCGTGAATTATGTGTTTTGGATTGTTTTCGTTTTTCTTTTGTTATCATTAATTAGCAGGCTTCTATCTTTATCTCAATAGTTTCTTGGGTATAATTATTTATGCCAGGTCTGCATATTGTTGATTTCACATTCAGTTACACATTTCAGCAATTTGTTTCACTTGTATAATTAGTGTAAATTCACATTTTGTTCATGCTATAATTGAGTAAACCTTTTGTCCTTCCGTTACCGTCCTTCCGTTACCAAATTACAATCTGCTTAAAACGTTGTAATTATATTACCGAAACACTTAAAGTCAAATGAAAGGCGGTATAGTATAGATAAAGCTTCAGAGATTCCATTTCCTACCTTTAAAATATAATTGCCCCATAAAATTCACAGAGTTTACGCAAAACGCGAGTAAGTTGGAAAACCCTTGTCCGTTTTACCGTCCTTCCGTTACCGACCTCATTAATATTCATAATTCATAAACGGGAGGCATTCATGCCCCCCAAAAGTGTGGGAAATGAAAGTAGCATTCTATAGCAATTCAATTGTGACATTTGTTTGCTGTAACTATGAACAGTGTCTGTGATACACACATTTGAAATTTTGTTTAATGAGTGAAAACGTCCTTCCGTTACCGTGGAATTGCCCAGTACGAACTCTCCGCGTGAAGACGTACACGCACATGCCGTTTGCTGCTGTGGCGGCAGTGTGCTAGGTGTGCATGCACGCACGCGCGTAATCTTCACACGGGGAGCTCGTACTGAAAATGTTTTCAACGAAAGCGAGGAATTGCAGTTTATTTTCGGTAAACACGCCACCCGCGGATATATTTGCTTTTTCTAAACCCAGCAAGGAATATGTATTAGCGAAATTTCAGCTTCCTCCGTCAGGTAAAAATATTTTTTAAAATGTGTTATAATTTTTTTCGCTATGGCAGGAGAGATTCATACCTTGGACTCCGTTGCGTGTACACAACGGAGTCCAACCTGGGCTAAGACCGACCAAACTAAATGTAGTTAAAACATTCTCAATAAACAGGTAGGCCTATGTCATACATGTAGATAGAGGGCAGGGTTTGAGTTTTTTAGGGAACTTTGGGGGTAAAATAACGATGACAGCGCGGCGACAACAGGCAACCCGAAAATAAAGATGGCGAAACACTAGCCCAGGTTGGACGATGTCTTTATTGCATTACGACTGACGTCCAGGGTATAAATTGTACCACCATAACGAAAATTTTTTTTAACACATTTTTTGCATATTTTTACCTGATGAAGGAAGCTGAAATTTCGCTTACATATTCCTTGTGTCCAGAATTGTACCTGCGCTGAGTTTAGGAACGGCAAATATGTCCGCAGGTGGCGTGTTTACCGGCGGCGTGTTTACGCTTTCGTTGAACTCCCTACGAACTCCCCGCGTGAAGACATACACGCACATGTTGCTTGCTGCCGCTTGCTGCCGCTTGCTGCTGTGGCGGCAGCATGCTAGTAGGTGTGCATGCACACGCGCGTGTAATCTTCACACGGGGAGTTTGTACTGAAAATGTTTTCAATGAAAGCGTAGAACTTGCAGTTTATTTTTGGTAAACACGCCGCCTGCGGACATATTTGCCGTTCCTAAACCCAGCGCAGGTACAATTCTGGACACAAGGAATATGTAAGCGAAATTTCAGCTTCCTCCGTCAGGTAAAAATATAGCTCTACTGAGTGGAGCGTTGAACTACGGTACCCTCCGTACAAACGTTCTACCGATTTGGCATACTTTGGTGACATGTACACGGTATGCATTTTTGTGCATGCCCTCGCGAGGACAAAAGGCCCCAAAAAACTGGTAAAGTAGAATACAAATGAGAAAGACAGTAACCCTGGCTAGATCCACACATTCATGACATTCCATAAGACCTCTTAAATTGTTCCAAACAACCGGTAATTTTGAAAAAAGAACAAAATAGTCTGAACTTACCGCTCACAATTAAATGTGTCTGCCGAGTTGCACAGTCCATTTCACTGACATGACTGATACATAATTCATCGCGCGCGTGTGTGACATCACTATTGAAGAAAAACCAGTTGCGCTTACTCAACGACTGTTGCATGTAGTCATATGTGCCCCGCGCCGTCTGACAGTGTGGGTTTTTGGCGCGGGACACATATCAGTACATGAAACAGTCATTAATTATGCGCGACTTGTTTTCTAAGTTCAGACTATTTTGTTCTTTTTTCTAAATTACCGGTTGTTTGGAACAATTTAAGGGGTCTTATGGAATGTCATGAATGTGTGGATCTATCCAGGGTTACTTTCTTTCTCATTTGTATTCTCTTTACCAGTTTTTTGGGGGGCCTTTTGTCCTCGCGAGTGCATGCCCAAAAATGCATACCGTGTACATGTCACCAAAGTATGCCAAATCGGTAGAGCGTTTGTATGGAGGGTACCGCGTAGTTCAACGCTCCACTCAGTAGAGCTAGTAAAAGTATGCAAAAAATGCGGGGTTATTTTCGCTATGGGCAGGAGAGATTCATACCCTGGACTCCGTTGCGTTTTCACAATGGAGTCATACCTGGGCTAGCGAAACACAGCGCAATGTAGGGCCTACTGTGACTGTGAGCACGCACGGTGCGCTGGATCGCGAGGCATAAGCCGCGCAGGAAAATCGTGATTTCTACCCCAAGAAACTGTTCAAAATTGCAAAACGGGTGTCATTAAGATTGAGAAAAGTCTGCTTTTGATTGTAAAGGGTGATTTTTGAGCAATAAAAAACATGTTTGACTATAATTTAATCAAAACAAAACAGGCACTGGGGCCCAACACTACACGATTGCCAAGAATTGAAGAAACCCTTCCCCGTTCCTAGCTTGAGTAACTCCAGCTGACATGCTCATATCCATTCACATGTAGCACTGGAGGAATAACCTGTTCGTTAGAATGTGGTAGCAAGAGACCCTAAAAAAATGGCCTCTCAAAAATTGTTCATTTTCACCTCTAATATCCCAACCCAGAGTTCACCCACATACCTCATACATTCAGCAGTCATTTACGAAGCCTAATGATCGACTTGAAACAGACCACACACAAAAAAATGTGAAAAATCTTGACGATTTCGGTGGCTTGTCCGTAAAAAAATGCCAGTTCCAACGGCTGTCGTCCATTTCAATTTGCTAATTATGTAAATGTATGCATCATGTGATGACATCGAAAAAAATCTGCGCGCGCAATGTATGTGGGTACCACACCGCTTTCAGGCGCCGCAAGTGAGTTCAATTTTCGTCTGGTGCGTACCATGCGTTGTCGTGGAGAGCATTCTCGTTGTCTTGCTTTCCGTGACAACGCACCAGACGAAAATTGAACTCACTTGTGGCGCCTGAAAGCGGTGTGGTACCCACATACATCGCGCGCGCAGATTTTTTTCGAGGTCATCACGTGATGCATGCATTTACACAATTAGCAAATTCAAATGGGTACAACTATAGAATGCAGGGCCACTTTACTCTACATCCGCGCCTCTGTACGGCTGCGTGGAGGCGTGGAGCCGCAGTCGACCTACCTCCGAAAATCGATCGTGGAGTCGTGGAGCCGCAGTCGATATCTCCGAGAATTGCGCCCTCTATCGGTGCGCGTCTCTGCGACTCCACGACTCCGCGCCTCCGCCACTCCAGACAGTGCCCCGTCGCCCTCCTCCCTTCCTAATTTGCGACCTCATTTAAAATGGACTCTGCGACTCCCCGACTCCGCGCCTCCGCCACTCCAGACAGTGCCCCGTCGCCCTCCTCCCTTCCTAATTTGCGAGCCCATTTAAAATGGATACAGATGCTTCGTTCTCAAAAAAATTCCGCCGAGAATTGCGCCCTCTATCGGCGCGAGTCTCTGCGACTCCGCGACTCCGCCACTCCAGTGCCCCGCGTCTCCGCGACTCCACGACTCTGCGCCTCCGCCACTCCGCGACTCCGATCCGTACCGTGCCCCCAACACATTTACAAGCACGCCCTCCCTTCCGATCCTTCATGAGAAGCTTAGAAGACAAGTGCATTCGCTGTACTTAGCACTTTTTGCAGGTTTGCATATCTATTACTCCTATCCATCCACGCCTCCAAGCAAAATAAAAAACCTTGCTCCGGCGTGGCCCTGCATTCTATAGTTGCTCCTTAAAATGGACGACAGCCATTGGAACTGGCGTTTTTTTTACGGACAAGCCACCAAAATCGTCAAGATTTTTCACATTTTTTTTTGTGGTCTGTTTCAAGTCGATCATTAGGCTTCATAAATGACTGATGAATGTATGAGGTATGTAAATGAAATCTGGGGTGGGATATTAGAGGTGAAAATGGACAATTTTTGAGAGGCCATTTTTTTAGGGTCTCTTGCTACCACATTCTAACGAACAGGTTATTCCTCCAGCGCTACATACATGTGAATGAATATGCATGAGCATGTCAGCTGGAGTTACTCAAGCTAGCCTACCCCGTTCCTAGCTGGAGTTACCCAGCCCTGAGTTTTATCATCGGGTTGTCATCTAGGGCTGGAGCGAGTTTTTCTCGTAACTTGTAGTATAGGCAAAAAAATTTGGAAAATGTTCAATTTTGTCCCCGTTACACACTAATTGCAACTGCAACTCACCCCAAACTTGCCTGGAATAACCATTACACAGGTCCTTGAAGTAAAAAACGATCCACGATGAAGATTCAGCCTACAATTGCAGTGAAAACAGGAGGAATAACCGCTAACCTGACAACCTTGCTGGCATGGCCAGGACCGCAATTGGTTTGTGCACACAAAAAATTGTGTACAATGAATGGCGGTCGATTAACAGGCACAGAGAGCGATCGCTGTCAACTACTCGTTTTTGCCGGCTGCGCTGGCTGTTGGCGCATGACGTCACGCGGAAGCGTAACACCCGATGACTGTTTCATGCACTATTGGTTGCGGTTCCAGTACCAAAGCTGTGATGCGAGTGGTAAACCTTATATTAGTGCATGAAACAGTCATCAGGTGTTACGCTTCCGCGTGACGTCATGCGCCAACAGCCAGCGCAGCCGGCAAAAACGAGTAGTTGACAGCGATCGCTCTCTGTGCCTGTTAATCGGCCGCCATTCATATGCATTGTACACAATTTTTTTGGGCACAAACCAATTGCGGTCCTGGCCATGCCAGCAAGGTTGTCAGGTTAGCGGTTATTCCTCCTGTTTTCACTGCAATTGTAGGCTGAATCTTCATCGTGGATCGTTTTTTACTTCAAGGACCTGTGTAATGGTTATTCCAGGCAAGTTTGGGGTGAGTTGCAGTTGCAATTAGTGTGTAACGGGGACAAAATTGAACATTTTCCAAAAAATTTTGCCTATACTACAAGTTACGAGAAAAACTCGCTCCAGCCCTAGATGACAACCCAATGATAAAACTCAGGGCTGGGTAACTCCAGCTACCCCGTTCCCGTTTATTATTTTTTCGTCAGTTAGCCTAATTGAGTCGATTTTTGAGACGAATGAAAACGAATTCAATTCCTACTCACCCTTTTCTTTGAACACAAAGATACACATGAAAATGCGTTTGCTGTTCACCTCTTTTATCACGTCATTGTTCAAAAGATGTTCCATAAACTGTGTTTCGACATTCGATTACACACACAAACCGGGTGGAGTCGCTTCTGCTGCGATTAGTCAGATCATAGTCGGGATGACAAGTTTCCTTTTACGCTCAAAAGGCTACAAAGCAGTCAGGATCCGTGACTTACAACTTCCAAATCAACGAGTGGAGTGCGCCCTCTTGTGAATGGGGACATGGAAGCGAAGAGTGCAGTGGCCGCCCGCCGGCGATCGCGAAGGGTTTTGGAGGTGCAGGGCTGAGCGGGGGAGTGAAGAGCGTTAATGTCCAAACTTTGGCTAATCGGCGCGGGCGGGCGTGCGGGCTGCAGGCGCCAGGCGCCAGGCTTTTACTTTATGTCCCGAGGCGATTTTCTTTTGCAAAAAAATGAGTTCGGTTTCCGCCTTCAGATGTGTCCATTTCATGCATATCTCCTAGTTGCCTAGTTCTTGACAACTAAACACAAAACCAGTATACGTATATTTGCATAAAGAGCAATTTGTCTATATCCCTGGGGGTGGTGGTAATTAATTCCCCAGTTCTATAACACAATTATTGGATCTTCACTCATCTCTCCCCCCCCCCCCCCGACCAACACCTCTGCCGTTTCTTTGCAGCTATATATTTCCAATGAGAAGGCACAAGTAACACAATCCTGTTAAGCTTTGGCAACATTAACTGGAAGTGATAGTCATGCTGTATTCAACTGTAATAACAACACAAGGGGTGGATCAATGTAGCTGTGTTTTTCTGCATGCATTTTCTCATTTTTGTGTTACCCAATTAAAAAAGGATATATATACTCGCTTAACCCCCCCCCCCCCCCATATTTGTGTGGCAGCCATCTTCAATGTTATTTGAGAAACAATTGTGAACCAAATGCAATTTCTATACTGCAGAACAAAATAAAGCTGCTGAGGATTCATCACCAAAAATAACCACACCACAAAGATGCTATCACTAATCACACAAACAACTGTTAACTTTTGGTTGGTTTTATTCTTCAGTTCTTCTCATAGATTTTTTGCAAAATCACTTGGGCCTTACAGCCAAAAAGTGCACAAATAAATCATTAAACTGTAAATTATGTACAGAATGAATTGCACATTGCCGCCAAAATAAAGCCTTGGCGTATTCTTTTCATATTGAACATATCTACATTTTCTAGATGGCTAATTCACATCACACCATAAAAGGGCATATTCTTTTGGGCGTGTACTTTACACTCATATTTATCAAAAATATATAAAACATTTCCAAAAACAGCTTGAATTTTTTTTACATATATTTTGGTTTCAACAAAGGAAGACATTTCCCCATATTCAAAATGGAAGTTTAACAAATCACGATTAAACTGGAAAAGACTGCCATTTTTGTGATATTCAGGAAATGTCAACTAATTCCCTTTTCAACAGTGAATTAACCACCTATGTTTTGTAAAACACTGAGACACTTTTTGCTTTATTTTCACTTCAACCCTTCATACAAACATATACAATCAATCGATAAAACCACCATGTTCATAAAACATTGTGTATTACTATACCTCATTCATTCATTGTGTATTACTATTACTATTTATCAGGCAACCGCGGCATTTCATTGGTCCATTCCAGCAACTCAACCGTGTGAAAGTTTTTACTATCACCCCGCGTCTTCATACGCACACGTGACGCGCAAAACCAGGGAGGTACTATCACACACCTGGGTTGCAACAGTTAGGTTTGTTCCAGTACTGTGTTATCTCTTTACCAACGACGCATGTGCTTTACGTGCGTACCATGGAGAACACCAGTGAGGACAGTTGCATATGCCAGTCTATTACGGCATACATCAAAATGGCGACCGGTGGTGCTCGCTTTGCAATTTTAACCGAGGAGGAACTGGGTGAAATTTTACGCAATAATAATAAATGCAGTGTTTTGCTTGAATGTTAAAGTTATTAAATGACACAAAATTAACTTTCAATTCTGTCTGTCTCCTTAAATTAAAATAATGTTTCACTTTATCCAAATGCTGGACGATCAAAAACATGGTGGAATGGACGAATGAAATACCGCAGCTGCCTGATGAATATTTATAAGGTATAGTAAAACAAATATAACGTTTTTTGCGGGGAAATAGTGAAAACAAATGAGCCCTCGGTGTTGGATGATTGGGACTATCTCCCGAGGCGAACCAATCATCCAACACCTCGGGGTCATTAGTTGACACTATTTTTCGACAAACTATATGTTGTATCTGTATACTATGCCATGGAAATCTCATGTGGACCTGAGGCAATAAGCCATTTCGGAGTTACAAAAATGTACTACTGCACATGCGCACATCAGACTCAACGATTAAGTGTCGGAAGATAAGCAAAGCAGATAAATGCACACAAGTCTATGGGGGACGTGGTAACCAAATCCACATTTTGCAAGTTTGTTCTAGTAAAACAGAAGATGGATATTTTTGTTCGCACAAAAGTTGGAGCATACAAAACATCTTAAACCATGGTGCCGTTGAAAACAATCATTGAATCAACATTTTGCATCTACTTAAAAAAAAAGAACTTTTCTTTGATTTCGTTGGTACCCCGCTATGATTTTGCACGCGTGTGGCGAACTGTTTATCCCCCGACCCTAATCGTTGTCATAGGATGTGCGCATACGTAGTAGTACAATTTTGTAAATCCGAAATGGCTTATTGTATGAAGCTGGTGCTGAGGGTTGAAGAAAGATTACCAGGCAAAATGTCATGTCATGTCAACTGCTTGCACCAGCATGGTTCTCAACAGCTGTGTTGCTAAGTGTATCAACTCACTGAGCCTATTTTCCTGCTCAGCACCTCCATACAAATTTAAATCGGACCCAAAAGGATATTTGTATGCGAGGTCAGCTGAAAAGCCCTTTCTTAATTTGAGGCACTTTTGATGAATATGGTGCCGGTCTGGTTGTTTGCGCAGACAGTGATAACGGATAAAAGCAAGTAGAATCGTATGCTTTTGTGTATTTTGTTTGTTTGGAGAAACAAAATTGCTCAAACTTTGAAGTAGGTGCATAACAACTAACCTGTGAAATTTGAGCTCACTGGCTACTATACATTTTGTGAAAACGGAGAAAACATATGCAAATTGTTTTGGGTCTCTCAACTGGGCACACTTTTTTAACCACCTTCAACGATTGTTTCCGAATGATACAATTTCAGGCAGAATAATTTCACAGGTATTTGGTACCATCACTACCTTCACTTTGAGCAAGAATTTTCTCATTAACCTAACCCCCTAGGCCTGTTTCACTAGGAACCATCCTCAATCCTGCAAAATCCTCCAATTGCCACCTTGTAAAAATTGGTTTCAGCCTCAATCCTCCAAAATCATCCGTTATTTCTTGATTTTGTTCATTTGAGGGGTGACCAATGCCTCAATCCTGCAAAATCCTCCAACAACCACTGTTAATGCCGATGACACTCAGAAGCAGTGCGGGTGATATCGAGCATAATGCAAGGCTCAATTATGCAGGACTGAACATAAACAATGCTGGGTACAGCCTACGAACTCGACATAATGCATGCTCCAAAATCAACCACCACTTTTTGCCATTCAAACTCACTCCTCCAAAATCCTCCAAAACTGCCTGGAGGATTTTGGAGGATTGAGGGTCAGGGTTAAATCGGTAGGTTGGTTTCCAGGTAATTACCAATGTTCCTACATGCCTTCAATGCACAATCTAATGCTGCAAATGAGAGAGAAAGTGTCCATTACTTGTGTGCACATCCATTAGCCATTAGCCACACAGTCACCTTCACACAACACTTTATGGTAGAAATGATGCCCTGATCACCAGACTCGCATGTACAAGTTATCACCACTGATTCACATGTACAAGTAAAGTTCATTGAACTATGGACAAATATAGTGCCTGCTTGAACTGCTTGAACTTGCTCAAGGGACACCATTTTTGAAGAGCCATCTTGGGAATGGTAAGGATTAAAGAGATGCGACATATTTAATGTGTGGCAAAAATTATTGAAAGTATCAGAAAAGGGCATTGTGGAGTTGGCCTATAAAATACAGGAACAGTTGTGGGAAACAATACACACATTAGATATCCAGTCTGCAGGCCTCATAAACATCCACTAAACTTTTAAGAAGTGTAGACCAAATGAATACAATAAGTTGTATGTTGCTCTGTGCTAATCCAGTGTCATAATTAAGGCTACTAAATTACACGAATGAGTAACATGAAGCTAACGGAGAACAGCGGACTAGAGAAAGCATTTCTTTCTTTTCCAGTTGTCTCTTTAGACAACTGGAAAATCTTCCACCCCTATGAAAACTGAACATTCTCAAAATTATAACATCCTTTTGTCCCCCCCCCCCCACTCACAACAACCAATTTTGCATGTGGGACATCTGACCACCACCACCAACTAAATTTGTCACTGTGAAGGTTTCATTCTGTCAACCCACATACTGCCTGTTGCCTGGTACAACACTTTCCCAAAGACTCTCTCCCAACCTTTAATAACATTTGTCAATTATAAAATTGGCATCAGATCATAGCCATAGAATTGTTTGTTATTCAGCAGAACAAGCCAAGGGACATCAGATGGCGGTCACACATAAATATCATGCCACATTTAATAACAGCTGCCACTTTAAATTAGTCCTCCCAATATACAATACAAGTCTACCTTGTCCAAATCCTGCATTACTTAGCACCTCGGTTCAAGGGTTGAGGTTCCAGACCACCCATATATTTATTAAACGAACAAAATAATCCCATAAAGCTTTGTGCTACCTCGGTGCTGCGGATGCCACAACGTGATTTCTGTTCATTTTCTTCTTAGATGGGGCTGAGGTTACAGCGGTGGCAGCAGCAGCAGTGCCGTGGTTCATCTCATACTTGACAATGGATTGCTGAAATGTCTCCAGCAGCTCGATAAGCCGTCGACGCTTGAAGCGACCAGCCTCACGGATGATGCTGTTGACAAAGAGGTACTTGGTGTCCAGGTCACCCTGGATGGCATTGAGGTGGACGAAAAGCCGGGAAAAATCTGATAGAAAAAAAAAACAAAGATGATGTTCAAAGCTTATGTATTTGTGAAATTGATCAAAAAACCTATCTGGTATTATATGATTAATAAATACTCAGTCCCAATAAGCCACTTGCGTGTTAAATTTGAATAAAATCTGGAACGCTGACTTAATATAATGCTTTGCACGTTTTAACCTAGCATTCTCCCGACCAAAGAGACTGTTACTGTATCACGTGATTCGGGGCAAGCCTTATGCTAGCAACCCCCAGCTCCGGCATGGTCTGGTGTCTTTGTGCCATTCTCACCCATTGTGAACGATGTATTGGTGCTGAGCGTCTCTTACGTAACTATGCAAGAGCTTGCCCCAAATCATGTGATTAGCAACAGTGTCTTTGGTCTGGAGAATTCACAGTTAAAATGTGCCAAGCATTCTGAGCAAGTCATTGTACCAGACGTTTTTCAAATGTAAATCCCAAAGGGTATAGGTTACACGCAAATGGCTTATTAGAAACGTAACTTGTGATATGTTAATCAATTTCATGATAAAATACGAAAAATATGATTAGCATGATTTCTCTACCCTAAGCCACTGGGCATGATTGTTGGGAATAATTTGAATTCTCCAAAATCTTCCACTTGGTGCAAAATCCAATGGCACTACCATTGTAAACCTTGGACAGTTATCATACCCCAATTTCAATTACAAGTTTGTGGGCTCTCCTTTCCTCTACTGGGTCATTACAAAGTGATACAAACTAATGTCTGGCTTTTCCTTACCTTTTCCAGGTTTTCTCACTTCTTTTACGATGGCCTGTTTTAACTTTGAATTAATTTCTGCAACATTTTCCTCGCTGTTCGACCTTTTCACTGTCCGAATGTCAGTCAGCGAGACATGTTGGCCAATCGGCATCCCTGTTCTATTGGCCGAACCCAACCTAGCCAGAAGCTCCCTCTCGACTGGCTGAATAGTTCTCTCCACCTCCACATGATTGGTCAGTTCTGATTCTGGCAGGGGGTGCTGCTCAAACTCCACGTCCTTGGCATTGTTTTGACTCGCAGGTTCAGTGGCAATGTTCATTGGCAGGTTGATAGAGTTCTCTTGAATGACAGGTTCTGATGATGGTTTTGTTTCAACTGCTGGCATCAGTGATCCTGCAAGAATTCAAATTGATTAAAGGTCTCATCCAAATTGCTAATGTCTACAACAGGAAAACCTTTGAACCAGTTTTCCATTCACAGAACTGTTGATTATTTTAAATCATACAGCAAACCTACATTAATGCTTAAGTTACCAATATTTGAAGGGAGTGTCTAAAAACTACTACACACTACATCATTCTGTGTTCCACTGGAGCTTGTGGGATAACTAATAGAACCCAGCATCATGAATTATAGCCAAACCAGTGAAAGCAACAAGCATGAAAACTGCGGCTGTGAACTATGAACAGTCTGCTGTCTGACCGTCCTCACAATAACCATCAGAAATCACTCGGAATCACTCACAGCCAAACGTGCCAACTGGGTCAGTCTTCACCATTGCTAATGGCATCCCTTATTTTGAGTCCCTTATTTTGAGAGACATGGCCAAGTCACCAGTTTATCTTGGCAATGTTACTGATGCAACAATCACAGCTTTCATTTTCATGGCTAGGCTGCACAGTTATTTTTTACAACTGAAATGGCACTACTCACTGAACCTTGTGTTTATCTGAACACCTGAACACCACCACAAAAAGTATCCAAGTTTAAAATTGAAAAGATGAAGTGTCAGTGGTTCTATGAATTAAAACTGTTTCCTTACAAACATTTATGCAAGAAATGTACCCTGCTACCATGCCTGTTAAGTGCCGTCTCAAAATAGGCTTTCTTTGTTCTTGAAAGAGTGCCCTCTGTGATATTAAATCATTGGCACTCAAGTGAAGCCTACCTGATGCTGCTGCATTTGAAACTGCCTTCTGTTTTGACTGTATCAGCTGTGCCAAGGGTTTCTTCAAGATGATTCCTCCCTGTACCCCAGGGGAGGTTGGCCTGCGACTAGGGGGTGCAGTGGCTGGACTCCTTGCTCGCTTGGCAGCTGGTGAGCCTGGCGGTGAGTCACTGCTCAGTCTTCGACGCTGCTGCTGTTGCTGTGGTCCTGTCATGGCCTCGTTTACATCTGCCTCATCCACCATGAACTTTTGCTGCCAACGGAAAAAGTTTTAACACCTCAACAAGTAGGCCAGTTTATTGAAGCAAATTCAACATCTCTACACATTAAGAATGATATATGCTGGAATTGTATCAATTTTGGAGCACGACTTTTTACCATGACATACAAACTTTGCATTCACATTTGGGCCGAGTATGAACCAACTGTCACTTAAACACACACGGGGTCCATGTACACTCAGATGGAAAATGGTCGAGTGTACTCAATGCACACATTGTGTTGTCCTTCACACAAGGCTGTCATCTAGTGAGCAGGCCATCACAATGCCACCTTCTCTTCCTGTTAAACTCACCTTGTCCTTATCTGAGGCCAGCTTGAAGGGGTTACCGAAGGTGTGGAGCCGGGCGGGGGCAGGGTCAGCCTCTCGGAGTGGGCTGGGCATTCGCTTCAGGTACTCCTGGTAGTTACCCATCTCTGCCATGGGAATACTGTGCACAGTGTCTGTTACAGGAACCAAGTAAGATAAACTGAAAACATATATATATAACATTACACAACAACCCGCATTTTGTGCAAATATCCATATCTGGACTGTATCAAAAAAATGGGCACCTTAATGGGTTGTACTTTATATGCATTTTTTAAAAACATTTTAGGAAGTCTATGTTATTTGCCGACACCCGAGGCCACCGTTGCAAAAAAGCCATTTCAGGAACTCTATTACTGTTTAAGCATTTTCTAAACACATTGTGAATTTGAGATGTAACACAGTGTAGCAGTGCATAAATGCAGAGTAGCATGCTCTAATTAACAAAATCAAGACAGAAACAAGAAGTTAGGGAAGCCTAGTAAAGCTAGTCCCACACCAGTCTTAGTCACAAGTGACAGTCATGAAGTAAGATAGGCCAGTGTAAGTCACACTGATAGTGAGTCAGTCAATCAGACACACAGCTACAAGGACACAATACTAGCCCTCTGGGACCAGTAAAAGGCAGAGAATTGACCTCAATAAAACAACCAGTAAGGCAGATTGTTGTGCTTAAGAAAGAAGCCTCTTTCTAAGATAATATCACCATCTCACTCCTTAACATGAATCTCTGCATCAGCATTTAAATTGGCAATACAAAGACTAGATATCAAAATTAATTGGCTATCAAGGTCTATTTTTCATTTTTTATTACACGGGCCCTTCCACTCTCCCTCTAACGACGTTGCAATCAAGTTATCACAAGTCATCATTAATCAACCACAAGTCATGCAGTCTCACATCAAGTGACTAACTAGGAATGTGACAAGGCATTCCTTTCTAAAGCCGGCCTCAGGTTGATCTTGCGACGACACAGATCAGTCGGCGACTGACTTTTCAGCCGATTTATTGCAACCTGAGTGTAACTGCGACGATATTAAGACTATTGGAATTAGTCGGTGCTCAAAAAATCAACAGTCGCAAGAGTAGACATCGCGACGTCCTCACGCGTCCTGCACGCATCAAGATCATCCTTTTTCATTGTGTAGCCAATCAGCACACTACACCGGTGCTCCATGTTCTGCGCAACATCACGCAGTACACACCAGGCGCGCGTCAATCACCCTATAAGGAGATTGTTTAACACTTGTGAGAGGATATTCCATATCATAGCTAGAGGAGTGTTTAAAAAACAATGAAGTAAAACTATCCAACAAAATCGTTGGAAGTGTATAATTTTTGACTTGTGTCGACTTTTTGACTCAAAGGTATTTGTGAATGGGAATACAAGTACATTTAAGACCGCATCAGGGGAATGGGCGCTGATAATGGTTTGAGCCGTACCGGCCAAGCACATAATTATTTCCTTATTTTTAAAGCAGTCATGTGATTGTCTTTGCTGTTGAATCATGGTGGATCGTCGCGTCATGGGTGACATGAGCATGGTTGTGATTATTTTGCGACTGGATGTCGTTTGTTTCAAGAGAATCACACGATTTCTCAGTTTTGTGACCTGAGCATTACTTTTCTGCTTGATGCTGACGGTTCCGTCATGGCGCAAGCAAATCGCAGGTTGACCTGAGGCCTGCTTAATTGTTCATCCACGTTATTTGTGACCTGACTTGTTGACCCGTCAAGTGACTTGTGGTCATTTGTTATAGTGTGTAATAATCTGCCATGTGTGATGTGACCTGTGATGTAACAGAATTTGACTTGTGAATGACCTCAAACTTACCTTCGTTCATAAATCTGGCTGACTTGGACAGGGCCAGCTGCAGGAAATTTGTACGCATACGAACTAGCTGGTCCAGGAGCTCCTTACGAGGGATGTCAAAGGGGTTGCGGTAGGTGCGGGGGCGTATGCTGCGGTCTTTAACATGCAGCGTGTAGCCTGGGAACTCAGTGATGTTGCTGTCAGGCCTCATACTGACTGTCTCTCCTGTGATAGCCTGCAGTAGCTGTTGAAAGTCCTTGCGGGCAGCTAGTGAAGGCATCTGGGACCTGTAGTAGACAAGCCACGTACAACGTTATGGTGTTAATACATATACTAAGAGTATTAAGCCATCATTTCCTTTACTGCAACAAACCATCATACCTGTTACTTTCTACACCACTCCAAACTGCAACCAGCACTGTACACTTTTATGGGTGTTACTGTTACATGTAACACTCAGCAACACTCTTTTTAAACAACTTTTGCTCCATGAAAGAGATCTAAGTAAAATGGCTGCACAATACTACTTTCAGATATCACATAATACTATCATCACTGTTAGTGAGGTTCTAAAATAAGATTCATCTAAAACTTTACCATTGTGTTCTAGTTTATAGCTTCTCTTCGATCATTATATTTCCATTTGAAGTACCATGGGGCTTTTTTATGCAAACACTATTTTCACTATGCAGTACCTCAATGAAAGGATATAGCAGCAACCTATACCTTGGTGTAACTTTGACACCGACGTCACTGAGTTTCTGCTTCTTGGCAATCATGGCAGCCATGCGGTCAGCCTCCACCTTGGACTGCTGCTTGAGACGCTTGAGGTAGGTGACCACAGTGTAGCTCAGGCAGTTCTCCATGCCATCAGGGATGACGTTGGGGGCACCCATCCGTCGCAGGGCTATCTTCAGGGGCTACCAGCAGAAGCAAAGAAGAGTTTTGTAGGAGTATTTTGCAATGTTCTTTTTCGACCCCGTTATTTTTTTTATCAATGCTTTAGAATTGAAAGAGACATAATAAGGCTATTAATGAGCATCTGTAAAGTGTCATTACTTGTTCAAAACAATTATTAGAGTAATGAGTCTTAGCATTGAGCTTTGTGTTTAATTTTGTAAACGTTTAGCACATCTATTAATGTTAAGCCACTTTAGAAATGCTGCCGCCTGCCCCAGTATACATGTACGTTTGAACTCGAGCATGTTAGAATAAATTAATATGTCTGCACAACAAACTTGGCCAAACTGTTTGTGCAATGTCTCATCAAAAAGATCATTATTGGTGTAATATCAGATTAAAGGCTTTGCATGGTGAAGTAACAGTATCAGTGATTATCTTCAAGCAAAACTTGAATCCTAGATCCTAACAGGTATATCCATGGCACCAAGAGCGTGGCATTATCCCCTATTGCACTATAGATCTATATTGCATGGTGTGTATCACAAGCTATTCTAAGATGTGCACTTATTTCCTGCTGCATGCATGTGCAATGATACAACCACTGCAATTCAACCATAGCATACATGTTCCATCTTTACAGATGCGTCAAGTTTGCTTGAAGATAAAGTTGTCCTCTCACTAACACTCCTGGTCTGTGTTCCACATGACATCAGCCCTCAGCCTTGTGGAATATGGAACACAGATGCACTGCTTCATTTGTGTGATACTTGCGCTTGTGAGATAACTATATACTTGCAGAAGCACTGTGTCTTAATTTTACATTGATACTTGCAAAAATGCGCGCTATAAATCGTGTTATTACTACTATTACTGTAATAGGGCGACAGGTTTTGCAAACTCCGTCCACAATAGGGCGATACACCTTATTGAGGCGACAAAATGACTGTCGCCCTTTTATGAAAACGACCCTTAGGACAAGGAATTTTGCTGTCGCTAACCATCTAGATCGATTCCTCATGGTCCAATTAGTATAAATACTAAATTTCGTGGAAAAAAACATAAGGTAAACTTGGGTTAGGTGACAGTTAAGGTTTGTGCACAAGTCTATGGGAAAGTCACCCTACTGGGGCGAAAAGAGTAATTCTTATTATTATTATTATTATTATTACTAAGATATGGTGTTTTTCACATGAAAAAATAGGTCTTCTCAAGGTTTGACTACTGTGCTCAAGCACTTAAATTTTTGAAGGCGCCAAAGCCTAAATTATTCATACTATTGGTACAAATTCCACAACTCAAACAAAAAATCCAATGAACCTCACCCCCGCATAGTAGCTTGGCACCTCACGCAGGTATGTCTCAAAGGCTTGCCGCCACACAAGGGTGGGCTTCAGCCGATGGACCTTGAAGAGATCATCTAGGAGCGGCAGCAGTACTGGGTAATTGTAGGGCATAATGAACAGGTTGACTGCAGTCAGATTGGAGCTGGCTTTGAGGTAGCCAAAGGGATGACCAAGCTCCGAGTTACGACCGCTGTTGGAGACGAAGACCTGTGGCAGGGTGGAAGGAACGAGGGTTGCACAAGGAACAGACAAGGCCCATCTTACCTACGTTTCATTGCTTGGTTGAAAGTAAGCTAAAAATCTCAGCTGACAACAAACCATCCAATAGGCAACAGACTAAAGGCACCACCACTGTACAAAGCAAAATTTGCACATCATTTGTGCTATCACTTAAAAATCAATAAAACATGGAACGACACAAAAACTGACTCCAAGACCAACATAAATTTATTGCAACTGCTGTGTGCATGTACATTCTCCATTGGTAGATTGTGAATGGTACATAATTATTGAACTGAAGTGCATTTTACAAGTCCACCTGCTTTCCTCATCCTTTCACATTTAGAAAGCAAACGTTCACAAAACCAGAGTTGTGCACTTACATGTACTTTATATAGGATGTATTAAACAGCGTTGTGTGCCCAATCAAGAGCCAATCAGATCTTGTCTGATGGTAAGCTGCTCATTCTTATTAACATAACCACAAAACCTGGAAGTTACATCAAAATCAAAGCTGTAGTCCTTCGGAGCATGGGCTGTGACTCCAAGGGGCAGTACACAGCGTTGTATTCAAAGCTATCTTCAGAATAGCATTACAAGGGCCAATACACATGCAGAAAAGTAGCTTTGCACTTTGTTTACCTGCCAGCAAACGTTTGGGTTTCTCCTCTCCAGTATGTACTGGGTCAAAGGTGATGGTTCCAGCTCGTATTTGTCAAAGGGAAGGTTGTCCAGTAGCATCGGCTCACAGTTTGTGCACATGAATTTCACAGCAGGCTGAGCGTCCCGTGGTTGCTGTGTTGGAATATTTTTGTTACTAATTAAAAGATTTTTAAAAGATAATGTCATACATTTAAGCATGCAATAAATTAAATATCACAAGAGCTGTGAAAGAAGATTATCTAAATATCCTTTGCCATCACTGGCAAATGTCACTACTCTCAAACATACATGTACCATGTGCAGCACCAATTTGAGAGTCAAATTTCCATCACTGGCATTTAATCTATGCTGAACAGCGAAACAGAAGATTAATTTAGACTCTGATAAATTATTTGTAAACTACATGTGCTTTTGCCTAGAATGAATGCGTCTTCATGCACATGGTGATCATAACCCAAGATATGCAATCCTAGGCAGGGTTCCCACAGAAATATTACGAAATTCCATGACTTTTCCAGGACAAAATTAGGGCTTTTCATGAGCACATACTGTGCTGTTTTGGCATCTTAGAAGCCTATTTACAATACACTGGCCAGTCATCACACCGAGGCAAGTTTCCATGACTCTTCGTAAAATAACAAGATGCCATGACTCTAAGTGACTTTCCATGATAGTTATACATGCCAGGATTTTCCAGGACTGTGGGAACCTGCCCCTTGTGGTTATGACCAGTGTGTTTTGAAATCTCTAAATTGTGGACTGGGATGATTCTGATGTAAGTGATGAAAATACTAATAGTCCATGTGGCAAAAATTACTTATAACAGTTTTTGCAAAAACGTTTCAAACAATTAAGCTAGCTTTTGGAAATGCAAGTGGCGAACTGAAAAACCCTTACACAAAGAACTATGCATATTTTGTATCTAGGTTACATTTTGTAACAGAGTCCATCACAAGTCCATTCACAAGTAAATCCTAAATTAACTCACAAGTCTAGTGACAAGTAACAGGGGATGAACAAAACCAAGAAATGTTTTCTTTTACATTCGTTTGAATAGTTTTAGACTGGACATGGGGCAGGATGATTTCTGATATAACTGACGTGTGATGAACTAGATGAGTTGTGATGGTCTCAACTATAACACTACTCATTAAAAAAGTGACCCAAAAAACACTCACAAGGGTTGGAGCATTGACATCAGGCCAGAAGGATTCTGGAATAGGCCAGTGGCCTAGGGGCAGTCCTGTCTTGGGATTTGGACGGACATAGATCAACTTGCGACAGTTGTGCCATGAGTTGTCAGGAACCGGGGATGCCGTGTTGAGGCGGGCGTTGTTGTTGATATTCGGCACTGCTAGGTTTGACGAGATAGTGCCGTTCTGAGCCTGGGATTTACCATCGTTTGATTCTGGAAAATTAAATTTAAAAAGGATGGTTAAACCCTCTTTTTTCAACACTATACTTGAATGAAAATCTTACAGCTGTTAAGAGCCACTTTGGGACGCTGGCAAAAGGCTAGCAGAAAAGTTGTACAGGTACTAACGACAGACAATTCACAGTCTGGATGTATATATTCTTGATGTCAAATAGAGATTTCTACTGTTGCATCAATATGATAAGGAAATTCTGTGTCTACAGGTTGCATGCTCTTTGATATTTAATAATAGGTTCAGGCAGATCTTGTGTGTGCAGTACAGCATCTTGTATAATGACAGACTGTGTTGTCCCCGGTTTGTCATGTTTGTGCCAGTGTTGTAGTCGAGACCGGATAGTCCGAGACCGAGACCAAGACCGAGACCTGAAGATTCGAGACCGAGACCGAGACCGAGACCAGCCCCTTCAAGGCGGACCGAGACCGAGACCAATATGGTCCGAGACCGAGACCAAGACCGAGACCGCTGATAATAAATAACAATAGTCGAAATAAAAACACAAGACACGTTATTATAGTTGAAACCTGTAACCTTTCTATTCACAAAGATTACAGACCAAAATTTTGACCAGTGGCAGTGTTGACAAATTGATACATGACACCTTACTTGAGCAAAAAGTAGTTATACTTAAGAAATATGGGCTGCACCCAGTCGTGACAAAAGTAAAAGTTAAAGGTAGATGTTTCATCTGTTATAGGAACTCGGATCCTAAACTCAACAGTCACCCCTTGGTTTCAGCTATGACTTCTAACGGATATTTAAAGATGCAATTTTAATTTTACATTGTGCCTCTTTTTTCCTAAAATAAATATAGGACTTAACTTCTAACAAGACTTGTGTACTTGATTTTAAAAAATGGGAGCTAGAAAATGTTGAATCAATTTTTAAATTTCTGTCATAGAATGTGGACTTGTACATGTAGACCCGCAAGTTGCGAGGTGGTAGCCAGAATGTGCCAGATATGGATTTTAAATTTTTTTTCTGAATGGAATTTTAATTTTTGAGGAATAATGGGGTACTGCAAACTGAGCAGCCAGAAAATGGGGTCTCATCATACACTCTCATGGCAACATGAGTGGTAACTGGTAAGAGTGTGTGAGTTCAATGTTGGAAAATCAGGTAGAAAAATTTACTTTTTCTTCAAAATACTGTCCCAAATTAAAGAGATCATTGTGTGGGGTCGAAAATATAACCAATTTGAAGCACCTCATTTATTATCAGAATACAAAATGCGAGTGATTACGCCCACAGGGGTGGGCTAAACTACACAATCCCCGAAAATGGTTGACCCTTATTGCGTAAATTGTTACAAGTTTATTCTTTGCTTTATGTGCCCGACTCAACAGATAAATGCCGAACTTGTTCCAAATCGTTCAGTGACTGGTACTGCTGCAGCTTTACATGTACTTTGGAGACTTTCCAACGTGCAGTCGAGTCCAAACCGACCGCGATATAAACAAGCTTGATCTACGGGCTAGCAAATGTTTTAACTATCAATTGTACTGAACGAAGTGAACAAAAAGTAATCGATCGAGCTGTAAAAGCTACATATTGCCGGTCTCGACCCGAGACCAGCCAAAATATCGAGACCAAAGGGGACCAAGACCGAGACCAAGACCGAGACCACAGCTTCCGAGACCGAGACCGAGACCGAGACCAGCAAAAAGTGGTCTCGAGACCGGTCTCGAGACCGAGACCGAATTACTTCTCTATTTTTTCTGGATCCATGCACTAATTAGCATTTCAACTCCCGTTTTCTCCCATGCACAAAAAAATAAATTTGGACTTGAAAGATGCAAACTTTTACAATGTGACAAGCACACTTTACGAAGACACGGCCAACAATCACAAATTCAGCAACACAATACAACATTGCATCTAGCATGGTTATGATACAATGCACCAACATGTAAAAGAATCTATAAACATGTACACTGTACATGTATCTATTAGAGCAGAAACTGGATACTGCAGTAAATAAGGAGAGAAAAAAGAAATGCCATGTTGGCTTGAGCACTGTTACAATGCCAATCATGCATGTACTCTTTGGACAATTTTGGACATTTTATCTTGAACTGTTTGCACTAATCTACATGTACCTTGACTACTATCATTCCTGTACAACACGTATGCCAAAGCTAAAAACAATGGACTCCATCCATGTTCAAAAGAGGGCACTCTTAAGGACAATGTGCTGGTTTAAATGTGCTTTCACCACATGTGACCCTCTAGCACAAAACCAGTCAGAAGTCCCACGGCCATATTTTGAAATACAGATGACCCTAACCCAAATATGCCTCTAAACCTGTTTTCCAGAGAGGGCATTACCTTATGTGGACCTGGCTGAGTTCACATAACGTTCACACAACCTGCGTTATGTGGACCCATTTTGTTATCAAGTCCACATAAAGATGGTAAGGTTGGCACACACATGCATACAGACATACACACAGAAGGAATACACTATCACAATATCCCCCTCTGGCTTACAGCCACGGGGATTAAAATTGGATGTGTGCTGTATCATACGCATGCAAGAACTATTGCATGCCCATGATGCGTTCTTCACTGGCTCGCCTGAGTAGTCCACACAGCACAATCTTTAGTTCTATTACATACAGGTAAGCTGTAGTCAAATCCTCTTCTGAATCCCAAAATATACTGAACATGTAAGGTTAAATGAAGTAATCACGCCTGCATTTCTATGTGTGACAGATACATACCGGTATGTACATGTATATAAGCCCAATGGGTTTCCAGATAATCCCCCACTCAAAATTAAATACAGTCTGCATTTTCTCAAAATTCTGAATGAAAGGAAAAATAAACACGAGACCTAGCCATCAAAGCTGTGTTGACTCAATATACAAGTGAGTGGAAATTGGAATATTTGGACACATAGCTTAAACACAGATATGAAAGACATGTACCGGTACCAATACTTGCAACTCGTGTCCTTTTGAAAATTATTAAATATTTAAAGCATACCTCTCAATCCAAATGCATGTACTCATATTCTACCAACAATCAAAACTCACATACTAGGACCACTGTGTTCAGTTTCTAAGGTTTAATTCTACTGTACCAGTTGAAAAACTGCTGGACTTGGAAAAGGATTCGACTTCAACATTCAGCAAAAATCTGTTCAAGCTAATGCCATGATAAATGCTGTTTGCTTACTACCAAAAAAGGAAAATCATTTGCCAATGTTTCATACTTTGAACAAACTATTTTGAATACTACAGTATTATCCAATCAGCAAGTGGGAAGGGAGGGTACGAGAACAAAAGGTATGGTAACCAGACGATCAGCCTCGTCTTTCATGCCACGACACACCACTGACTGACACTTAGCAAGACATGGCACCAGCTACTCACCCGATTCGGATAATTTATTGTTTGACAGTGCGTTGCCAGGGACGAAACCATTAACTGGCCCTTCCCCTTCTTGCGGCATCGGTGACCTTTGACCCGACAGGTGTAGTTTGACTACAAACCCAAGAACAAACCACACTCAACTCCGGATTTCAAAACTGATTTGTGTTTATCAAAAAGGATCATGGCCATGCTCACTGAACAATTGTTTTGTTTGCAATTGTTTGCACTTGAGTGAACCGTTGAGGTCAATATTTCTTTTTATTCCATTTTACTTTAGTCATCAACTTGCAATATTTTCAGTAAGTCGAGATTGTATATTATGACTTCCTTTTTTCACAGAACGCATGCTTTGCCTTGGACGAGATAGGCCCAACCAGGAAATAAAATAAATGCACAAAAAAGAGGAAAGTGTAACACACTTTGTAGAGCACTATGTGCCCACATGTACCGTATTCCCATAAAATCTCACTAGTTTTCAAGGTCAACTTGTATGCAGTATTGCAGACCAAGAATAAAAGCAGTCTGTTGCCCAAAATGCAGGGTCCAAATGTCTGGTACGTTTGTGTGTTTCTACCGTAGAAACACCCCATTTACAAGTGGTGAAAGAGATTTAACTACGCTCGTGATAATTTTTACGGAGAGTTTTCATCTCCTTTTCCTCAAATTTTCTTCGAAATTATAATTTAAATAAAATCACAGATTGTGGAAAAATCATTTAGGGTTCATAAACCTACCATCGTTTGATTGCGAGACAGGATCAGACCCGACCTTTTCAAAGTTGACCACGACCCCATTCTGTACCTTCTGCACCAGGGACTCCAGACACTGGTTGAGGGTCTTCATAGAGGTCACGGCGTAAGAACGACCTAAAAAGATAACAACACTCAAGTTTAAAAAAAGAACATCTGAAAAAATTCATCTTTCCTGTTACAAAGGTAAGCATCCTTTTGGGAATGTGCTTTCACTTTACTGTGTTCCCTATGAATGATAAACAAAGAACATGCCATTTTATAAAGGTGCGCACAAATTTGGACCAGCTTTCTTGACTGGAAATGTGTCTGATGTTCCTATTGAACCAGTTCAATGTGTCTGATGTTTCTATTGAACCAGTTCAATGTGTCTGATGTTCCTATTGAACCAGTTCAATGTGTCTGATGTTCCTACTGAACCAGTTCAATGTGTGTGATGTTCCTATTGAACCAGTTCAATGTGTGTGATGTTCCTACTGAACCAGTTCAATGTGTGTGATGTTCCTATTGAACCAGCTCTGGTATTCTCCATGTTGTGCATTGTCAGCTCACCTCCTGTCACTTCGCACATGGCATTGATTGGCGAGCCATCCACACTAACCATAGACCCACTGCGGTCGTTGTCCAAGGGAGCAGTGCCGGGTATACGGAGCACCAGGGAAAAGAGACGCTGGTCCCAGCGAAAGGGCTCTTTGGTCAGTTCACTGCCGGGTATGGCCATGCTCATTGGCAGTGATAACTAACATGTACGGGGAAAAAAAGACAACATAAGAAGAAATGCCCCTATTTTGCAATTGTCAATAGACTGCACAGCTATTCCTGGCGTTTTTGAATACACATTTACAAAGTAAATGATTATTAACCTACCTCCTTGTGCATTTATTTTGAGAGGAACCTTGCGAATCCTCCAAAATTCAGCACTGTGCAGTAATCTTATACCTCGTTCTTTGTACATGTACTTGAACAAACAGGTGAAAATCAAGCCCTATGTTCAGTAATGTGGCTGGGCCGTATTTCCAAAATCTTTCAAAATCCTCTCAACTTCCAAATGGCATGAAAAGGATTCAAAGGATTTAGACAAAATCACTCCAAAAACAGAAACTATAGAAAATAGGATGAAATATGGGTCATTCCACCGGGTTGGGAAGCAGTGCATGTTACATCCATATATTTGGTTATATTATTAAAAGTATCAATGCATTCTAAACAATTGCTTAACATAATATTTGTCTTAGGGTGTTTTAATATTTGAGAAAGTTTGAAATCATTTGAAAGTACTTTGACAAAAATATGAGCAAAAATGTATTAATTCGGATGTAACATTGACACCGTGTCAATGTTACATCCAAAAATTCATTTTTGGCCATATTTTACACGTATGTAAAATGTTACCCAAACTGACATTGCATATTTACAACTGGACACCTAAGCACCAAGAAAAACTTTTGTTTTGGTATAGTCAGGGTTCAAATATGGCAGAAACAATACCTCAAGTGTGGATGTAACGGTGTAAAAATCACTCAATGGAAGTGTGACATTTGGGTTTACACCGTGTAAATGTTACATCCACACAAACAAGCTATCATTTCTGCTCCATTTGATGTCTGACTACCATAACAAAAGCTTTTCTTATTGTGTTGCATCTATAGTAAGAAGTACGCAAAGTAAATTTGGGTAATATTTGGCAGAAATTTAAAAAAAGATACAAATGTCATATGTGGACGCAACACTGACACGGTGTCAATGTTACATCCAAAATGACATTTTTTGCTCATATTTTTGGCAAAATACATTGAAATGATTTCAAACTTTCTGCAGTAGTGAAACACCCAACAACAAATATTATGTAGAGCAACTGCTAGCAAGGCATTCATGCTTTTCTTAATATGGTCATATGTCACACTTTGTTCCCCAACCCGGTGGAATGACCCATATACAAACTCAAACTCAATATCAATTTTCTGTTATTTTTCTAAATTACCTTGGATTAAGGATTTTCATATCCTGAAGTTGGTTGGATAGCCGATGCGCAAAGGCATCCATTATAGTAAGTCCATTAAAGCGTGTTCAGTATACAAGCGAGGTTTTTACTGGCAATGGGTGAAAGTGCTCCAACAGAATGTCTTGGTCCTTCCATTACTGCATGAATATTATCAAAACCTGCCCCTGATTTTTTGGTCATCAAAACTGACATCAATTTAAACTATTTTTTTTTCAAAATCCAACTACAATTTACCTCATCTTGTACGCTGTTGTTGTTTGTCAGTCTATGCCCGTCTGTAATTGCAATAATCATTGCTGGCTCAAGGTAGAATGGATTGCGACCCTGAAAAAGCAGTGAAACACAATAAGACTTTGGTGGTCATTTCATGTCGACGAATCCAATTTGAATAAGTCTTAGGAATAGGAACCCAACAAAAACACGATCAAGGGAAAAAAATTCACAGAAACGTTATTCTTGGATATTTTTATTTTCTTTTTTTTCTGCCTGGCCTAACACATATGTGCTTAGGCCAAACAAAAAATTTAAATACTTCTGCTTCTGGTTACCAGACTGACCTCATTTCTACGGCCTGAAATCAACTTTGTTTTTATTTGAATAAAAATTGGCACAATCATTAGTTTTGAATTATTTGCGGCCTGGTTCAACTCTGGCATGGAAGAGTTATTACTGCACCCTCCTATCAGAATTGACAATGTAGGGACCAGGAACCAGTCTACAATAGATCAGTTTGTGCGCAAAAGCAACCCTCAATAAAAAAACCTTCCTCAAAGGCTTGCCATATCATCCACAATAGACATTTTTCCCTCAAAATTAAACATACAAGGTGACAATTTGCTGGGAGAAAGAAAGTTGAATCTGTTGAAGAGCACGGTCAGTACAATGTAGACGTAGGTCTTCAACCTTAATGTGCCAGGGTATTTATGAAACACCCCCCCCCCCGCACCTCCCTCCACCCCCACGCCAAGGAAAAAAAATAGTACACCATTCATCAATGAACTTGTTGTTTATGAGTATGTGTGTGATACCAAATTTAACAGATTTTCCTAACTTAACCCTAAAAGGGCCGGGGGGGCCGCCCCCCCCCCCCTCAACATTTTCTGCGATAGCCTCTAAAAAAATGTATTCACGACCCGAGCTGTTATGACTTTTTAGCCTTGAGCTTTCCGCATCTTTTGATACCAAAAACATAAAAATCGGACCACGGGTTGCTGCGTAGCGAAAAATTTTACGGCGCTATGCGCCGTGAAAACTGACTGAATTTTCCCATAAATACGTCGTGTACACGGAGCAGAATTGCCATTCGTACATATGAATAATTAATTAGCCATAATTCCAAAACCCTTTGACCTATAATCATGAAATTTCTAGGGTATGTTTAGGAAGAGTTGCTCTATGCATGTACTGAGTTTCAAAATTTTTCGTCACTCGATGGCCAATATACCCCCCCCCCATGGCCCTTTTAGGGTTAAATGCAAATGTTCATATCATTCAAGATATATAACAAAATGATAACTTTATTTCTGATAGCACTTACATCATGTGTTTATGTTAATGCCACTTTCATCTTGGTCAAGAAAGAACTAAATTCAATTTTATGATGACAAATACCGGTACCATGAATACTGAATAAAAATGCTCACAACTTTCTGAAGAAAATATCTTTATCAAGACTACAACAAAATGGTACCGGTACTTGATATCTGTTTCCTTATCCTAGTCATATTCTGCAAATAAAACAATCACTTTTTTTTTTACCTGTCCATAATTGTCAATACCAGAGTACAATCGGTTGATGTTCACAAGGTCAAAGGTCGTCTTGAGAGCCTGACCCAGGCCGGTTAGACTGGATGCTTGCAGATTTTTCAGCTCATTCATGAAGGCCAAATGGTTGTCTTTCCAACCAGACTATAAATCAAAGGACAGAGAAAAGGTAAAGAGCTCATTGTAAAGATGTGACAAGGAGTACATTACCTCAGGTAAATATTGTGCATAAAAATGTGTTCGCCGAAGTCTTCATTGCATTACGACTTACGTCCAGGATGAGAATTCTCTACATAAGACCACCCACAATTTGGAACAGATTTTTGTTACGTTTTACCTCGTTACAGAAGTTTATTTCACGCCTACATTCTCTATGTGTCCTTACCTATTGGGCCGCTGGGTTCAGGAATTCCATATGTGATGCTGACCGACATTAATCAGGAAAATAAACTCTAAAGCAACGTTAAACTTGTACATGTTTGTAGTCTCTTTTCATCAGTTTATTCATGTACAATGTACGTGCGTACGAAAGCGCGCACGCACGCTAGCGCCCTCATTTGTTTAGCTTTGGTTGGAACCGTGACGTCACTCCAGCCAACCGATGTCAGGAAAACGCTCAACCAATGACCAAAGCCGAAACGTGTTTCTGGTAACTGGCGCGAAAACACGCTCGGTCATTGGATTAGCGACCGCGCCTTCAAGTAAGTGCGCGTGCGTATGAGGGTGGTTACTAAGCAAATCGCGCGTGCGCACTGCATATTCATGCTGCATAGTCTGGCCCCCGGACCAGACGTGATATGAGCGTCGAGAATAATTGTCCGGTCTACGGAACCAGACTACACGCTGCACAGACGTACATCATGTACGACTAGAATAGACTCGGCGGTGAGAAACTGATGAAAACAGAAAAGAGCCTACAAACACGTACAAGTTTAACGTTGCTTTCGAGTTTATTTTCCAGATTAAGGTCGGTCAGCATCGCATATGGAATTTCTGAACCCAGCGGCCCAATAGATAAGGCTACATAGAATACTACGACGTAAAAATTAGCTTCTCCAACAAGGCAAAAATATTGAAAATACTGGTCATAAATTTTTTCGCCCGGTTTTGAGCACTTTATACCCTGGACTCCCTCCGTTACGTAGGGAGGAAAGGGAGTCCACCTGGGCTAACTCAACCACATGACACACGGCACAATTTGTCAATACATGTACATGTAAGTGCACTCACTTAAGAGCAAAAATCCATTTTCAGTGTTGTGGCATGAGAGGGTAATCCCTTATCACACCTACACCTCCCCTTCACATTCCCCACCCATTGATCCTTCCAATCCTCCAATAAATGTAAGATGATTTTGAAGGACTGATGAAGTTAAAGCCTAGCCACTATTACTTTAAACAAGGCTTGATGCCTATAGTGGAATCTGGTGACCAGAGTTAGATGCTTTTAAGTGTCTGTGATGACGTCGCGCTCACGCGTATGCTGCACGCCTTCTCCAAGATGAGGCGCACGCGCATTTTGGTATTCCTATTGGCCGAAGGAGCCTGAAGTGCATGCACACTACCTGAGCGTGACTCACACGAACCTTGCACCACCGCAGAAAATGGCAGTCGCCGGATTTGTCTAAAGAGTTGAAGTAAGATATTCTCTCTCTCTGAAATTGGCATGTTCACAACAGCAACTTTACATCTACATGTATGTCATTTCATAATAAAACATGCCAGTTTTCAGGATATGCGGTTCTCAGCTACATGTAAATGCATAATTAATATGTCATTGTATTTTAACAATGAAATATTATATGTGATATTTCGAGGAGATGCCTGGAATATATGGAAAGGTAAATTAGAATCCTTCAGGATTTTTGTTTCATGCAGCCTCATATGTGTTATGACACAATACATGTACTCAAGCATGCTTTCAAAGCGTGGAAATATCTCCTTTCTGAAACTGAGGGAAAAAATAGAAGTAAATGCACTATTTTATAAACTCTCCTTCTTGCAAACAGCAACCGCTTTTGAAACAGCAGCTTTTGAGGCTCCCATTAATAATACACCAGAGAATTAACGATGGATTCAATCACTTATTCATGTTCTGTCTTCTTCCAAGCATGTTCCTCTTTGATTGTATGGATACTGGACAAACCTTGCTGTTTGAGAATTACTTGAAAATTATTATCAGCTTGAAAAATATCACATCACACTGAATTGTCAAACCGACAAGTTTAAAATCAGAAGAGGAAACAAGTTCCTCATTTATAGTACACAAGCTGATTTACCCGATCATAGATCGGGTAGGGCGTATTGTGTTGGGGATGAAAATGTGGGGAGTTTAATGTAAATGGGGGATATAGTTGAAAAGACATGCAGTTATAGAAAAGCAATTTCTGTGGTGTGATCTGAGGCAATTTCTGACCACTAAAACCAATTTCAGCAAAAGATCATCTTTTAAAGTTTTGAGTTTGGAGTAATTGAATCAGGTACGTGTATTCTGAGCAATAGAATCATTATAGTAGGCTACAATTTTTATTCGGGGAAGAAAAAGTGGGGGGGGGGGGTACCAAACAATGTCCCCTGCTTTAAAATGGGAGGGGGAGGGGGTCCCCCCTGTCCCCTGTCGACTTACGCAATTGATAATTGTGCACCATGGCAACTGTCTGTAAAATGTTCCCGTTTGTCTGTTAAAATGGCATTTTGTGAGGCAGTTGCATTTGTGGGAAAACGTAATGAAAAGGTTACCGTAGTACACAGGCGAAGGCTGATTGTACAGTTTTGACAATAATTCATAATGCAATAAAACATGAAGGTGTCATTTGAAATGGAAGTGTTGAGTGTTACCATAACATTACAAACGGTCTGAATCATGGAGAAAGGTCATAATTAAGTTTCAGTATTGGACTCTTCAACAAACGTCATGAACGTAAACTTGAACTTCGTACCGTCTGCAAGGAAAAAGTTGATTCAACTTTTATTCAAGTTGGTTCAATCATCTATATAAGAGCAAAATGTGGTATTAAATGTAAATGGGAGATATAGTTGAGGAGAAAGGCAGTTATAAAAGCAATTTCTGTGGTGTGATCTGAGGCAATTTCTGACCACTAAAACCAATTTGAGCAAAAGATCATCTTTTAAAGTTTCGAGTTTGGAGTAATTTAATCAGCTACATGTATTCTGAGCAATTGAATCATTATTGTAGGCTACAATTTTTTTTTCGGGGAAGAAAAAGTGGCCCACTTTTTCTTCCCCGAATAATGCAATAACTAACGTGGTGTCGTTTGAAATGAAAATGTTGAGTGTTACCATAAAATTACAAACGGTCTGAATCATGGAGGAAGGTCATAATTAAGTTTCAGTATTGGACTCTTCAACAAACGTAAACTTGAACTTCTTACAATTTGCGAGAACGTCTGCGAGGAAAAAGTCGATTCAACTTTTATTCAACTTGGTTCAACCATCTATATAAGAGCAAGTTTTACTCGGCCTCCGAGAAATGTTTGCTCCTGAAAGGATCCGAGACCGCGGTCTCACGCGACGCCAAAATGGCTCCAAGTCCGTGGAAAAATGTGGAGGGTGTCTTCCGCCGGGTTGGACACTTTTTCGTCGATTTTTTTTTGTGACTGCGTTTAAGATCGCGACATTTGAAGCAATGCATCGATCCTTCGTTGATCCCAAACAGGACCCCGAAATCATAACGCGACACTGAATTATACGTGGTGGGCAGCGAACTCACAACGCTCAGCCTTGGTGGTGGAAGCATGGAGCTGTAAACACATTATGGAAGCAACAGCATTCTATCACGCGACGTCACATGCTTGTGCAATACTGAGAACCATAGACCCAACTTCGTTTCCAGGGTGTGGAGCAGGCTGCAGTACGCGTTGCCATCGATGGTTTTACGCAGAGCCCGGAAGTACACAGTGTAGACTTGCGATTGGTCAGACCGCGCAAAGCATGCTAATGTGTAGTCATTCTGAGTATTCGTTGCACTCGGCGCAGGGGCAGCAAGCGAAGCATATGAAAGAATAGGGACACTTGGTGGCCACGCACCATGGACAAAAAATATTTTGCCAAGGTCACCCCATGCTACCGTTTGGTGAACACTTTTGCTACACAGCCAAGTAGAACACGTAAACGAAACCCCTACGTCGAAGCCGCTGACCTCGCACAGTCTAGACACGCAGAAAAGCCAGCATAGGGGGCGGCCAGGCAGTCAACGTGAAAGCGCACACGACGGCAAATTCCTGCGCAAAACGCAGTCACGAAAAATCGACGAAACGGATCGCCGGTCCGTACGGGAAAATAAGGACGACCCGAAGTGTCCAACCCTGCGGAAGACACCCTCTGCATTTTTCCACGAACGTGGAGCAATTTTGGCGCCGCGGGAGCCCGCGGTCTCGGATCCTTTCATGAGCAAACATCGTCTCGGAGGCCGAGTTAAACTCTCTCTTATATATATAGATGTACCGGTACTACATGCCTTGCTTTGATACACATCTGCATTTTTGTTACTGGTCAGAAAATGTGTATTTGCAATAAAAACCAGTGGGTTTTTTTTTTGTACCGGTACTCCTACTTCCCCCCCCCCCCCCCAACAGTAGTGTGGTTGGGGTCTACGAGCGAATACTTACCTGTAGAGCGAATACTACCTATGCATTGTTCCCTATGCCGGCAGGCAATTTGCTAAGAGTTTTACACACAATGTGACATGCGCACTACGTTAGCATCCTCTTTTTCTCAAGCGTTACCTGCGTAAGCACTCAAGGAATCGAGTATAGTGGGGAAGGAGGGAGGGGTGCTCTACAAGTATTCGCTCGTAGACCCCAACCACACTACTGTGGGGGGGGGGGGGGGGGAGTCTACATCACTCTACTTACCTGTAGAGCGAATACTACCTATGCATAGACTCGCACCGAGTAAGTATGCGAATTACCGTATGTCTACAGGGGTGTAGGACATGAGGCGTGTCCGAAGGCAAACAACACAAAACAAAAACCAAAACCCCAGACGTTCTAGGCTTCACCTCATAGGTGGAACCCATAAAGCTTGTGTGCAAAAGGTCAGGGGGGTGTCACCATTATGGGGATAAACACATGATAGGTACACCTCATTAGACTTAATATATATTTCTATGCTCACCCGTTAGTG